AAGGGTGGATGGCACTAAGAAGAGATATACTCGATTCTTGAACTGTGCAGGTGGTGAGAAGCGTTGGGCTCGGACAAAGCCCAACATTTCCACCAAGTTGGACCTTTCCCCTCTTTCCATAGCTCAACCACCATGCCAATGAGCTTCCACGACTCCCCAGAGAAGAACAGATTAAGCAGGTGTCTTGATGGAACACTCCATTATCACCTTTAAAATGAGGGAGAAAAACCATGGCTCATTTTGTTCTCTAGTATTCTGGTGGAGATGGGGCCTGGTTCTAGTCTGAATATCACAGGACCCGGTACGACGAGCAGTCAGGACAAGATCTACGAAGGGCGAAACAGAATGGGAAGAAGGAACAAACTGAAAACGAGAACACCATAAGCCGGTCAAGGACAAGCGAGCCAAGATCACCCGGGGGCATCATCCAGCCAAGCTAAAGGCATCTCGCCTCCCACCTCGGTTGGTCACAAACCAAAGGCCAGGCCCATCGGACGACCACCCGCGCAAATGGACTAACATGGGGCGAGACCGGGGGAGGGGAGGGCTTGGTCATCGCCCACCTACTCAAACCTGGCCCCAAGGCCAACCCATGTCCCACGACGCCGGACTACTGGAAATGGAGTTGGAGGTCGGCCAGTTTGTGAGGCCATACAGTGTGCATGTGTGGATGGGTGGAGCGAGTGGCCTGTCAAGGTGGCCTTGATCCAGCTGAGGAGGAGGGGGATTAACGTGGTGCCTTCGTAGGGTCTTACTCGAACACCAAATCTTGCATTGGGTGGCCTTTGTGCGGTGAAATTTATCTTGTCAAGTGGCATAGGATAATCCACGTTCTTCTTGTCAGGTTTGATGAGAGAAATTAGTCTCCATGCGCACTATGTCCAGTCTTTGGCCGGCGAGTCTAGGGCTCTTGCATCCCTCTAGCACTCGAGTGGTTGGGCTTGAAGTGAGGGGCGACGTGTGAGAAAGGAGGGACAGCGCCGGGCTGGCTGAATCCTCGGTTCCTTCTGACCGCAGTCGCAGCGCAGCGGTTACTTTTCAAGCTCTCGACGGTATCTTTTTCCATTGGACAGAAAACCCTCCCCGTGGCCGGCGTCAATGAGAGAAGCGGTGGAGGAACTTTCACCTCTCCCTTTCACCCCATTGCATTGTGCGTGTGTGTGTGGGATGGAACGGCGGCCATCTCTCCTCAACCTCGACTTGGCAATAAGAGAGGCTAGGTTGCACATACCCGAGGTACCAGCACATTGAAACCAGTTTGGGAAACTCGATGTAGGTGACAGTGAGAAAAAGAAGCCCCTCCTCGCCTCACTTTCACTAGACAAGATAACGGAAGGAGTAGACAACCCGAGGTGATGCCCTACCGCCGCCGAGTGGTCAAGGACAAGAAACGGCCTTCACCAATCTCCGGCGGTGGATTGCCGGTTGCGCTCGAGGAACACCAAACCCAACAAGGGCATCTTCCGTCATTGTATTGGGCCTTGTGAAAGGTTTAGTGTCCTGTGCATAAAGTTCTTGCCCACCAAGTGGAGTTGTGCCCGAATCGTGGGGACCTGCCAACTCCCAATGGTTTGGCGCTGGCGGAGAAACCTGAAGTCGCCCATTGGTTTTCCAAGCTGCTCGAAATAACCATTTCATCACCGGCTCAGCAAGCTTGCCGGCCAGTGCTTCGTGCTTGAGAAAAGGCAAAAGTGGAGCTCGGATCAATGGCCATTTAAATCCCGGCACGCGTCGTGCATATAGAGGCCATATCTCTTTAAAATTTTTGCTCGCAGAGAGGGTTTCGTCGCGATGGGGGTTAAATGGGATATGGACCAATTTATGGTGGGGCGGCTCGGGAGCCCCAGCTTGAGCTTGGGGGCTTGTCAGGGTACAAGGGGCGTAGCCTAGATCCCTGTGGCACGGAAAGTCACACGGCTGCTCCAGCGCCAGGGCCTGCGCCGGGCTCTCTCGTCATCCATCAATTGACCCATCTGCTCCGTCTCTTGTCGCTGCCCACCCTTGTCAACTTGTCACCTTGGCTGTCTCCTCCTTTCAATGAGGAACAAATCGAAACGGAGCTGTCCGTGCGGGAAAAGGACTTTACGCGTTCCTGGCTTCCCATAGGCTCTCGCATCGCTTCAATCATTCTGAACCTTGCCCCGGGAGAAATGTGGGGCCTCCAGCTTCGACTCTTGCTTCCATGACCGATTCTCGACGCGTTCCATTGGCCGGTTTTGTAAGCTATCAAAGGCTCGAAAGTATTGAGAGACAATAGATACCTTTTTCCTTCTTTTTTTCTCTCCGAATCTAAAGCCAACATGGTCTGTGAGTTGAGTTGAATGGAGAATAAGGGCCAGCGGATCATCCTTCTCCCATCCACGGCTGAGACGGAGGGATAGTATTACCTTGATTTGCTTGATCCCACAAGGGGAAGAAGAAAAAAGGGCGGAAAAATGATAGAATGAATGCTCATCCACTTTTTCTGCATGCGGTCGCTTCTCCTTCTCAGGAGTCGGCATCACTTTTTGCTCGGTCGCATATCGCCTAGGTTTCTCCCTCCAATTGTCCTCCTCTCGTTACAGAACCGGACACAGGGCCGTGTAGCTCAGAGGCCTGTATGAGGATGTGCACAGGACGAACGATGCACGACGTGCGCCATACATCTGCCCTTGCCTCGCCTTTGGCAAATCAGATGAGCACCCTAGACTTTCGCATGAATTTGGGGGTACGCGAAGCAGCCGTCACTGGTCAGTGCAGGCAAGATCGAGGTATCACTAGTCGCTGGGGTCGCTTCATCCCTTGACCAGCACCAGCCCCAGCACCGGCGTCAGCACCAGCACAGCACGGGAGCCCGGCCGGAGGGACAAACGTACCACATTTCGGCTTGGGCTTCTCCCTCTGCCCTTTGGTGTGTCCATGTTCGTCTTCGTCAGTGTGCATCGCAGTAGTGTGCCAGTATTCTACGCTGTCCCCATACAGGACGGACAGTGCTGCAAGAAAAGAAGCATGACGAACTGTAAGGCCTCCCCCTGGTCGGCTCCGGAACGGCCACTGGCAGCAGGATCAAGCCGTGGAACGTTCCAACACTGTTGTACCCTAGTTTTGAACATTGGCCAAGCCACAAAGGAAGGTGAGAAAAGGGAAGAGGGAGAGCGAGGGGACAACTTGTCGCTCGTCCATGACACAGTGTCGCGCGGAAAATCTCAATCGAAGACAATCTCGTCTTGAGATGTGCTTTTCCCTGTGCGTCACCTGCAACGTATCGCCAATTGATTCTGCCTGCCCGAGGACATGCCCGCTTGCTCTTTCTTTCTTCTTGCTAGCCAACTAGCCAAGTGCAGTCTGCGCCTGCCCATCGAGTGATCCTCTCCAACAATCTACGTACCAGGCCCTTCGTTTGTTCACTGCTTAACCCTGATCGGCGAATGTACTTTCCCTGGAGGTTGCCACCAAGCTTGGTTTGGCCTGAAGGGGTCTCCGCCGCCCGGTTCTGCCTGTCCCCGTTTGAAGCCCGGGGACGTGAATACCACTCGATTTCCCGCCGCGTCCAGCTTCATGGGCTCCGGGAGTCCTGCACTCTTCAGCGTCTACTCTGACGCTCGCCGCCCTTCTTGCATGGAATGCATTGAACCGCTCTTTACGGGCTTTTGGCCCGACTGGCTTCTTGCGTCGTAGTTCGACACGTAGATGCTCCTCGCTGCCCACCGCGCGAGTAACTTCCCGATGAGATAGATGACCTACAGTTCGGATCTCCCTCTTCTCGCCACTGCCACAGCCGCTCTGACCTCGTCAAGAGAAGAGGAAGAAAGAGCCTGCTTAAGCACGCACTTAAAGAACACCGATAGAGAAAAAGAAAAAAACGAAAGAAAATGGTTCGGCAGCTCAAGGCAATCAAAAAGGGCAGTCCAATTTAGGGTATCGGCCGTCGTACCTTGCTCCATCGTGGTGGCTTCTTCCATCTCGGCCAGCGGATCGAAGCGTACCCTGTACCCATGCCCAAGCCAGGCCCCCTGCGCCTAATTTAGTACCCTGTACTGCTCTCCGCGTCAAACACGTCAAGCGCCGCGATGTACTCAAGGTGCAGAATACCCAGTACAGTGCGGCTACCTGCTACCTGGGCCCCCTTTTTTCCTCGTGTCGCCGTGTTCCCTCCTTGTACCTTGGGGCTCTCTCAGCTGTGCTTCCCCTTGCTCCCCGCTCCCCTCCCTTCTCACGCAAAGGGAAGGCCCCGCCGGTACCTGTGGAATAGCGCGCCCAGCTTTCAGGCACCTGGACGAGGAAAACGGGTTCGTGTCACCGCACTGTGCTCGATTCGGGTCGAGCGTTCCAACTTTTCTCACGCGTCGAGGGAGAAGGAGCGAAAGTGGAAAGTGGACGGAAGGTACATTGCACAGCCTGCACTGGCACGCGCGACCACCAGGTACCCTTCGCCCTTGGGTCGTGGCCGCCCATCTTGATGGCCCTCCTGGCTCGTTTTTATTACCCCTTCGCCCTTGCCCTTCTTTCATTTCCCTGTCGTGTTTGACTCTCTCTTTCCCTCTTTTATTATCTGCCCTTCCCCTCACCTCTCTTTATTTTTCGGTGATCCGAACCTGACGCTCTTGAACATTGTTTTCCCGACCTTCGAACCACTCTTGACCCCAAAGTGAAATGCAAGTTGCCAAAACATAAACAACAAACATCAACACCCGAATCGTGAATTGGGACAACTCGTTCACGCCATCACCCACGCCTCCATCAAAACATACTATATCCATCCAAGACGCCCATCATCGTCTTTACCCCGCTGTTCGGAATCTAATTCTCTTTTGGGCTTCACTTGTTATCGTGAGGGATTATTCCATTGCAACAGGCCGACCAACCCAGCGAGCTCTCCAGCGTCTGGCACCAATCTCTGCTTTCCGTGACTAACGCGGAGACATCTTGGCCGCCTCACCCGCTTGTGCTCCTCTCGCCTCTGCACTTGTCGCCTCGGCTTCATTGTTTTTGTGCTGTCGACTCCGCTTCTTCCCTCAGCCATGTCTACCCTCGTCCGCCAACCGTTTGCTCCCCTTGATGGGGCTCGTCTTCAGACTCTGACGAGTATCAAGAACAGGCAAAATGGTATGTTTTGGCTCCTGACGCTGGTTTACATTGCACCTTGCTTGAGACTCTTTCTTGCCTGTATCATTGTGAGCGACCCGAAGACCTCCTTCCGAGGGGTAGGGAAGCTTGTGACACTGTCCCTTGCCACATGTGCACCGTTCATTTACGCCCGACGTAGCTATGTGCTGCTACGTGCAGAACACTTTTTGCTTCGTTCGATGAAGCATGTCGTAACCAAAGTACCTCGCTGACATTTTTTCAATAGCCTCATCGCCTGCAGCTAGCAAGAGGAAGGCCTCGGAGCTGACAGAGGATGACTTTGAAAATGTCGACCCCACCAACTTCTCCAAGAGGTCCAAGGGCACCGACGACAGCTTCTTCTCCAAGGATGTGCTCAAGGCCCCGATTTTTACCATTACCACTAAGCCCACTGCCCGCCTCGCCCCAACTAGCCCCTCTCGATCTCTCCCTACCTCGCCTCGTGCACGCAGCGTCCTCCAGGCCAAGTCTCCCATCGGCAAGCTCAACACCACCATCACTAGGTCGTCACCCCTCGCCGCGCCTGCAGGCCGGTCCCCGACTCGCAGCAAGCGTTCGGGCATCTCGAGCAGCCGACGCCGCACCACTGCCGGCTCCTACGCCCGCATTGACCCTCCTCGCTTCAATCTCGGCTCCGCTGCGCCCTTCAGCCTGGATGCCGCCCTCAAGGGCACCATTCCAGGCTACGCTGCCCGCTCTTCGACAACTTCCTTGCGGCCGGTACCCGGGTGGAGCCGCTCCTGTTGCCGCCGAGTCATCTTCCCTTGGCGGCCTTGACCTCGGTGGACCTGCTGAGATGAAGGCTTCGTGGTTCTTTGACATTCACGAGGATACCCCCGAGCAGGAGATGACCAACCTGCTCCAGCACGGCACCTGCACTCTGGATATCAGCTCTGACGAGGAGTCGGAACAGCGTGCCACCCGTGAGCGCGCTGAGGGCCGCGACAAGGAGAACATTCCTCCTGCCGATGATATCAGCCAGACCTCTCGCCGTGCTGCTGCCCGTCGCGAGTCTGAGGACGACATGCTGGTTGAGAAAGAGCGCTTTGCCCTTGCCGACCTGGATGCCTCTGACTATTACGCGGCCGGCTGCGACGCCACCTCGGTCATCCTCGTCCCTGCTGACGAAGACGAGACTGAGACAGCTGAGAAGATCACGGTTGCCATCCCCGCCGTTGATGCCACCCCTGCAGCCCATGTCGTAGAGCCTGCTACTGCCGCTCTCCCTTCTCTGCCGGTCAGCGACGAATTCGCACCCGAGATCAATCTTGGGTCAATCGAACCTGTAATCACTGAGGACGTTGACTCCCTGATGACCAAGGCTGAGGAAGCGCCCTGCGCCGACGCCGCCGTTCTTGAACCCATGGAGGGAACTGGAGAGAGCTTCGAGCTCTGGGAAAGCGCCAGCGCCAAGGATGAGACTGAGACTGAGACTGCCGTTGTTGCCGTTGAGGCATGAGGACTGAACCCTCGGCTATCCTTGATTGACTAAGGAATAGTGCTTAGCTCGTCTCTTGTTTTTGCGTTTCCTTGGTGTTGGTGGCCATTTTTCCTATCTCGAAGATACCCGAGTTACGACTCAAATCAACTGGGACGGCGTTTCTGATTTTATTTGCTTTATCTTTATACTGGGAGTATACATGGGAATGGGAATGTTGGGAGGACTCGGATGCCTCGGGTGGCACGGTGTTTGGAAGGAGAACAACGAAGCAAGTTGTTGGGTTGGGGTTCTAGTTCTGGAATGGGATGGGATGGGTTCATGGTTTTGTCTTAATTTCTTGTTCGACCATGCTTAGACTACATGTACTGCGCACCATGCTTGATGCATGAGGGCTGCTCTTGAGTCAATGAAAGAATAATTGATGGCTTATGTCGATTCACCCTCAAAACGATGGTCTTATTTTAATCACTGTGGATGGGAGGTTACCCTTAGGACCTTGACGATGAAGTCAGTTGGGTTTTGGCCTCGGCGTTCGATGCTGTGGAGGTGTATCGAGATGCTAGCAGGGAGCTAAGGTCCTCGAAGTGTCCCAAGCCATCAGATACCAAGGTTGAGCCCGGCGCTTAAGCACGCGTGCCGCCACCGTCCCTGGACCTAGGCTCCTAGATCGAATGGGAAGTAGGAGGGAAGTGGAAGGAGGACGGTTCTCATAGGTTGTGGGCTCCCCTCCCCCAATCCAGGATGTAGATGAAGCTAGGAAACGGGCCGTTAGAAAGTAAGTAACGGCCGGAATACTCTCTTGCGCAAGCAACAAGGGGAGCTCGCTCTCACGAGTTGTTGTCTCCGCAGACGGGAGATGAAGCCATGAAATAGGCCACGCGGTTTGGTGCAGGAAGAAGGGGCGACAGCTCGCGATCCAAGACTCCAAGATGAGGGACGAGTACTGCAGGCCTCGGGTTATCTCTTTCTTTCTACAAGTCTATCAAAAATTGCCTAGCTTTTGGAAGGATGGGGAGAGGCAACCTTAGCTAGTCCGTCTTTCCCCATCATCATCAATAAGAAAAAGAGCATAGAGTATAAAAGTTATAAGCCTCCAACTTTCAACCACTCTGGCCCGAGAAGCTCAAGTAAGCTAAGAGGAAAAGAATGTCTATTTCATTACGATTACTCCACAGAAATGGGATATCATTTCCCTTTCCTCCCCAAAGAAACGAGCCAAGACGCCATGTCCCTGCCTGGGGGATACAAAAGGTAAGAGAAGGGGAAACAGAAGATAAGATACAAAAATAAAAGAAAGGAAGAAACCCCAAAACCCCTCCAAAAGCTCAAAAACGCCGTGATCATGCAAGGCATCGACTTTCTATCTGGGCCGCAACCATAGCCAGCCCAGCGGGTCCTCCTCTGCTGCTTTTTCGCCGCTTACACCCAAGCCACTCGCTGTGTGATTGTGCCCGCATTCTCGGATGCTTGAATTCCACGCTCGCCTGTCGCTCTCTTCTACACCAACCTCATCATCATGCTCTTTCTGTCCTGGATCTAGGATGGGGCAGTTGTCCACTAGCCTGCTGCCTTTCCCTCCTAAAGTGAACTCCTCTCGGGAAGAGCATCGGATGCTGGCGCCGCGGACGCAGGTGCGTCTTCTATTGTTCCTTCTTTGACGAAGCCTCTGCCAGCTGCCCAACCTTCTTCACCCCACTTGACAGGCTCGGCGCTCTCGCCCCTCCCGACTAACGTAGATGCCGGAGACACCTCTCTGATCGATTCGCCCGGGTCCACGGACCCTGCCCTCGATGCGAAATTGCTCGACCTCTGGGAACCCACGAGGGTCTCATCCTCCCCTTCGTCCTCTCCTGCCCCATAGCCCTCGATTATTTCCATTTTCCCGTCACCTCGCGCAACAATGGGCGTCTCTGGAAGCTCGCCATCCGTCCGTACGAGGGCCGGATCGACGCAATCGTAAAATAGCATGAAGACGCCGCCCTGAGAAGTCACCATCTCCTCATCCACTTTATACACCGACTCATCGCTGAGGCGCCACCACGTCCTATCATCCACCTGCTCACTCGCCGAGGTTTGAGACGCCTTTTCGTCTGCAAGCGGGCTCGAGCCAGACTCTTCCTCCTCCTCGAGCTTCGACGCAGCATATTGCCCTTGTTTCGGCTCGCTGGGTTGGGCGGGGGCGGGGGCGGTGTGCTTCCTGTAGCAGATATAGTGGCCGTTATTATGGTGGCCATAGTGGGTGACCACAGCCCGTAGCTCATATATCGGACCGGAAATCGCAGACTTCCTGTTCTCGCCCGCCACCATGGACACGCGCGGGTCGAGAATCCACTTTTCCTCGCCACCCAGCGAGGCCGCGTCGATATCGGCGCCTGGCTTCTCAAAAGCGCTCCTACCCCGGCCCGTGGTGCTACCGAGGCACCAAGGCCCTAGGTCCAACGCGGTAGGGAAGCGGACCGCGGCCGAATTCTTGAATAACATACCCGTCCTCTCATCAAACACGGAACGGTTCATGTGGATGACGAGACTCTTGGGGGCCTAGCAATGACTGCCTGTTTGGTCTTGACAACGTTGACTCTGCTTTCGGGGGTGACCTTGCACTTCTCTTTAACAGTTTCATCGGTGAAATCCTCCTCCTCCAGAGCGAGGTTGACAGCCTCTAGTCGGGCCTCGACGCGGGCTAGGTGCTCTTCCGAGTGCGGAGTTTGGCGGAAGCGATCGGCTAGTGTACCCAGGAGACGCTGTAGCTTGAGCAAGGTGCATCTGGGGCACTCGACGCCTTCGATAGACTCAAGGTCGGTGTAGGCATCTAGCCTCTCGTACAGATCGTGGCCGGGCGTGTTGACCCCTAGGTTGAGGGTTAGGCAGTTGAACGGGATGAGCGACAGGCCCTCAGAGTAGCCGCATTGCACACAGGCCACACGTTGGGCAAGCAGACCCTCAAGGGGATTCCTAGGAACCCTGGAGGCGGCCGAGATCTTGGAGGAGACAGAACAGGGCGCGCTGCCGTAGCCACTGTCGTCGCTGTGCTGGCTCGTGTTGTCATCTCTAGAGGTGTTGTCGGTGGCTGGAGGCGAAGGGCCAAAGCCCTGTTGCTGAGTGGGTCCTCCTGTGTCTGCGGCCGCCTTGACGGACTTTGCGATTTCGCTGTCGATCTCATCGAGAAGCTTTGAGTAGTATTCTTGCGCATCCTGCTGTACAAAGGAGCTCATGTTCTTGAGGACTCTGGGAGTCCACAAGGTTCGGCCATTGTTTTCAGCGTCATTCAGGTCAGCGATGAGGTCCTGTAAAGTCTTGGCGGCCTCGATTTCCTTTCGCTTCGCGGTGCCCGATCGAAGGGCATTGGCGAGATAAGGGGGAGATGTTCTAGCGAGGCGAGGCCTTGCAAAATGCTGTTCTGGTAGCACGAGTTGTCGAGGTTACCGAGACCCGGGGTTGATCTTTGGAGCCGCCGGCGAAAGGCCACCGCGCATGGCGGCGGAGGGGAAGGAAGGACGAGGGAGGTTGTTCGAAAAGGACCTCAAGGCGCCGGCGGCCCTGTTGACGCCCAGAAGCGACGCCATCTTTTCGCTTTTTTCGGCGTGTGTCTTGGGGCCCGGGGAAGGGGCAAGACCAGGGAACATTGGCGGGTTGACCCAGGAATCGACAAAGGCGATGACGGAGGCGGGGGTTACGGTGACGAGGCAATCCCAAAAGAAGACGGCCAGAGCCTGCAGCTGGTAGGCGAGGGCACCTGAACGAAGGAGATTGAAGAGGATGGTGAGGAGGAGAACGAGGGCGGCGACGAGGATCGGAGGGGAGAAGCGCTCGAGAAGGAGTGTGTAGGCGTGGGAGGAAGCGGATGAAGGGCGGGTCGAGTCGTGGCGGGGGTCGAATCTTTGTCGCGAATATGGGGAGCTCATTGCGAGGAGTGGTCTCTGCGTGGAGAGAGAACAGAAACGAAGAAAGAAGTCCAACGAAGTCCAACCACGTGAAAGGCCCCGGCTAGCAGGCGGCTAGACAGGTAAAAGGGTGAGAGGGAAGAAAAAAAGAAGAAAGAAGGCGACAGGGATTAGGTGGATGTGGGCGAAAAGCTGGTGGTCGCGTCGGAAACGCTTGTTGGAAGGCTAAGGGATATCGAATTTCGTTAATCTCGTTTTTGGTCGAGGTGTGGGGCCGCTTGTGCGCTTCAAAGTGCCAAAGGCGGCCGTGGAAGGGCAAGCAAACAAGATATGTAAGGATATCGTTCAGGAGAAGAGGCGAACAAGGACACGGATGGGGTATGGTGAGAGTGTAGATGTTGCGGACAACTCCATGACCAGACAAAGGAAACCGCGATGGGGCAGTTGAGGTTAGGGAGCCGGTGGAGGAAGAATGAAGATCATCTGGGAAGGCGCGAGTCTTGACGGGGTTTCAAGGTAGGCGCAAACATCAAGCTGGACGTGGAACGAAGGAGTCGTATTCCTAGGTTGGTCTGTTTATTTGGCGTTGATCGTGTCGTTTGCGAAAAGAAAAGGAAAAAAAAGCGGGTTGAGTGGTTCAAAAGGTTGCAGGTGGTGGTTTTGAGAATTGCTGGGTTCCTCCCGCAGCAGTTGAGGACACCATCAAAAGATTGAGGTGTTGAATCAAAACGCTGGCTTGTGATTTGTGATGGCAAGCAGTGCAACGCGGCAGGGGTGGTTCCTGCTGCTTCAGAAGAAAACGTTATCGGAGTATTATTGATCCGGAAATACAAAGCTGTCAATTGGTTAAAATTCCTTCAGTCATGGGTCCCGACGGCGCTGCGTTGCGCAGGCTCTGCAGCCTGGGATTGGAAGCTCAGAAGGTGCAACCGGTGGGGTGCAGTGGGGTACAGGAGTACCAGCCAGTACAGGGCAGGCATGTGGATTCTGAGCGTGGCAGCGGCGGGTGGCTCTTGGAAGCTCAAGAGTCCCGAGTCCACCTGAATGGGGCCTGGAAGGAACGGTCGAGGCGCTGATTCTCGCAGCCTATTAGACATTCAGCACAATTGAAGAGATTATTGATTGAATAATATCATTCAGCTCCAAACCGATTCATCCCGCCTGACAAGGCCCAAGTCTGCAAGATAAAAACACAGGCGAACACTATGATCTATTATAATTCCACCCTTCGACCCGACTTGAGCTGGCGCGATGGTTATTTCTTCGTGCTTAGCTAGTATGATCACTTCTTGCAAGGACCCGGTTGCTTTTCACCAGTCTGCTTCTATTATTGTCCCCTTGAAGACAGCAACAACGTGATGTCATCTGAGGTCCATGGATCCAGCGGGGTGACCAGCGCATGTGATCAGCCAGCAGCCCTACGAGCTAAAAACTAGTGATTCTCTACGCTTCTATTAGAAGCGTGTAGATGTCTTCAAAGGCCTTTGCCTTCTCCAAATACAAGCGAACAAAAAGCTGCCGGCGCAGAACAGCCTAGATTGCTTCGTTAGATGAGTTGAATCATCGACGCCGGAGCGACATAGATCCATTGTATACTCAGCGTGGACTGGGCCACCTCCCCAAGGAAACCCCGGGGCAAGAAGGCTAAAAATTAAGTAGAAAAAGGGAGAGGAAGAAACAAGAAGAAATGAAGAGGGTAGAAATATATTCAAAAAGATCAGCTCATTCATGTGAAAAAAGGGCTGGAGGATATGATGCGATCTCTTGTCTTTGAGGTCGTAACTGAGCTTGGCTTTGACGCCACACACAAGCGGCGGCAACCACTCCAGGGCCAGGCGCGTCCTGCAAATTGATCTTTACGCGTTCCAACCTTTCCCCCACCAAGCCAAAGCCTCAAAGCGGGCACCCTCGAGTCGACGCGACCACACACCCCCACCATCCAACCCGCCGCATCAATCGTGAAGCCCATTCCCACCTTCACTGCGCGCCCGTCGCCCGCCCGCGATCCGAGTCAATTCTTTTCGCCATCCCTAGGCCAAGTCTTCAAATTCCGCCAACTCTCCTTCCTCCTCGATTATCTTCCCCCTCCCCTCGCCCCTCTCCACCCACATCCTCGCCCCAACCCACCACTTACCCGCGCACGCCGCTCCAAGGGTCGTCACCATGGCCTCCGCCCCCGCGGAAGAGGAAGCCCTCCGGGGCTACTTCTCCCCGACGCCGCCCTCGAACCCGACGTCCTCGCCGAACTCACCTCCCTCCTGCGCCTGCACGGCGTCTCCGCCGAGGACCTCTTTTACAAGTGGGAGTCGTACTGCATGCGCCTCGAGGTCGAACCCAGCGCCGTCACCCTTCCCGCCCTCAAGGCCTTCAAGCAGCGCACCCTCGACGACCTCGAAAAGACCAACCAGGCCGCCGCCGCCAAGGGTCCCGAGCGGAGAATCGGCCAGACGCCCCGCAGCGTGGCCAAGGGCGGCGGCGGCGATGTCTTCAACATGCAAGTGCCCCCTCCCTTTTATTTCCCCTTTTTCTCGTTGCTATCATCTCTCTATCCTTCTTTTCGAAAACTAACCCACTCTCGTTTCCCTTCTGCGCAGGCTCGACAGCCTCGTTCCAGGTACCCCGCTACCGCGCGGACCAAGGGCCCCGCCGGCGCCAGCCTCAAGAAAAGAGCTCTCGAGACTCCCTCCACAAACCGACTTCGCTCCGACGTCCCCGCCAGCTCCCTGACCTCAAGACCCCCAGCCGACTCACCGATGCCGCCGGATCCTTCACGTAAGGCCCCTCCCCAAACCCCTCGCTCGTCCCTTATCTTTGACCACTCTTCTCCCTTTCCTCCGCTACATCGCACCCCCATGATATACCGAAAAACTAAACCTCCTCACACCCCCACAGACCCATCCGATTCCATGACCGAGCCAACGCCGGAGACGTCATCGAAGTCCTCAACGACAAACTCCAGGTCCCCGAGCCCCCTTCGCCCCCTACCCCGAGCCCCGCGTGCGGCTCAACGCCCTCGCCGACGTCCGCAAAATCGACTACAAGCCCCTCTCCGTCAAACTCTCCGAGGTCGCGAGCGCCCTCAACCGCCGCATCGACAACGCGGTCGCCTTACTCGCGGCCGACCCCGACATCGACGACTCCGAATTCGGCAACCCCACCACGCAAAGCACCTCGCGCATCCTCGCCGTCGGCCGCATCGTCTCCGACTCCCCGAAGGCAAGCTCAACCCGGCCAGCCTCATGCTCGAGTCCTCCATGAAGCACGGCAACGGCCGCCGCGTCCCCCTCAACGTCTCCCGCCTCCCCGGCTTCAGCACCTTCCCCGGCCAGGTCGTCGCCCTCCGCGGCACCAACGCCTCGGGCTCCCAGTTCGTCGCCGACCAGGTCGTCGACCTACCCCTCCCCGCAACACCGCCACCTCCCCGCCGACCTCGCCGCCCACAAGCACCGTCTACGCGGCGACCCGGACGCCATGGACGCCGACGCCGACAGCGACGGCCCCGACCCCGCGCCGCTCACCGTCCTCTTCGCCTCGGGCCCCTACACCCCGGACGACAACCTCGACTACGAGGCCCTCCACGCCATCTGCGACAAGGCCGCCCAGACCTACGCCGACGCCCTCGTGCTCTCCGGGCCCTTCCTCGACCTCGAGCACCCCCTCATCGCCTCGGGCGACTTCGACCTCCCTGAAGACGCCTCGTACGACCCCGACACCGCCACCATGACCACCGTCTTCCGCCACCTCGTCTCCCCGCCCTCGTCGCCCTCGCCACCGCCAACCCTTCCGTCACCATCATCCTCGTCCCCTCGGCCCGCGACCTCCTCGCCAAGCACGTCTCCTGGCCCCAGGACGTGCTCCCCGCCGCGACCTCGGCCTCCCCAAGTCCGTCAAGATCGTCCCCAACCCTCGCACCCTCTTCCTCAACGAAATCATGCTCGGCCTCTCGGGCCAAGACGCCCTCTGGGAGCTCCGCCACGAGGAACTCGTCGTCGGCCGCGTGCCCCTCCAGGATCCCCCTTCCCGCCTCAGCCGCTACCTCATCGATCAGCGCCACTACTTTCCCCTCTTCCCTCCCACCGACCGTTCCAAGCTGCCCAAGACGGGCACCGAGGACGGCAGGCCTCCGGCGCCGTGCTCGACCCTTCCCACCTCGAGCTCGGCGAGCTGCCCGGTGTGAGGCCCGACGTCCTCGTCGTCCCCAGCGCGCTACAGCCCTTTGCCAGAGTATGTTTTTTTCCCTTCCTCCTTTCCTCATCTTTGTCTTTGTTTTCTGTTCTTCCTTTTCGCTAATGATTTCCTACGCGCACAAAATCAGGTCGTCGAAAGTGTACTCGTCATCAACCCCGGCTCCCTCTCCAAACGTCGTGGCGCCGGCACGTACGCCCGCATGATTCTGTACCCGCGCGCCCTCGACGCCGAAGATAGAAACCAGGAGTTTGTGCCGAACAACGTATTTTCTCGCGCGAGGGTGGATGTCATTAAAATTTAGGATGCCTAGAATAAAATGGACATCAAGGTGGACAAAGGGAGAGAGAGCATTCCGAAGAGCGAAAAGAGGAAACGAAATTTGGGAGGATCCGGAGTTACTTGGAAGGCAAGGGAACTAAAATAATATGGTTTGGAGGAGAACCAGAGATGAATGAATCAGTCTCTTTTCCTTCTGCCACTTATGTATGCGTGACGAAAAAGACGACAAAAGAGAAAAACTTGGACAAAAGTCATGAGGATGAATGATGCCCACCAGTATCCGTTTGCGCTGAAGAGATCGGTATTGTATTCCAGTCTACTAAATATTCCCCGTCGCTCTAGTGAAAAAGAAAAAAAGAAACAAGATATGCACCAGATCTAGTCCCGTCCCCCGCATCAACCCTCCTCCTCTTCTCTTCATATCGCCCCTCCCTCGACGTGCTCCTCTTTCTCCGTCCATGGTGTCTCCCATCCCGCGACCCATCCCTCCGCCCCGCCGGTGAACGGCTTCTCCTCCTTCTCCTCTCGCCACCAGCCCCGTCATCGTCCCGGCCTCCCCGCCCGTCTCTCGACGACCCCGCCGCGGGCGGTCTTCGCGCCTATCCCTATCCTTCTCCCGACTCCGGTTCCTCGGACCCTTATCCCTCTCCCCATCATCTCCTCGCCTCCTCGCGTAATTATCCCGTTCCCGATCTCGATCCCCATCCCTCCGCCGATCACGATCATCGTCTCTCTCTCTCTCCCCACCTCGTTTCCTATCCCTCGCATCATCCCCATCCCTCGCATCGTCCCGCCCCGCCCCCACCCCCTCCCTCGGCCGTTCCCTCCTATCCCCCAACGGAATAGCATTCGCCCCCTTCGCCCCATCACCCCCTCCAATCCCTCTCGCTATCCGGCCGAAACCTCTCATCTCCGCCGCTAAACCCCCGCCAAGACCACCGCCCCCGCACCACCCGCACCGCCCCTTGGCCTCCTATCAAAATCCCCCACGCCCCCGTATCCTCCGCCCGAAGATCCTTGTACCGCGTCGCCCCCTTCTTGCCCAGCTTCGTCATGTCCCGCCGCTGCATATACTCGGGCAGCGTCGACCGGTCCATCTCGTCGGCGAACCGCGCGCCCGCCAAATCTCGCTTGTCCAGCCCCGCCGCCGCCGCTTCCTCGCGGTAAAACGCGCCCCGTGGAAGTACTTTTGCATGTAGCCCAGCTTTCCGCGCCCTTCCTTCTCGACCCGCTGCGCTTCGAGCTTCGCGTCGTCCTCGGCCCGCCGCTCCTCCTCCGTCAGGTTCCGCCTCCTCTCGAGCTCCTCAATCTCCCTTTCCCGCTCGAGCATCGCTTCTCGGTCCCGCTTGTACCGCTTCAGCTTCCTCAGCCGGAACGCGGCCAGCTCGGCGGCGGGGTCCAGGTCATCCGTGTCGTCCACGTCAATCTGCTCGCCCTCGGCACCAGAATCGTCGTCCCAGTGGTTCTTGCCTGCCGCTCGCGCCGCCATGTCCTTTTGGATCTGTTCTTCGACTAATTCGTGGGCTTCGGCCTTTTTCCGCGCCTCCTCCTCCGCGTCCTTTTCAGCCTCCGTCTTTTCCCCTTTACCGCGTTGGCTCTTGGGGATAAACTTTGGTCGCAGCATCAGTCGTGGCCGCTCTTCTTCGCTTTCCTCCTCGCTCGATTCTTCTTCTTCTTCACTTGATTCCTCTTCGCTCTCCTCCTCTTCTTCCTCGTCTCGTTTCGCGGGTTTCGGCGCAGCCACCTCCTCCTCGCTTTCCGTGATGAATCCGGCGTCGGCCGCCATCCTCTCCATGGCTTCCCGCTCCTCTTTCTTCTCTTTCCTAGCCGCCTCGTCCGTCTTGCTTAAGTCGACTCCCCTCATCGCCCCCGAAATTCCCTTTGCGCTAATGGCCTTTGGCGGCGGCGCTCTCCCCTGGGGCTTCTTCTTATCGTGAGTGGCAGCCGGAGCCTGCTCATCCTCGCTGGAATCTTCTTCGCTCGATGACTCCGAGTCAACTCCGCCGGCCGGCTTCCCAGGCCGATGGCGCGCCGGCCGGACGGGGTTCGCCGTCATTCGCTTCGGCGGCATGATGTGCGTTAGGGAAAAGAAAAAAGAACTAGCACGGTGCGCATTAGTATATATTCATTCAAGATGGAGACAGGCCACTTTCGGCGTAGAGAGCTGCGCACGAATTCAAGATTCGCAGGGGGAAAGGGGTGGGACGAGGGCGAGTGTGCGACTGTGAAAAGGGAGCTCCGTACCAGAGAGAGGTTAAGGAGAATTAGTAGGTAACAGTCGTGTAATCCGTGATTCCGTTGCCAGGGGAAAGAAAAGAAAAAAGGAGTTCGAGTTGATTGATTGAAAATCTCTACATCCGCCCCTCAAGTGAAGTTGTGTCGTCGTTGGGGTAAAGGGCGTCGGTGGGAGAATATGCGTTGCTGCACCATTCGCTCTTGGCTTGTGAGGCTCTGATGTGAGGTTGAGGTTGGTCGAGCTGCAGCTTCCTCAATGCGCCATGAGAAAAGTCGCGGGGTGCAAGTTCGATTCAATCTGCCGCGTCCCACCGCCCACCACCAGACGCAGCTTTAGCAACCAACACTAACACTCCTTGGATTATTATCGCTATTATTATTACAGCAAAGACAACTTGAAGATCCAGAACTGAACTACGCAATGGACTTATAGCTCTGGACCCCTCCACCTCGTTAGATCTCATGCGGTAAAAGTCAGGCACATCACGTTCTAAACAGCTGGGCCTTCAAAAATCTTTTCTTATCATCTATGCCGTGTATCCGTGCTCGATGCTAATTGAAGTACCGATGTAAACGATCAATAGAAAAAGGACAATTAAATCAATCCCCAGGAAAGGGTGGCGTGCTGCGAGGCACTCATGTACGACGCCCCCATCAAGATCCCAAAATATGAAACCCCAGCTCTCTGTCCATAACATCCCTAATGAATGAAATGGTGGTCTAGAGGTCTAAATAACGCCTCAAAACGCCTTCATAGTTGTTGATGGGGTGGGGAGCGCACAGCTCACCAACCTTGGAAAGCTGGCCGATCCAGCTAGTCCATTCCCCTTGCCAGATAACAATGACATTGGTTGCAAACCATGATTGCCAAATGCAAATGCAATATCGTAGACGCCTTCACCTCGATGTCGCTTTCCCCCCCTCCTCTACCCTCCTCTCATCACAGACCTGAGCTTTAGGAAGCAGTCAAAAAAATAAAAACAAAAAGAAGAAGTCCACGTTCATGTAAGCGGTATGCGCTTGGAAAACGTAGTGTATGGGTATCATCAAGTCCTCAAAAAGAATAAGACAGAGCAGCCGCCAAACACGACATAAAGGAGACATGTATACCCCCAATTTGGGTACGGGGTACGACAGCTTGACCGCCATGGTGACCAAGATGCAAGGCCATCCAGTCCGAAAATTAGGACAAACGCGCCAAAAACGATGCAAGATAGGGAAAAGGGTGAGACCGAGGGACAAGGCAGGCGGCAAATCAGCCAAGTGTCTGACTTAGGCAGGCCTGCACAGACGGGTAAAGAAAGCAAGCCTCTTTTGTTCAGAGTCAGACGGCTGGTTGCTCATTAAGCTCGCCACCAAGTGCGTCCATGTTTGCCAAGTCCCAGTCGTGGTCTCCCAAATCATCCCAGGCACCCTTGCGCGGCGTCATCATCGGCCATCCGCTTCCAAGGCACTTGTCCAGAATCGCGTCAATCTCCGCCTGGTCGCCAAAGGGATTAGCGATGGCCGCGCCCAAGCTGTGAAGCGACCCGTCAATATCGCCGTCAGGAAGCGCTTCGAGAGCCTTCATGCGCCGTTCCTCTCTGCATACTTGCTAGCCGACCCCGTGAACCGGGGCTTCGTCGGAGAGACGGGCTCTCCGCCATCAGAAGCCGCGTCCTCGGCGTGCGCGTCGGTGTCGTTTGCAAGAGTTCGAGTTGCGATAGGATCGGCGACGAGTGCACCGAACGATGGATTGACCGTGTGATACTTCTAGTAAGCGGTCGGTGGCTCGGCGTCGGTCGCGAAGGTGTTCGGAACTGGTTGCGCGTCGCTGACGAGCTCTCCTTGGGCGGTGGGGTCGAAGGGCGTGGAGGGTGCGCCATCGGGCTCCTAGGCCCTCCAAAAGAGCATCCAAGTCATCGTCGTCCTCGACCGAGCCGCAGTAGCCTCCTCCAGTTATGGTCTCATCCTCTTCGCCAACTTCTTTGTTGTCTCCCATCTCGCCACCGTCCTCACCATCGCCGGCAGCCGGCGTGACGATGTTACGCGAGACGGGGTGCAACGGGTCGCGGTGGGTCCCACTCTTGTGTCTGGGTGATGGGAATAGCAACCTCCGCGTGGAACCGAGCTGATCTTCGTCATGATCAAGAGCGATGGGGCTGTTAGCCGTCCCCGTCCCACGCGTGGCTGTTGACCCAGCATTCGAAAAACCCGACCGTCCCGATGCTGTTGTTTGTTGCGCGTGCTCCACCCTGTGCCCGTTAAACTCGTGCGAGTTAGCCGTCTCCAGGAGCGATGCAAAGTGATCCATTGGGATCGCTTCCCCTTCGTTTGCGCCAGCCTCATCGGCAAGGGGCGCCGTGACCGCGTCCGTGCCGGGAAAGTTGTCTGGCCCAAGCCCATCCGTGCCAAATGCATCCGTACCAAATGCGTCCGTCGCGAGATCGTCCGTCGGGGGAAGCAGGCCTCCGAGGTGAGGGGAGGGACTGTGCCGCCACGTGACGAATCCCTGGCCCCCGCCCTCTTCTCGTGCGCACGGGATTGCGCCCCGTCCCTCGCTTGCGTCTTTCTTGTCCGAGCCTCTCCGGGTCCTTCTCCCACCTCTCGGGGGTCGGTGCTTGTTGTTCTTTGACAGCCAAATACCGCAGGCTACACGAGTGTCAGTAAAGCTAGGTAAGGGTACTACAATCGGCTTTTCTCAGGTTAGCCACGCAGGAGCCGTCCACTTACGATTGCACAAGAGCTTTTCCGTCCACAAGCTCTTGTCATCCTCCGGCCCCAGTGACTTCTTAATCAGCCTATAGCTGGCTGGACGGCCGACCCCATCACGGCTCGTAATTTCAATCGCCGTCACGCATCCTGGCTTCTCCGAATACTCAACATACTCGGGAACACCGACACACTCGCGCGAGCTAATCTTCCGCCAAGTCGGAGTCTCGATGGCGCCGCAATTCGCGCAGAATGGTGGCATTTCTCCGTTCGCGATTGCCCTCTCCAACCGCTCCTTGATCGATTGCTTCTTCACATAATTCTTATTATTCTTCTGCGGGGAGATGTTGGGGGCGGAGGGACAATCGAGTCGCTGGGCGGGCAGGGTGCTTCCGAAAACGACGTGGTATTTAAGCTAGGAAGGGGTCTGTGGGCGGGACCAACTGGATCACTTGCGGGAATGGTGGGTAGAGAGAGGGGCATTGGCAGATCGTGGAATGATGAAGCTTTGGCAAGTTGCGACGGCACACTAGGCTTGGTGGTGACCGACTTGAGCGCCGCCCCTCCGTCTCCTGTACTCGATGGCGCTGCGGCGGGCTCGTCCCGCACAGAAGGTAGAGGGAGAGCCAAGGGCCCCATCGAATGGGACCGGTTCAGCTGCCGAGAGGGAGGTGCCGGCATTGGCAACGTAGGCGCAGGGGCCGAGGGCGCTCTTGTTTCCTCCTGCGGAGTAGGAATTGGAGAAGGCGCCGCCACGATCGGCGCAGCCGGCGCGATAGAGGGTGTGGGAGTGGCGACAGTAGTCTCGGCGGGGGCGGTGGCAGGTGTCGGGGCTTGTGTCGGTGTCGGGGCTTGCGTTGGGGGCGCCGGGCTGGGGGCAAGATCGAGGTCCATGTCCGGAGCCTCTGTCGTCTGAACTACTGGGGTTGGGCTGTCTTCGGTGGGCTTCTCGGTGGCTGTGGTTTGGCCTTCGGGGACAATGAGAGCGGCTGGCGGTGGCTTCGATCCAGGCTGAGACCCTCGCCGGTCAGACTTGGAGCGCTGTTTCGGTATGGGCTGTCCGTCGGAGCCGGCTGTGTGAGACCACGAGTTGGAAATCCGCTCCCTCCCTGTTTTCAGGCTGAAGATGTGGATGGGAATCTTGGGCTCCTGGTCTTTCTGGCTAAGAGGCGGTACAGCACGGGCGGGAGCAGCCGCGTCGTTCATCTGGGCTACGGTGGAAGGGGCGTCAGTCGGGCACATTCCTGGGAGTCTAGCCTCCTCGAATTGGGCGGTCTCGTCCATACCACCACTCATGAAGCCAGAGTCCGGCTGAGGCATCGGGGGCAAGATCGGGCTCGATGGGGGCGGGCTTGATTGGATAAATCGCGAGGTCCGGGGGACAGGAGGCGACGAGCCGATATCCGCCCCACTATCATCCGAGTACGCCGCTGGTGTTACGGCAATAGAGGGCGACCGGCCGTCATCGCCGTTAGGTGGCGAGAACACAGACCGGGATTCGAGGAAAGACTGTCCGGCAGCTGGCAAGGAGCCCTGTTCCTGGCCTAGGTGGAAGGTCGTCGTCCTAGACCTGAACGAACTCCAGGGATTCTCTTGTCTGCGTTGGGAACCGGCGTGGGTGCTCGGGGATATCCTGGAGGTGACTACCAGCAGCAGGCCCTTCTCCACTCACGGAAAGGGGTCGGAAATTCCTCAGCGAGCCAGACGTGCTCGCCGCCACTCTGAGGGAATCAGGGTTTCCGGCAAAGGGAGCAGAAACCGAGACGTCACCAACGACTGTCGAGGCAATTCTCTTTTTGATGCCGGACCATCATCTCCATCCGTTCCATCCTCATAACCGGAAGTGTTCCCCTCAGTGGGTAACGGTCGTTTCCTCGGTCGTCCGCGGGGTCGTCCAGTAGGTTGTCGTTTCTTAGAAGCTCTCGAAGATGGCCTGGAAGGGGCCCGGGACGGTGCTCGCGCCGGAGCCACCTGAGAGATCGCCTCGTGGGTGATTGCAACAGGCTGTGGGTTGGGGGTTGCTGTTGGTAGTAGTGTTAAAGGAGATATCCTCCATGGGGATGGGGAGCCGACGGCGCCTTCATTTCCAAATTGGGGCATCCCAGCCATGAAATAATTCCACTCGCTAGTGGGCGTATGGACAGTGTCCATTCCTTGGGACATGCTCATGTTGAGCTGTGATGTTTGCAGTTGCAGCTGCTGTTGTTGCTGCTGTTGCTGTTGGCCCTGTTGTGGGCCAAATGACTGGATAGATGATTGCGAAAGCCGATGCTGATGCTGATGAGAACGGTCACCCGGTCTCACAATCCGGCTGTTCTGTACAAGCTTGAGCCTCACCTCAAGCGTCTCCTTGATTCCATTTCCAGAGAACAGAGCCAGCAAGTTCTTCGTCACGAGGCCAGTAACCATGCTAAGAGACTGACCGTTCGCGTTCTCCTTCTTGTTGGGGTCGAGCAACCAGGATAGGACGCCTTGCCCCACGAGCGGGGTATCGGGCTCGGAGTAGTCATATGCGTAAACTACGTAGTCGGTGTCGGAGCTTCCGATGAGCTCGGGGCTACATTGGATCACGGCATGCAAGCAGCGGCTAATATCAACCAGACCAATCGTCGTTTTCTCGTCGAGCGTAAGTGTCTGAGCCTGAATAACTTGGGGGTGCCTTGCGAGACACCTATCCTGGCTTTCCTTGTCGAATGTGTAATGGACCTTGACTGTGACGGCATGGCATTAGCATATAGCCCGACCGCTGATAAGTAGCCAATGCTCAGTAGACAAGGGATGGGCAGTTGAACTTACGCCCCATAGGCTTGAGCTGGAAGCCCAGCTCTTCGTTCCCGGCGGAACTCATCGTAGTCGATATTCCATTCGCCTCAGAAGGTCAGCCACAGAAGAGACGACCAACGGCCAAGCCGGCGGTTCCACAATGAGATTTAGGTTTCTATTCGGCTCTCGAAACCCCACAAAAATGACCCCCGAGGTAGGTGACCTAGTTGAGAGAAAGTCCAGGGAGGGGAGGGGGATCGAGGAGAAGTCGAGCGGAAACCAAAAGGACAAGTTGAGGAAAGGATACACGGCCCAATCCTAGCGGAGCGAGAAATCAAAGTCGGTCGTCCGGGAGAAGAGAGCAGGAAAAAGGAAAGAAACGCTATGCAGAAGACCGATGCAAGTCAAGGGCAAGGTGAGACAGAGTGCTGTCGGGAGTAAGAATTGTCGAGTGTCGGAAAAGCGAAGCGGGATGTATGAATGCGGTAGAGTAGGAATGCCTGAAGAGATGCGAATGTTGTAAAAAACCAAAGGAGAAGAAGAAAAAAATGTTGAAATTGCAAAATCAGTGTCAACGCTCGGTGGACGAGGGAATTCGGAGGTTTCTTGGTAGACGCGACGATGAAAAAGCTATGGTAAAATTGAGTGGCGGGTTGGGTGGGCGACGATGGTGCTTTGTCGCGTAAAGCACGGTCGCGTCAGAAGGCGTGTATTGAAAGTGGGTAGCGTGTTGCGTGGTGGATGTGGGTTAAAGTGGGTGGTGCTTAGACTTGTTTTGTGGCGGGCCAGGCAGGTTGTGCATTCCACTTTTTGTTGGAACTGTATTTTTTGTTATCGTACTAGCCGGTAATAACCCAGCGGACCCAGTACATCAATACATGTAGATACTGGTCCAATTGGTTCTATTGAGGGTGTGTCCGAGACAACTCAGGCGTGGCAGGCCAGAGCAGGCCAGAACCGCCAATTGATCAATTGATGCGCGTCAAGTGCTGTGACGAAATCGCAACCCGCTCCTTCCTACCCTCGATCAAAGTGAGGAGAGGAGAGAAGACAAGGAAGACTGGAAAATGTTGGGACACCAGTCGCTCAGTGCCAGCGAAAAGGTTAGTTGAACCGCCGGGCTCCCTTATCTTTTGAATGGAATTTAGCGGTGTCGGACGGTACAACTGCTGCTTTCCCCAGACAAGAAGGCGGTAGAGGATAGGATCCTGCTTTGCATGAAATTTGAGCGCGGCCGCTGCAGGCGTCGGAGTTAGGCCAGGGTTTCTATGAACGGGGGCCTATCAGGGGGATCGCGCCGTCGTCAATTGCGCTTTCGAGGCCGCTTCAGTGGGGCCTTGCGTGCTGCGTGGCGCCGTCTCGATCAATGGACCTTCACGGTTCCGAGGTGGCAAGTCAAGGGTATGATTAGGTGGCACGGGCAAATGGTTGGGGAGACCTGATTGTTGCAGCAACCCAGCGAAGGACCCTTGCTGAACTGTGCTGCCAGTGCAAATGAGATGTGGGGAAGCCGTGCTGCTGCTCCTCGAATCCATCCATGGACAGGTCGATGGATCAAGGAGTAATGAGGTGCCACCTTCTGGCGACCCTGACTAGAGTGCAAGCAGGACAGCCACTGACACGCCAAAACACGTGAAATTTCCAGGATGCTCTCAAGGTTCCGCGCCACCAAGCAAGATGGGGTGCCACAGGTCTCTCGTTAAAATCTCGGGTTAACCAGCGCTGGGTCGTCCACCCGGCTTTTTTGTTTGCAGAGGCGTCGCACGTAATTGGGCGTGCTCCAATGTGGGGCGCAGCTCGCCCGGGTGGAACTGGTATAAGTGCAGGCAGGTGCGTCTCCCGGGTCTGTTGAACCTCCAACTCGGATGTGGGCCCTTGGGGAGCCGGACCTTCCTTCCCAAGAAGTCGACACCAAACAAGCTTGATCGAACGGGCCTCCCAAGTCTTTATCGCCGGGGCCTCCGGACGGCTCTCAGTCTTGAGCTTGAAACGAGCCACGGGATGAGGGAGAAAACGAGGGGTTTTTGTGTCAAAGAGGAAAGCGAGGGAGAGTTTCCGTTCCGCGGCCCTCGGCGGGGGCCTACCGCCTTTTTATAGTTCCCCATAGAAAGGTCATCTCGCCCTTTCCTATGAAGCCATCTCCAATATCCAGGTCGCCCCGCCCCCCTTCCCCAGATCATCGGGGTCCTTTTCAACACTTTCGAGGTTTCCTCTGTCGATATTCTAGGCTCCCACCCATTCATTTCGATATTTCCTTCCCCGTTGCTCGACCCTGCCCCAGACCGCTCCTCCCTCATGTACGAAATTGTCGCCATCAACTCTCCTCCCCTCTTTCCCTCTTTCCCTCGCATTTCCCCCAGCCTGGTTTCCCCACCCTCAGCTCCCAACAACGCAAACCCATCCCACCAGCACAGTGCTCAAGCTATCTTCCTCCCAACCACGCTCGTAAGCCGCACATTCTCGAGGCTTTTTAGCCACTTCCATGCGTCCGCCTTGCCGCGACCAAGAAATTTTTGTCACTATTCCCATCCACGTAGATTTATTCTTATTGGTCAGCACCATCACGAACCCGTTCTCGGTAGCCACCACCAACACAGCGCCGTTTTACATCATTCCACCCCCACCATCACACAACAAGTTGCTTGGCCACATCACCCCAACCATGCGGCTTTTTAACGCGTAAATTAAATTTCATCCGTGTCGTATGTAGTGCTGCCAGGTTGTGCATCCGTCCTTGTCTACCTGAGATCCATCTTCACATCGCGCCAGCGTCAGAAGTCAAGTTCTGCATCAAAAGAGTTGTGCATCAAAAGGCAAGAAAGGGTAAATGAATGCTGGTTCAAAATCCTGTTCCACGTTTCTTTTCTTACAGCCAACATCTATGATAGAAGAGATGATACATATGTCAAGAGAAATGATTACACATTGTCGAGCCGGGTCTTGGCCCCTCACGACCGACGAGCACCGAACCCTCTTTACGAGATCCACCTCGCCTTCCCCTTGTCATCCACGCTCGTCTTCCTGTTGAGGATCTCCGAAACCACAGCCCTGATGCCCTGCCTGCCCTTCCTCCTGTTGACAACCTCGGTCATGACCTCCTGTCTCGTCCTACCCGCGACACCACCCGAAAGCACCACTTCCTCAATCTCCTTCTCCGAGGGCACGCTGAAGACGAGGTGGGGGTATTCCGAGTAATCCCTATCATTGAGAAGCGCCAGCTTGTCCTCCGCCTTGAAATCGGCAAAGTTGAAGAAGGGCGTCGTCACGTTCTCGCCCGTCTCGGCCAACTTCTCGAGCGACGCAGGCTGCCACTGAGGCGCCATCTTGCGGACGAGGAGCGCCGTCACGCCCTCGGTGAAATCGGGGTGCTGCATGAACTTGGAAGCGATGGCGTGCTCGCGCTTGAACGTCTCGGCGATGCTCCACTTGCCACCGACGCGCATCTGGCGGAGGGTGACGTGCACCGAGGTAGGCGACCGCTTGTGCAGCGTCTCGAGGGTGCGAGTAGCCCACTCCTTGGTAGCTCCTTGTTCCGCTTCGAGGGCGTTGATGATCTCGTCGACGGTATCGTAGCGGAAGCAACGGTCGATGGCTTCGCGAAGCTCGCCACGGATGTGCATGGGCTCATCGTGGGGCATGCCGCTGGCGAATTCCTCAATGGCATCGTTGATAAGGCTAAGCCGGGTCGCGAGCGTATCGTAGTCACGGAAACGAAGCTCGCCGAGGCGGGTCTCGAGGTCGAGGAGGCTGGTGGAGTGGATGTAGTGCGTAGCGACGCCGGAGTAGAACACGTTGGCACCGTGGAGCCTGTCGGACGTAAGGGCAAGGTAGGTTCCAACGAAACCATTCATCCGGGGTAGGAAGAAGGAGGCGCCCACGTCGGGGAAAAATCCAATGGTCGTCTCGGGCATGGCGAACACAGTCCTCTCCGTCGCTATCCGGAAAGGCGCGTGGATGCTAAGGCCCACACCGCCGCCCATGGTGATACCATCCAAAAACGCGACATAGGGCTTCTGATAGGTAGAGATATAATGATCAAGCTTATATTCGAGACCAAAGTACTTGGCCGATTCCCTCCATCCTCCGGGGTCTGGTTGACCTCTGCAAGGGCGGCAACGTCACCGCCAGCGCAGAAAGCTTTTGCCCAGCACCCTTCATGACGACCACGTTGGCCATATCCGACTTTTCCCATTCAATCAAGCGAGGAAGGATCTTTCGAATCATCGACGAGTTGAGCGAGTTAAGCTTCTTCGGTCGGTTAAGCTCAATCGTGCGGAGGCCAGCCTTGGCGGTAACGACGACGTCGTCGGCCTCGTCCTCGGGACGCGGCCGCAGCTCTTCGGCAAGATCCATACCGGCCTATCATGCCACCCGTTTTTGTTAGCCAAGCTCTCTCTCCTCTCCACATTCGTCCAAAGACGACCACGATGCTCCGAGAGAGAAGGGTAAAAAAATAAAAATAAAAAAGAATGCAAGAACACACGCGCGCGACGTACCTGTGCCCTCGTAGTAAACGCCCTCTCGTCAAGTTTCGCCCTGAGCGGCATCGTGATAATCGCACTTCGACAGCTGAGGCTAGATGAGCTCGAGAGACGCGCCGCCGATCCAGCTCTGCACGCAATTGACTTGAACATCGGGAAAGAAGAGAAAAGAAAAAGAAGAAAAAGGAGGGAAAGGAGAAAAAGAAGAGAGAGGGATGGTAGGGACGGCCCCCTTTTTTAGGTTCGCGATCGTCGTAAGGTGGTATGTGGCGGATAGCGTCCCCTCTCCTTAGTGAAGCTCTCTCGTGCTACTAGGACCGCTATTCCTCGTTTCGGACTCGATTCAGAAAGCCTCGGCAATTTCGGGTAACGCGTGGATTACGATCGGTCTCGAGCGGGGAAGTGCAGGATCGAAGCAAAAATCGTTGCAAAGAGGGCTTAGTCCGATCTGCGCTGGTAAGCAGAGCTGGTTGGGTGTAATGGAGTTCTTCACCGCAGAAAAGCGAACGGGGAGAGAAAAGAAAAATGTTTCTTTTTCTTGCAAAGTCCCCTATCGCTGCTCCTCTCGCGCGCTGTGCTGAATGGCGCGGAAATTTTTCATGAATCTGGTGAGCCGAGAATAGCCCGCAGCTGTCGCCAGCTCTCCAATGAGGGAGCTCGAGGAGGTTGCAACTGTCAGGCGGATTTCTCCAGCTGCTTTTTCGCTTCCAAGTACCCCGGTACCTTGACGACCGCAAGGCTACCAGCCAATCACACCGCCCTCCCACAAACACCCATCCCCATCCCAGAAGGTTCAAAATCGCGACTCGAGAGTGTGGTCGATATTCGAATCGTCCTAAACACCCCACGCCTACCCAACATCCTCCCTCGCAACTGTCTCTCTCTCTCTCTCTCTCCGTCTCCGCCCGTCGAGCTCCGTCGCAAACATGTCCGATCCCAAGATCCAGTGCGCATCAACCCCGTTACCCCATCTTCCTTGATCAATCGTTGCTAACCACCCCGCCTTGCCAGAGAACTCCTCACCAAGCCTCGCAACGAGCTCACGTATGACCCCTCCCCCTTTCCTACTAGAACCTTACCGTCATGTAGAAAGCAAAAAAACAAAGGACACCCTAACACCTCCCCCACAGTGAATACGAAATCGCCCAGCTCGAAGAGCACGAGTTCTCCGCCGGCCCCCTCTCCATCCTCCAGACCGCCGTCCGCTCCCACACCCAGGTCCTCATCTCCATCCGCAACAACCGCAAGCTCCTCGCCCGCGTCAAGGCCTTTGACCGTCACTGCAACATGGTGCTCGAAAACGTCAAGGAGATGTGGACGGAAACTCCGCGGTCAGCCAACGGCAAGAAGGGGAGGCCCGTGAACAAGGATAGGTTCATCAGCAAGATGTGCGTAGCCGCTTGCCCCCCTTGTTCTCGTTTCCTTTTTTTAGTGTTTTCCGTCAAACCCCCGTTTCCATCAACCCTTCCTCGTGTCATGGCCTACTTTTTCCCTCAAGCTCTCGGTCCTCAGCAGGCCACGGGGTCGGTCCCCTAGAAGAAGGAGCCCGCAGTCTTATATCCCTTTTGACGAAGCTGCCCGAATCCCCCAACGTTGCCTAAACACCCCAACTCATCCACCACGCACCGAGGATAAGAGCTGACTCGTTTCCCATACAGGTTCCTCCGAGGCGATAGCGTTGTCCTCGTCCTTCTCAGCTAAACACATGATTATCACGTCTACAAATGCAAAAGCTCGATTCAATAACCCGAAGCAATACATTGGGTGGTTCCAACAGTAACAGTCGTCGCCACGTATCCTCGCCAACAAAGCAGCCGGCGAGGATGGCCGGTGGGCAAAAAAGAAATGGGTGGTCCCGGGTGACAAGGAGTAAATGGCGGGGGCGTGTGGTCAATCTTTTTTTTTTTTCAGGAGAGCTCAACAACCCAGCAGGCAGAAATCAAGTATGCCGGTCTACTGGCGCAGGTCTACTACGGTCAGGTCCAGATAAAATGGGATAGAATCGTGGGCATTTGCTCCGACCTGAGGAACCTTCTCAGTTGTGATAAGGCTTTCAAGTCCCGAGAGGGTACAGATAACGGTTACGTTAGATCAAGAACGGCAGTGCGACTCGTTCTGCCTCCTTTGAGGAGGAAAAGGCCATTTTTTGGGTTGAAATAAAAAAGGAAAGCATGCTTATGAATTGAATCGGCAGACAAAGGCCCCAAAACCTTTACAACTAATGAAAGAAATTTATGCCCAAAACCAAAACAGACTCGTTCCCAACTACCCAGTGATATCATAAGGCATTTTTAGTAATCCCCTCTCAAGTGGAGAAGGGCGGGTTCTTCCTAGACCAAGTTCCCCCCTCCTCCCCCACGCGCTCATATCCTCCTCTTTAATTATTATCTCTCTCATATTCATACCGCCTCCCAACCCTCTTCCTGAGGATCCGATCCCGCAAGACCCGAGAAAAGCAGGCCAGGCCCCACGCGCCTGGGTCAGGAACCTTTGGTAGCCGTCACCGCCAACATACACGGAGCGGCCTAGACCAGGTAGCATACCCTTGGTGCGTTCAGCACCCAGCCTAGCCCCTCGGCTGCCTTTCCAGAATCCCCAGTTTTGCCCAGGACCTCGACGAATGGGTAGAGGGCATCAACGAGAGTGCGGTCACCGGGACGTGCCGGAGTGTACTTCCCGAGAGCATCAGCACTGCTCTGAAGGGCGGCAGCCCAAACGTTGGCAGTGGCTCTTCCAGGTCCCTGGCGTCGGAGGGCGTGCACTAGGGCGTTGAGGAAGATGGAGAAGAGGGCGCCCGAGGTGCCGTCCATCGTGTTCTCAATAACGGGGACGATATTAGCAACATCGACGACCACATCTCCCGTGAAAGGATTCGCGGCAAGATGGCTCAAAACACCTGTAGAGAGTGATGGTTAGACAGTGTCGCTTGAAACCAAGCATGTACGAGATGATTTGCGACAACATACCTTCAGCGCCGCGCTTTAGACCAGTACCGCAGTCTCCGTCGCCAACAATAGTGTCATACTTGGTAATCTCAGGCTCAGCCGAAATCAACCTCTCAAGAGCCTTGGTTAGCGCCGCGGTAGCAACGGCGGTATCCCACTTGAGGCCGCTGTCCTTGATGGCCTTTTGTTCGTTGACAGTATCAGACCTCTCGGCGGTATTCTTTTCCTCCCACGTCTTCTTGCCAATGGGAGTCGACCAGCCAGTCGCCTCGCACGGGGCATCCAGAAGCTCGATCATGCCCGGGCCCCCGATATCAGTGTTTACAACATTGAGCAAAGTTATGCTGAACCCAAGTCCGTTTAAGCTCGTCATGAACGTGCCGCTCAGGATGCGGACCGGGCGAATGCTCCAGTTCTTCTCGAGTTGCTCTACAACCTCGGCCGTGATACCCGCCAGCTCAAGAACGCTCACACCTCCCAAGTTATTGACCAACAGGACAACCTCGTTCGAGTTGACGTGAAGGAAGTTTCTGTCGCTGTCGTTGGGGTCGAGCAATTGCGTGAGCATCCGGGCCACGAGCTCAGGAAACTCGATTTTGGCACGCCCGGAGCCGGCTTCGTTGTGAATACCCATACCTATCTCGACCTCGCCAATCTCGAGCTTATCCTCGGCGCTGTCGGTGATCGCCCTGCCGGGAACGTGGACGTGCTCCAGACTAGCGCCAACACTGACGAGGTTTTCAGCCGTCAGGCGAGCTACCTTGGCGACCTCGCTCAAGGGCCGTCCCAAGGCGGCGAGGGCGCCAGAAATCTTGTGGACCAAGACGGTTCCAGCAATGCCTCTCCGGCCTACCTTTCCACCCTTTTCCCTACCAACACCAACGTCGTCGGCGACAACTACCATTTCAACGTCAATGCCGGCCGCCCTCGCCTTTTCGACGGCAACGCCGAAGTTGAGCACGTCACCAGTATAATTCATTACAGTGACAAGAACGCCCCGCGAGGTGTCGACACGCGCCTGTACGCCAACCCGAATTTGCTCCGACGATGGCGAGGCAAAGATTGTTCCCGAAACCGCAGCTGAAAGCATGCCCTGGCCTACCATGGCGGCAAAGCTCGGCTCATGGCCAGCGCCACCGCCCGAGACAATGGAAACTTGCCGAGGAGCATGGCTGGGCCGGCGGTACACAATCTTATTCGTGGAGTCGAGGGCAAGAGAAGGATTCGTATAGACAAGACTGCGGAGTGCAGAATTGACGAGGTGGGTGGGATCGTTGATGAAGTGCTTGGAGGACATCTTGGAGGAGGAGGAAGAGAGTGTCAAGGGGAAAGAGAAACGAAGCCGACCGGGTGTTGGCTCTCTAAGCCTCGCGAGGGAAGAATTGAAAGCGTAGGAGGATCAATAGGAAGAATAGAGAGAAAGAGAGAGAGAGAGAGCTAATGGGCTGACGGATCCTGGAAGCGCAGGTATGCTCGAAGCTTCAATGACTTGACGAGAAAGAATTAAAAGCGAGAAGGAATGCCCGCGAGCTCAAAGGGGTAAATAATCCCGCCCTGCTTTGCGACTTGAGGAGGGAAGAGAGGGGGAGAGGGGGAAAAAGCCACCATTAACACGAGGCTTCAAGGGTTTTAGACGTGGGGTTATCAGTCGACTCGATGTTAGTGTCGCGCAAAGGGGAACAGTGGTCGCAAATGGGGAAAGGGGAGGGGGACCCTGGAGAGAGGTGATGTGGAGCTTGCTAAGATTGAGGCTCGACTCTATGTGGTTCAATGTTGTCGGAGTGAAAGTGAAAGCGACGAGTATCTCAGTAAAAGCATCGCCTGCGAATTCCCTTTCCTCTCCCCCTGTGGCTGCCGTCTCCCACGCTTCTCGGTCGCACTCCCGAGCGGCGGTAAATCATGAAGGAACGCGCTATGGCATTTGAAGCTACTGACGTTATTGGCCTCGCCATGCCGTTAGTCCCGATGACAAGTGTTAGTGATGTGGATACACCACCTCGCCTGCGAGTCGGCAGTTACATCTCCTTGGCCTTTTCGCCAGCAAAAATTCGGCTTGCAAAGCACCCCCATGGTTTTTTTATTAAAAAGAAGCAGCCATCACCCATTGGGGGTTCGCTTGAGGGTTTTCTCCGAATGGCGCACCCAACACTGGGAAGCCCAACTGAAAGAAGAAGAAGAAGAAGAAGAAAAAAACTTCGCAGTTCGGTTTCCCCAAATGCCGAATACCTGAAGCCGTGCGGAGTTTCCTCAGCCAACACCGAACGTCGACCCTGCTCCTGCCTAGGCTATACTTACACCAGAAAGCGAGCATGGGGCCTAGTGCGGGGTAAAAATTATTAAGGCAGGTGCTCTCTCCTTTTGTCGCCCCCTCAGGCGGGGAATTCGAGCACAAGAAAGGGAGCAGAGGTATTAAGCAACACATGTTGCCTCAAGCAAGAAATTCATGAGGATGACACAAGTTTGCCCATGAGCCACCCCTTCCACGGGTACGATCGACGAGTTGCATGCTCTTCGCCTTCCTCCCGAGAGCACATACTCCTGCATCGTGCTCTTCTTGTCATTTTTCTTGTTCAATCAGCAGCATGAGCCACGAATGAGCATTGCATGATCCCGCCGCTAGTCTTCTTTGGTAGCACAGAAAGACTTTGAGTGTATCTCAATTAGGAAAGAATAGGCGCTACTGACACCAATAAGTGAATGGCCCCGTTAAAGTGATGACAGCTCCAAAGGCGCTTCCAGATGCCAGTTTTCGATGTTGAGTGTCCACACACACAAAAAAACAATTTGCGCTCGAGGCATTGAGTCTATGGTATTGAGTCAGTGGTTTCAAGAGAAAACAGAGTAGAGAAGTCCAAAAACTAGCTTCGTGGGGGCCTCTCATTGATAGAATCTCGTTCATTGGACGATCACGAATCCATCAGGTGGTATCGGAGCCTTGAGGGGTTCCGTTCAACTAGCACGGAGCCCCTAGGATTCTAAGGCCTAAACTTCTCGAACCCTCGTCCGCTAGACTTGTTGCTTATTCCATCAAGGGGCCCCGAAGCGCATTCATCTCGCAGCCGGCGCGCCGACCGTTGGAAGGGGAAATGACCATTGCGGACTCGGCGCCGGTGCGCCCCTCCCGCCCCCGGAAGAGTGGGGAACGGATGTAGCTCCGCAATTATAACAAATTATTCACCCCGCCCAGACAGTTGCGACGGCATCGTAAACTTCTTGGATAATGGTTGGTGACTCGTCCGAGTTTGATATTAGTCTAAACAAATTGGTGAACGGTAGAAGGTCTGAGGAAGCAAACGCCGTGCTCCGTTACTTATCTTCGTACAGGAATAGGAATTCGATCCCAAAAAAAACAAAAAGTATTATTTCTACAACCTCGTGTCGTTATACATCCATACTCCGCTTCGGTTCCCTTTGTGGGACGGCAACCTAGTCCCCCCGATTAAGTTTAAGACAAAAGAAAAAAGAAACTGATGATATGAACAAGGAAAAAGAATGGTGCTTGGCAAAAGATGTGTCATGCCGTCCACCAGAAAGTAGAATGAGTGAAAGAGATAAGAGTTGCCTTGGTATACCTCGTGCTAACCAAATGACACGTCGTCAACGTTGCCATCTTCGGGGATATCGAGGTAGTTGGCGTTTAGGGGTCTCTGTTCAGCATATACGAGAAACGGTGCGAATTCTTTTTACGAAATCCGGGACATCTTGGTTGTTCCGGACGTAGTCGTAAACTGAAGTCTTGCGATCAAAACTAGGAAGGGGAGGGTCAGTACTTGGGCTCGACACTCTTCGAACCAGCAGAACCCAACTTACAAGTCAGTGCCGAATCGAACCCTCTGAAGAATCTTGGCAGGGTCCTTGAACTCGGGCTTGTTAAACTCTTGGTGAGAAAAGCTCTTCACCTTGCCCACCGTCTCCTCCATCGTGCTAAAGCAGTAGCTGCAATGCCACGCGCCGCGCTTGAAATGGTAATCGCCGGCGTGATGTCTCAATTCTTCCGGCTTGACCGTGTCGTTTCCCTTCCAGATCGTGGCCTGAGGGTGCATCCACTCTTCCCTCGAGAGCCACTGGAACGAGTAGTAGTAGAACTCGGAGTTGATGGTGATGCGCGGCGGGACCTCGCAGTTACGGAGGGCCTGAAGCACGGGAGGCTTGGGGATCTCGTCGACGTCGGACACCAAAAGGATGTCGTCTTCGTGAGGGGCCTGGTCCCCAGTCAGGAACGGTAGCACCTGGTTCACCATGGCGTTGCGTGAGAGTTTCTCGAGAACCCACGCGTTGTCGCCCTCCTTGACGCTGGAGAAGTCAACGGTCCGGCGGATCATCTTATCGTGATACTTGGAGAAGAGCTGCCAGTTCTCCTCGATGTAGAGCTTCTTGGGGATGCCGGAGAAGGAGCGGTCTGCTTCGAGAATGACAAAGTAGTCGACATAGGGATACATTTCTCCCAGGCGTATTTCGAGCATCTCGAGCTCCGTGTTGACGAGGAGTAGGTCATAGGTTTTGCGGCGCTCTATGCGTTCCGAGTCGAACGGCTTGAGCCTATACCTTGCGCAATAGTCCTCGCGCTCTTGCAAGTCGAAGACGCCCGAGGATACAGAGCCCTGCACTACAAAGCCCTCATTTTCGAAGGGTGACTTGTCCGGTCCCGTCTGGGTGATGGCAGGGTGAGCAGGCGGCAACTCGAAGCTGTTTTCCTCACTCAAGCGGAAGACGAGCCAGATGAAGACAAGTATGGCCACTCCCCGAGGACCTTGTTTCGGTTCACTGTCGCCGGAAGACTCATTTTTCTTTTCGTTGGAAACCTCCTCAAGTTCACTCGTCTTGTAAAAAAAAAATAAAAAAGGACGGGGCCAGATGAGGCTATGATCGAAGACAAGGTAAAGACTGGACCCTTCTCTATCAAGGAAAGAGGAGGGGAAATCAAGGGACGAAGGAGAGAAAGACGAATAGTGCGGGAGAAAGAGAGAGAGAGACAGCCCGGGTCAGCAACAAAACGAGGCCGTCGGGTTGAACTGAACAAAGGCCTGGGCCGCAAAACGAAGGAAGGGAAGAATGCGGGCAGGCGCTTGGAGTGGAAATGAAAATGAACGTGAAGGCTGCTAGAACCAGAGCAAACGGAAGGAGCCACCCCGGGTTAAACCAAAATGTCCACTGATAGCTGAAAGAGGCCAGAACAGGGAGGGAGAGACTCGACTGTTTCCCCCTATCGGCCCAAGCCCCGGTCCTCCCGGGGGTACTTACATGATACCGTCTTCACGTCCCAGGCGGTCAAAGGGGACGGTGGTACACGCTATTGGCAATTTTCCTTTTTCCTTATTCCCTCGCTCCAGCTTCGTCAGAAACTATGGTGCATCATGTACCAGTTGGGATAGCTTCCAAGACCACATATCATTTCTAGTGATCCAGGTTGCTACTACGAGGATTAGCACCTACGAAGTACTTCAGAAACTAATAGTGCGGACAACGTCACTCAATATAAGCGACAGTAGTCTTATCACGGCACGCACAGCTCTCGAAACCTGTCCCTAGCAAGGGAAGACACTGTTCGCATCTTGTATCCCAAATCGAGGAGACGCGAGTCCCAAAGATAAGTGGGCTCGAGAAAAAAGGAGACAGAAAGAAAGAAAAAGAAAAGAAGAAAAAGAAAAGAAGAAAAGTGAAAGAAGACAAAACCCACTTCCGGCAGTGCGGCCTCAGATGGCGAGGGACAAGGGTGTACACACGCAAGCTCTCTCACCCTTTGGGAATACGAGGGCAAACAGAAGAGGGCTTGCAGACTCACATATGCCTCTCGAGCCCCACCCCCGGCTTTGGGACTAGTGTCAAGGGCTACACCAGGCACCGGAAACTTACACCATGACACTCAGCTTCACCTCCCCCTTCTCCCTAATCCTGGCTTCTACTATTACTACAAGTCGGCAATAGCATGAGCCAGCCGCTCTCCTATAGGCGCACTTTTGAACCACTCTCCCACTCGCCTCCCCGATGACAAAACCCCAGCTGACGAGAGAGGGGCCCGGCCGAGCGAGGGACCCCGAGACCGGAAGGCAGCATGGGAGATGTGCACAGGTCCTGCCGAGACACCTTGCTTCAGAACAAAAACAAGAAAGAAGGCGATGGCCGTAATGGCGTTGGCGCATATTGATCCTCTTTTTTCAAGGGAGGACACGGATCCGAGGTGGTGGGCCGAGTTGGTCTTTGCAAGGCATTGTGTGTAATCCTGAGAAGGCTCTTTGCCGCCTCCCGAAGAGGAAATCGTAAGGAGACCAATGGCAGCAGGCATGCCGGGCCAAACACTGACGTCTCGAGGCAAGAAAGAAAAAGGGGGAGGGGGGAGGGAGGTCCTGCAGCCAATCCGGGAGAAGATTTGTGTCCACCGACCCATCTAGTACTTCGTACGAAGCAATAGGGTTGGGCTTCGTCCCATTTTGGGGGGTAGCGTAGAGAGGGCTGCCACGCGGCGGGAGTGGCTGGCGTGATTGTCGTTGGACCTGCATTAGAACCGACCGAGTTTCTTTTTTCTTTTTCCCTCCGTGTCCGAGATGGGCGTGTTACTAGGGGCTGAGTGGGACTATTACGATAAGCTTGCCTAGAGCCGGGGAATAAGTCCTCCGCCCTTCTGTAGCATCCAAACCGGAGCGCTTCGGGACGTGTGAACCATGCCCTCGTTCTTACCGTGGAACTTTCAAGGCAACGCCGCATGAACCTCCCCGCCAGTGTCAGTTGGAGACTCCCGACTAGAGTGAGATGGGATATCGCTCCAAGGAAAAGCAACGCGAAGAAAGGGCGTCTTTCTAGAGTAGGCGTTGGAGTACAAGCATAAGGTAGACGAGGTATTACCCTTTCACCTACCAGCTAGCGCAAACTAACAAGACAGCTACGCTGGATGGCGAGACTTGAATGATATCAGGTCTCAAGGCGCGTTGGACCCATGTTCAATAGTTTGGTTTTTTTCTTTTCTTTTGACGGACTGTGTATTTGCGTGGTGGGAAGTGGTTGAGTGGGTATCAGGGAGGAATACGAACTTGCAGGACCTGGAGGGCGCAAGCAGCATTGATCCATGAGCAATGTACGAAGTATCCCAAGGTTTGAAGCAACCTTTACGGCGCGGCGTTATTCCTCCACGCCCTCTCCCAATGCACCATGCCTGTTCAAAATCCTTTCCGAGCCCGGCCTCGAATTTCCCTTGGCCTTTGCCTCGCCGCCGTCTCTGGAATGCCGTGTTATTCAAAGGAATGCAGGGCCCTCAGTTGGCCAAAATCACATCACCCCCTCTCTTCCTTCTTTCAATCCGACATCCGACGGCCGATGGCCAACGTCGAGTGGTGGAATAGTTCAAACGTACAAAGTCCAAAGCAGAAGGAAGGAAAGTGGTCAACGGCTGAATCTAAACCCCCGTCCCCCATGCCGGCCTTTCCTCGTCTCCTTCTAGTCTACCATTTCCTCTTTGGAAGAGGCTGAACAGGCCAAGAAAAGAAAGAATGCAGAGCAAAAACGCTCGATCGGGCGTGGGGGTGACAAGTTTGAGGTGTCACGAACCGTCTTTTCTTTTTAAGCCAAGCACAGGTATGCAGCGGGCCATCCGGCGAATGATAAGGATCAATCTACGAAGTAGGAGTGCATCGGCCTTGGGCGGAACGTTGGAGAAAGGATCCACAGATAATGATGGATCAATAGGGTCAACTGGTGTCTCAGAAGAACATTTGAAAAGCAAACCGGCAGCCCTAGTTCGGTCGCTTATTCCCCACAGGGCTACACATTTGCTCATTGTGAGGACAGAGAAGGACTTCTAATGCACTACTGACGTTTTTAGTGTTGGTTGAGTCGAGGATCGGGGGCTATTGTCAAAGACATTTACTTCGTACTATTCCATTCCAGGCCCACCCCCTTGTTGGCTTGGGATGTGTTGGGCCAGCTTGGGCGAGCACCGATGATGTGGTCGATGAGCTCACCCACGGGGATGAAACCCAAGCTATCATTGGTGATGGGTGGCTTCTAGCCCCACGGAAGGGACTAATTTGAAGGGGGGCATGCACCTCATCGATCCTCCAGCTCCGAGACTATGTACTTGGTACCTGTCACCCCTGCCAATGCCAATGCCAATGCCATCCCATCGCGCGCTCCCGCGCACACTGCCACAGCCGTCAACCGTGTGCGGTGACGCGAGGGGCCAGGTCAGGCCAGGGGGCGATGGGACAAGAAACTTGATACGAGAACTCGACTAATACCGAGAATTCCAGCGTTATTTTCACCACCTATCACGCCCTGTTGAGATGAAATATTGGCATTCACGTCGGGAGGCTCACAAAACCGCGCACCGATGGCCGACTAGCGTATTTAGGAGACTGTCATTTCACTTGATGGGTATGCTGTTCTATTAATAGCAGGCTGGATTTCAATCCCAACTTTGATCAGCTAGCACTATTACCTGCTATCTTTTTGTGGAAAGAGTGTTGAAGAAAGGAAAAGAAAAGAGAGAGAGAAAGATAGAAGAAAAAGAAAAAAGAAAAAAAGAAATCCAGCCACCGTGGATTTTAAAAGGGCGAGTGAGGTCAAAATATCGACGAGAATGAAATCTCCGCTTCATGGTTGCAGGGATCCGCCGCCATTTTGACAGGGTTGGCCTCTGCTGGCTTCAGTCCCCCACGAAGATCAAGTGCGGCCTTCGGAGTGACTGGGAGGTCATCACGAAGTGGCTTGGCCTCCCTTCGTGCCTGTCTCACCCCGTCCCACTAACACCAACAGACGCTTGATTCACTCCTCGAATTAATGTGCCTCATATACCGTATACACTCGGCACCCATGCACGTCTTCTCTACCACTTCGCTCACAATTTCGTCAACCCATCAACATATCTATGCCGTAGTCAAGGGATGGCGGGCTGGTCGCGCCGGTGCGGTTGCCGCTCTCCCGATTCGGGATGGCTATCCGTCTCACTATCATCGATCCAATGATCGATTTCATCCAGCTCAAAGGGGAAAAGAGCAAAAGGAACATTGAACCCGTTGTGCCCCTCACCTCACCTCGATGGAACACCAAGCCTGAAGAGGGCATCGAGTCAAATAGTGCAGGGCTACTAGGATCCGAGCGCTCAGCTCCACGTTTCGATATCTATGGCAGGGATAATGACTGTCCCTTGCAGCTGGTAGTGGATCGGCTCTGCCCTCAGTCTCGGGTGTGATGGTCTCCACAATAACTTGATGATAATAGCTCTCCTTTGGGCTAAACATGGTTTTTGTTTGATGGAGGTGAGCAGTTTCATAGTGAGGGAGGGTGTGTACCGAGGTATGTGTACATGGGTTGCTGCGATGACATCTTGCTCGAAGCGCTTCTTGTGTATTAGATGATAAGCCTTTCGGCTGATCTACACTTGCTAATACACTCCTGCTCAACGTTCCATCAGTGCCAGCCTTGTACATCCTTGGCGGAATATGCTTGTGTCGATCTACTTCGTAGATAGGTTCTCGAGCTCTTCTTCAATCTCTACTCCCCGAGCCGACGCAAGGGTCCGGGCCTGGCGAATTCTCCTTGTCCCCTTTTTCCATCCTCCTCTCTCCATTTGGTGGTGGAGGATGTCGCGCCGTGCTGCTGATTTGTTCTACTCTTTGGTGTAAGCAGGGCCGCGGCGGAACCACCTGCAAGAATACACTGATAGTCCAAATGGGTTGACGCCACCTTGGCTCAAGGTGCCGTGCTTTTTCGTGGGAAGGACGTGCAACGATGCGGATATGAGGAAGGGAAAATCACGAATCGCACTGATATGTTAGAGCTGACACAACGTTTCAGATCAATGTTGGGCGCGATGACCTTTGCATCTAGAAACAACATAGGGAGAGACTCGCATAGATGCGATACTCGACAGCCATCAGTCACCCTAAATACGACTGACGCAGAACTTTTCTGATCCCTTTGGGAATGAGAGGGAGAGGGGAAACGAATAAAAAGGGAAAAAAACAAGTTCGTGAACTGGTTTCTCTCGAGACGATTTTGGCTCAGAGTGCTTGCAACCAAAAACATTTGCTGCCCTCGATCTTGAAATGGCCCGGAATGTGGCACATTTTCAACTCAATTTTGAACCCGCAATCTGAGAGCCCACTTCCGTGAAAGAGCCCCTCCACCCAGAGAAAGAAAAAGAAAAAGAAATAGGGAAAAAAAAAAAAAAAAAAACCGCCCATCTTCAGGACCAAGGAGGGAATCCTAAAAGAGCTGGCCGGTCACCTTTTCAATGTGATGAGAGTGTGAGAGCCTTCAAATTGCTCCCAATTTCCCTATCCAAAATCCAGGTCCCCATTGATGGACGAGAGGTGGCCTCTGGAGGACAGCCCCCAAAAGCCACATCCATCCAAATGGATGTATCGATTGAGCTACGGGTGGCTTCCTTCCCCTTTTAATGCAAGGTACCCGGATCTACAAGTGCAGTTGTGGTTGATGTTTTGATCAAATTGATCGAAGACCTGTTCGCCCAGATGCGTCTGTTACACAGAAAACGGCACCTTCACCTTTTCCCTAATGCCGAGACACCAAAAATGGCCACTTTGGAATCGGAAATGGAGTGGGGCATGAGTTATCGGGCCCCCGTTGAGCCAGGGAGGCTCTGATTCATGGGATGAATTGGGGGAGGGGAAAGGGTTTGGGTGCTTGAATGGGCAAGGCGCAGTTTTTGTTTAATACTCCGTTCTCCACTTTCGATCACTGTTTTCGCTGGGTCTTGGGCGGCATGGTAAGCTTAAAAGGGGATAAAAAAGAAGAGAGGGATGGGCCCATTGATAGGTTCAATGGAGACGAGCTTCGAGTTTGTCGCAGCGTCTGGACGAGAAACTCTTATTCACGCGTTTGTGCAGTAATAATGCGCATCACGGCGCTGTAGGAAGATCTACTAATGTAAAGTCATTATCGTGAGCCATTTCAATCCTGTTGCGGGATAATACAAGTAGATCAATGGATGGTGTATGGGTTTGGACGCGGCATCACATATTGAGGCTTCCTTCGACCCCTTTTCCCCCTTACCAAGCGGCATTCATTCTATGGTGCTGTGAAAGATGCCAAATTTGTCGCCAATCGCCAAAGAGCGGATGCTGGAATCCTTCCATCCTCGCCTCGCCATTGCATGATTCCTTCTACTGGCTTTGCCAACCCCGTTAAAACCACGGCCCCCACATCCGAGACTTCGCCTCAGTCCCAAGTTCTTGTGGTCAAGTCCCTGCCTAATCGTTGTTCAATAACAAGGCCCTTTCTGAATCTGAGCTGCTCACTGCAGTTCGGTTAATGGCTGACAACCGGGCCGGTAACTTTTTTCTGCCAAAACGCCTCTTTCTCTCTTTGGAACTTAACCCATGTGCATAACCCCCGCACGCGACAAGTACCTTGCTTGACGCTACCTCACCTCACTCCATGTACTATAATCGCTGGGTTCCCACCTTCCTCGTATTGACCCAATGGATCAATTGATTCCTCCCTTCTCCTTCCCTCACAACTAGCGTCGCCCGTTCTGCGATCCTTCCCTCTGTTCAACGTGCACAAGGCCGACAGGAGGGCTGATTTCCACATTAATCAGAACTTTTTGTTCACGCCTTAATCAACGTTCACCTCTGCGCCTACCTCCCCGCCCCAAACAGTAACTGTGTTTTTTTTTCTTCTTTTCTTTTGCTCTTCTTTTTGAGCGACGCAACCCATCGTGAACTTCTAGCGCCGATCTTTTTTCATCTGTTATTTCTCTTATTACCTTCTTTCTTTTTGTTGTTTGTCTCGTATCTCGAGTTGCATCTCGGGAGTGCTATTCCCACCAACTCGCCGAAATGACGAACCCATCGCTCCCCATCACGGAGAAGCCTACCGCTGGAGGCTTCTCCCTCCACCCTGGCTTCTATGTCCTGTACGAACTCCTCCCCCATCCGACCGTGATGAGCGATGTTTCCTGTCTCCTCGAGTCCTTGGTGCCCATGCGGGTCGGGCAAACCTCGATCGAGGTTTCGGGCCTGGCGACAACGCGGTTTCCGGTGCGCGATGCATTGCTGACGCCTCTGGTGATGTAGGAACTGGATGTTCTTCTCCAACATGACCATTCTGTTTAACAAATGGCTGATTGACACGGCCGGATTCAGTACGTCTGCCCACCTCTCTCTACTTGTCCCATGAGCCAACTTGGTGTCTTGTCACTAACGTTTTTTTCTCTAGAGTATCGTACGTATCGCATTGCCCCCGACTCGAAATATCATCTCTATCGATTGAATCATCCCCCTGTGCCGACGAAACCACTCGAAGCCTCGCAGAATATATCGCTAATCTGGTTCTTGATCTAGCCGTCCTCCTCACCTGCTGGCACTTGGTATTTGCGACACTCGCGACACAGATTCTTGCCAAGACGACGACCCTCGTCGATGGCCGAAAGAGGGTCAAGATGACGGGCCGGGTCTATCTTCGCGCTGTCGTGCCCATTGGTGTCCTCTACTCGGGGTCCCTTGTGTGCAGCAACCTCGTATACCTCTACCTCAATGTCGCCTTCATCCAGATGCTCAAAGCCGCCGCCCCTGTCGCCGTCCTCTTTATCAGCTGGGTGTGGGGCGTTGCCAATCCCACTCTCGAAAATGTCGTCAACGTTATCGGCATCGCCTTTGGTGTGTTCCTTGCCAGCGCTGGTGAAATCGATTTCTCGTGGATTGGCTTCGCTTTCCAATTTGGCGGCATCGTCTTCGAGGCCATGCGTCTTGTCATGATTCAGCTACTTCTCTCCGGGGACGACATGAAGATGGACCCCCTCGTCAGCCTGTACTACTACGCGCCTGTTTGTGCCGTGATGAACATCATTGTCGGTCTGTTCACCGAATTCCGCACCTTCCAGATTGCCCACCTCTGGGATACTGGCGTCTTTGTCCTCATTCTCAACGCCGGCGTCGCCTTCATGCTCAACGTTGCCAGTGTATTCCTCGTAAGTTTATCCGCTGCTTTTTGATGACGCTCTCTCTCCCTCCCTCCCCTCCCCTCTCACCAACAACGACGAACCCAAGTTTTGTGGGGATGTGGGCATGGTTACTAACCCCTTGTCCACAGATTGGCAAGACTTCTTCCCTCGTTCTTACCCTCGCCGGCATCCTGAAAGCGATCCTCCTTGTCGTCGCCTCCGTTATTATCTGGCAGACCACCATCACCCTCCTTCAATTCCTGGGCTATTCTATTGCCCTCTTCGGGCTCGTGTACTACTCCATCGGCTGGTCCCAAATCAAGACTCTGGGTGCCGGTGCTGCCGCTTGGTCTGCCAAGGTCTATTCTAACGGCTTTGGCGAAGCCACTGGCAACACGCGCATCAGGCGTGCTGTCACCATTGCCCTCGTTGTTCTGATCACGTTTATGCTTCTCATTGGGTTCTCGAGGCACTCATCCGAGCCCGGTGAGGGCGAGCGTCCCACCCAGTCCCCCGACTCGGAGGGCTGGGGCTTCAGCTGGATGTCCTATCTCGGGTGGTCCCAGTAAAGCCTTGATTTTTTTGTTCTTTTCCTTTTCTGCAAACATAACAAGGAGTTGTTTTAAATCGTTTTTTTGGCCCCATTTATTCCATCCCCACAACCTTGCCGACTTGAAATAGGCAGACATGTTCAGTCTGTCTCGACAAATATATTGTCTAATATTCTCTCTACAACTTTTTTTCTGTTCGGATCCTCCCCCAGTCGAATCGTCGTGGCCAATCTGGGTTACTTGTCGTTGCGATGCTACGCTTTCCTTCATTTGCGAGGTGGTAGTCGGTTGGGACCGGACGGACAACGGAAAATTTATTCCTCGGATGGGGTAAGCTTGTGCATCAATTGACTGGTGGGAACTCGTCTGAACCATGCGACACAAGAAGAGGCTAGTGGAGGGGCTTCCTCTCTTTTGGGAGCCCACATCATACAAATCGTCGAGGCTGAACATTGAGATGGCTTGGTGGTTAATAGCCCTTTGTCTCGAATCGGGAGTCTCCTACACGCTGAACGGCCCGCACTTGCAATGAATGGATGTCTCGCCCTTATCAGAGGTTCTGGAAAGAGTGGAAATGGATGGATCTATGGATAAAACGAAGGGGAATCGTCTCCCGAAATCATGTATTTTCAAAATAGGGCTGAAAGGCGCTGTGGTGTTTTTTTTTTTCTGTTCTCTTGTTCTATCTTGTTGTTTTTGGACCTTTTTTATGCAGCATGAACACTTTGCAGCTTTTGGAACACTGCAAGTCTATTTTGGCGGGCGAGCGTGGGCTTAATAGAGGGACCATTGATGAAAGAGGCGATGGGATTATACATGTATAGAGTCAAATGAAATCGATCGCAGTAGTTGGATGCAATTTTTAGTCTCGCAGTCCCATTTAAGGCTCACATCAACATAAATGTTCTGTCCCGGCCGCGATGAAGAATGAATGAGCACTGAAAAGCTCGGATTATGTGTTCCACCTCCTCGTGGCGTGAGGCTTGATGTAGTGGCGTCGCAGGTGAACTGGGTTGTTTTCTCTCCATGCACTTCCCGAGAACTCTTCTATTCTCATAAAGAGTTCCATGTTGAGTCCAATGACCGGTTTGGTGGCGCTGTTAGGCCCCCGGTCGTGGACATGTTGTCTCAGCCATTATTAGAATTTACGTCCTGCCTGGGTTTAGCGGGTTGGGTGTCCGAGCAGTTTTGTTCGCGGTGCAGGCTCCGCTGCCAAGACGGGAGGAGCCAGCCACCTCAACGAAAAGCCTGGCAGCCCTAGGGCGACAATCTTTGATCCAGATTGGGAGTTGGCGGATTACATCATCTCTCAACCTCACCTCCCTCCTGAGTCTTTTGCCTTGTGGATGGACAAATGTTGGACGGGGTTCTCGGGGGCCTAAGAATAGGGGAATGCGTTGCAATTGATCAATGTATTACAAAGGAAGAAAACATGGGGAAAAGTAAAAGGAGGCCGAAAAGAAGGGATAGAGCGAAAATGGACCAAAAGTGACAGAGGGACAATGCGAAAAGGCCAGGGTTTGAAGCCGGCGAGGGTGGAGAAACGGGCGGGCCTCCGCTCCGTAAGGGGCCCCACCCGACAACACAATAATGACGATTGGTTTCTCTGCGACTTGCTGCTTGTATGCCGTCATCTCGACGTCCGCGACTTCCCTCCCCTCGTTTTGTAGTCGCTTATCAGTTTAGCTCTACCTCGGTATGAAGCAGGACGAGAGAGAGCGCTGGGTAAAGGGAAGGGAAAAAAAAAAAAAAAAGCCTTGCAAAGAAGAATCCCGCTGGTTTCCAGCTGCTGCTGCACGTAAAAGAAATAAAAACAAGGGCCACAATTGAAAGCCGTAGACTGGAAGCCCCGCTATCTCTTTTTTAAGCTACGACTTATGACGGCAGGGTGAGCTTACGCCTCCAGGCCTGGAAATGGCGTATATTGGAAAAGACAATCGGCGGGAAGAGACCCTCCCCTCCTTGCTCTCCTTTTGTCGTACCCTGGATTGGCCAATGATCAAGCTTGCAAAGCTAAGGCGGCGGGGGTGCGCAAGTAGAAGTGGGCAAGGCCTGCGGGCGAGCGTGCGTCAGTGACTGGGGAAACATCAATTGAAAGCGGCCATGTCTCGGGGAGGGAGAAAGCTGGGTACAGGTCCCCTTTTTCCCGGTATCGCGTGAGAGATCATGAACTATTGTGGGCTTGTGAATACGTATATGGATCTGGGAAGACTTGAGGTAAGCAAGGGGGAAAGGTCACTAGACGTCTCTTTTAAAGCCGCAACAATCGCGGAAACGTAGACCTTGACATCCAACTTTCCTTCCACAAATCAATCTACACGATCGATATTTTCCAACCACCCTCACAACTCCCAAGTCCTTGCTATCGGAAAGTCCACATTTCCTAACAAATAACTCACATCAACCACAATCATGTCTGCTACCAGAGCCCAGTCCCTTCGCACCTTGACGAGGGCCCGCGCGCCCGTTCGCACCCGTGCCACCCAGTTTAAGCGCGGATACGCCAGCGAAAACCCCAATGTTAGCGGAGCGAGCGCTGGCGCCAACGATCCCACTCCTAAGAAAGGCTTCCCCTTGTGAGTTGAATCGACCCGCTAGGGACCTCGCAGTGACATATCAATGGGTGACACGAATAGAGGGACAGAGAGAGAGCAGCTTGACTGACCGCGCGTGATTCTTTGCGATATACAGCATCGCCGTAGGTGCTGCCGTCGGCATCCCCGCCATCGGTTGGTTTTTCTGGGGCAAGTCCAAGGATGAATCCTCGCCCTCGAGTACCGGCGAGAAGACACGCGGAGGGACATTCAACGAGGAGCCGAGCAGGAGCGTGCCCGACAAGCAAGCCAAGGGTAAAGAGGAGAAGCCCGCTTCCACCAAGGCGGTGGCACCCGATAACGAGCGTCTTGCTTCCGAGGTTTGTTTGCGACCCCAATCAACCCGAGACTGAAAGTAAAGAGTGGTAAAATGCTAACGATTCTTTTTTTCCCCTTGAAACAGAAAGCCGAAAAGTCAAACACATTGACTGGGACAAAGGCAAAATAAACGGCTCAAGAGGGCGCTAAGTCGAGATCGGAACAGAGTCGAAATGGGGAAGATAGAATTATAGCCTTCAAAAAGGCCTAATGTGTTTTTTTTGCGTTTCGGGAAGAATGATATTTCCCAGGTCTTGTATGATGATGTACATACTGGCGTGCGAGGATGCGGAATATCCGTAATGCTAGTTTTAGTCAAAATTGATATGAACTCTTTTAGACTAATCCTCCGTCCACATGTGCCCAGCCTCACTATATACGGTCCACGCGGAGCAAGTCTCTTAGTAGGTACGCGATGGAGCTATCAGGATTGAGTCTTGACTCGGGTTGTGCGTCGACAGTCGATCAATGCGCCATCTTGTAAGCTACATTCGAACCTTCTATATTCGGCGGGACTTAGTTGCACCTGCCCTGATATCGACTGATCCCGCTCCATGTCAAGGATTGCGAAAGGAAACCACGACCCGTGGCCCCATGGAGGTAGTACAAGCAGCGCGGGCTTGCACCGCCAACATTGTACGTAGCCGAATTGTTAAAGAGGGGTGTTGCGATCCATTACATTGATCCCTTCACTTCTAGTAAACCCTGTTGGCGTCCCATCATTTGACTAGCAAATCGCCTTTTCCCAGGATTGCTAGCCTATATCCCCTTTTCGATATCTTCACTTACACGGTGCTGAGGCTCGCTTTTTATTTTCTAACAATACTAGCTATAAGCCCAAAAGATGGCTCTCGTTGCCATTGTAGATTACCTCCAAGACGTACTCTCCCGGCTTCCTCAAGGCACCAACCGCCCGCCGTGGTCTCCTACGAGACTCCGCGTGCTTGCTTATACCTGCCCTTGCATGGTGTTCGCTCGCATCGACAATCGCCTCGACGATCTCGAGCTTGGCGGAGACGGACTCAGCACGCCCAACTGCGATGTCAACAGAGTCTGCGCTCTTTCTTGCTTCCATACTGTTTGCTGCTTCCTGTGCTGTTGTACGTGGCAAACAAACCCGCTCGCCATGTGCGCGGCTACCTGCATGGATTCGATATTCAGCGCTGACTATTTCGCAGTCTCGACCGGGAACGAACTCGTGTGGCAGCGGGAGCGAGCCCGAAATTTCGGCTTCCGGAGCGCGGAGCGGTTCGAGTATATCGAAGCTACTTTTAAACCCTTCAAGTTTCTCGTCAATAGCGAGGAAGGGGTCCATAGTCTCTGCGCCGAGCGAGCGAGGCGCCGCCGATTTTATGAGGGGTACAAGGCCAACGAGCCCATGCGGCTGCCCATGAGAGCCGGGTATGCCGATCCTCAAGGTACCCACGCCGTGGCTGCCGCCGTCGACATGTCCTCTGGTAGCCCATATGGAGGAACTTCGACCCTGGGCCCGCAAAATATGATGATGCCGTCTGGGCCCCTGCCGAGAATGCCGGGGTTTCCGGGAATGAACCAATTGCCAGGAATGCCTGGCTTGATTGGATCGCCCAGTGCCCTAAGAATCACGCCGGTTGGGCCAACCTTTCTTCCTCAAAAGGATGGTAGCTTGCGAGCAGGGGAGCCTTCGTGTCAGTCCAGAACAAGACTAGACGATATTGTAGAGGTGGAGAGCTCGAGGGCCAGCGAAAATACTCTGAGAACCTCTGGGTTTGCCCAAGAAGGCTCTAGAATGGCGACTGACCGGACTCAACCTACTGGCGAGAAGCTACCAGAAGTCCAAGTATCGGAAGCCCAAGCACGATATAGGCGCACCCCATCTTCTGCTGAGAGCTCCAAACGAGATATCCGTCCATGCGTCGTGGGGATTTCGTGGTCTAAGCCGCGGAAAAGCCGCGAGGCAAGTTCCCATACGATGAGGTCTCTTGTGAGGGAAGGATCTTTGGGCGCCGACGTCGGAGCCGCCCCTAGGAGTCGTGACTCGGCGCCTGTAGATCACCAGTCTTCCTTTTCAGAAAAGCCAGGCCTCCAGGCACCGACGGCGGTGCGGCATTTCAGTATGCGGGACGCCCGCCCACAATCGGCCAGCGAGACCTATGCGCCCGGCCACGTGGAACACGCCGATATACCGATCCAACCTACCTCGGCGGGTACCTGGCCGCGTGTGGCCCCGCGCATTGATGGACGAGACACGTCGTCGGGCCTAGCTCGAACTGATCAGGAGATGGCAGCCGTAATCCGGCAAAGGGAGGGTTTGATATCCGGATGTATAGTGCCAATCACAAGGTCGTGAAGACGGAAGGTCGGAGTCGCAGCACCAGTGGGGTCTCCTTCTTTTCCGTCGCCGAAGCATTGTAAGGCCTTTTTGGTTTGTGTAGTAGTTGCGAGCTGAGGGCTACAGGCTAGGAATGGTGATGGAATTGGTCCATAGGAAGAGGAGAGAACAAAGGTGAGCTTGCGTGCTGCCTCGAGATAGTGTTAACATAGTTTACATGTCATAGCTACATCAATGGTTATTCGTTTACTCAAAGGCTTGTCCCGTCTCCATCTTGATAGAAATTGCTCTACTGCCAGCAATTGATATTTTATACACCATGAGACTACCCCGCCTTGACGCGTAGACTGGGTAGATAGTCTTCAGGAAAAGGACCTGGCCCAAGAGGGGAGGATTGAAGAAGGTTGGGAATGCTTGATAACTAGTTTCTTCATGTTCCAACTCCACTGCCACAGTAATCGGAGGAAGCAAAGTAGATGTATATATCGATAAATACACGAGTGAGAGAAAATAGACGGGAGAAGAGGCCGCACAAGTCAGCATTCCAACGCAGGAGTCAAGAGACGAAGAGGAGTGGGGGAGGTAAAACGCCATCAGGCCCCCGAAGCCGAATCGATCCGCTCCTCTCCGACAAAAGTCCGGGCCCTGAACAGCGATCGAGCAAGGAACAAGGACAACATAGACACAAAGCAAAAAAGAAGAAGAAGGGCGCATCGTCCCTTGTCTAATATCGCGGCAACAGCCTCCGGGAGGGTGAGCGCCCGACTCTCATCCTATCCAATTCAACCCTTTGATTCGTACACACACGCTCCTCCTCCCGGTGCCAGCGTTGACCTGGAGCTGTCCCATCTCCTTATACCGACGAAACGTCACATTCAACCCGCGTCTATTATGCGGAGTAAGAGCGCTGGGGGAGGATGAAGAAGAGAAAAAGGGCGAGTTAGGCACTTGGAGGTAAAGAGGGCAAAAAAAAAAAAGTTGAACCTTTCAATTAAAGAAAAGAAAAATGAATAGATGAAGCTCGAGACTTGGCAAGAAACAAGTTAAAAAGAATAGTAATAAAAAGGAATCCTTGAACACCATCTTTTCCCCCGGGTTCTCCCTCCCCTAGCCGCGTGAGGGGGTATATGGGCGCTTTCCAGCAGAAGCAGCACAGTTACAAGTAGACGACAAAGGAAAATGGGAAGAAAAAAAAAGGAGTAGTTGGTTTGAAGAACACAAAAAAGAAAGTATAACCACAGGACCGCTTAATCGATCGTTCCGGGCGCGCGAACAACGGTGCAATGCGGTTGGGGTGTGTGTGAATGATCTAAGTAGTCGAGGATGCCTTGATGCAAGTTTCTCGTCGCAAATCTGACAAAAATTCTGGTCATGGGGAGAAAGGGCGGGTAACTAGGGCGGAAAGCAAGAGTGACCGAGGGAGGGGAGGGCTCAATAGCAGCTGTTCCATGTTTCCATTTTTTTCTTTTGTTCTTTTTTTTAGAGAGGATATAGGTATATGAGTTGATGCATAGTGTTTGTGATGCTAGGAATCTTGTTGATGCCGAGCTCCAGTGGCTCGTATAATGCCGTGACTTTCATCATCATTAGAGTGAGTCCGTTTGGTTTTATGTGAATGGTTGCGCGTGCGTGTGCGCGTGTTCGCCATCATGTGGCTCGCCCTCTCCTCCTCCTCCGGGCGCGACTCTAGAAGGGCAAACCATGACTCGACGCCGGGTCGTGAGTGTGCTCGGGAGAGAGCGCGGATGATGAGACTTTTGTTTCAGTTCCTATTGCAGGGATAGACATGACTATGGTTCATGCCACCAAGGCCAACTACCAGCGTGGGCCCGCAACGGACTCGAGCTGGAGGCCGGCAAGCAGGTTGGGTGAGTGACCTCACGGTTTCCCCTTCCCATTAGCAAGACTGATAGAGGAGAAGGGGTTCTCCAACGTTCTCGATCTCGGGGATCGTGCATTTGAGATCAAACGCCTTCGAGAGCACAATCTTGAAGATCTAAAGAAGAGAAAGACCACGTTAGCGACTTGTGTCCGACATGATGGCGCTAGAAGAGGGAATGTCAAGAACATGAGTCTACCAACCTTTTGAACATTGATGCTGTGGCTGGTGCTGCTAAAGATGAGCGCGGCACGCATGGCCTTGGCAAACCGCCGGGCCTAAAGACACGGAGTTAGCAGACATTCGGCTTGGCAAAGGTCTCTTCTCCTCTTCCATGCATTGAAAGGCAGCAGGCGAAGAGTGACCATTATTAAAAAGCAAGTGGAAAAAGAACACGAGGTTATCAAGTTGAATTCTTACCTGGTTGGAGATTTCCTCCTGGTCCTCGCGGGGAAAGTTGACAAAGTGATCGTACTTGGTTCCAACTAAAATGGGGATAGCAGTCTTGTTGAACCCCCTCCCTTGGCGGTACCACTCCTTGATGCTGTTCAGGGTGCTCTTGCGCGTCAAGTCAAACATGAAGAGGATGGCGACCGCATCGTTGCACACGAGCGGCAACATGTTGACAAACTCGCGCTGGCCGCCAAGATCCCAAATGGAAAATGTGATTTCCGTATTCCGGATGCTAATCGTCTTCTCCATGAAGTTGACGCCGAGGGTTTGGATGTAATCCTCGTCCCAGCTGCCCTCGACGTACTTGACCATCAAGCTCGTCTTGCCAATCTGGGCGTCGCCCACCATGCCAACCTTGATCACGACGTGGTCGCGGCTCTTCTGCTCTGAAGGACCGGCAGAGCCCCGTGATTGGTAGTCGGCGGGGTAGCCCTGGACGTTGCGGTCGCCGCCGGCGGATAGGCGAGAGGCAGGCCGCGATATGTTGGCGGGCGCGAGGGGACTGGGGGCGTGGTGTAGCGATTCGGGGGTCCATGTCTTCGAGGCGGGGAGAATGGGAGAGGCCCTGGTCGAGGGACTGGCTGTGGTGGTGGTGATGGTGATGGCGGCTGTCGGCTCGTGGGTAGCCATTGTTCTGCGAGGGCCCGCCGATGTGAGGAGAGCCTTCGATTCCGCCGAGGGTGTCCTCGTGCGGATCGTGGGTCGGGGTGTGATCATGCTCCATGGTGTCCAGAGCGTCGTGGAACTGGGCCGGAGACCCGAATGATAACGTTGATGAATCCACGGTGGCGGAGTGGGTTGTCGAAGGAAGGAAGAGCGGAAGGGAGAGAGACAATGGGACAAAGGGTATAGGAGCTGTCTCGGACCTCGACGACCGGAGAAGAAAGGGCTTCGAAGAGGCGAGGAGAGGCTAGGCTAGGCTAGGCGATGAGTCCTCGGTTGGCGTCCAGGGAGTGGCCGTAGGCGATGGCCTCGTCCGGTACGTCTCTCGCAAAAAAAAGAAAACGAGGTTGTCGCGCACTTCTAGCAAGGGGAGGAAAGAAGCAAGGAATGTTAGCAAGGCACGCGAGGTGGAAACGAGACGCTGCAAGGAGGAAGGATGGCGACAGGAAAAGGTCTAGCAAGGGACAGTACCGAGTCAAGTCTGGGGAAGGGGGCGTGATAGTGAAAGGGGTGAAAGGAACCCCGGCTGAGGTGATGGACGAAGAATGGTGGGGTGGGGAGGGAGGGCCTAGCCGGGACTCAGCTTGACAGTTGGACTTTGGCTTGAGATCGGAGGTTCCTAACGTGTCGGGCATGGCAAAGCATGGCAGGGAGGGGAGGGGCGGGAATGGAATGGAGAAGGAGATGAGGTTGTGTGGAGATTGAGGAAAACGTACTAGGGGACAGGGCAGGAGGGCAGGAAGGCTGGTACTATACCGTTCTAGGCGCTGATGTTCGGCGTGGTCTCGATTGTTCCCTTTCTTTTGTCCGTTCGACGGAGCGTGTCGAGCGAGCGTGGCGCGAGTGGACCGCCTTCGTAGTGTCGTCGGCGACGTGCACGAAAAATGAACGGTCAAAGAGAGGTCGCGGTGGTGGTGTCTATGTCGAAGGAGGGATCGAAGCCTACCACGACATGGGTAGTGGTTCTACGTAAAGGACGTAAGGGGGGCGCTCCCACTAGAGGGGGTGTGTGGCTGATTTCGTCTTGGGTTGTACCAAAAGGCTCGACGGTCGGTTGGAGAAATAAGGGCAGGTCAATAGACGGAAGATGTGTCTATCGTCGTCTCGCCCTTTGTTAGGTTCTGCAGTCAACGAGGGTTGCAGGGGTTTGCTGAAGAAGAAGAAGAAAAACCGAAAAGAATCAAGCGTAATCTAGGCTTGGATGGGGTCGGTTGTGAGCCTCTGTGGGCGAGGGGGAAGGAATAGAGGGTCACTGGTAGTTGTCTAAACCTGAACTGTGAAGTCTGCACAAACACGTATCGTCGAAATTAAAGACCAAGCGTGGTTAAACGGTAGAAGTAGCCTAGATAACGGACTGTTTTTCACTGTACAGTGTGTAAGTTGAGGCATTACGGAAAAGGTGTGCTTGTGGGGGCCAGCCAAACAAGCCAAACCAACCAAAGCTACTAGTTGACGCCAGTGCAAGTAGTGCTCTCCACACTCAGTTCCTGGTTTGTAAACGGGCAAGATGGGCTATTCCTACTCAGTCCATGCCTCAATTGATCCACCCATGGCTCAATGCAATCGGTCCGCTTCCAGGGCCAAGGGAAAAGTGCAATTACGGAGGCTATAGCCACTGCGTAATGCAAGCCAGATGCTTCGATTGACCAATTCATGGTGGAGGGCACTGGAATGCATCTTTCGCAATCTAGCCGCCTTACTTCATCTCCGTTAGCGCAATGATGTGCCCGGGACCCGACGACAATTCATCCATGGCCGTCATCGGGTGCGTTAGAGGAAGAGAGGACCTAGGATAAAGGAAGATATCAGGGTACGGTATCTAGAACATTTGAGACCTATCTTGTCATTTTATCCCATCTTCCTAGGGAGAAGAAGGAGACTTGACAGATGCCTTTGCAGCTAGACCTTGACACGACACCTCTAGGTTGACTAGATCCACGGTCGTGGATACACAAGTGATCTTCGCTTCCCTTCCCCCAAATAGCTTGGGCCACTGAAAAGCAAAGGCAATAGAGAGTGTCAAGAGTGTCAAGAGTGTCCATACGTTCCAAACATCTCCCTTCAACCCTTAACCCTGTTGAACATCCATTGAGGCTCAAGGCCAATCTCTCCCAACCCTTCCATGCCGTGCCGTTTTTAGCCTTGTCGAAAGATGGCAGTCCCCAACCCTGACCAAGGCAGGAAGAAAGAATGATAAGAAGCGAACCCTTTCTAGCCCTGAGATACAGTATCAACGGACCAATTCATGCTCATTTGTTCTTCCCACGAATCTTGAAGCCTGCAGAGCCTCAACGAGCCAATCGATCTTATTCCACCCCGTTTCATGGGGAGGTCTTGCGAGGCGCATCCCAATTCCTGATAGGCTATTTTTACTGGAATGCTCCCCAAATATTTACGGTACTTGGAAGTCTCTCCGTTTTCCGACTTGCAAAAGCAGTCTTTTTCCAATTTGCCGGTTTGTGCCCCACGTCCACGTCCACGTCCACGTCCAGAATTTGAACGTTTTTGTTGATGTCAGCGGAGCCAGCGGACAGACAACCACACATTGTCAACATTGGTTGCTTGAGTGGCTACAGGTGAATCAACGCGAGACGCGTGCGAGTTAAATTGGCGATTTCATGCTCGTCAAAGAACCACGGCCCCGCCGCTGCCTCTGCCAGGCCTTTTGATCCTTTTCAATGTTGCACAAATAAAGCAAAAGAAAGACACGAGGGCAAAGACAAGAAGAAAAAAATGAACTGAATGAAGCTTAATCTCTCCGGTGATTTTTTTCTTTTCCTTCATCGATAGCAGAATGCTCGGTTGAGGGGAATAATATAGCCGTTCTCGTGACGAGCGTAGGCTGAGTGCCCCCTCCCTCCTCCAGGGCTTCATCCCGAATTCTTGAGCTTCTTTCCTTTCAATTCGGGGTTTTTCTTCTTTTTCTCGTTTTGTTTATTTGTGAAATCGACGGGTAATATCAGTCGACGGAATTGACGGAGCCACAACCACACCCACAACCGAACAATCGCGGCGGAGGGCCCAGTCAAGCCAGTCAAGCCAGTCAACAATAATACCAACGATGCGTCGAATAACACGACTTGCCACCCTCTCCCCGCCTTGATCCGGACATCCTTCGTATATCTGAATGTCTATGCCGTCCCACAGCAACGACGTCCAATCACAAGCGTCATGTCGTGTCCTGCTCCTTTGTTGTCCCACACCGAAACAACCCTGGTATAGCTTCCTTTTTCTCATTGTTGAGTGGGCCATTTAGCTTCGCCGGCGCCCCACCACAGACAATGAGTTCGTTCCTGGGCTGGCCTTTCCAAGGTAATAAGGGCGTTGGAATTCAAATGGTGCACTTAATGTTACCTAGGCCCCATTGTCGGTCTTGATGAAGAACCTCTCGATCAGGTTTCTATGAATTGTTTTCTTGATGAGACCACCCACGAATGGCAAGAAAGCTTCAATGTTGCATTAGTAGACGTAGCTGGCAGAAATAGATGAAAGAGAAGCGTAGGGACAGTAATAAGGAATAGGTAAAAGGCGGGGAGGGGAAAGCGCGCCTTCTAGATTGCCACCACGACAGACTCGCGTTCGTTTTCTAACAGTTCAATGTTGTGTGTGTGTGCATCTCATGTGTTGCAGCAAAAATTCCTGATGGCTCTCTCCACCCCTCGTTCCTGCACCGTCATCCACGAAGCGTCCCACCCTTTGGCCTCTGACCAGAGGCTAAGAGATTGAATGATGACGCTGGTTTCTGGGCAGCAGTGGGGGCTTACACAGAAACCATCAGCGAAGAAATGTCTAGTGTCTCTCTTCCCGGATGCTCCCTCCAACAAATTTCCCCACCATCAGCTTTGATTGGTCTAGCTTTATTGTCCAATCAGCGAGGGATCTTTACGCCCGCCAACATATTATGTCAGACGGATGACTCAGCAAATAAACGACAGGGGTGAGCTTCCCCCAATTCCGAGCTTGTGATAACTCGGTCCAAACCACAACGACTCAATCAGGCAATTGAGAGTGTATCGCACCACATCGAATCCTCCCATCCTTACGACCCTTTCTCTCTCTCCCTCTCCCTCCTCGAAAAGGCCGCCTCGACGCACAAACAATCTCCTCTCCTCTTTTTTTTTGCGCCAGTTTCGGAAAAACAAGAACAGCCATGGCGTCAATTGCTCGATCTCTGAGGGCGCTCCGGCCCGCGACCTTTGCAAAGACTGTCCCCGTGAGGACATTGGCTCGCACCCGCGCATTCACAACCTCTCCTATCGGTGAGCCAGTTTTCCTTCCCACACCACCCACCCCCGGCCCCCACCAAACATTCTTAATTTTCCTCGCAAATCTTTCCCTCGGCCCACCAACACCCGATAGGAGCCGCCACACACCACCTCTTTACGATTGGCGCAAGACAATTGGAAAGAGGGAGAAGACGCCTCCCAAAAATAAAATAAATAAATAAAGCGAAATAAAATTTTAACAAATGAAGAATAAACTAACATGGGCGTGTTACACCTTTTACAGTTCTCGAGAAGCGATACACGAGAGACCACGAATGGATTGACATCAACCCCCAAAGATGACGGGCGTCATCGGTATCTCCGAATACGCTGCCGAGGCCCTCGGTGACGTCGTCTACGTCGAGCTCCCCGAGGCCGGTGACTGGGTCGCCGCCGGCGACGCCATTGGCGCTGTCGAGTCTGTCAAGTCCGCGTCCGACATCAACACTCCCGTCAAGTGCAAGGTCGTCGCCACCAACGGCTCGCTCGAGGAAAAGCCCTCCATCATCAACCAGGTGCCCGAGGACGACTCCGCCGGCGGCGGCTGGCTCGCCAAGGTCGAGGTCGACGAGACTAGCATTGAGGAATTCAACCAGCTCTTGACCGCCGACGAGTACATCCAGTTCACCAAGGAGGTACAAGAGGAGGAGTAAAGGGCGGTAGGAGTTTCACGAAAGGCTGACGTATACGGAGAGAGAAGGGACGGGTCAAGAGGCAAGATCACCGTGTAGTTGTATCCCCGATCTCTGTTCTCGGTTGCTCACTCTTCTCTCGGCTTTTTTTTATGTGTGGTTTCTACTTTTTTCCTTTCATCTAGAACAAATCCGGCATCCGGAGGGGAGCAATGCATCTGAGAAATCAACTTTTTCTGTTATTTTCTTCTTCTTTCCCACATTGCCCTCTTCCTAGGGCAGGGACACAATTCAACAAGGTCAACCCGCTACGCAACGGCCGCCATGGTGCGTATACAAAACAGGCAATCAGTGAGATCATGATCGGATCACCCACCGTGAAAACAAAAAAGTGAATGATTCCCGTGTGCCGTGAGTGAGCCGACTCGGCTGTCCTTGGCGAGCGAGGTCCAACCGTTGGCTGCCGGCTTCCCGTCCCCTAACTCTCTCAACGTTCGACAATCCTAAGACAGTCATGGATGACGATGACCAGGCCCGCCTCCAAGGCAGGGGCGAACGGAAAATCAGGTATGCATATGAAGGCATGTCCTACTGTGGTAGAGCTAATAGGGAAATTCTTATACTCTTCACATGCTGGACAAAGCGTCCCCCGCCACCGAAAACCAAAGTTCCCGCGACACCTTTTGGTTCCGGCGGTGGTCTGGTTCGTCAACCGCGAACTTACTCGGTCTTGTGAGGTAGCGTCGAGAAGGTGAACGAAAAGGAAGAAATTGGGCCACGAAACCAGAAAGAAAGAGAGAGAAGAAACTCCCTCCCCTCAGAGAGAAGACGTTCAGAACGCGTGCTCGTGTTAATGGATGGGTTGCAGCCGCTTCGTATAAAGGGCCAGTTTCATCCTCATGCTCAAGTGTCACCCCTCCCCAACCGGGTCACCTACCCCATCCAGGTCCTACGTGTAGCCCCAATCGCGCCCCTCCCTTCCTTCCTCCCCTCTTTCACCCTGTCCCTTTCGATCCCCTTTCCTCCTTGGGAACTCCTCGCCGGTGTGAGAGCACCCCCGTACAACCCGTCCAAAGAGCCCAGGGGAGATGGCTCGCCGGCTTGTAGCACGTCGGACATCGGACTGTACCCCGGTGCCTTGTCCGCGCCATCGCCCACCTTGACAAGCGCGGAGGAACAAGGGCGAGCCCTAGAGCAAAATGCGTAAACGAAGATTGGGGAAAAAAAGAGGCAAATGGAATCGCCAGGCCGTTGTGCCACCCTTGCGCAACCGGTGATACCTGCGGTGTACCACCGGGAACTTTCTCTGACAGCTTGCTTTTCGTGCTCGGAAGCTTTTTTTTTTTTACTCTCTTCGTCTTTCCTTCATACTTCTTTGCTCTCTGCCCTTGCCTTCACGTTCCACCCGCGTGGACGATGGAGAGGCTAGGGATGCGGCCTTTCTACTTCCGGGTCTCGTTAAGCAAGACAAAACTTCCAATCCTTCCCCCTAACTTCTCCCGCTTGAAAAGATCATGAAAGGTCGAGAAAAGGGCTCGGCTATCGCAGGCGTACACTTGTCAACCACACTTGTCAACCACGGCTCCCCGCTTAGCCGGAGAATTTCTCCTTCCTTCCATCTAGCAGTTTGTCTCTTCTTGTCCCCTTCACCATTGCCCTCTCCAAACTCTCGGCCCCTCCGTTCTCCTCGCGTTCTTCCCTTTAGTCTCTCTTTTTGTTGTTCCTTTCCTGATAAACACCAAATTCTCCGACTCGCCTCGTGGCGAGAGCAGCAAGAACCGCAGCATGTGCGAGGTCAATAGACCGCTTCCCAGGCATGACGTTTGCTGTCTCGGTCGCTTGCGGTAGCTTCTCTATTCTGGAATGGGATATGATGAGCGACGGAGGTCTGTACGCGCATCTACCACTCTCACTACATCTATGCCCTCTGTCTTCATGTCGCCCTCGTGCAAGGGCGAGACGTAGGACGCGATGACGACGACAATGACTTCCTTGGACGGCGACGGAAGGCAAAAAAGGGCGTGGTGAGGTTGCGAGGCGTACGTCAGGCTGTGCGCCCGAGTATTTGACCATACCTCTCGAGGTAAGCTTCCAGGCTATATAAAAAGCCGACGCCAAGTGCCTTATTCCACCCTCAAGTCGTTCCGGGATTCATGAACCACCTAGAACAACCTTCTCTCTTTCAAATTTGGGAAAAGAAAAGAAGCCCAACCACAACCACTACAACATCAGGGGTCATTGAAGCTCGAGGAAAGAAGGGCGCCCCTCCAACACACCCACTCGCCATGAAGCTAGCCTCTAGCCTTTTGGGCGCGAGCCTCCTCCTCGGCCACGTCCTCGCGCAGGCGCCGCCAGATGCTCCCGGCGATGATGGGCCCAACGACGGCATCGACTGGGACTGGATTGACTGGGCTGACTGGAGCACTTGGTGGGACTGGGTTCGGGATTGGGATGATTTGATACCCAAACAGGGAACTGCTGACGAGCCCCTGTCCTCCGACAAACCTCTTGACATCTTTCAAACCGTGACGGCGCAGCCGTACATCTCCCGGCCACCGGGCGGAGAGCGCCCCACCGGCCCAGGCAGCAGTGCCTCCCAGCTCTCGGGCTCGGGTGCTTTTGAAGGCACGACCTCGCCCTATTCCACGTCCGGTGCGGAGGAGACGAGCTTGATTTCCCGGTGCCGAGCAGCGTCGACATTCAAACTTCTCGGGCGAGCCCGCTCCTCCTACCACGAGACTGGAATCGACATTCCCCGAGGTTTCGGAAACGGCTGGCGCGAGCGAGGGCTGGACCGTCATCTGGTCCGCGGGAACCTCGCCAAGCGTTGACCTCTGGTCGACGACTGCCGCTCCGGAAGAAACGGGCATCTCCGTACCTCCGTTCCCGTTCCCGTCGGGGGCGACCTCTCAACGCGCGGACCCTTCAGTGGGCCAGCCTCGCCAAGCTCCTCTGGGAGACCGGTGCCTCCGTGTGCGGAAGAGGCCTCGGCATTCTCATCGCAACCAGCGTTTCCCACAAGCCAGTCTGCCGAGACACCTTCTATCTCCGACATCCCGGATGCTTCTGGTGAACCTGACTGGCCCCTACAGATGTCGCCGGCTTTACAGACGTCCCAAACTCCACAGATTTGCCCGGGTGGACCGACGTGCCTATTCCCGGCTTCACAGACTTACCGGACGTCACTGATGTTACTAATGTTCCCACCGCAACTACCGAAACAGAGCTTTCCGGGTTTACCGAGGTGTCCAGCTCTCCAACGGCCTCGAGTCCGAGCGAGACGGCCGACTTCACTGACATCTCCGGGCCAACAAACGCCCCGGGCTTCTCGGACGTTCCTGGCGTAACTGATACGCAGAGCGTGATTGATATCTCGAGCGTCGCCGGCCTCCCAGAAGAAACTCAGACAACTGAGCTCACTGATCTCCAGGGGGTACCAGTAGCCCCAGGGCGACGGATACCTCGAGCTCTAGCGAAGTCCCTACAGGGACCGAAGTGTCCGAGTTTACCGGCCTTCCAGAAGTGACGAACGTTCCAAACTTCACTGACGTTCCTGGAACAACAGATGTGATCTCGTCTACAGGTCCCCCTGGGATTACTGGTATCCCAGGATTCACAGACCTCCCAGGGGCGAGTGACATTCCTGGATTTACTGATATACCGGGCGTCACAGACCTCCCTGGAGTTACTGACCTTCCAGGATTCACAGACCTTCCCGGTGTTACGGACCTTCCTGGGGTTACCGATATACCGGGCTTCACAGACCTTCCTGGGGTTACCAACCTTCCTGGATTTACTGATATACCGGGCGTCACAGACCTCCCTGGAGTTACCGACCTTCCAGGATTCACAGACCTTCCTGGGGTTACCGACCTTCCAGGATTTACCGATATACCGGGCTTCACAGACCTTCCCGGAGTTACTGACCTGCCAGGATTTACAGACCTTCCTGGTGCTACGGACCTTCCTGGGGTTACCGATATTCCTGGCTTCACTGACCTTCCGGGGTCACTGACCTTCCAGGATTTACCGATCTACCTGGTGTTACCGACATCCCGGGATTCACAGACCTTCCTGGAGCAACGGACCTCCCGGGCCTCACAGACCTTCCAGGCTTTACGGATCTTCCCGGCCTCACCGATATTCCCGGCATCACGAACCTGCCCGGCTTCACAGATGTTACAGAAACCGCCGCCATTCCTACCGAGACCACTGTTCCTGCCTCGGCCGAAAACTGGTCCACTCGGCCTATAAGCATACTTCCCATCTCAGAGGCAACGGGCGGCTCCACCGAAGCCGCACCCCCGGGCCTGACAAGATCAGTCGAGCCCACCTTCTCTACTGTGATAGTGAGGAAGAAAGGTGCTGGCGAAGTGGAATGAATGCCCAAGAGAGAACGTTTCTCGTCTGAGACTTTCCGAGGTTTGCAGTAGGGGTTCTATGTGTCTTGGATCTAACGTGTAAGCGATGGGGGTAGTTATGCGAGAGGGTTGGGAGATGTCTCGAGAGAAGAGTGCGGCACGAGACTTGGGATGATGGTTGAAAAAAGTTTGTCGATGATCGATGTTGGAAAGCTATCTGGGTTCGAATCTCTTGGCCCCCAAACGTCGTGGGCGTTTCTCTGTTGGCCCCTTCCGTGCTGTATGTGTTTGGTGCTATCACTTGGTTATAATATTAATACGACGCCGTAAATGGACGAGCTTTGTTTCTGTCCTGAGATTCACATTGTTGCTTTTCCCCATCTCATGGAGCTGACATTGAGTGTGGTGGCTTATATAGCGTCTTGCTTTTTTTTCTCATTACAAACGCTTCTTGTCTTCTTTTTAGTGTCCGTGAGATGCTGCTTGGTAGAAGTCGAACAGGCGCTGATTCAAACGTGCTCGGCCTTGACTTGCCAAGGCCGGGTTTCTGTATCGCACCTTCCTCGAGAATGGCGAATATGGGTGAGACATGGCTGGGTAGGGCAGGCACGACACTCTCCACTACGTACCAGCCGGCGTTTTTCTCCTTTTCTCCGAGGTACCACTGATGAATTGATGCCGATTTATAGCATGATGACAGCGTAAGCATCGTGCCTCTTGCGCCTTCCTCACACATCGTCGGGGAGTGAAGTCTCGTCTTCCCCATCAATTGATCACTTTCAGCAACAGCAAACATAGGGGTTACGCTCGAGGTGTTTTTAACATACTCGGCACGGACTTGATTTCTAGGATGATTGCCAGATTTGGATGATCAGTCAAGGACTTGCCTCTTTGCTTCTAGCTGAATCCTCATATCTCGTTGATTGATCGATGTACAGCGCCGCGTGCCGTAATACCGTATGACCATGAACGCCCTGGCCGGAGCTGATCACAAAGAAGGCAGTTGACTAGGCTATCAGTCACAATCCTAAACCAAGCCTATCACGGCGCGAGGCTCTCGCGTGTCAACGAGTGGGGCTACTCTATTTATCCCCTTCTTCGGCGACGGATGAACTACACTCCAATGCAAAGGGAAAAGCGAAAGGGCCAAAAAGGTTGATCTGAGGGACGAGTGATGCAGATCCTACAACGGCATGATTATGATTCTCATCCTACTGACCGAGCCAGTATGTTCAACGGCGCGAGGCATCTTTCGATAGGCTCTCTTTGTAGGCTTCTTCTTCTTCGCACAAGGGCTTAATACTTCGTACTTGTGGGTACCAAGTCTCGTCTCTCCAGTGCCGTGGGGTGGACAAGGCCGAAGAAGGAAAAAAATGATTACACTAGCCGTAAAGCTGGAAAAGGGGATGTGGTGGTAATTTGATGGCCGACGGTGGCGATCCAAAAGCAGGAACGGCAAGATAGCGCTGTGGAGAAGGTGGAAACTGCTTCAATGTCGCGGGTGTTAGTTTCGCGTGTTTCTTTTTTGTTACTGAATTGGGGGAAGGATGGGCCATCATCATTCGCGCTCATAAGCGCCATCTTCTTGGCTGCTCCATAGTGTATGCGGGACAAGCATTTGGTAATTGTCCGACCTTGCCTAGTTGGGTGATATTGATAGGGGAAAGGGGAGCGCAAGGGGAATTTCTACGAAGAAAATGCCCATAGGGCGGATTTCTGATGCCCCCTCATAATCGAAATGACCGAGGAGAACATCGAAGTCGACAGGGACGAGATAAGCACGGAATCTTTTTTTTCTTTTTTCGCTCTTTTGTTTGTATCATTATCAAGGTCCTGTTTAAAAACTGGAGAATGCGAAAGAAACCCCGGAAGGCTGGGAGGGTCTTCTGGGTCTGTCTAGCAATGGGGCGAGACAGAAACATCAACACGAGTCTGACGAGAGCACTAACTTCAAGGCTAGCTGTCAACCCTGTAGCTCGTGGTGGTGGCGGCGATGAGCGCAGAATCATGTCTCGCTCGCTCTCAGACATTGTGGAGATGCTGTCAAGGAGCTTGACGGTTTCGATGTCGCAAAGGCAACGACACCAGTCCATTGTCTGCACGCGTGTGGCCCTGCTCACCGCCGGCCCCCTCCGTCGTACGGTTTTGCCTCCGTGACAGGCGGTTTTGGCGCTGGAGCTGTGTCGTGTGCCGGCCCAGACAGCCTACCCGCGACCGATTGAGTGGTTTCAGTCTTCTTGGCTCAACAGAGGCAGTGGATGGATGAAACCCGATCCCCTCTACGCTGCACTAGAGCCGCCTGTTGGGTCGCCATCAAAGGGAACGACGTCTTGCGGCCTTGGTTTGGGCGTGAACACGGACACGCAGATGAGCTTTTATTTGACGAGACACTGGTGCACTTTATCTGTGGTTCTAGATATGGGAGAATGGTCATTCTCTAGTCTTTGAGAGATATGATATCTTACGGGTGCTTTACATGATACTTGACGTGAGAGGCCCTGGGTCTCATGGTCTAATAGTGTAGGTCCTGCTTTCGAGGTACCGGTATGGGCAATTCAGCCTGAAGGAGTACACGAGACCCTAGGCAATCTTGGAATGGTCACTGATCAACAATTGATCTTGGATCCGGCGCGAGTTTAGGGCCAGGGGAACCAATTGCGGGCTTGAGCCAAAAGGATCCATTAGACCCATTCACCCATGGCAAGCCCCTGTCGCAGTCCAGGGTCTCTGATGGGTCCATAAATCATCAGTTTGGTCAGTTCAATGACCTCTGCTGCATTCAATGTTCTCACAGGACACCAGTGGAGTGCACCATCTCAAGCGATGGGCCCAATCAAGCATTTCGTCCAGGAAGCCCCTCAAGGTCCCTTGACTTCGTACCCACAGCACAAGACACAGCGCTGAAGTTGGGCTCTTTGTGTCTGTAGCGGTGTCCATTGGGATCTTGGGATCCATCATTGATCATTGACCCGGGATTAATCGAACATTGAACAATGTACTTGGGCTGCTCCGCTCTTTCCTCCACTGGACTTTGTAGACTCGCACCAAAACATGCCTGCACTGTAACATTAAACCCTTGAAATTTGTGGACATTGATGTTGGCCAGGCTGGAAAGAGAGGTAGTGTAGTATCGACACCAACCTCCACTAAAAAGAATCATCCGCTGGCCTTGTCGTATCGTGGTTGAGGACAACCTCCGAATCCATCCCCCTTTCCGACTGACGTTCACAATTGCTGCTTTATTTTATTTTATTTTCTTGTTCTTCCTCTCCTCTCTCGATCTTATTTTCGGGAGGCGGGTTTCTGTGGGGCTTCCTCAACACGGACCGACTCTTTGACCTACACGCAACCTCTTCTCTCCGCCCTTTGAGCAAAACCGAATCTCTTCCCAATCTCACCCTCACGAACAAATCCTCTCGGCGGCCCCGCCCCCAATCGCTTCGAGTGTTTTCTCGCCCTCCTTTCGCTCCCGAACCAACCATACCACGAAATCTTTCCTGCATGCCATAATCTCACCACACCACTCGACTACGAGCTGCGGCGAGACTGAGCCACACCCGGGCAACAAACGACGACGCGAGACGAGCGAGAATTCAGCCCAAAACCCAACGTTTGCTTGGTACTGGGACTACAAACCCAAGCCCGCCTAAGCCCACAAGGCCAGAAAAAAAGGTAGAGGCAGAGGGATAAAGAGAGAGAGGGAGAACGCTAGCCCCTCTCGGTCCTCACGAAGACTTGCCAGCCTTTGATCCCCTCGACGAGAGAATTCCCCCTTGATGGAACGAAGCACAATCTACTTTTCACTGAGGTAGCAGTCGGGAATTGCGGCGTTGGCCTTTTTCGGCCTTGATCCGCCATTCATCCCCTCCCCTTTGGTGCTCGCACACCTTCTCTCGACAAACGCACACCACCCCAGGCTCCTCCACGATGGATTCTTTTCTCCTCGGTGGTGGAGGGCCTACCTGGAAATCCCCACGATGAAGAGCCCATCCCGGGATTTCAACCATTTCAACCCATCCGAACCTCCCAGTCCTTCCAGATCTCCCAGCCTTTCCAGCGCGACGATGGCCCGACCACCCCACAAAAAGCAATGGGCGCGAGTCAGGCCCCAGGGCGGCGGAAGCGGGAGCGGAGATGGATGCATCGGCGGTGGCCTCTCCTGTGACGGAAGGCAAAAGCAACAACACTAATAACTACAGCATAGCGCAGTCTGACATGACCCATGACTCCATGGTCACCGTGCCCTTATCCGGTCCACCCTCGCTTGCCATCGACACGAATATCCCCGTACCGCTTGGTCCGAGCTGGCTAGGGAGGAGTACGGAAACGATAGGGTCTGGGCAGCAAGATGCGGTCTCCGACCTGTTGGCTACTTCGGCAGGGAGGAGTAGCGTGGCCGTGGACGTGGACGATGGGACCACTCCGCAGGACGATACCCCTAGGCCGCAGGAGGCAGTACGGAGCCTCGAAACCGAGTTACAGGAATCCGGCGATGACGATGACGAGAGACAGCGAACCGTGGATACCCCGACTCCCTCGACCCCGACGCGTGAGCCCTCGGTGAACTGGGACGAACTACAGAAGACTGAGAACGAACAGCCAAAGGATGAGCAGATGGGAAATGTATGCGAACCACCCCCACCAGGCAGCTCAGTAACTAGTGTTACGACGTTATGTGTAATACCGTGTAATACCGCCTACTAATACATCGTGTAGTCTGCGAATCTCGTACGTGCCAGACTTGAGCAGGAGAGTTACAGGATAGAGAGCCCCAAGCTAGGTCGGGCGGAAACAGCAGAGCGGGAATCAACCTCGTCGTCACAACGCTCACAACCCCCTCGATAAGTCAGCTCAAAAAGATGGTTACCGGACCCACACCCCAGGCTCTACGTTACTCGATGCTACCGCCCCCTCCGATGACCGATTTAGAATTCTACGCCGCGCTGGTGAAGGACTATCAACAGACGGCCGAGAGGCTGCCTACCCTGTTAACGAACAAGATCCGAAAGGGCATACCGCCGCCCTTGCGAGGCGTGGTGTGGCAGAGCATCTCGGACGCGCGTGACGCCGCTTTGGAAGAGGAATACGACCGATTATGTGGCGAGACGAGCCCCGTCGACCCCGTCTTCAGCAAGGAGCTTGCCCGGAGCTTCCCGGTGTGGACATGTTCCGCGAGTCCGGCGGCGATGGCCAGCGCATGCTCGCACAGGTGCTCAAGTCCTTTAGCTTGTACGACCCTGAGATTGGGTACTGCCAAGGCCTGGCTTACCTGGTAGGCCCGCTGCTGATGCACATGCCTGACAAGGCCGCCTTTTGCGTGCTCGTTCGGTAAGTCTGAAATTTTTTTGGCCATCATTTCTTCATTTTTCACCTTTTACCCATGCATCGTCTTTTCCCTGCCCACATCTTATGTACCATTGAATTTCCTTTCCGACTGTAATTTTTTTATACTTTTGTTTTCCCCTTTTCAATTCCTCGGCGATTGCATTGCTACTTGTTACCCATTCGTTGGTTCGTGCGGGGCTTTTCACAACAAAGCCCAAGGGACGAAACATGGGCTCAAGGGGAGGAAATGGAGGGGCGGGTCCCGGGTTTTTGGAGATGCTTCATCCACACGTGCACACGGTGCCCCCTATTTGACCTGCCGTCCGAAATCGTAATATTCGCTAACAAATACATTTGCACCACGACAGATTGATGGAACGGTATGATTTGCGCAGCTGCTTCCAGCCTGATTTTCTGGGCTGCAGCTTCGAACATACCAGTTTCGAGAGCTTCTGCGGCACAATCTCCCCACCGTATCGACCCACCTTGATGATCTGCAGGTTGACCCGTCCTATGTTTCACAGTGGTTCCTCAGTTTTTCGCCGTAACATGTCCCCTGCCCATGCTGTTTCGCATCTATGATATTCTCCTAGCCGAGGGGGCGACGGAAACTCTTATGCGCGTCGCCCTGTCGTTGATGCGCAGGAACGAGGCCAAGATCCTGGCATGCACACGGCCCGAAGACGTGACCCAGCTTCTCCTTTCCCGCAGCGCTTGGGATTCTTACCATTACAACGCCGACGAATTCGTTCACGACGTTATCAGCCTAAGCGGACAGGTCGAACACGACAGGCTACTCTACCTAGAAACCACCTACAAGCAGGAATTATTATCCAGAACGGAATCGTCGAGGGGAACGGCCCATGTTGGAGCCACGAGCGGTGCTAATGTCGCGCTACGAACAACAGCCTCGGAGGATAACGTCAACGCAGCAGCTTCGAGGTTCCTGGGACGCGGGTCGCCAACCAGGCCGCTATCGTCGGCGTCAGCGTCGGGCAGGTCGGCGAACCTGAGCCCCCGGCTCGAGGCTCCGTCGACGCCCGTGGCGATGCTGCGCCGGAGCACGTCGAAGCAGAGCCTGGCCTCTACCCTCAACTCGATGGAAGCGAGCTCCGCCAGCGTTGCCAGTAGCGCTTCCACCAAGGCCACCAGCGTCTCGAGTCAGTCGTCGTCGTCGGATAGCATCAAGGGCGGGCGGTCGTCTACCGACATCATTGCCGGCGGTGGTAGCAGCAGCAGCGACACTATCACGGCGACGGGAGGTTCCGTCGTGGCGGCCTCGGTCCCGGTCTCGGTCACCCCTGCACCCCCGGCGGCGGTCAGCCGCAGCGCGAGCACGGCCGGAAGCAACGAGACGGAGAAGCCGCGATACAATTCGAATACTAAGACGTCCAACGAGAAATACCTCAACGATCAGATCGAGGACCTTTTGACGGTGCTAAGCGAGCTACAAAGGAATCAAGCGCTACTAGCGAGCCAGTTGAAGCAGGAGCAGGCAGAGCGCGCTGAGGATAAAGAGGTCGTGAGGGTGCTGGTCAACCGGCTGCGGGCAGGCGCGGATTCAAGCGAGGCCGGAGCGGAGCTCGGGGTAGTGGAGCAGAGGTTTGGGATACAAGAAGGACAGGATGGGCTCTCACCGTTGCCGTCCAAGATGCAGCTATACGAGGAGCTTACCGAGGCCAAGGAGAAGCTGGCGGCGGCGGTGGCTGAGTCGCAGCAGTACAGCAGACGCATCTACGAGCTGGATCAGGAGGCGGCAGGGTTGAAACAGACTGTGCGCGAAAGTCACGCCCACGTGAGGACGCTGCACCAGGACAAGCAGAGGCTTGAGAAGCAGGTGCAGCAAATACGGGCTCGGCCCGCGGCGAGCGCCTCGAATGACGCGGGCGGAATCCGCGGTCGGGATACCATGACCGGAGGAGGCGGCGCTGACCGGCGTCTATCAACGGTTGGCAGCGGGCTCCGCGAGTTCAAGCTCGGGCGCAGCGGGTCGCCGCCGTCGGTTCCTTCAGCCTACAGTAGGCGCACCTCATCCCTGGCGCCCTCCATTTCCGGTGGCGCCGCCGCCGGCAACGCGAACAACGAGGACGTGCTTCTCCGCGAGCTCGTGCAGGCCAAGACGGCGGAGGCCATTGCCAAGGAGGAGGCCGAGGACGCGCGGCGCAAGCTCGACGCGTTTAGGCGGGCCTACGGCATCGCGCCGGGTGCGGACCCGCCAGCCCCGGGACGGCGTCGGCCGCGTCGGTGGCGGCTTCTGCGGCGGCAGCCTCGGCGGCTTCGGCTGCGCAGTCGGCGGGACAGGCGGCGATGGGTATCCTGGGTCGCTTTGCCGCCGGCAATAACAACAATAACAACAACGGGGGAGAAGGTGCGACGAAATCGGCCGGGGTGGTGGTGGGGGCGACGGGGACGACGACGACGAGCGCGGGAACCGGCGGAACGAACGGGACGGCGAATAGCGGCAACGGCAACGGCAACGGCGGCGGATTCTGGGGCTGGAGGAGGTGAGGGGAGAGAAGAACAGGTGGCTCGATTGCAATGATTCATTTGCGCAAGGCAGCCGCCGCTGGTCCTCACCCCAAGCCTTGTTCTTATTCCTCCAGTCGTGGATAAATCGGTGCCTGCGTCGGTGCTACATGCGCTGCTGCCTTGTCCACCCACTCACTCTGTTTTCCACCCTTTTACATCCTTCCACCCCCACAAAAGCTCTGGGGAAAAGGAAAGGACAGATAGCGCGGGGTTTGCTTGGGGCTGGAGGTTGTGGTCCACGCAAGTCGGCACGACCTACTCTGTCTTTTCCTCCCTCCTTCGCACCATAGCTGCATCTGATTGCGTTGACGGACTGCAGCCTCCGCATGACGTGGAACCAGGGAGAGAGAGCTGGCTGGCTGGATGCATGGCCAAGTCACACTCTGCAGCGTGTGCTGCACTCCGCACACACACACGCACAAAGAAAACAAGACACACAGACCTGGTTCCTTTTTGCGTCCGTGGTGCGGCAACCACTTACAACCTACCTCTTGACCTTTTTGTTCATCAGCCATTCCGACCTTTTTTAATCTCTTGGCTTGCATTTGGTGCACCAAACCCTCCCTAACCCCGATGCACTGAAACCTTACTCTTATACTTTCTTTATTCTCCTCTCTAGCACGCTCTCTAGACCCCTTTGAGAGACCGAGTCAAACTCCAAACCACCCTTTTACGCCGGATCACACTTTGGACCGGGAGCAGTCGAATTCCCGCTCCGGCTCCTCATCTACGATCCGTCCCTCTAACTACCTTTCTTCCATCTCCACACTCTTCTCTTCTTCTTTTATTTTATTCTCCTTCTTCTCTTTTTCTACCTCTTTCCTTGTACAATTAGGAAGGGGAGGAAAGTTTGTTCATATATACCCTGGGAGTTTCACTTCAGAACAACACAAACTTTTTTAACCCCTTATTATCATTACCTTGCATTTTTATTATTATCATTAGACTGGACGGCCGTGGGGAAAAATGCCCTCGAAAGAAGGATGAGCAAGCCATCGTCGTCATCTAGGACGCGGGGAGTTGGTTATCCCTTTTTGTTCTTCTTCACCTGTTTCTAGACCCCGTCACAAAATTCCACTCCATGTGTGATGAACATAGATCCCCGAGTTCTTGAGCCCTCGGGGCACAGAGGTCAAGGGAATGGAGCACATGGCGTTTTTTTTCGTGAAGGATTGTATACATCCATACATATATATATGAAAGGGAAATGGAGAAATGGCGAAGATTTAAGGGGGCTTGATTGTACATAGCGGATGAATATTTTGGCTCCATCGAGGCCACCAGATTATATCAATGAAATCTTTTATTTGATTTAGTTGGAAGTTTTTTACCTTTTTAGCCTTGGTCGGTTTCTTGTCTTTTTGGCTTCAGCCTCTTGCAGAGCTATGAGCTGGGGACCATGACAATCCGGAGCTCTCTCCCGGTGCTGCTCTTCAGGGAAGACGGATGAGGTAAGGGCTCACGCGAGGGAACCATTCGTGTTAAGGTTTGCCCGTTTACTCCTTTTTCTTTTTTTTTCTTTTTCTTTTTCTTCCCCTGGGCCTTGGTTGGTTCTATTATCAGGATATCTATCCGGGCTTCCGCCCGCACATCTCGGGAACTTGCTCGACGGGAGCTTCTCTCGAGGGATTGACTTTTTTCTCCAAGCTTTGAAAGGAGGGAGAGGGAGGGGATTAGCCTCGAGTCTAAATTCATCTTTGATTCTTTTTCTCCCCCTTCCCCCTTCCCCTTCAGCTGAGCAGCATCCCTTTTTTAAATTTTTGTGCATGTATGTGTGTGTATGTAAATGTGTGTGTGTACGTGTGCAAGGTGTTCGGCAAAGAACCATGGCGTTCGTGGGTGGATATTTGTTTCGAAGCAAAGGCGTCGAATGTGCAATGATGCAAACACTCTGGGGAATTGCTTCGGGTTGGCGTCATTGAGTGGATGGTGTCGATGTTGCGTCATAGTCGGGAGCTTGGGGGTGGAATGGAGGGGTGGGGACGAAGAAAGAGTGTCAATGGCTTCGTTCTGTGACGCTTGATTTATTTATTTTCTCCATGATCGGCCGTGCTTTGGTTTTAGTAGGTCCTTTCTCTCTCTCTCTCTCTCTCTCTCTCTCTCTCTCTCTCTCTCGCGATTAACGCTGTATGCCAGGGATTCTAGCTCTAGGGACCAGCAGATATTATCCCGGTGCTGGCAAAGGAAGAAGAGGAAGAACTATTCGGCTAACAACTATTGACCTGCTCGTCGCGAGAAAGAATTGTGATGATGTCGCACTAGTTTTAGGTGAGGGGCAGCGCAGTATCCGAGCAAAGTACTAATATCCATGTAAGGTCCGCTTGGGAGCTATTGTGGGGCGCAAAGGGGCCACGGCTTGGCTGAGGGAGTGATGGAAAAAGGGAAGGAGGGGCGAGTAGTTCATGTGGGTGCATGTACTCGCTCGCCAACAAGTCCGGAACAAAGGTGGACAGCATCTTGCTCTCGCGGCTGTGAGCTCTAGGGAGCGGCTACGAATTTCTCTTTTTGAGATGAAAAGGCTTTTATTAGATGCGATCCTCAAGAGATCTGGATATATTGCTTCCCTTGCGAATCGTCGAGAGCTTCAAGCGATGTTACTCTTTCAGACGCGAGATGCATGTCGGGGTATGAGTAAGCGGGGGTTCCTGAGTGGGTGGTGGGACAGACAATCACATGCTATTCTGCTCCAGAATGACCCCGGTGGTGGGCGGTGGTGGGGGCAACTGGTGCTGAGCACGCGAGCGTCCGGCGTGGACCCAAGTCTCAGTTTCCCTTGGAATCAAATAGAAGAGGGGATGATGTGAGAAAAGAAAAAGATCAAAATTCTATTACTACATCCCAAAGAGCCAAAGAGAGCCCCAAGGCGACAAGAGATCATCCCATAATACAATCTGTTTTACATCGAGGAGCACTGTGAATATCGTGCAATGCTATGCCCGCAACGGTGCTCTTTGATTTGCCCTGGAAAAAGGGGTGATTGCCACAGGACGCGTTGTTACTCGCTCGCTCTCGAGTGTGGATGGGTGTGGGAGAGAGCGAAGGGGAGGGGAGGATCAAAAGGTGGTGTTGGTTTCAGGGAAGAAGAGAAAAGGGTGGAAGCAAGCGGAGGGGTGGGCACATAGGTTGGCAGGCAGCACAGCACGGCCCGTCTGGGTACTGTACTGCCTGCAGGCAGAGATCGGAAGATGTGCTTTAGTGCTCAATGTGTGAAAAAAAAAAAAAGAATACGTCAGGGAGATGGAGATGCAGCACGAAGCTCAAGCCGTGCTCTTCAACACCAGGGCTCTCCGGTTTCTTTTTCGATTTCCGATGATCCCCCTCCCCCAGTTTTTACTAGCAGCAGAGACGTGCAGTATTACAGCTTGGTTTTGTAATGGTTCAGTATAGTGGGGTGCATTTCCCTCCTAGCCTGTTTGCTCGCCTGGTAACCATGATCCATGCGAGGGCAAACGAAAGGCGTGTTCGGGGACTGGATGCGATAAGAAAAAAAAGAAAAGGAAAAAAGAACAGAGGGGGTTCTGTCAACATCACATCATGTACCAAAACCTATTTTAGCGGCTCCTGCTTTCTTGGTGGGTTTGTGGGCTTTGGGGGCAATCGCGACCGTGCCAACCTTCGCTGGCGGGAAGTCTCGGGAGATAGCAAGTACCGGTACTTGTTTTCACGCGACAGCTTGACCTTTCAAGTTGCGTCGTGAGCTGTTTCCTGTGACGAGGATTGACACGGTCCGTTGCCGTGGCACGGAGTACGAAAGACCAACGGACACTCTTCAAGGAAAAAGAACAACTCATGGAACTAGCTGATCAGCCGGATCGATAATAATAGCCCGAGTCCGAAAAAGAAAAGAAGAAGAAAACCACATCATACTAGAACGGACACAAGAAAAAATCGAGGACTGATATTCACTTGGAATACAATAAAATAGACCGGGGTTGTTATTATGGCAACGGATAACACCGAAATTGTGTCGTATGCGGGAATAGGGGAGGCATAACAAGACAGAGGGACCGCCAAAAACATGCAAGAGGACCACACGAAATGTTTGGATGAGAAAGACGAGGTGATTTGAGTGATGGCAGATGCTTGGAGCTTTGGGCAGCAGTACCTATGAGGTGGGCATGATAATGCTCTCTACCGACGGATCGAACCTTTTTTAGACTGGCGTTTCGGGCAATACTTGAGCTTGGGAATCGTGCATCATGCTCGGTCTCGGCGCAGGCTGCTTGCGACAGCAACAGTGTAAATATTCCTCAGAGACACGGTTACAAAGCGAGACCTGGAATACCTAGTCAATATATTACCCAGCTTAGCTGATGGCGTGCGCAAAGAAGCAGCCAAAAGCCTCAGGTTTTCGACCCGTTTGTACCGTGACTTGTATAGCTACAAAGTCACAAGCAAAGAGGATCAAATGTCATTCGACTGGAGCTATCGACCTTGCGCACTCACGCCCGGGTACAACCATGCAGTCATAGCACGTTATCCGTAGTGGGTTGGCCCTCTCGTCGCCCCTAAAACCCCGTTCCAAAATACAAGGTACCCACCTAGCTTCAGGCCATGGCATCCATGTGGTTGGCTGGCCCCGTCGCCAGGCCCGTTTCCTGGAACCAAGAGGAACGAAAAACAGCCATTCCATCATCAGCATCATCATCATCCTTGTTGATCTGTTTCCATCCTTCCCTGCGAAACTGTGCTACCTAGTACCTGCCCACCACCTTTTCCTCTTCTTTCCCACATTCTAATAAAACTTGCCAAACCTGCAAACCTGACCAATTTTTTTCTCTTCCCTTCCTCCTTCCCCATCTTTTCTCCATCAAACAAGAACGAATATTCATTCTCGTCGAGGCCGAACAGCAGACTTGATATCAAGCTATCTCTGTCTTCCTCTCCCCCTACCAAAAGAAAAACACACCTACAGACCACGCACGTACACACAACACTCTCTCTCTCACACACACACACACACATCACACCCCCTTTGCCCCTTATCACTCTGTGTGTAGCCGGATCAACCGAGCTTCGTTTGCTTTTTCTCCACCAAACGACCGCACGAAACCCTCAAAGGTTTTTTCCTTTCTGTTGAAAAGAAAAAAGTAACCCGCAAAAAAGCTTTTGGCGTTTGCCTCTAGGTCTTCAACGGGCACCCACCTAGCTCCTTTCGAAATTCTTCACCACTTCACACAGCGCAGACACATTCTGCTCGACTCTCACAATGGCCGATACTCTGAGCCACTCCGCCAACGGCAATGGTGCCATCTACAGCAACGGACACAGCAACGGCTCTGCGAATGGAGCTGCTAATGGCAAGCCAAGTAAGGTGGGTTTTTCTCCGCCCTTCTCTTCTCCGCCCTGCTGCGAAAATGCTTCATAACCCGAGGGGCTTGCTCTGGCTACCCTGCGGTGCAAAAGGAGGCAATAGGACGCCACGGGCTTGATATCGAGATGAACCCGGCTAACGTGTTTTGATTCTGATTCTCCAGTTTTCTTTCCTCTCGCCTTCCTCGAGCGTGTGATATGACGAAGCCAAAATAGCTTCCTCTTTCCCCTTTGCGATATGGCCTAACATATGATTTGCTTAGACTACGAGTCTGTTGTTGACCGCGTCGCCAACGGTAAGCATTTTCACACTCATATGCCCGAGAGCCGACGAGGTGATGCCGTGTGCATCTTTATCGGCTTTCTACCTAGCAACTCTAAAGACGCAACTAACTCTTTTTTTCTTCTGGAGTGACAGGCCCTGTCTCCCAAGCTGCCCAGGACCAAGTAAACAAGACCGCCAACGAGTTCGCCAACCTCAACGCCTCTCGGAAGGCCACTCCTGGCACCGCTGCCACTAGCCAGCGCTTGACCCACTACCACTCATACTTTTTCGATCTTCTCGCATGGAAGAACCCTCGTACGTGAGCCCCTGTAGAAAGTCGGGCGATTCAGAAAAAGACTGTGTCGGGTAACTAACCCGAAACTCATCCATAGGCGCTTCTGGCATCGTCTACGCCAGCTTGGTCTCTCTCATTTTCGCCGCGAGGTATCTTGATGTCATCCGATACTTCTTCAAGCTCACATGGCTCGCCCTTGGCACGACCGTGGCTGCTGAAATCGTCGGAAAGGTCGTTCTCGGTCAGGGCATCACCTCTCAGCTTCGTCCCAATAAGTACTTTGTCGTTTCCCGCGACACGCTCGATACCATGATAGGAGATGTGCACGAGCTCATCAACTTCTTTGTGATTGAGGCTCAGAGGATCCTTTTCGCCGAGAACATTGGCGCCTCGGTTGCTGTGAGTGAACTTCCCTTGGCCCCCTTGGACTGGCAATCGTTGTCCGGATGCTGACTGTCAAATGTGCAACAGGCCTTCGTCGCTGCCTTTTTGTCCTACTACCTCGTCAAGATTGTCCCGTACTGGGGTCTCGCTATTCTCGGAACCACTGCTGCTTTCATGATCCCCCTCCTCTACACCTCGAACCAAGAAGTCATTGATGCCCAGCTCAAGCACGCCTCGGACCTTGTCAACGCCCAGACCGCCCAGGTCCGTGATGCTGCCAACAAGCACACTGCCCACGTCGCCGAGCTCACCAAGCAGTATATGGGAGACTACTCCGCCAAGGCCCAGGGTCTGATCCGCGGCCGCTCTGTCTCCCCGAGGCCCACCCCATCCGTGCTGCTCCCGCGGCCCCCGCCACCATTCCCAGCGCCCCTCTCGATGAGACCGCTTTCCCCAGCGCTCCCTCGGGCACCTTCCAGAAGGATACCGAGGACTTCCTCGATGGTAGCGCCACCAACGCTGCTCCCGTCTTCCCCGTCGAGCCCGCTTCCTCGGCTGACCCCCTCGTCAACCTCTAAACGGAGCGTTTGAAACAATATGACATTGCGGAGTGTGCGCGCGGGCGACTAGCCGGCGAAGCCCGCAGTCCCGTTCTTACACTGACACGATATGCCTGTGGTTGGAGACGAAACCAATACTAAGGCAACGAGAGCCTTGAAACGAGAGTTTACGAATGCATCCGTCCCCATCATGTCTTGTTATCTTGTTTTTTCCATCCGTTTACGAATTCGTGTACCTGGTGTTTATGTGTTGGCTTAGTTCTGTTCCCCCATGGGCTTTCTTGACCTCTCTCGGCCGGCCGGTTTGCAGGCTGCTTCAGACTTGCCAGTACCCAGCATTACACAATCTACACCCGCACCCTCCACAACCACCCACCTGTACGAAGGAGTAAAGGAACGCTGAAGGGGGCGGTTCTTTAATATTGTATTTTCTGCTTCTCTTTTCTTTTCCGGTTCCCCCTGATCAAATGCGTGTCTGCTTTTACGGCCAATAGAAGGAAGGGGATTCACAAGGGAAAGGAGGGGCGTCTTGTTTTTGTCTTTTTTCATTACTTCGCTTATCCATCCTTCCCCTCGGCGGCCGCAAGACTGGGCTAGGTAGGGGTTGGAGAGGTGGGAGGTTGAACCAAATTGAATGTTTGCACAACTGTAGCTCTGCATCCTTATGAATTCGATTCCAACCCTACGTTATTCCATTGTAATGATGTGTTTTTCTGCTCAACCCCGCCGCACCGATGCCTTGGAAGGTACTATGTCCCAAGGGGCAGTCAGTGCTGCTCTTCCCTCCTTGACGTACGAGTGCCCGTTTATACACTTGCTAGGTTGGATCTCTCACTCGACAGCCAAGGTGTCTCGAATGGGTTTGTCATCTTAACCTGGAGAGAGGAAAGAAAAAAGCAAAAACAAAAAGAGGTCAAAAATGTTGATAAGAGTGAGATTCGAACTCACGCCCAGTTACCTGGACCAGGAAATTGAATAATTCGCTCAAGCTATTGCAGACCTGAACCTGGCGCCTTAGACCACTCGGCCATCTTACCAATGGTATCTATGACGAGCGGAGCCCGTGGACGGGTCCAAGTACAGAGAGTGGGAAGGGAGGTCTTTTTGCGTGGGGTTTTGTGGAGTTGGCGTGTCTGCGTGTGTGGGGTCGACGATGCATCGTTGGCGTTTAAGCCGTATGGGCGAAAAAAACACTACGATGCAAAGAGAAAGAGAAAGAGAAAGCTTTGGCCTGTGGAGAGCTGGGGAAGATGAAAAGACTTGGTTTCTAGTCGTGATTATGGTGAGAACACAAAGGGTAAGCAAGAAACGATATTTCTTTTCGGGAGGTCTAGTCCCCCTTTCTGAGTAGGATATAGACGTAGACGAAAAAGATATCCCCGGGTAGTATTTTTTTATATACATTTAGGGCGTTTTCTTCTCGTCCTCGGACCATCTCCACGTCCGTTTCATCGTCGGGCCTCTCGGCCCTTGGGCGCCGGCCGCGGGAGCGTCTCGAGCCAACTCCGGCGCATAGAGGCGAGGAGCGTATTCTTGATCGTTGCGGTAGGTTTCGCGCTCTTGAATATCCTGTAGGGCCCGCCGAAAAAGAGCGAGACGAGGCACACGTGGCAAATGGTTAGCTGTCGGGGTTTTCCTCTCGATTATATCCTATGGACAAAGTCAAGCAAGGAGGAAGGGGCTTCTACGGTCTGGCTACGATGGAACCTCTCTTCTCGAGCGTCTTGCATCTTTGCTACTGCTTGTACGAGAGCATCTACGGCTGTTTGCTTGTTTGCACTTAGTAAATAGGGAATACGACGGGAATAGATTCGGGTCGAACCTGTTTCCTTCCTCTTCTACGAATCTCCCATCTCATCACAACTAGGTATAGAAGTGCAGTGTTGAACAAAACGTGATATGTCATTAAGTGCCTCAAACACGGGCGGAGAACAGAAGAGCAAAGAAAAGAAACGCGACTGTTACAGTTTTGGCGTGGGAGGCGAGAAAAAACCAAGCAACGGAAAAACAACACAAAAATCAAGCACATCGCCGTGGCCGTTGAAATACATCGAACCCCGTCTGCGCCAATCCCCTCCCCGGCGTCCCTGTCCTGTTATCATAGACTTTGCAAGAGAGGCTCCCATCATATAAACCATCATCAAATAATAAGACCCCCGCAACCAAGTTCAGTCAATTAATCTGAATCCATGGCGAACGGATCGTCGCTGTCCTCGTCTTGCGCAGCAAACGAACCCTCGTCCTCTTCATCCTCCGAGTCAACATACCTCGGCTTAGCCTTGGGCTTGGTTGCCGCCGCTCGTGCAGGCCGGCCCCTTCTTGGTGCTGGTGCGGGTTCCTCCGACACGTCTTCCATAGCGTCTACATCGTCTTCGTCGTCGTCGCTCAAAACAATCTTCTTGGTCGCCTTGCGCGCGGCGTACGCCTTAGCCGCGGGCGAGAGAGTCGTCTGCTTGGTGGCTGCCGCCTTCACTTTGGTCACCTTTGCAGCAGGCTTGGCTTCATCCTTGGCCTTGTTGGCCGCTCCTGCGGGACGGCCCCTCCTCTTGGCCGCGGGCGCTGCGGCAGCGGCCGCCGCGACAGGCTTGGGAGCCGCCTTGGCAGGTGGGAAGTCATCGTCGTCGGACAACAATTCATCAATGTCGTCGCCCTTGATCGACTTTCGAGGCGAAGACTTGGCGAGCATCTCATAGTTGGTCTCGTCGTCAAACTCCTCAAAGTCAAAGGTCCTTGAAGGCTTCGACTTCATCTTGGGCAGTGCAGACGCCGCGCTGCTGCCCTGTCCTTGGCTCTCGGGCCGTGACATGGTGAACAGACTAAGCCTGCCGTTGCCCGAGGCACCATTGCCATCGCCATCCGCTTTCTTGATGCCCTTGACCATGGAGCTGACGTCGCCCAGAAGCTTGTCGCCGTACTCTTCGTCGCTATCCGAGTCCACGACCCACGTCTTAGGCTTAGCGGCCGCAGCGCGCTTGGATCTGGCCGCCCCGGTTTCCGACGGTTCGACAGACTCCGACTTGGTCACCGCCGCGGCACTTGATTTGGGCCTGCTCAGCGCGGCAAAGTCATTATCCGAGAAGCCGTCAGACCCACCGGCCAGCCCCTCGTCCTCGTCCTTCTCCTCCTTTGGCCTGACGGCGGCCTTGGCCGTGAACATCTCGGCAAAGCGCTGGTGTGCCTTGGTTTCCACCTTGGGGGCTGCCGCTGTTGCGGCCTTCTTGGGCCGGCCCTTGGTCTTCTTGCTAGGATCATATTCATCATCTTCCTTTGCGGCACCCTTGCGTCCACGACCAGCACCTATCTTCTTCGAGACGCGGCGGCCAAGACGGTTGATTGATGTCTGAATCTCGGCATCTAGGCGAAGTTGGCGTTCCCACTCCTCGACAAAGGCATCCAGGTCGGTGCACCACAGATCCTTCTCGCTGAGGGCAAGCAGCTCATCGTGTTCCTTCTTCTTCTTGGCAATCTGCTCCTTGAGCCTCTCGAGACGCTCCGTTGTAAAAGACCAGATGGCCATCTATTTGCGCCTGCATGTTAGTAAAAAGACAAAAACAGACACGGTCATCTAAATCTGAGCGGACAAGACACTCATGTGATTTCCACTTACCGAGAGGAGGTAGTCGTAATCGCGCGCGCCCTGGGCGGTTTCCTTGTCAGTGTCTTCGTCTTCGTTCTCATTTTCGGCATCATCGTCCGTCGACTTCTTCTTCTCGAGGGGCGTCTTGGGGGAACGCCTCGTAGTCTTTTTCGCGAAGCTCCGTAACGATGGCAGCCTTTTTCTTGCGGTTGACGACTAGATCTGCATCCATGATTTCCTTGATGAAGCGGTACTGGTTCTTGAGCTTGCGGTAATCCGAATGGTACACGCCGAGCCAGTGCTTCTTGCGCTCCGTGTACATCTTGAATCGGTGGACGTAGAATTCTTCCATGATGTCCTCCGTCTTCTCGTACTTTCGAATCTGCCCGTTGCTGTCAAAGGCCACCAAGTTGGACGTGGCAATCTGCTTGCTGAGCTTGAATCGCTCGGCGATGCCTTCCTTGAGAACTGCATCGCGCGCCTTCTCATCGCTGAGCATGATCTCAAAGTGTACATTCTTGTGGTCGTTGAATTCCTTGTAGTCCTTGATCCATGACGGGCCTTTGGCACCGCTAATGATTTCCTCCAGCCGGGCCTTGAAGTCATCCGTCCAGGTTCGGATGGGCAGCTCGGTGATGACAATCTCGTTCGGGTTCTTCTCATTTTGGTAGGCGATACCGTTGAACTTGTACCTGTCCGGGCCCGCAGGCTCGCTGGTTCCCTTCCAGCCGCGGAACCAAGGCGACATCGGCTCAAACGGCTTTTCCTCGTCATCGCTCTTCTCGAGCCTACCCATTCGTCGCTTGATGTTGTTGACAATGTCCATGGGATGGTAGTTTGGGATCGAAGTGCTCCAGCCGGTACCAATACCGTCTGCACCGTTGACCAACACCATGGGCACGACGGGACAGTAGACCTTGGGCTCGATCGCCTGGCCATCCTCGATTTGGAATTCAAGGTTGGGCTCATCGAGCGCCGAGAACACTTTGCGCGCGAAAGGCGAAAGGCGCGTGTAGATATATCGGGCGCTGGCAGCATCCGATCCACCGGCAAGACGAGAACCGAAATTTCCGCTGGGCTCGAGGCAGTTGATGTTGTTGGAGCCGACAAAGTTCTGTGCTAGACCGATAATGGTCTGCTGCAGCGAGGCATCACCGTGGTGGTACGAAGTCAAGTGGGAGATGAAGCCAGCAAGATCGTTCACCTTTGATCCTTGACCAAGTTGCGCTTGAAACAGCTGTAAATGACCTTTCTCTGACCAGGCTTCAGACCGTCAAGGACGGAAGGAATAGAACGAATGTTATCTGCCATGCTGAACAGAATCAACTCCTTGTTGATGAAGTCAGTATAGGAGATAGTCTTCGTAGATTGGTCGAGGAAGGTCCCGGGCACGAAGTTCCCCAGCCACTCCTTTCGGGCGTCCGCCTTCTTCTTGGAGAAGGCTAGGTCAAGCATGTTGGCTTCAGTCGGTTGCATGACATCAAACTCCTTCAAGTGCTCATCTAGGTTGGTGAAGTAGACTTGGGCATCTTCGTTGGAAGAAGTACCCAGACCCTTGAAGTACTTGTAGTCCCACCTGGATAGTTCACTGCGGTGGGACTCCTTCCAGGCCTCATACTCAGGCTGGGTGAAGAACGACTTGAGCCTCTTGGGTTTCTTGGGATCGCTGCCCTGCCACACCTTGACGATGGGGGTGATGAACTCGCGGAAGAAGTCGGGAATTTGGAGAAGCGAAGGGTACTGGACCTGGAGGAAGTTGATCAGAAGACCCTTGATATGGCTACCGTCGTGATCCTGATCGGCCATGATCATGAGATGGCCATAGCGGAGGCCCTTGGTATCCGTGTAGACTTGCTTGTGCTTCAAGCCAAGGAATTGCTTGATATTCTGAATTTCCTGGTTCTTGGTAATCTGGTCGATCGACGCATCACGCACGTTGAGCATCTTACCCCTGAGGGGAAAGACGCCGATGCGGTCGGGATCGAGAATTGCACGACCCGCGATGGCCAAACTCTTGGCCGAGTCACCCTCAGTCAGAATCAGGGTGCACTCGTGGCCGTGGCGAGTTCCGGCAAAGTTGGCATCGACGAGCTTGGCGTTGTTGATACGGGACCGCTTGTTACCGTCGCTCTTGGCCATCATCTTGTCCGCCTTCTTCTCGGCAAAGTCGAGAATCTTCTGAATGGCATCCGACTTGGTGATCTTCTTGAGGAAATCCTCGGAAAGCGAGCATTTACTACCAAATTGGCTGACCTTGGTCGTCATTTGTTCCTTTGTCTGCGAGTTGAAAGAAGGGTTGTCGACCAGGCAGTTGATGAAGATGAAGAGATGGTTGCGGATATGATTCTGCTTGAGGCCGTGACCCTTTGACTTTTTGTTCAAATGGGTCAAAAAGTAGTTGGTGATCTGGTCCGTGATGTAGTTGACATGATTTCCTCCCGACGTAGTCGCAATGGAATTGACGAAGGAAATTTGCTGGAACGCGCCATCGGAGACGGCAAAACCAACCTCCCAGCGTCGACTCGAGGTCTTGTCGACAAACACAGTCGTCTTGGGATCCCCGCCCTCCTCAGCCACGCGCTCACGGCTAATGGCACGCGCGTACAGTTCACAGTACGATTTGAAGTCCTTCAGCTTAAGCTGGTCACCGTTGAGCAGAACCTTGACACCCTTAAGGGTACCAGCCATGTCGTAGACTCGGCGGTAGATGAGGGCCTCAAGGTCGTCATCAATACCGCCCGGCATGCCGAAGCGGTCGAAGTCGGGCTTAAAGGTGATGCGGACAAAGCTAGCCGACTTGCTCGAGGTAATCTTGGGCTTACCAACCTTACTCATGTTGTCGTTCCATGTCTGCTTGTACCTCTTCCCGTTTTCGGCGTCTTGGACTTCAACGCTGAACTCAGTGCTGAAGATGTTACACAACTTGGCACCGAAACCATTGCGACCACCAACCGTCTTCTTCTCGAGATCATCGTAGTTGGAACCGGTTAACAGTTCGCCAAAAATCATGTGAGGAATGTACATTTTTCTTTCTACATCGCCAATTGTTAGCAATAGAATCTAAGAGTTTCAAGCGAGTGTTCTCATTATTTAGAGGCGAACATACCTCGTGAATCACGACTGGGATACCCTTGCCGTTGTTTTCCACGCTGATCTCTCCTTTGGCCCGATCGAGCGTGACCTTGAGATGCGTCATGGGGGTGTGGTCGGCCGTGTCTCTTTGCTTGTTGTCCGCAGCATTGACAAGAATTTCGTCAAAAATCTTGTAGAGACCAGGTACGAAATGAACCTTGCGCAGTTCCATTTCCTTTTTCTCCATGTTGAACACCCACATTTGCGATTCCGTCATTTCCACGGAACCGATATATGTGTCGGGACGCTTGATAATGTGCTCGAGCTGCGTCAGCTTCTGATACGTCTCGGTTGCGCTCTTCTTGGACCCAGGCTTTGCGGGGGTGGGGGCCGGCGAATCGATTTGCACGCTGTCATTTTCAATCTCGTTCAGGGGCTTTCCGCCGCCCGTCTTCTTCGACACCGCCTTCTTCAGCTTCTTGGAGCTGGGGGAGTGTGCGAATAGGAGACATCGTCGCCGGAGCCCTCGTCATCGCTGGTAGGCTTTGCCCTCTTCTTGCCGGTCAGGGTTGTCTGGGTGGTTTTCTTCGTGGCGGTCTTGGTCGTCTTGGGCTTGGGCTTTGGGGCAGCCTTGGCCTTTGGCTTCTGTAGATTTCCTGTATTAGAATGACTACGCGCGCCTTCTACTTGCAGCGGGGCTAGCTTTGTCCTTACCTCGGGAGTGTAGCCCTCGGATTCCTCGCCGAGGCTGGCGACCGAGGAGTCGAACGCGTCGAGATCCAGAGTCATGATTGTGGGACGGTCGCTGTGGACCAGAAAAGGTGTGAGCCGGCGAGTCCCTCAGATCTGTACTTGCGAGGCGAAGGGGGCCTTTTTCCTTATCCTCCTGTTTTTATTTGGGGAGGGGGCGACCTTAAAAGGGTTCAAGGCAAAGTGGGACCAGAAAAATTGTCGAAACTCCAAGTTCGCTTTGCCTCAAACCTGGGAGAAGGATAGAAACGAGTGGTGTAGGTTGGAGATGCAGAAGGAAAGTGCAAGAGGGGTATGGTTAGGAGCCCAGCTCGCCTTGAAAAAAAAATGTCGTTCGAAAAACCCCCGATGAAGCGTCGTTGGGCGGCTGCAATGTTTGTTGTCGTGATAATTGATTGGCACCGCGTAAACAAACGAGGGCGCGTTGAAGTCTCTCCATGCATCGACAGGGGTCCTCGATTACGTAAACCGTGTTATGGATTCTCTTTTGGGCTGCACCTTCCAACGTCAATCCAAGCCTCTGTCAAGTTCGGTCCTGTTCAATTGCCATCAGCTGTCAACTCTTCTTTCCCTTTCTGTTTGATTTTCAACATCAGACGGAGCACGCACTCCTTCCTTGAGGAGCCACAGGTTTTGACTCAGATTTACTCAAATACAATTCTATTGTACGCGTAAGCCATAGCTTCAGCTTTAAGATTGAACCTTCCCATCATACGTGCTGTGCTCGTTGATTCTCTAAATACTTGAGATAACAACAAATCGTCTTCCCAGCGCCTCATCCTCGGCTCTACCCGCTTGGGCCATTCTCAGGAGCCATTCTGCTCTCAGCCAACGGAGTATCGCGGGCGAGCATGGTGCTCCTTTGTTATCAAGATGAATTCTTCTCGCAGATTGAAACCCATAATCAAAAATCTTGCTTGACACTAATTTTTGACTGGAAAATCCACCGGGATGTCTCCATCTTTGACTTTGACCCCATCCTCCCTCCCCCAAGCGGCCGAGGTTGTTGCCATTGACACTTCTTATCATGAACCATCACCTCTGATAAAGCAACTCGCCAAATGCCGGTACTCGCTCTGCGGCAGTGTCGTGACACATCACGAGGTTCTCTCCTGTTGCACTCGCCTCCGCATCGTGCAACGCGGCGGTTGGACGAGCTGAAGATGTACGATCTCTGAACCGTCTTCTATTAAGGTTGGTGTCTCGTTGGTTCCTACACCATGTCATTGCGTTGTGAACCCTGTCTTTCTCTGCACGTGTGTCGATTCTTGTTGCCTTGTGGATTGCGAGCTCGATACGCTGTGGCAAGTAGGCCTGCGACTGAGGAGCTGTATAGGCCACGTCCTAGGCTCCCGAGGACCTGAACAAGGAGCGGCGCTTGGATCGAACGTAAAGCATCAGGCTGTTGTTTCTCTTCCAATCTCACAAATGGCCTGATAGAATGGTCTAGCGCCGCAATACTGAGCTACTTGGTTGACGGCAGTACTGGCCTGACTTTCCCCGACCAACCCCGGAGCGTATACCCCCTGGCTCCTACACTTAACATCTTGAATAAGGGCTTTTCGCTGGTCAGGGGATGGATGCTGTGCGACGCCCATACGTCCCCGCGCCTAGACCAACGCCAGCCTTCGCTTTCTTGCTCGCACCGCATCATGTATTGCCATTCCTCTAGGGGGACAATATGGGAATCGATGCACACGTCCGATTTCAGCGCACTCCCAGTTACACCGCACCACATGTGTGCCGGGTACTCTCACTTTGCCAACACCCGTCGTAACACCCGGTAATCATTGTATCCTCATCTGAAACCTACTGACCTCCCCAGGGGTGCATTTTATCTACCCTCTTCGAGCCTCTCGGTGGCCATTCTTAATTCGGAAATCTAGCATTCTGGCCCAAGGGAGCAGGGCGGGGATGCTTCTTTTCGATCGGGCCTGATGGTGGAAACGCAAGAAATGTTCGGTTAGTGGGTTCCGAATCGTGGTAGGACATCGCCTGTCGGCAACGTCGGAGATGGAAAGGGGCTGACTCCCTGAATGGTATTCCCGCTGTTTGCCTGCCACGGGCCTCCGCTCCTAGTCCTGCTCAAGCTTCTTGCGCGCAGTTGCCGTGCTTCTATAGAGAGGAACCCACAGGGAGAGGAGAAGTAGGCAGGGTTGGGTTCTGCTATCTGGACGGCCTTTGAGACGTGCCTCGCCTTGGGTGAAAAGGGCCAAGCTGACTCCTCTGGCCTCTCTGTAGGATCAAGGAGCATATAGCTTCAGGAACAAGCACGATCACCACCAAAGAAAGGATCTCACGGGTGTCAGTGACATTGTGGAGGGCATGTGGGGACCCCCTTGTCTGTCCGGCTGCCCGCAGCCGTGGAGATACAGCCTCTACGAGTGGCAACAGAGGCTGACTTTATCCCAGGGAACTAGGGACTCGAGGAGCATGGATCGTCGTTGCTTTGGTGTTCGCGTTTGGTTGGGTTAGCACTCCTGCCGTGCTGCACTGACCGGGCTCGGCAGGCGACGACCTCGTTTAGAGAGGCGGAGGAGGGAAAAGTCGGGTTGTCTAGCCAATAAGGGGGCCTATGCTGTACCTCTCTGCCCATGGATATCTTGATGCTGTCAAGCCTAGATGCTCTCCCTTCTTGCTTCTCTCGAAAGTTTCCTTCCCTGCTGGCCCCCCTCCGGGGCATCCGCCACCCTGCACTTCACTGGTGGCGTTTGGCACCATGACCCGCGCGCGTTTCGAGACGTCTGCCTCCTGCAGGGCGAAACACGGAGACAAGGGTAATACATTTTACACTCAACAAGAAAAACAAATAGTTCCGGTACATGGACGGAGGCGTCGGGGGTGGGTGGGTGGAAACTTGCATTTCTCTGGGGAGAGCGGTCGGGGGTGCAAAAGGATGCGGCGAGCAATGGGGCTTGCCTATTGGCTCGGTCAAGTGAAGAGACAGCTTCCTGTACCCTCCCCTACCTCTTCGGACATTTTTTCCTTCTTCTTCTCGATCTCTGTCGTCTTGTCCTTTGTGTGTACGTCGGGCAAGCTCGTGGGGGAAGAGGTAACCAAGCTGGTGCTGGGGTGGGTGCCACGGGAGCTGTAACCCTCACGTCTCGCTTGGGCGTCGACCTATGGAGGGGCGTCGGACAGACCAAAAAACTTTTTCTCTCCCATCTACCCTTTTCTTTTTCTCCTTTTCTCCATGGTACTAGGCTTCTCGAAGCAGTGTCTGAAGGTCTCCTGGCTGGCTTCCACAAAAGTGTTGAGTTGACAGCGGCTGTATGCAGACATCCACCATTCCACTCACACGATAGAGAGGAGCACAAACTCTCTCCCTCCTTCCATTTGCGCTGGCTCGTCGAACGAGACCGGAGGATAAAGCAAGGAGGTGGGAGGTGTTGGTACGTTGTGGAGGCTACTCGTTTCCTTGTCGAAGCCATGGTGGATATTATTTTCTTTTTCCCCTCATCTTACCTCGCCGCTGTTCGATTTTGGTGGAAGGACTTTTCGAATCCATCGACCTGCTTCGAGGAAAAGTGGTCCTCGGAAGTGGGCGTTGGACTCTTTCTTACTCACAACACGCACATGGTCAAGCCATCTCAACATACGGTCGTGTTTTCGGGCCCTCTTTTCGCTGTCCGATCCTTGAAAATCAATGGTTCCCCTCGGGCGCCTTTTTCTCCTTTCTTTCTTTCTTTTTTTTTTTTTCTTTTCTTCTTCCTTCTTTTGGTGAGCCTGCCGGTGCCGAAACCGACTCTCTCGCCCACCTCACCTCGTTCTCGGGACATGGATGCAGGCTGCAAACGCAAGCCACGCTCATTTCTTTTTGTCCAGCTAACTCTTCTCACGACTGAAGGGGGAAGTGAGTGAGAGGATAAAAGAAGAAATGGCCATCGCGTACTTCGAGTCAATAGGGAGAAAAAGCAAATTCCATCGCCCTCTGCTTTCTCTTGCCGGCATCGCCGCGGTGGTCCTGTGGAGTTTGCGAATACCCGGTGGTATGTATGCCGCCCATCGCTGCACGCATTCTCCGTTTCTTTGATCCTGCCTCTCGGTCTTTTTTCCCCTCGCTCCCCCTTCCCCGGAGCAAGGAAGCAGATGGTTGTCTTGAAGGCACCCTAACAAAAGGAAAGTGGAAGGAAGAAAGAAAGAAAGAAATGGGAAAAGAGAAAAGAGGAAAGGGAAAAGAAATGTGCCACTGACGGGAGCCTTTCTGCATCTATCCGCCTCCCTCCGCGAGTGGACGATTCGCATCCGCACCCCCTCCATCTTCGGGCCCTTCCATTAGCATCTCCACCTTGGCCAACGCCCCCTCCGCCTCTCACTTTTACTCTCTCGTCCCTTGTTTTCTTTTTTCTTTTCTCTTCTTTCTTTCTGAGTACGTATCTTGTTTTCCCAATATGCACCTGCCCTGCTGGCCTTGTTTGGGTCCCGTTCCTGATGCGCGTACTCTTTTCGCTTGCCCAAACTTAGGCCTAGCATCTCTCACTTTGCTGTTCTGCCCTGATCGTCATATCTAAGCATGCGAGTGCGAGAGAGAGGGAGATAGAGAGAGTAGGAGAGGGAGGAGAGAGAGGATTGAATAGGGAAAAGAGAACGAAAAAAACAAAAGGAACGACGAGGGGTGCAGATACACATTCGCACATGAAGTCTCCTCGTCTTTTGGGACCTCATGCACGGCCTTGCTAGCTTGGTCTCTGGTCATGAACCACCTTTTTGAAGAATATGTCAGAGTCTTTATCTGACGCGGGTTTCTTTAGCATCTGAACCACCGTTGGCCATTTGCTTTCGGTCCACACCGCTGGCGAGATCTACTGAAACCACGCTAAACTTGATTTTGTCATTGACGTCCCTTCCTCGTTTTGGAGAGTCGTTACTTTTTCTTCACCCTAACCTTGCCTCCCCTTCTCCATCTAGGGGTATGACACTGCCCCGTATATTGTCTATCTCAGGCCTGCGGGTGTTTGATTGGGCTCCAGAGCCTCTAGATGAAAGAGTACCGGCCACAAAACGGGGGAGGGGTGTGGTGTCTATGTGTGCGTGTGTGGGGTGGATAATTCGAACCCATCGAAAGAGGTGTGGGAATAGGGGATGGGGAGAGGCAACGTAGGAGAGAGAGAGAGAGAATGAGAGAGAAAGAGGAGGCGAGAGACAGCTGAGGGTGAGCGAGAGAGAGAGAGAGAGAGAGCGTGTGTGTGTGTGTGTGAAAGAGGGAGCGGCGGAGGGGAGAGAGACAGGCAGAGAAAGCGTTAAGTGACGGAGAAGGAGTGATGACGATGGTGATGGCGATGATGGTGATGAAGTAACTAAGAGCAAGCGCTCGATGCGTTTCGTTCTTGCTTTCTGCAGCGGGGCGTAACTTGCTACCTCTCCCGGGGGAGAGTCCCCTCTGGGGGACATGAGTACAACAAGAGATCGGCACAGAAGAGGTAGAGGCGTAGGCAAAGGCGGCGCAATGAATGGTGGCGACGGAAGCGCCAGTGGCCCGCAAAGGGGACAATCAATCACCTGGAGGAAACAGGCTTGGCCCGCCTTGTTTGACGAAAGCTCGTCTCTAAACATGGACGCGATACATCCCTGAGACCGAGACATCTTTGCCCTAGGAAGACCCTAGTACAACCATCGAGGAGCCCTTTCCCGGACACATGCTCCACGAAGGGGATACGCGCACACGTATACATACGATACACACGCACACATACACACACATACACACACGCACGCACATATCGACACGCACACATAGGCACACACACACACGCATACACGTCCACACACATACCCCATACCGAGCATTCACAAACTCACACCATAGAGCTCACATATTGTGGGAACACGCTGCCGACCCGTGGATAAATCTTGTTCTTCTTTGCTGCCGCCGCTCCGCTCAAGGCCCACCGCAACAAGCGCCTACATGTAGCTTCAGCTTTCTCATCTCGAAATTACACGCTGATGACTGACAGCTAAGATTATCCTAACCTCGCGCACTCTCCGCTTATCCAATCCAAGACCCTTGTCGTTTACGAAAAGGGAAGAAAAAGGAACAGGTTCAAAAAAGAAGAGGGCCAGCTTCACCCGCCTCTCTCGAAGGGCGTATCCTCCCTCGTTTCTTTTTTCTTTTCTTTTCTTTTCTTTCTTTCTTCCTTTACTTCATTCATCACCCAGCGACCCCACCTTGATCTGTCCCAAGGACCGACGTCTGGCTCTCACACCCCTGTCCTATAGCACTAGACCTCTCCTCGCCCCGTGTGCTACTGCTGTGAAAGATCGTCGAATGGGCGTGTAGGGTGTAGAGTTCGTCGCCACCCTCCCTCTCCGTATATCCCCGTCAGCTCCCTTGACTTCTCCCTTCATCGCGTCCTACCTCCCGCCTCGTTATCCGTAGCCTCTCTTCCTCTTTGAGCCGGTGGCTACATCGGTCACCTATCATCTGGTGGCTTGCACCTCGACAATCGGTCTGAAGAAGCGGTGGGAGTTCCACAAACGGACGCCAAGGGCACCCAGAGGCTCGATCCCAAACCGCCCTCCGGATTCTCCAAGTTGGGACAAAGAGGATACTAGTAAAGGGGAGGAAAAAAGAAAGCCCACCCCTACACGAAAAGTCTCTTACACTTGCATCCACTCTTTCCGACGCGAACTATACCGGAGTTTTCTTTATTGAAAGGACGAAACGCAATCCTTGGGGAAGCGCAGAGAAGGCTCAAAAAGGCCTAGCAATCAAGACATGCGACATATCTCCCAATTACTTGTTTAGCTTTCTGCTCTCCATCCGCCCAACCCACAGCCATTCCACATGATCTTCTAGAAGTCTTGGGTACGAAGGAAGAAGAGGGAGAGGAAGAAGTCGAAGGAGACGGGGAGTAAAGGAAGCTGTCTTGACTAGGAACCGAGGGCACCTTCCACTTCACCTTCCCTGATACACCAGTCCCAGACCACACTGCAGGAGCATCCAAGTGCTGGTTTGGCAGGAGAAGGAGCGAGTTCCTGTGACAAGGTGGCAACGGTTGTGCCTGGAAAAGAGGGCTTGTCCGCCCCTTCTCTCTTTTCTTGCCCCAAACCTTTCCACGGCCCGATCTTTCTTTCCCTTCTTGATCAGGGGAAACCGCCATTGCCGTGGACCGAAACGCACTGGGAAAGCACTACACCCTCCCAATCCTGCTGGTAAGTCTAGTTCACCCCGGACCAATACAGTGCATTGCTCGGCAGCCCTGCCCGGAGCATAGCGAGTCCATCTAGCCCCGTCTGAGCGACATTAATCATGGATATCTTGATCAATCAAGACCTCAAGCTCCCGCCACTCTCCGATACAGCATTGGTTGTGGTCAAAAGCATACATATACACGCAGCCCTCGCGCATCCACATACCCACACATACTCCCACACATACTCTTACATATACTCCCACACATATGCCTCCTCGCTTCCATACATTGGATCCATATATACGTACATCCGTGGATGGAATGGATACATTCATCCATTGGATCCATATTTCCCATCTTGGTATCCCCAACTCTAGACCCGGCGTCCTTTGTTTGCTGGTCTCCACCTCCACCCCTAAGCCCCCAAGCAAGAGATGAAGAGGCAGGAAGACTTGACCCAGGCTTGACATCGACCCCAACCTACTTCCTTTCCTACAGAGGCGCTTTTTGAGCACCCCTCCCATGCTCTACACCCCCTTTCGTCCCTCTTGCACCCCTCCCCCTTGCTCCCTCTTCCATTACTTCATTCATGCTCTGAGTTTTATTATTTCCTGCCTTTCCCTTTCAACAACCCTGCTACCCAACCCTCCTTCCCATTCGTCCTTCTTTGCCTTCACTCCAAGCATAGCGGTTCACCTAAGCCTGGATAGCATAGGGATCCTTACATTTGTCTCCTTAACCTTCACCTAAACTCCGGCCTCTTTTCCTTCGAATAAAACCTGTCCGCCATCTATATCTATATCACCTGTTGAATTTCTAGCGAGGACCACACTTATTGCCCTGACCTAATCCTTCCCTGTGTCCCACAGCATAGCGCCACGTCGGCACCTGGCCCTGCGACGAGAATACTCCAAGGTTTCCGAAACGATACCCGACTTGCTGTCCAGCTTGACCGCAGAATCCTCTTTTTGCGTTTCTCTTTCAGTTCCCCACCTCTTCTTTGAGTAGTGGCAAAGCTCGTAACATATCTTGTCTACAGCTTTCTCGGAGCCATGCTGTCACTATCGTCTCTCTAAATCCGGCGCCCCCGCCGGGCCGCAGGAGCCTCGACTCCGTGCGAGCCCGACGCTGTCCTCCCCGACAACGTCGTATCTAGAAACTGAGATGTTACCGTCCTTTGACCGCCCCATTTTCTCCAGGATCAAGATGAGAGACTCTGGAAGCTTTACAAAGACAGCACGCCCGAGAGGCACTATCAAGTTTCATCCGTACGAAGAATTAGACGAACTCTCGATGAGGGAAATCGCCAAGTTCCAAGTCACACCATTCGGCAGAATCAAGGAGTGCTGTGCCCATATCCCATACAACAGTGGGAAGAAAGACTTCTATGAAAAGACGGGCCGCGAGAGCTTTGAAGGTGGGTTGCCAAGTTCCAAGACGCGAAGTCCGAGGGTGGCAAGCAAGACGGCCAGACGCACGAGAAGCGGCTCAAATCATGAGCTAACGTGGAGTTGATTTTTCTTGTGTGCAGTATTCAAGTACGAGTTCAGGGTTCCTGGAGACGACACCGAATACACGGTTATGTGGGACTACAATGTCGGACTAGTTCGCATGACGCCCTTTTTCAAATGCTGCCAATACGGCAAGGTATGCGCATCTCCTCATCGACTGAATCTGGTGCATATGGGAGAGATGTCCTGTCTCGTCTAACGCTACTCGATAGACCATGCCCGCCAAGATGCTGAGCTTGAACCCTGGCCTCAAGGACATAACCCATAGCATCACTGGCGGTGCCATATCTGCACAAGGTGAGTCCTCATTTTGACGTGGATCGGGCTGAGGGAGAGCCGCATTTGCCGAGGAGGCGAATGCGAAGGCTCGCAAGTAGCTGACGGGCGACGTGAGCTAGGTTACTGGATGCCATATTACTGCGCCCGTGCTGTTTGCGCAACATTTTGCTACAAGATTGCGGGTGCCTTGGTTCCAATTTTTGGACCTTCGTTTCCTGCGCTGTGCATTCGGCCAGACTCGCCAGAGTATGGTCGGATGACGATCAACCCACGAATCATTGCAGATGCGGCCTGCGAAGCGGAGCTGAGCCGACGCCATCACTTGAGTATGCACAGCCCCCGAGGAACGCTGTCCGGTTCGAATAGTCCTCGAAGCACACGGACCCCGGCGAGGAGCACGCCCGAGGGGACCTGTATCCCAGCAGCAGCCACCGGCAGCCGCACAATCCCCTCCGACTCAAGCCACGGGGCCCCTCTGCGACAGCCCTTACAATACAGACTCGGAAGAGAGCTACCATAGGGTGGCTCCCGATTCTGCGAGCGTCTCTTCCAATTCTACATCCTCTAGTGCTTACTTTTATACGCCCGCCGCGCTGGCACCACCAGTTCATAACCCTCCCCGAACTTCAGGCTGGACACCCGCCAACCAGCCACCAGCGAGCGCGTATCCTCGAGATGACCCGTACCTCGGTAGCCCTTGGCTTAGCGCAGTCCCGCGTTTCGCCCCTACGAATTCGGCACATAAGTCACCACATCTTCGCCCATGGCAAAGCGGCGGCGGCAGCAGCCATAGCACTATCGGAAAGAGACCGATGGAAACCGATCATGACCACGGGTACGATGCAGGCGGCGAGAGCCTTGCGGGTAGCCCGGTAACGATGAGAGGCCGAGAGCCCGGTGGCATGGTGCCAGAGAAGCCTGGTCAACACCAACACCTAGGGCCACGAGGATTTGTAAGACGCACCGGTGGCATGGAGAAAAATGCGGCACTGCTGCTAATGAATCTTAGTGTTAGGGACGGAGGTCTGATGGAGAGATGTGCTGAGAGAGCCGTCGAGGAACTCCATCGCTCAAAACGACGGCGGGCAAGCTCGATGTGACTAGAGTAGCATCGCCGTCATGACGGATGCCGGTCTTGCTACTGTCATTCTCTCTCGTCTTTCTACAGCCGGCTTTCTTTCTTTCTTTCTTTTTCCCTTTCCCTTCCCCCCTTTTCCCTGTTCCCCTTGGCTATCACTCATCACGACATACTACCTCTATCTTTTTTTCATCTTCTTTTTACAGCCACCTATTTTACTCCTCCCCTTCCCCACTCTTAATATGCAAGGATTCGAGAAAGAGAGTAGCCTCGACCTCATTTTAGTTGGATACGATTCTTGTCAGAAGAAGACCGAAGGCTCATGACTCGAGAATCCTCAAGTCTGATGGGAGAGAAGGAACGAATTTGCATCAATGTATGGATGGACATGGGGCGTTGGGGCGTGTGTAGTCGTTTAGTGGCCTCGGGCCTTGGTTTGCATTTGGACCGGAACTGAAGTGTTTGCGTTAGTGGAGTTGCGTGTTGTCTATGAATGATTGGAGAGATCCGCCCCCGAGCTTGCTTCTTCACCCAGATGGTTGCTTTTGCTCCACGCCCACTCTTGTTTAATCTCCGCTGCATGGGGTTCTGACTTTCGACTTTTTTCTCATCTTTTTTCTCTTTTTCTTTTCTTTTCTTTTTCTTTTTTGGCTTGTCATACTTGAACATTGGACATTGGTGGCGTTTCTTTTTTACTTCTTTGGTTTTTGGTTGCCAAACTTGCTTTCCCTTTGTCATTTCAAGTGGTTGACTTCAGTTCTTCTGATCCAGCCAGCGGAGGCACTAACGCAACACAAGATATCACGGAACACTGGGATGATGACCCCTCCACGCGGATTTCTCATTTTAACTCATTCTCTATCTTCTTTCCCCCTTTTCAATCCTCTCTCTTTCCTTTGCGAGATAAACCCTCTTCTAATTCCTTTGTACTTGCCCTGAAGATGAATACCGCTGTTCTTGTTATTGTTGTACGCCAAAAGTGTAGAAAAGCCGACGGAGGGGAAAGGCGGTCTGGGCCAAAGGGAGAAGAAAAAGAAAGGCCTTGGGCGAGGGTCAATACGCCATAGGAAAACGTCCCTCTATGTTTGCTGCGCCACATGTAAGTGTAGAGGCGAGGAGAGAGGTAGTTCGGGAAGGCAAGCCGAAGACGGGCGTCGTGCCTTGGGGAGAAGTGGCAAAGTTGAGGGTTTGGATGAGATAAATGAGGCTTTGGAGACTTGGCTATGTTTGCCAAGGTGGATATTGGACAGAGAGACCTTTCTTGTTACTACTAGCTAGAGGCGGAGGCCCGAGTGCAAATGCCATGTCATGCGCCGACGATCTCGATTATGGTTCCATATTGGACGATCTACCTGAAAAAGAGCACTACACTAAAGAGCACTTTACTTTTTCTTCTCCTCTAACCACTGAATAGGGTATACCGAGGTATGGGTGGCGGGAGGGAGAAGCTCGACATTGCTAGTTGGGATGCCGGTGAGGACATGCCCCAGAGGGTAGCAAGGTATCTGGGGGAGGTACAGAGGTAGAGGAGATTGTGGGAGCGTGTGTGGCGGTGACAAAAAAAGAGAGAGAGAGAGAGAGAGAGAGAGAGCGTGTGGCAAGGTGGTTGGGCTAGCACGGAGGTGGGGGGCGTGCGAGCAGACGGGCATCAACGAAGAATTTCATGTGGACTCGTTCCCCTGCCTGCCTCTTGCTTTGTCGGAGGTAGGGAGGGGATGGCCTTTGTCTTTTCTTTACCTTTGGGCTTGAGAGGGGGGACGAGGACGAGGCCGGGTACGGTCTACCTCGGGGAAGGCCAGGGAGACTTGGGGAAGACCATTTCTTGGCATCGTCTCGAGACATGATGCCTGGACGAGGACTGACGTTCCGGAGAAAGGTAGGGCGCGGGGGTGTGGGAAAGGGGGTAAGGATGAGAGTGGGAGACATGGCTGCCTCGGCATCGGATCTCTCTTTCTCTCTCTCTCTTTAATTCTTTCTGTTGCCTCCCCCGAGTAGGTGGTCAGAGGGAAGGGATGAGCAGAGGAGCAGACCAGCGGCAATTGCTTTTCTGTGACGCCGTCATTGTCGTCGTCATATCAACACCGGACGTGATACACGCGCGCCCCCTCCCATCTCATCTTCGTCTTCTCCCTTCCCCTTCCATTCATCTTTCTGTCAGGTTTTGTTTTTCTTTTTCTTCTTTCTCTTCTCCTTGGCTCCTGGAGGGGGTTTGCCACGTCGGTGGGATGGGCACAGTTCTCTGGTTGCCCTGGTTGGCCGTGCCATCACTACTCTGCTCTTCGAACAAAGAGCAAGAAGGGGAGGGTGAGCAAAACGCAAGCCCTCGGAGCTTTCCAGTTTCTGCATCACCGCCACTCTCTCCCCGTTCTCTCCCTTTCCTGGTCACCCGTCCAGTCCGTCACCCGGCACCCCCGAGTAGGCGTTTTTGCATTGTTTTTTTCCCCCTTCCTCTTTCTCGAAATGACGTGTTTTTAGTACTTGTTTTTCTTCTCCTTTTGTCCCGTCCAGTCTGCCTAAAGGGGAAGGGGGAGACATGGGGAAGAAATAGAGGCTTGAGGCCGAGGGGAGTCGAGGTAGTGGTGATTCGAAGAACTCGGTCGTCCAAATTTCCGAGGAAGTGTCGACACATTGCCCAAAAGGGAAATGGAGGGAGTGACGGGGAAAGTAAACGAACGAAGAAGAAAAAAAAAGAAAGGAAACTCTCCTATTGGAAGAGAGCCGGAGAGTAGACAAGAGGTGCAGTAGAAGACTGGCGACGGAGGAACGGAGCACGATATCGAGGGAAATAAAGTAATATGCACCAATTTACCGGGGCCCAAAAAGAAAAGAAAAAGGGTAGAGAGATATTGAGGCCAAGATGAAAGAAGGAAGAACAACAATGACAGCGAGCATTGATTGAAGCCAAAGCGCTTTTTCTCTTGTTCCCTTTTCCCCAACTGCCTTCATTTCACCGGCTCGCGCATCTCGCTCCCCATTTTTCTTTTTGTTTTTTGTTCAATCTTCCTTCACCTCTTGCCCGCCGCGGCAGCCATCTCCTTGGCCCTCTGCTCCTTATACTTGACCACCCAATCCGCCGCCCCCGCCTTGGGCACGACAAAAATCCTGACAACCTGATCCACGACCTCGACCTTGCCGCCGGCGAGCACCTTGAGCAAGGGCAGCTTCCGGCCCATCTTGAGCAAGCCGCCCGCGGGCGTCTCGACGTAGCACTCGACCCCGAGAGCCGTGTACTCGCCGCGGGCGTCCCACGGCAAAGGAAACACGTAGGCGAGGTGATCCGCCAGCGTCTGCGTCTCGTTGAACTCCTTGATGAAGTCCGTCTCGAGGTGCAGCGGGTACAGCAGCAGCGCCGGGAACGATAGGTGCGAGGCCGGATCGTCCTCGTCCGGCACGAGCTTGACGCGCGCGTCCTCCATGTCGGGCGGTTTCGGCGTAGAGCGCATGCGGATCCCGCGCGCCGCAATCGCCGCCGCTAACACGGTGGCGCGGTGCTGGGTCTGCGCCGCGCGCTCCTCGTCGGCGCGTTTCTTGGCCAGCACGGTCGCGGCGCGGCGGGCAATCTCGGCGGCGAGCCCGAGGAGGGCCGGGTTCGCCGGGTCCACGGTCAGACCACGGGCGCAGGCGTCGTCGGCCTCTTCGATGCGGTCGACGCGTAAGAGGGCGCGCGCGGACCGGTAGTACGCCTTGACGTTGCGGGGTTGAGGCGTAGTGCTGCCGCGCCGTCGAGCCAGCACGCGCGGTAGTTTTGTAGCTCGAGGTGGCACGCGGCGCGGTTTGCGTACATGGTCTCGAGGAGCGCTCGTTGCTGCCGTACCGTCTCCTCGGCGTCGGGGTCCTCCTCCTCCTCCTCTTCGCCTTCGGCCGGTACCCGCCGCGTCGGCTTCTCGCCCCGGGCGCGCCTCCTCTCCTCGTACCATAGAATGTTGATGCCCTTGCCGTAGCAGTCCCTAGCCATGTCCCACCGCTTCGCCTTGAACGCCTCGTTGCCCTGCTCCTTCATCTCGCCCGCGTTCTCGAGCGGGGTACCCTCGTACGCGAGCGCCTTGAGCGCCTCCATGTCGTCGTTGTCTTCAATGTCCGTCATGAAGAGGGGCGACTTGTTCAGGTCCTGGAGGATATCGCTCATGTCGCGCGTCGGAGGCGGCGTGGGCCCCAGGTTGACAGCATTGGTCGGCGAGTCCGTGGCTGTGGGAGCGGATGCGGGCGCGGGCACGGGCGCGGGCGCAGGAGCCGGCGGCTTGGGTGTTTCCTCGGCCTTGGTATCGATGGACTCGGCCTCGACCGCATCGCTAATTTCGGTAAGCTTCATTTTGGTGGGTTCTCAACGGAAAGGAAATAGTGTTTAGTGCGTAGGGTTTTATCTTCCCCTCTGCTGATCCTATATAAAGAAAACAAGCAGGCAGAGTCTCCGTCCTTCCGTCTGGCTTGCTGGGGCGGGGAACTCGTTCTTGACGACACCCCACTATCTCTGACAAGCTCACTGGAACTCGTCAGTCTCTTTTTGTGAGGCGTGATTTGTATGCTCGTGCTTGGCGCAGAGCTTGGATTATCGTGGCTTTATTTCGAGAGAGGGAGAGCGCACCGATGACGTCTGGGATCGTTGCGGGGGAGGTTGTTCAAGCTGGGACTGAAGAGACGTTCAAAAGCTTTGTCGTTGGTGGGGTTGCCAATATTTTCTTATCGATAAGAATTATCAATGATACCCCGGTCCATGTCTTGTTTTCTTTCTTTTCTTTTCTTTTTCCTCTTTTTTCCTTTTTCTTTCCCCATTTCCCTTCTCTTTACTTTTCTTTCTGCTTCTTCGTTCTTCTTGTTTTGGATTGAAACCGACATGCAGAATGACACTTCATCTTACCTTTTTCCTTCATGCTTCATTTTGTTTCATTTCTCCTTTTGCCACATCTGTAGTCTCTCTCGCTCTGCGTCTAAGCCATTTTCTTCATCCTTTCCATTGGTCTTTGCGTGTATTATGCATGTGCTTGAGTCGACATCGTATTAAGTAATCCTCGTATTAGTCTTCACTACGCCTAGTACAAACTCTGGTAACTTCGTATCATTAACACGACATCTCCATTTGTATTTCCATCGGCTACATCTCCACTTGTATTTCTATCGGCTACATCAGCATCGCTACATGACTACCCAAGTACGAAACAAGTGCAGATTGAAAACAAGCAAGTCCGCATATGGCCAGCCCACTACATCCTCGTTGTAGACCCTCGCGTACTTCAAGTTCTGTTCAACAATCATGTCCCCATCCGCAACATCTCGCCTCAATCCATTAACTTTATATATAACCCTCCCAACTTCCATCATCCACCCTCTCCAGCAATAACCAACAATGCGTAAACGCTGCAGACTGCGAAACAACAAACAAATAGAGAAGCAGACCTGACACCAGCCCTTTTACGCCATGCATTTCAAGGCTGTTAAATCAATACAAGAAAACATAAAGACATCCCCAAAGGTGAGGTCCATAAAAGAGAGGAACTCCGTGGAATGCGTTCCCTTCCGTGACCGTGACTCCAAAAAAACGATTGGTGGTGTAAATCAAATGTAACTTTTATGAAGCCTTGCTGCGTCGTTTTTCCGAGGTAAAAGAAGAAAAATGAACCCCACCCTCATCGCAGTTGACGTTGGGAGAAGAGGGGCAAGGGGTACCCATGAATTCTAGACAAGGGTGTGATGTCCCCCAAATGAGAGGGGAGTGCGGCGCTGGAAATTCCCAGTTGGAGATTCATGTCTTTAACCTGTGAATCAAAGACTCGAGATGGCAGAGGCAGGAAACTTGTGAAAATGCCACCCGACTAGAGCCGGGAATCTAGAGGTACGTGGTGGTGGGGCGACTAAGGGCGGAACAACCTCTCGAGGTCATTTCGAGGAAGTCGAGGGAAATCGTTCGTCTGTCGAGCTCATTCCTGAGGGGTGCTCGTGCTCTCGCATACTCTCTCCACCTCCTCATCCGCGGCCACCTTTCGCTTGCGCTCCACCGAGAAGCACTGGATGGAGCCCACTACCGCAGCTAGCGCGCTACCAAACCATGCAATTGCTGTGCAATCCATCCTGCTGCCCATGCCGTACAGGTATCCGGCTACCGGCGGCGCGACCATGCGGCAAGCCGCGCCTGCGCTGGCTGCCAACCCATTGACCCTGCCAGCGCCTTCGGCGACGGCGCCGCGTCCTTGATAAGGATGAGCAGGAGCGGGTACAGAACAATGGAGAGGAGGTTGCGCAGCGTTAGACACAAGTAGATGGCTGGGTAGAGAAGACGCTCGGGAATATAGAGGAGCCCGGGCATGACGATATACACGAGCGGGTGCAGGACTGTCACGCCAATGAAGAGTCTATGAATACCAAACCGCTCGGCTGCCAATGGGAATATGACGGCCTGGATGAAGAGCGCGATGACGCCGTTGACAGCCATAATGCCACCCACAGCCCTAACTGTGAGCCCGAGACCGCCAGGCGAGTAAAGAAGAGCCGTCGAAGGAGCGCCGAGGGCGGCGGCTGCCCCAAGCCTACCGTTCATAGTGACGCGATCGTCTTCGAAGAAAATTGGGAGAAGGTGGTCGTACGTCATCGAGTGGTAGGTGAATATCGAGAGTGCCACGACGAGCGCCATGATAGGCTTGGTGAAGATGCTGCTAGACGTGACGACATCCTCCTTCTTTTCAGAACCGTCTACTGCTGGTCCAATATTGTTTGTGTTCGACTCGTCAAACGTTCCGTACGCGCCAGACCGCACATCGACGGGTGGTCTCTTAATGGCGTCCGATGTCTCGATCAGCGGGGTTTCGTCCGACATGTACACGACCTCGGCGAAGGGCCAGTCGGCGCCCTGAGATCGGGGTGCGTCTCTTCGAGTAGGAAGTAGCCGAGGACGACGCTAACTAAGAGTAGCGCAGCGCACACGAGGTTCGGGAGGAGGTACGGTAGCCTATGGAAGAGGCCACCCTCGGGGAAAAGCCCGGGCCAGACTTGGTGGGGATCGGCGAGGGTGCCCCGATCGCGGGGCCAATGATGGTGCCAATCGACCAGACAAAGGGCATGACGGAGAAAGCTCGGGCTAATCAGAGATGGGTTAGCAGGCAGAAAAGGTCGATTCTGTTATGACAAAATGGCATAAAGAGCGCAAAGCTCTACTGGAGGGAGGGCAGGGAGGGGAGGCGGACTCACGTTCGTGTTCGGGTTTCGTAACGAGCTCGCCCACCATAGTTTGGATGACGCCAATGTTTCCATTTAGAAGGCCGCCGAGGGCCCTGCCAAAGAGCGCAAACCAAATGTTACTGGCGAAACCAACCATGACCATGCTGAGTAACGTACCGAAGCAGCCTACGAGCAGGACGGGCTTGCGCCCGACCCGATCCGACAGGCCGCCCCAGTACATGCCAGTCACGGCCTCGGCGAGGGCGAACGAGGAGATGAGGAGCCCGGCGTAAAAGGAGGCATTGCCCTCATCGCCAACGTTGTACCATTTGACAAGAGCCCAGGCATAGGGGAAGATGGAAGTCAGGGCGACGGGTTCGGCGAGGCGGACGATTGCTAACAAGAGCCCAGGTACAAACAATGTCAGCCAAGTGTTTCCATGTTGGGGGCGGCCCAGATCCGAGATTGGCGAATACTCACCCAAGAGGAATAGCTGGCCCGTAGGAAAGTCATCGGGGTTGCGAGCGCATCTCTGTTTGGTTAGGGTCATTGTTTTTCTCCTGGTGGCGATCTTACTATCAACGCGGATGAAGGAGCAAGAACCCGAGGGCGCTGGCGCAGTCGGCAATCCCTATTCGAACCTTGGCTTGAATTCTCTCTCTCTTGCTCTTTCTCGCTAAACCCTGGGAGACCGAGATGTAGAGTGCCTTGGAATCGGGTAGCCCGAATCAGAAAGGGCGAAAAGAAAGCCGAAAAAAACACGAGGCTCGACTGTGGATCTGCTTTGGATAGAGTCGCAACTGTTTGCACTCTCTTGCGACTTCTTCTTCACAATGTCTTGGCTTTCTTCCACGTTTCCTTCTGTGATCTTTGGTTGGGAGATCTGGGATGGGCTTCCTGGGGGTGGAAGGGGATGGGACTGGGCGTGGGCAGTAGGGGAGGGAAGAGCGGTGCGAAATTGGCTGGCTGGCTGGCAGGTTGGTAAGGGCAGGAGCGAGGGAGTCAAGACGGAATCGAAAGGCCTTATCGAAGGGGAGACCCGCTTCAAATAGCTCTGTTCATCTATGGAAGATTGTCTAGTCTGGAATTCTACAAAAGCAAAGGGAGAGAAGAGAGAAAGAAAGGAAAGACACACGCATGAGAAAGACTGAGTTGGATATATACTTGTAGGTTTCCGTGTCGGTGGAGACGAGGGAGGTGGGGGAAAGAGCCACGGAAGGAGCCTTGAGCAAGTTCGCCCCTTCTTCGGAGGTGCCTTGACCCTTCTCCACCACGTCCTTTCCTCCCACTAACACGAAGGCAGGACGAGGGGAAGACAACAGGCGAATGCCGATCTCCTCCGGCCGGCGATAAAAACTCCACACACAGACCCAATGCCAACCAACACCCCCTTCCTAGGACAATTACCCCTTCCGTGTTCCTTCATATTATGTTCACATGGCTCGCGCATGTTTTCAAGGGACTCGAAATGTGACAGAAATGCCTGTCTCTCATCAATTGGGAACGTATGATGAGAGAGGGGCCGGCAAGTGTTTATGTGCGAGTCAATACCCGACCAAGGTAGCGCATGCTTTTTTTCTTCTTGTTTGGGGCCGGATTCGCCAACTTTTTTCGGGCTGTCCTTTTTCCATGGTTGTTATTGTTGCTTCCTAGTATCGGAGGAGGGGGAAATTTGATGCCGACATGCTGTTGTTTGGTCATACCGGCCGGGCACGGTGTACAAGCCAAAGAGGTTGGTTTTCCCTTCACCGATAACGAGCTGCCGTCCCTTTTTCCCCTTCGATGTCAGAACGTCCCCAAGATCTATGCAGCAAGTGGGATCGAATTGATCTATGGGACGGGGTGTGCCTTTAGTGACAACCGCCAATGGTGGGGTTACAGTGGTGGGGCATCCCTGCTCACTGCTCCCGTAGTTGCATAACCTACCCTGTTCCAATCTGCTGCTCTCTTCAATGTTCAAGGGCACACCACGGGTAGGAGAAGTGCTGGACCCCCATCATGGAACGTACAGGACGTCGTGTGGAACTGGCACCTTCAAGTTCATGTGAAAGAGCGCATTGGAAGGGGGGGACAGGGGACCGAAAGGAAGTGGTGGGTGCGTGAGTGGCGTGGACCTGGGTCGAATTTGTGATCATGCACCCATGGTCAACTAATATTCTCTTGCCTTCTTGCTCAACTTACTTCATACATCCATCTCAATGGATTGATGGTGCGGGCTGAATATGAGTATGGAAGTAAATATGTGGCATCTTCCATTCCCTCATAATAGGGGTAGTCTCTTCTTTCCCTTTGAATGAGGAAGCAATGCAATGAGGGACTCTTAGCCGCTGTCTGCTTCTTCTGAGACGAGAGGGGACAGCCCTACATCTCGAGGGACTGAAACCGACTGTGGCAGACATCGTGAAAATGAGAGCCAGAGTCGCAGGATGCTGAATGGGATGGCTGTCACCACTTCCCGTGTTTCTGTCAGAGGTAGTAACTATACGAACCCTCCATTCCACACTACAATACCCTTTTCCTACCCCATTTTGATTCTCGCCTCTCCCCGCCTCTGCTCTTTCCCCCGCACTGCTATTTTGTTCTCTGTGGGATGGGAATCGTCCACAGGTTTGATATATTGATCATGAGGCCGATATGTGGAACATGCGAATTTCCTCCTGATCGCCATGGAGCAAGAAACCCAAGAATCGCATTGGAAAGTGGATCGTTGGCTAGCATTGGTGGGGTTTGTCGCGGACTAGCGCTTGGAGCGAGGGGCGGAGTATCAGCTGAAGAAGAATCAATGGAACTGGCAGCGGACGTGCGTCTTTCTTCGGCGCGAGAGGCCTAGTGTAGGTGGAGGAGGTCTCCTCTGTTCTCGAGCTGTTTTGATCGGGACGCACTAGGGTCGTTCTCGGCCACCCACCGCTGGCGTGTTATCCCTCCATTATTGTCCCTAGGCCAAGTCGAGACAACTGACGTTGATAGCCTTTGGGATGGGGGCAATGAGAAGACAGACGGGAAGAGAACCTTGGGAAAAGCCATCAACGAGAATGTCTGAGACCATGACGAGATTCTCTCGAGTCTCTTATGTCAGGTGCTGTTGACAAGAAACAGGTTGGAAAAAGGAAAGAGCAGAAGCACCTCCTGCCCACTTCTCCCCTCACTCCCAAGCACCATTCTAGCTTCTCTTCAATCATCCCTAAGAAAGAGTTGAAAAATTCATGAGTATATTGCTATGAATAATAGAAAAACAAACCACCAAAGGGGTAGTACCCAAGAAAAAGCGAGAGCGAGAGGGCAGATCAGCTCAGACTCGGCAAGCGTAAAATCAGACGTCTTTCTCAGAGGGGTGTCGTGGCTGCCCCCTCCTCCCCTCCTCTTCGCAAGCCAAGCGAACTTTTGCGCACGGACGACAGGATGAAGCCGCTAGCGTATGCTTGTACGCGGGTATGGCGGACCTACTGGCCTTCTTTTTTTCCGTGCATAAATTTTTGTTTTTTGTTTTTGCAAGTCTTTGTTTTGAGGGGTGGGGCAAAACACGACCCATGGCCACTTTTTTTTCCGTTTCTGCTCGAGAATAGGCAAGAAGGTGGGAAAGGGTGGGGAGGAGGGGACCTGAAGAGTAAGGGATCAAAGGAGGAGAAGAAGAAGGGAGAAAGAAAAAAACTGAAATATGACCTGCACCGGGACAAGACAAGGGCACACAGTGAACCAGAGCACGGTATACACGCCGACGAACCCAGCAACACACGCCCATTATCGCCTCCACCTATTTTCCAGGCTCTCCGCGCCACCGTCGGCCAAGACCACCCCTCATGCTCTTTTCCCCTCCATAGTGGTCCTCTTCCGACATCGTCTTCCGAAACCCCTTCGAAGCGGGCATGCCAAAGAGTGAGATTGATATGTGTCTGTCCATTTTCACCAGCAGGGAAATCTCACAGGAACCTAAGGTCAAGCTTGGAGCCTATCTCTTGTGCCATGGTTGAATTCGCTGCTTCTCAAATTTATACGACAAACGGCTTTTCCTCTCAAACAAACCATGGGCCGTGCTACGAGCCCTCCCAAGTCGGTCTAGAAGCAATAGATGACTACTGAAGGGAGTGGCGGAGGCGAGTGCCTCGGTGCGGGGGTTTGGAATAGGTAGAGCATTCGTATATTATGGGTCAATACCGAGGTACTAGAAAGCTGTCTAAGTCGGGCAAAATCTAAAACTTATTACGTACGATCAAATTTTGTTCTCCTCCACCACCACCACTACATCTTCCTCCTCCTCCCCTTCCTCCATGCGGGCAATGTGTGAGTGTGACCAACTCGTAGTGCCCCGAACCTACAAGACACCAAACACACCGTAGAATGAGCGGTGGAGATCAGCGGATGGGAGGGAATAGATAATTGCATCGATCGACGGTCGCGCTCTAGTTGGGAATGCCATTAAGTCTCGTATTATATTGATCTGCCTCGATAGTATAGAGGCTCTCGATGATTACGTCGAGCTTCCGGCGCAGTCAAGTCTTGAAGCATCCACTCTTCGCTCCCACTAGCCTTCTTGGCCTCTTATTGACGCGTCAACGTATGAAGTATGAAGTAGAAACACTATTATGCCCCCAAAACCCACTCGTAGATCCTACCCATGGCACTCATGCAAACGCCCCCTTGTCAATCTGGCCACCCCTCACCACCGGGCTGGCCCGTTTGCAGTTTGCCGCCTGCCACAGTGACTCTCAAGACACACAAACGCCCGCCACCGCCCTTTTCCTTCATTCCTTTCTCCCCACCCTCTTTCTTCAGCACAAACCCCTACATACAGTGATATGTCTCGAGAAAGAAAGAGGGGTCGACCCAACCCTGGGCTGGCCCAGACAGCTGGGCACCTGTGCCACCCACAGCATGTTCACACGCCGGAACGGGAAACCCTCCCCCTCTTCTCGAGATCGAAAGTTCCGAGGACGAACCAATGCCATCTTATTTCACCCTGCCACCGCCGTGCTCCGTCTCACAGCGTTCGTTGGAAGAGGTAAGGAAAGGGGGTAAGCAAAGTGCACGCGACACGGATTTGTTGGCGCGAATGGGCTTCTCAGCCATAGTCGTTCTCCCATAGACTAATTCAGGCATCCTGCAGCCTCGGCTTTATGAGGTCGGCAAGGCTCAGAATGGACTGGCTTTATTGGAGGCTCTCGACTGGTCCTTCCGTAGGGAGATTAGCGTGGAGTAGGAACGGCCCTTGTTACGAGGACACGACTTGAGATGGAATACATAATCACGGATGGAATGGATGTATTGGTCCTAGTCGAGCCTTGACAGGTACTACGTCCAACACCCTCTGGGAAGTTTGACGAATCCGAAGGTCTCCAAGGCATACGCAGCAAGTGGGCATCTCGATCTCCCATCGCAAGGTCGGTTTTGCAAGGTCGGTTTTGCAAGGTTGACGAGGCCATTACTCATCTTGGCGAAGCGCCTGCAAAAGCGCGCATCCGAGGTGGGCTGAATTATGTAGTAGCCACATAAACGAATCCGCTTGGATCTTGACTGATACTCGGAGAGAAGAGGGGAGGGATAGGAATGTCGGATTTAGTGCGAGATGGATAGCAATTTCATCCATTGATCCATCACTGGATATCTAGGCTAATCCAGGGGATCATGGAGAATCGAAAACCTTACCCCAATTCTTGCCCAAATCTCGACCACTGCCCACTTCTCATTCGTCAGCTGCCCTCGTCTCGCTGGGGTAGCACGGGCCACACCGCTGCAGGTGATAATTCTCATCACTAAACAGACACCCTCCAGCAAGTTCAGAGGTTCGAAGCCATCAGTCGCATGGGCCAAATCGGGGAATAGGATGGATTCTCCATGTAGTGTATGGAAATGATGGACCCATTTCTGCGCAGGCGCCAGTCTTCATTCCGGATCTAGGGTGGTTTGCCAATATCTATGTTGCCGTTCCCTTCGCTAAGAAAGAAGAAGCCCACGCTCCCTTGATGCCTCGTACAGAGAACTGAGGGGGCTTCCTGGTGCAACTGCGTCGTTGAAAGAGGGCGACTCGGGCCTCGCCTGTTCTATTCCCACTGTATAAGGACAAATCAAGACCCGTTACATGCATGCGGCAGGTGTTCTTGGGAAAATTTTCTATTTTTCCCCCAATTCACGCCCCCGGCCTTTTTGTGTTTCCCCATTCGCCGGCACCCACTGGCCTCCTGCACGTCCTGTCTTACTTTTCCTATTCGATATGCCGCTAATTTCCCCGAGATAACTCGAGACCGATACAATGCGAAGCCTAGGTGCAGCCGCTGCATGGCATCCGAGGGGGACAGAGGAACGGCGTTCCTCCGTTCTCGGTCTGAAGACGAGCCCCGTGAGAGCGTAATCAGCCTATTGCTGATTTGTTCCCTCCTGACTTCCATCATCTCTGTCTTTTTTTTTTTCCCTCCCCTGTCTCGCCCAGATGCTGGCCATGGCGGGACGGGGCGGGGATGGAGGAGCCTTCCGCAAGCGAGAAATATGCAAAAGCAGAACACACTTCAATGGCGCATCAGTAACCCTGCCGCTACTACTGTTCTCTCGAACGATCCGCAAGCTTTGATGAATTAAGGTGAAGGCGTGTAAGAAGAAGAAAGAAAACACGAACAACGCTTTTCACAAAGATAGCTAGCCGATCCAAGATAACGCGGTGGCCATATTGAAGAACTCCGACGCATGATAGCATTCTTCTTCGGGTGAAGAAGCCGCCTGTGGAGCTTCGGTCGAGCAGAGATAAGGATTGGACTGTAGGATTATCGCTATCCTCTGATGTTTTGAGTTCACCGTTCCTGACTTTTGCGTGTTTGCCACGGAGGAAACGAGAAAGGAAAAGAAAAAAATAAGTCGTGCCAAGTGATCAAACCGGGAGCCGGATAAAGTTTGTGCCTGGTAAGACTCGACCGAGGCTGCCATCCATCTCCGACGCCAGCACGGGAAAAACGCTTCTCGACAGGCAACAGGCCACCGAAATCCATGGTTTTACCTCAACCCACCCCGCGTACTACTCTTCTCCACGCCGACTATCCGGGCAAGAACGAAGCCGGAGTAGGTTTACCAGCTACTATATCCATACAAGAGCACGAGGGAGAGCGGTTGGAGTAACCGGCCCGAGATTCAGCGAAAGCCAAAGGCAAGTGCCGCACTTGGTGATGTCGGTTCATCCACTATGTCAGCTTTTCATGCAGGTTTTCTGCCCGGGCCTCTCGCCTTATCCTCTTCCGCGATCGCTTTGAACCAGCTCGAGACAGTCCCCCGAGCTATGCGGTCTGGTGTCTCGGTCTAGCACAGTAACTTGTTTGGCTTGTATTTGGCAATCACTTGCCCACTCGTATAACTTTAATCCAGCAATAATTGCTAAAGAAAATTTGTTGGTTGGTTCCAAGCTTTAGACAGTGAAAGTGGCAAGCAGTGGAGAGAAAACAAATGTGGCCCTTATTCCTCACCTACAGCATAAAACCACCAACCTACATGCAAAGCGCCGGAGACGCTAGCCGCCTTGTCATATGTGCATTTCTTTTTGCAGTGCTTGCCGCCAGCCGGAATGAGGCGAGCAAAAGACAAGGAAATGATCGCGGCACCCTTTTCAAAAGCCAGGGAACTGGTACAAGGCACATTCTATCACGTATACGGCCCGACGGAAAATACCACATTCAGTACTGTGTATATGATGAGTGAAGACGAACAGTGCATTAATTGATATATAACGGCCTGTATGAAGGCGTAAAAGCAGCGAGGCTCTGTATCTCTCTATGCCTACCCATTCTCCGCCCACACTGCTACAACAAGACCCCAGATGTCGGCGGAACTTGGTACGAGAATCGCTATCCGAGAGACGTTCCAGTCATGGGCATTGGCAACTCAGTTGGTGAAACGCTTCTCTTTGACGGGCAATCACCCGCGGCCCCACTTCTGCCGAACACGATCCGTTAGCATCATGTGGCGAGTTTGTTGGCAGATGCCATTTTAGAAGACACCGAGGTTGCAGATCCAAGTTCTATACTCTTCCTTGATCCCCAAACAAGTGTAAAAGTCGTCGGCCGCATCCCGATAGCTCTTATAGCAGCAAGTCAGCAGCGGAAATGCAGCTATAGCTAGCCTGGCGACCTCTAGCCTACTCATTTATCCTAGTTGTTGCGAGAGGTATTTAAGAGGTGTGCTCAGAGGTATCTAAGAAGGTAAGAGGGTAAGGAGGTATGAAGATAAGAAGGTGGAATAGAAAGCTTCGATGTGCTCAGAGGTATCTAAGAAGGTAAGAGGGTGGTAAGGAGGTAAAAGGTAAAAGGTGGAATAGAAAGCTTCGATGTGCTATTTATAATAAATACTAAATGGAAAGGTTAGAGAAATAAATAGAAGGGTAAAGAAATAACATTTAGATGAGATATAAAAGGAAGGGTCGAAGGATAAGGTAACACTTTAGGGAGTGTAGGTTTATAATATCTATCCTCTAGGACTAAATATCAATTATAAGGAAATGTAGATCGTCACTCTTTCTCTTATTAGTAGGGTGTCTGAGGCCTGCGTCTTCTTCCTACCACATTTTAACTATAGATTGATGACCTCCTTACCCTACGAGTAGTTTAGGAAGCGAGCATAGAAAGTATGAGGACCGAGGGGCGGGTGGAGTGCCCTCATTTCTAGAGGCACTTGGGGGCTTGTGGGCGATGTTGCTGACCCTGACGACGTAAGACGGGAAGCCGCCGAGAGTGCACTGACCAGCCGGGCTGGTGGTGCGGCGGATGTCGCTCGAGGAGCGCGCATGAGAAAAAGAGTCGGAAAGTGCGGAAGTGAAATTTCTCTCTCTTTGTGATCGGGTGCACCAAAAGGAGCAAGGCAAAGAGGAGCGATCTAATCAGGGGAGGGTGGTGGACATGTAGAATTCGAGCTGCATCTGTAGCGAGCGTCTACGATTCAGCCACCACCTGGAAGATGAATCGACCGGGAGGAGGTCTAGTTCTTCTCCTAGATTTACCATCTACGAGTTTATCTTGACATCTAGGACAGCAAGACACGATACTTATTGCCCCTAAGTCATGATATTGCTACTTCTAATGTATCAATTATATTGAGTTACGAGTAGTATATGTAGGAGCCATCTTGTCCACAAAGCATACCATCCGAAATACAATACCCCAGGCATCAGCCTTGTTCCATCCACCAACCTCACAGTGGTATGTATATATATATTAAGCCACACGACCCGGCCTATATGTGGTGGGATGACACCTCAATATCATGCGATAGCGAGGACCGCACCAAAACAATGGTGCACGAAACCGAGGGAGAACGAAGTGGCATTGCAAAAGAATGAAAACAAAACAGAATGAGTCCCATGTGCCCACCAGGCGTCAGTGACACATCTGGAAGAGCTTGTTAAGCATCTGGCGTGGAAGTTGATATGATCGGGACGCTCTTCCTTGTCGTCCACGTGGACCTTGTAGTAGGCCGCCATGATGCGCACCGCCCCGGAGAGATTGGTAACCCCCGTCTCGCGCCCGAACCGGTCGCCGGGCATCGTCATGTCGAGCCCGTTGAGCGCGGACTCGATGCTGGTATGCTGCGCACCCCAGTCCGACCTGACGAAGCCCTGGAAGTTGAGCTCGTTCTTCAAACGGTAGTTGGTGCATGCGTTCTCGCAGGAATAGGTGCCTACTAAAACACCTACTTATAATACAAGAACAATTCTCACCTCCTCTATCGCCGACGACCTCATCGCCGGTATCTGCACCTACATCTGCCTCAACCCCTTGTCTGGCTCATCAAGGTCGCTTCCGGCGGTCGTATCGTGCCTCCCAACTACGAGGAGCGCGACGGCTGGACCTACCGCATTGTGGCTTCTTCCCCCGTGGATGGTGCGCCGCAGCAAGGTGCAAGAGGCGATGGCGGCGCCTTCTGTATTAGACGAAGAGGCGGCCAATGAACGGGGTCAGGCGGAAAGAGCACGCTAAGAAGATTACCACAAATCCGGGGAGTCGCATGGGGATGAACGTGGAGAAAACGGCAAGTAGAACCAACTAACTCGCAACCTACGTATGCACGCGAGATCTCAATAGCAGAGGTAAGACGTGGGCTCCTAAGTGGAAGATACTTATGCTTGGGTCAATGAGCGGGAGAGGGGAATCGATCGATCCACAATCAATATTCAGTCAAGCTCACGGTATTCAAACTATTGATTATACTAGCTTCAACCCATTTATTCCTCTGTGAGCAATCAGACCAAGCCTAGCCCCAGCCAGAATACACACCAGACTCGTTGGCCCCACCAAATGTTTTACCCATCAAAGCAATTAGTTGCAGGAGTTGGCCTCAAAAGATGCAAGACGGCGTATTTGTGCCACGAACAACAAGGGCCGATGGTCTAGTGGTATGATTCTCGCTTAGGGTACACCCTATGCAAATATGCGAGAGGTCCCGGGTTCAATCCCCGGTTGGCCCCCAAATTTGTCTTTTTGCCTCCATTGCGTAATTTTTCTCGTCTTTTTGCTTGCCCCTATAATTCGATTACCTTTTGCACTTCTTAAATATACTTTTCATCTCCATTGGAATAGTGGATAACTTTTCCATGCGTTGGCGCTTCTCTTTTCCGAGAATAGATTTTTGGTATTTGTAGTTGCGAATTCTCCGTCATTGCCTCCTCGAGAAAATAGGCGCCGTTGACAGACACGCGACACTGTCGAGCATCGTCAAGGACAGTCGAGGTTCATTTAGCCTCTGCAGCTGTCTGCTCACTTATACGGTGTGTTCCTGCCAGTCAGAAGATTGATTCGCGGCTTCAAGAATTGTGCCTGTCTATCTGCTATTCTCCTGGCCTGACTAGGGCCATAAATGGTGTACTTCTGGCACTAAAAACAGATGCTCGGGAGAAGACATCATGAAGTTTATTACCCGCTAACAAAACCTGGCAATGGCGGAGCTTTCCTAGCTGCGAGGAGCCAGGGCCGCGACGGCCAGTTGCTTTAGTCTAGGAGCTCTGCGCATCTTTATTTGTGGGCTTCTCATGGGTAGATTTGCTTTCCTTGTTTCTTCCTTCTCCTGGACTAGGGAAAAGCGCCGAATCTTGATGACCATGGGTATATTTACTGACCAGCTGCCGAGGTCACAAACTTTGTATTAAATAGAGAGTGATGATCAGTTATATTTAGGCGTTTCTTCTTCTTTCTTGTTATAAGAAAGGGAGCTAGGACGGTAAGTGTGCTTGGTCTCCGTCTGGTCCTACATGATCTTGATGATCTTGAAGTATCTACACATCCAATCGCTAGATTTTTACTGGACTCTCCCTTGTTCCTTGGACAGTTATGTAGTCTGCTTGCTAATTGTGAGAAGCGACCTATCCGTCGTCATCAGCTACTGATCTGCCGACATCGATGAAAAGGAAAATAAATATTACTGCTCGTCACATCACCACGTATTTTAAATTTGCCTAGAAATATCGACACCTTTTAGTCTCCGGTGCGCAGAAATTGTTTAATCGAGTGCTCCTCCATCTACATCTATTGAATGAGTAATGAATGGTAAAGTAAACCCCTGTTTATGATGAACGGCGTTGGCGAGCCGCAGGGTTGAGGCCGGGCGGGGGCCCGGGAGGAAAAAGAAGCATCGGATGAAAAAAGCGCAAAAAGAACGGCCTCGGCCGGGATTCGAACCCGGGACCTGTTATAACCACAGTATTGTGATGGGAAACTTGGGTTACCCCGCCCGAAACAACAATCATACCTCTAGACCACCGAGGCACTCGGCTTGACTTATTAATCGGCGACCTAAAAACAGCATATATTTCTTGCACATACTGGCACAGTGAGGCTGTGCTCATCAGCTTCCTTTCAGCAATATCTCACATTAGCTCACCTAAAAGAATAAATAGCTCCTTTGTAGATGCAACTAAGACCTGACATGTTAAAGGAGGTTGATGTCTCTTAGAAACAATCATTGTTTATGAGCTCGTTTCCTCTGATCTTGATCTTTCATTGACCCTTGAACGTCACGCCTAGCTCTCGCCGCTCCCTAATTCGACCCCCGACGCACCAGCTAACACAGCAGAGAGTCGCTTATCGGACCAGCTTTTATATGGCGCCTTTCTAACAGATATTCTTCCATGAGAATTGACCAAAGACCCCAAAGATAGGCGCAGGGGATAGATACATGGAACCATGATAACCCACAACAATATCATGCGCCGTACATCATGATTTTGCGGCCCATTGGTATTGAAGACGAGTGGAGGTAGCCACCTTCTACGGCCCAACTAGGCTACTATCGATGCTATACTGTAGAAATCTTCAAAATGCGGACCGACCCCTTGGCCGTTGCCAATCGTGCATTCTCCGCGGTTGTATTCGACCCGTTTGTATTGATGCGGTGGAGGGTTATCAAGAGGGATTCTTCCGGCATCGTAAGGTGGAATGGTCCTTTCATCAGGGATCGATCCTTCAGCCATCTCTCTCTATACGACTCGCGCGGAGTAATTTTTCGCGGCCATTCTTCTCGCGCGAAAGTAAGCGCTGAGGATTGTATTGCGAATATATGTAGATGCTGAAACCTAGGGACTGCTAAACCCTGGCGAGGGGCTCTTATACGGGGGTATGATCCCTTCAAGATCCCAGCTGGCCAAGACAAGAAACCGACCCCCAAAGGTGTCAAGACACACGCTTAGCATCATTACAAGTAGTTGTACGGACAGGCCAATCCATATACGAGGAGAGCATCATTTACTTTTTCCTTCTTCTTCCTTTTACCTAGTCTCTCTCTACCCTTGCACCGTGAAATCTAGGATGCAAAACCCCTTCTCCCGTCCATCATCCATCAAGCCCAAGCAACAACTCTCCCCTCCCCTCAATGCTCATACTCCATCCTCCCCTCCCCAATAACCCCCAAAACTCCTCCGCAATCTCCCGCTGCCCGCTCGGTGCCGCCCGCACGGCGAGATACACCCTCTCCTCCAACGCCGGCTCCCAATTGCCCGGGTTCCCGCTCACCATCAACCCTCCCGCCTCCGCGAGGATACACCAGCCCGCGCAAACGTCCCAGGCGAAGCACCCGCCCTCCCAGAACAAGTCGAGCTGGCCCGCCGCCACGGCCGCGAGGTTCAGCGCCGCCGAGCCCAAGGACCGCAGCGAGTGCACCATGGCGCCCCCGTGGCCCGGCTCGCCGTCAGCTTGCGAAACGTGTCGGCCTTGACGTCAAAGTTGACGCCCTCCGCGCCGCGGGCCACTCGACGGCCACGAGCGCCTTGGCGAGCCCTTGCAAGGGAGCGGGTGTGCGGGCGAGCGGTAGACGTCGGTCGATGGCCGCGCCGCCGGGCCGGGTCTGCATGAAGGCGCCCTGGCCCTGGATGGCCCAGTAGAGGATGTCGAGAAAGGGGTTGTAGATGACGCCGACGGTCGGGGTGCGGTCCACGGCCAGGCCGAGCGACACGCAGGCGTGGGGGAAGGAGTGGATAAAGTTGGTGGTGCCGTCGATGGGGTCCACGACAAATGTGGGCTCCGGGCCGACTTTGGTGCCGGGTTGGAAGGTCTCCTCGCCCATGAAGGAGAAGGTGGGGAAGGTTTCGCGGAGGGCGGCCGAGATGTATTCCTCGACTGCCTTGTCGGTTTCTGTGACGAGGTCGACGGCTGTGGGGAAAGAGGGCGAGCTATTAGCGCGGGGCGCCCACTGAAACTTTGGCAGGATGTGGGAAATATCGAGAAGGGTAGGGAGGAAGTCGACGTGTGAGCGGCATTCGGCCCGTTCTGTCATCACATACCGTTGAACTTGGTGTCGGTCTCAAAGTCCTGCTGATAGTTGGAGTCCATGATCATCCGCCCAGCTATTCTAGCTACCTCGACGAGCTTGTTCTTGACGGCTTTGAGGTCGACGTCCGCCATGGTGAATGATGTGTGGAGATTGTTGAGTTGACAAGCTATTGATGGTAGCTCCGCCTACAAGGAGGAGTTACGTGCTCAAGGGGATTGAAGTGAGGGAATCGTATATCTCTAGGAATCGATTCTGTAGGCAATTGGGCTCGTATGATTTTGGGCCAAGTATTAGAAAGGGGGCAGATCTGCTCTAGGCTGGATGATGAAAAGAATATCGGATTCACGAGAGCTGTGCTGGTGTCAATGTTGTGGAGGGGCAGATGGAAAGCATTCAGAGCTAACGGTTTTGGTGGGGGAGGCGGGGTTGAGCTCTTGGTTGGGTCCGATTCCGAGAAATTGACCTTGAGCTGATCAAACCATCCTCTCCCGAGCTAGATGACGTCCCCGTTTCCTCGACTCTATTTGGGATTTGACGAGAGCCCAAAAATGTTGACAGATGGGCTCATCAAGGGAGTTGATTGGTGAACGGAGATCCAAGTTGCTTGGTGGGTCCCTTGCATCGTTTGGGTAATACGTAAACGGAAAGGGAAGTAGGGAGAAGTGCACCGAGGCAGCAGGGCTGACCCGGCCGAGATGCATCCATCGGCTTAAACGAACTGACCCATGGCCTAGAGGACAAGTCAAAGGAGGGGAATGATTGAGTATTTAGGGTGTCGTGGCCATCTTGTTACTCTCTCTCTGTTAAAAAGAAGCGACCATCTCGTATACCAAGGAGGACGAGGAGTAAGATAGAGAAACCTAGTCCGCCCTCATCCAAACGCCACAAGAGCAATAAAATAATCCCTTTCCCCCTGATACCGCCGTCCTGGAAGAAAAGAAAGGAAAAGAAAGGAAACCAAGTCGTACAGTGCCATGATCTGGACCGCTCATGCCGCTCGTGCTATATCGTTCCGTGTGAAGTCCACCTCATCTGCCCCTGCCCCGACCCATTGCCACCAGCACCACATGTTGTTGCCAATCCTAGTGATTAGCGAGACCCTTGCGTTGGAAGGCTTAGACCTCCTCTCTGAACATCGATCTCCTATCAGTTGGGCTGTCATCCTCCTTCCTGCCGCCAGCTCGGCCCGCCCCCGTATCGAGCGGCCTCGGGCTGATCTTGCGAACGCTGATATTGCTCGGCTCGGCGTCATCGTCAAACGGGTTCCTCTCGGCAGGCTGCCTACCCCTCCTCTCCTCCTGAGGGGCCGGGGACCGGGCGGCAGGTGTCCGGGGCAAGTTCATCTCGTATCCGCTGCCACCGAGATCGTCACCTAGACGGTTTGTGTTTCCGGCCACGCCACCCACGCCACCCCCGCCACGGTAGCTCGTATTACCAAGCTCCTGTTCCTCGTAATAGCCGTACTCGTCGTGCACGCGAGAATCCCAAGCTTCGTCGGGGTCAAGGCCGCCATGGTTCCCCGCGCGGCGTTGCCACCAGAAGGCTCGTACGCACCTCGAGCGGTGCGGTTGTTGCGCTGCTTGAAGCCGCGGACACGGTCATTGACCCATCCCACGACGCCGCCCTGCGAGGCCCGCGAGTCAAACGGTGAGTCGTTGGACTTCTTGAATGGTATGTAGGAGGAGAACGACGGAGGTGGAAGCTGCAAATGGTGGGTTAATTAGACACGTGTAAGCAAGCCCAAGGAGGAGAGAGGACGCGGAAGAGCGGAAAAGCTCTGCTGTTTCCCTCCTCTGAAGGAAGATGTGGAATTGTTAGAGTGGAAAACTTACTCCGAGGCGCCTGGCGCGCAATTGGGTAAAAGCGACCCATCCCAGCGCCGCCACCACCGCTATCACCACAATGGCGATCACTATGCCTCCTGCAACATTCACCATTTTGTCCCTCTCTGTTTCGAATGCGCGGTTCTTCGCTCGACTCTCGAATCGCGGTTATCTTCGTAGAGTACTCGTTTTTTCAGCCGTCGCTCGCGATCGACTTTTTCGTGTATTGTTTTGTGTTTCGTTTGTCTTTCCTGAGAGTGGTGCCAGGTTTGAAACTTGTCCGTCAGGCGATTTCGCTTCCACGCTTTTGGCTGCGCCCCCGCAACTAGCTCGGGCAAACCTGTCCGTGCTGCCGTTTTCGATTGAGCTATACACTCAAGGGCCAAACGTGCCGCGTTGCTTTTGCCAACAACTCACAAGTGCGATATGGAGAGGAACAAAGGCAGAAAAAAAAGGCAAAGCGATGATTTCTTAGAGAGAATTGTTTACGAGGGAAAAAGGAGGGGAGGAAGGAAGGAAGGAAGGAAGGAAGAAAATTGACGCACAACGATTGTCCTCTGCTGCTACCAAGTAGCACAGTTGGGGTTGGTCGGGGGCGGAGCTCTTGGGGAGGAGCGAATGGCTCCTCCAAGATGACGTTTTTGGCTTGGGCTTTGCCTGCTCCACAGCTTCCCAGTTGGGCGGGACGCGCACGAAGCACCGCACCGCAAACGCACACGGAGGCGACGGAGGACCAAACCTGGTCCATCCCCACTTCCATCCTAACTTGACCCTGCTCGCCCCGTTCAAGGTATTTTTGGTGCGTTACCTAATCAGCATTTCTTGGAATTTCGTTGCCTACACAGACCAAGCGGACTCTTCTGCGCTCTGCGGCTTGTTCAGCCGACCAACGAGGAGACAAAAGGGCAAAACAGTCTTGGGGGAAAAGCAACGCCAGCTAGGCCACAAGGACAAGTGAGGCTGAGCTTTTTTGAGACTTCCGAATCCGATTTGAAGTTCGTTTCTCTAAAGGAAATAAAAACGGCTGCCTTGGAAGCCGGTTTCTCTTTCCTTCACGCAGGACGAATGAGCGCTCGTCACCCTCTGCACTTTTAGGCTGTTATCGGGCACAACATACCCATCTTCCCAGTACAATCTCGTGAAGCCCTTCGATTCTCGAGCCCCGGGAAGGGATCTCGTAGGATGCGCTGAGGGGGCGTGGGAGCATCAAAAGGAGACAAAAACACACAGAGGTTACGATCACGAAAGGAGGCCAATAGAAGCTAGCGGGATCATAGCATTCGTGGTCAAGAGGCATGGGATGGTTACTACCTAAATCCAACCTGAAGCCTAACTCCTCGCTAGGTATCCGCTTGGTCCAGAAGAAGACGGTAGGCCCCAGATCCCGTCACATCTACCAAGTCCGGGGTGACGGGAGAGCGGTAACCATTTGACTCTTTGTTCCCGGTGCTGCCTTCAGGGTGGGTTTAGGTGCGTGGACGTATGCGCGTATATGATGAGCCTATGCTAGTATATACCCAAAAGAAGAAACTCCAACCCTGCATTACCAGGTGAAATAAAGAAGAAGTCCCCAAAGGGGATGATGATGCGAGAGCGCCATGCCATGTTCGTGCAACGCAGCACCTCGGACTCCGGAACCGTCAACAAAGCCGCTTGACGCAGGGGCAAACGGAAGAAGATGGAACAGTATCCTCCTCTTTATTCCTCATTAAGATCCACCCTGCTCTGGAAAAAAGAAAAACAAACACAATGCTTCTGGGGTATCAAATCTCTCCACCTCACTCCACAACCCTCGGTCCCTCTCCCACGTTCTCTCACACAACGTCCATCACATCTCTCATCTTCCCTCCTACTCACTCACTCCCCCTCCGCAAAACACTGCCCCCACCTTCCCCCTCCCTCGCAAACGACAACCCCTCACAAACTCCCCCAACCCGCACCGACCCAACTTATCCGCCCCGCATCCCTTCAGCGACATAACCCTATCGTTGACGAGCACGCGGACGAGCTCCCCCTCCTCCTCGCCGCACGTCATCTTCTCCACCACCGCGCGCCCGGCAAACGGCACCGCCCAACTCGTCGAAAACCCCCGCCTGCGCGGGAGGCACCCTCTTCGTGCCCGGGAGCGGCGCCGTACCATTATACAACCCCAGCGCCGAGTAAATCGAAATCATGGTGTTGTCGTGGCTAAAGTCGGCGTACAGCGCGCGATCGAGGGGAACGTGCGCGGCGACCCCGTCAGCGTCGTATTCGTCGACGTGTGGTCCTCCACGGGCCGGCGCGTGAGGCGAGCCACCAGCTCGTTGACGAAGCCGACCCCTTGCGTCGGGCCCAGCGGGTTGCCGTCGCCGTAGCCGTAGTACTTGCCGAGGGACTGGTAGTAGTCGTAGCTCTTCCACTCGTCCCGCGTGAAAAGGTGGCAAAAGTCGGAGAGTTTCCCCTCGGGGTCCGCGACCGAGTAAAACGGGCACAGGTCCATGATGGCGACGACGTCGTCCCGCGTCAGGTGCAGGCTCGCGCCCAGGCCCTCGTGGAGCCGGCGCAGCACGGGCGGGACGAAGCGGTCGGCAAAGGCGTCGCGCGCGCGGTTGCCGAGTTGGCTGTCGGGCCCGCCCTCGAACTCGGTGCAGCCGCCGTGGTCGAGCGTGTTGTTGAAGCCCTCGGTCTCGGGGACGACGAGGATCGCGGCGAGGTATTCCTCTTCGCTGGGCACCGTGCGTCCCTTGCCGGCCATGAGTTCGCCGTAGAACCCCTCGCCCAGTTGTTCGCCGAGTCGATGACGCGGTCCTGGCCCGAGGCCCGGAGAAAGGTAGGGCGCTCCCGCCGTCGCTGCCGTCGTCGTCGTCGTCGTCGTCGCGCACGAGGTGCCCGTACCGCTCGGCCATGACTCGGCCCTGGTCGAGCATCTGCTGGATGCCAAATTGCGTGAGCTGGTCTGCGCCGAGCGTGTACTCGAGATCCTTGAGGAACCCGTAGCCGTGGGCGAACTTGGTAGCCCCGGCTTGAATCTTGGCCACGGTGGCATTGTAGACTTGCGTCTTGTAGGCGGTGGGATCCCGCGCCCCGTGCCTGGACAACACCTGCGCAAATGTGACGACGCATCCCGATGGTACCTCGGGATCAATGTCCGAGGGCACGGAGAAGAAGGGCGCGTACTGGCCCCAGAGACGACTAGTCCTTGCATCGGCCGGGGTTGACCGGTAGTTATTGAAGCTACACGCCAACGTTAGCCCCCGTTTCTTCACCCCTTCCATCCTCACCTTGGCCCACGGGGAGAAAACTTACCCATAGCCTACTACCATGTACAACACCATGGCGCCCGCCAAGGCCAGCGTCGCCATCTTGACCAGTCTCCGATTCCGCGCCCCCACGGCGTGTCGCGTGGTTCGTCCGAACCCGCAATATCCACCGTCGCGGAAGCTGCTTCCAACGGCGCGTAGGCATGAGGGGATAGACCCGGGATCCGGTCTCTCACGGCCGCCAGGGCGACGGCAAACCTCGATTTGGACATCTTTTTGTAGCTCTGTTTTTTTCCCTCGCAACGAGAAAAAAAGAAAGAAGAAGAAGATAGCTATGCTTCCTCCTACCTAGCGACAGGGGGAAAAACGACTCTCAAAAGCGTAAAGCGTCTGTTTGCATGCAGCCTCGCACCTTCCATCCAAAGCACCAACCGGTAGTGGTGAAGCGATTTGCGAAAATAGATAGCAGCGTCCTCGGCGGTTTCAGTTCGTTTTTAACACAATTTTTGTCTGCTGAAAAGAGCCAGCCCACATGCACACGACCCCGCCGGAAAAGAAATAGCGAAACCTTTTGCCCCTTCCAAGACCCGCCCGCTCGTCGTCGTCAGCCTCGGGAAATGCGGCGGCGGCGGCTGTGGTGGTGGTGGTGGTGGGGAAAGGGGGAGGGAGAAGAAGAGCTTCGATCCCGTCACGCCCGGCGACTTCTCGAACACCAAAAACTCTCGGTCTGAAACCCAGCCCGCGAAGATCCGCCAAAAGCAAAAATGGAAACCCAGGGAGAAGGAGGCGGCGAGGCGGGGACCGTTGGGTGTCAAACTTAAGAATCAAGGTTTCGGCTAGTCTTCTGGTGCCTTGCAGTAGGGGTTGGCGTCCATTCAGGGTGAGAAAAATAGATAGAATTCCGACGTGTTTGGGTTTTGGACTGGGATTGCGAACAGAAAAAAGGTTAAATAACAATAGGAGCGAGATGAAGGAAGGAAAGGCGAGACAAAAAATAGAAACAGCGGCCAGCGATCGATTAATGATCCAGAGCGTTGGGGAATTCCTGGGGTTTGGATTGGACGGCAGCGCCAGTGTCTTTGGGGGAGGGAACAGCCGAATGTACCTCTGCTTTTCCAATGGATCAATGTTCTCTGCTTCTGGACGTGACCGGATCAGCGTCAGTGCTGTAACTCCATTGAACACGCCTTTAAACTAGCGGCGTGCTTTCAACCAGGGGACTGATAGGTCCAGTCCTGTCCGCCAAGCAGTGACCACCAGATAGCTCCATCAAGGTTGACGTCCCCGCCCATTAGACCGCCGCATGACAATTTCAACGACACTCGCTTAGACCCGGTTTCCACAGGTTTCTCAAGACGACCTGAGATTCATCATCCACACGCATACGCCAGCACAAGCATGAAGACGAGAACAAGAGGCAGAAGAGTTAAAAAGAAGAAACAATCCATGATCAAACGGATGTAGCATGTATTAATTTGCGAATCCCTTTCAACAGAAGAGGTCATGGAACTGATTGAAGAAAATAAATGAAGAAAAAAATTCCTCCCATGCGGTAGATGTTTGTTTTCCCCTCCCGTCAACATCTCACCGACCAGGTATCATCGCCGAATCTATCGAGGGTTCGTTGTCCTTGCCCCATTCCAAACTCCCTCCTAATTTTTCTGTCTATACAAAAACAACACATGCATACAGATAGATACAGATATATATATCCAATATATGTAGCCATCATATATGCAATAAATGAGACTACAAAAAAGTCCAGCCCACAGGGGGTGGAGGAAAACAAAGAGAAGAAGATGTGTAGAAGAGCCAGTCTGGCTGGCACCAGCAAAGGTCGTGGTCAAAGTCTTCGTACGTGATTGCGCTGCGTAAAGAGGCGCATGCCCTCGACTCTGAAAACCCAGTTTACAGAGGTAAACCTCGCCGCAAAGGCCGAGGGTAAAGCGACAAGGGAAATAAGAACGAAAAAGAACAAAAAAAGGGACAGGGGCTAGGGATGGCATGGTTATGCCCTCCTCTTAGCCCGAGATGATGGAGAGAGTAAAAGTGTGACACGCCCGCGGAGAGGGGGAGACGGGGAAAGGTGGAGAGGTTAAATGAAACAAGATGCATGAAGAAAAACAGCTTGGTGACCCGTAGGTCTACCAAAGGGTATGGGTATGGTGCGGCATGGTGTAAAATGGTATCATGGACCGGATAAAGGAAAGGAATGAATGCAAAAGCCGGTAAACGACAGAGAGTCAAGGAAAATTCGGCTGGCCGTTGCGGGGAGGGGGAGAGGTGAAGATAAAAGCCAACCTCGTCCTCCTCCCTTTTTCGGCCATATCCCCATCACTTAGTACGCAACACCGACGACTGTCGCGGTGGAGGCGCCCGAGATGCCCGATCCGTTCGAGACCTCGCTCCTTCCGCTGCGGCCGCCGCCAAAGGTGCTCATGCGGTCTAAGCGCTGCTGCTGCTGTTGGGGCGAGCCTTGGCCGCCCGGGACCGCGAGAAGTCCGGCAAACCCTTCGTCAAGGCTGCCAACTCCCGTGTACATCATGCCCGGGCTTTGGCAGGGCGAAAGCGTGGTGGGGACCGTCTCGCCCTCGTCCTCGGATGACCACGTCGAGGCCGTCGACACGCTGTCGGTGCTGTGGCGTCTCGGATCCCACGTACTCGGGGGCTGACGCACTGGTAAAACCCGTCCGTGTCACGGACCGGGCGGGGCACGTTGGTGATGGAGTCGATGCTGATGCCGTTCCTGCCACCGGCTCGGCGCTGGTGGTGGGCGGCCGACTCGTCATTGGTGGCGTTGGGGAAGAGCCAGGTGGACACGCGCGAAAACGACTTCTTCTTGCGGAGCGGCGGACGGAGAACCAGCGGCAGAGGCGGCTGGATGGGCCGATCAGACGCGCGCGAGCGAGGTGGAGTCGGCGGGGCCTGGACAGGTACGATGTGTAGAGGCGCCGGAGCGAGCGAGGAGAAGTGGAAGGCGGCGGGGGACGGGCGGGGGAGTCGGCGCAAACGTTTGCGGGCCGTACGGACCATATGGGCCGGGGGTGGTGGTTGCGCTTCGGTTAAGGTCCGGGTTGAGGCGTTCGGCAAACGAGGGAGCCATGGGAGGCATAGCTGGGATCGCCGGGACGGATTCGGCACCTAGGAGGGGGATTGCGTTAGTTTCCTGGGGCGCGCACCGGCGGGTAAGGGGGTCCTAGACGTACTAGCAAGGATCTGGGTCCTCATGGAGTGAGCCGTCGAAGGGCGGCTACCCAGATAAATGCTTTGCCTCTCAATCACGTCCTCAATCATCTCCTGCAGCCGATCCCTCTCCATCATCGCCTCGGCAATACGCTCCTTGAGCGTGTCCACCAGGCCAGCCTCGGGCGCCGTGTTAGCCCTAGCCCGCGATTTGGGCGGGACCTCGGGTGGCGGGGGCGACGACGCGGACCGCTGCCTCACCGTTTCCGCGACACGGGGCGATCCCTGCAGCGGCGTGTTGGCGTGGGAAGAGGAGCCGCCCGTCGCCCGCCTGCGGGGTACGTGGAAGGAGAGGCTCGACCTGCTCCTCTTGAGGCTGAACCCGTCAACCTCGTCCTCTCGGTCGCCCCGGAGTTTCGCCGGCGGCGGCGGCGTTACGACCCTCTCGCCGGCTCCCTCGAAGTAGGGGAGGATGGGGACATCTTCACTCCGTTGCCCGCGGGGAGCTGCAAGGGCCCGTAGGTGGAGGCCTGCTCGCGGTCGCGGTACAGGTTGTCGTACCCATACTCCTCTTCCCGCTTGGGGATGCCAAACGTGGGGGTGAGCGGGCGGACGAAAACGGGTCGGGGTAATCGAACGAGTGGGTTGCGACATGGCGGAAGTTGGTCGGCGACGAGATTCGCAGCCTGTGCGAGCGCGGGGGCTTCTGCGGTAAAATCCCCGTATGCTCGATGCGAAGCTCCTGCGGCCGGCGGGTTTCTCGGACGAGGTCGGGGCGAACGTCTCCTTGGCGAAGGGGTTGAAGGGGTCGTCTATCAGTCCGTTCGAGTGAGGCGCTCGGGCGTTGATGGGCTGTTCTTCGACCACCGCGAAGGCCGGGGTGTCGGTTCCTGCGTACGTTAGACCTAGATTTCTTCTCTTGGCCCGTAACCTCATGTTGGGCTTGGATGATAGAATGGGGTCTAGATTTGTTTTCTCTCGAAAAGACGGAAAGAAGGAAAGAAGTGGAACGGAAAGATAGGACGGGATCCGATGTAACAAGGAATGACGAGATCAACTCGAATAGGAAGCAGAAGAATAGAAAATAGATTGCCAGGGAAGAAAAAAGGAAAAGGAAGGAGGGACGCAAGTAATATCGAGAAGACTAATAATAAGAACTGGCAGTGTACGCAAAAGGGAAGGAGCGGGCTTCGGCAAGAGCGATGGGGAAAAGTGGGCATGTGGATATTATGGATCTGGTTTAGCAAGGAAATAGTAGGAAGAAACGTACTTAGTTGGGATCGATCGCTATAACATGATGTCAAGTACGAGCAACAGGAGGAGACTGAGCTAGCCCAAGTTGCATAGATGTCGGACAATGCACCATTCGTAACCTTCATAATGTGTCGAGGCGGAGTTGTATTATCATGCCGGTTCGGATGTTTAGGGTGATTAAGATAAACGCGGCTTTGACTACGAGATGAGGGGAGGCGCCGTTCGGGTATAATGCGTAGTGGTTGTCAGACGGGCGGGAGAATGGCGTCTGAGGAAAAGAAAGAAGGCGAGGAAAGCAAAAAAGGAATGGGTACGAAACGAGAAAAAGGAAGTAAAACAAGAATATGAGCGAGGCACAGCCGTCCGAAGAAGTTGCTTGGGTGGTGGGTTTTCGGGCTTTTCTTTGATGACCACAGGTCGGGTGTTATACGACTTGCGCCAATAAGGACGGGTGGGAGGTGAGGCGAGGACCTGAGAGGGATGGAGCGGGAGGGAGAAGAGAGCAAAGGCGAAGAAAAGAAGCAAGCGCAGAAAAAAGAGAAAGATGAAAACAAGAATGCAAAAGTCAGAATCTCACTCGTGGTAATAAGTCGTCTCACGGAAAAGGCCAACGGTCCCGGGTTGGTAGCAAATTAAGGATTTGAAGAAATCCACCGTGAGGGGAAAGATGGAGAAACCAAGAGAGGTTGACCAAGGAGAGAAGGGAGAGAGAGGGTGGGAGAGTAGATGAAGGGAAATATTGGACCGGCCAGAGGGTTTCAATATCCGGAAATAGTCGCATGTAACTGTGCAACGAAAAAGGGAAAGGAAAAAGAAACTAAAAGGCAGTGTCGACGAGTGGAGGAGGGGGAACGAAGCACAAAGCCAAAAAGGAAAAACGAGACGACAAGAGAGAGGCAACGCGCGAACAAAGAGAGCCAAGGGTGGTTCGAACGGGCAAGCGAGTACCTATGCCTGTATCCTATCCCACTCCTTCTTTGACATTCGCAAGTCTGTGACGGATGACCTCGTCCACTCTCTGGGGCCGGTTTCTACATTGGGAAACCGTGGAGGGGGTGCGGCGTTTCCATTGTTCTGAAGAATGCTTCATCTCTTGGTTCTCGCTCGCATGTTCCCTGCTGGCTACTTTGGAACTACGACGCATCTGGAAGTAAAGGCTCGATCCATCCGCTGCAAGTCTTGTCTTTTGCTAAGCTTCCATGACGAGACGGCAGTTTATTCTTTTCGTTTCTTTTTCTTCGGTCCGTTCGTTTGTTTCTTGTCTTATCTACACACAAATTTTCCTAGTCTTCTTTTTCTTATTCTGTAGGTGCGGCTTGCTGTCTTGACTAGGACTCTTCTCGTTTCTTCTCGTGCTGGAGATCATTATTTCACCTGGTCTTTCACGGTTTCCTGCTTCGCTCTGCGCTCTGCCTGCGGCATGTACCTTGCAAGAACTCTTTTGGCCATGTTTTGTTCCCCCCTACCTCTACTATCCTTGAGTTTTTCTCCGGAACCAATGATGCAAGCGACGTTCACCAACCCTTTTGGAGCTAGATTTCTCCCACGTCGAACTTGCGCGAATGAGAGGCGCCCATCGTGCAGCAAGAAAGGAAGACAGCAATCGCTGATGGGCGGGCGACTGGCGACTAGGGGTGGTGCATTCCCACCAACCACCAACCAGTTGATGGACCTGGGCTGGGCAGCCCAGGGACGACGTCAATGTCTGGGTTTTGATAGGGCGTGGGGTGCCCGTCTGGCCCAGGCCAAGTGGGCGCTTATGTCGTCGCGCTGCTGTGCCGGGGGTGTGCGCGTAATTGATGTGTGTGTGTGTGTGTGGGATGTGGAGGGCCAGCATTGGCGTGGTGGTGGGTTACTGGGAAAGAAGTCGGTTCGAAATTCTGCGTGGGCGCCGCGTGCTCCCTCCGAGGAGGGCGTGCGTTCCGCCTACTCGCCGGCACGCCTCCACCGGCGCTTCGGATTCGCCAGGTCTTTTCAGTCCTGGGGGTGGTGAGGAGATGAAAGTCGGATACTCGCCGAACACTTTTTTTTTTTTTTTTTTCCTTTCTTAAATTTTTACGGGATCTAGTAAAGGAAGGAGGGAGACAAGAGACGAGGTGATGAAAGTTTCCTTTTCCCAAATGAGCCTCTTCAACAATGGTCTTCGTTTGGAACTATCTGATGTATCTTTTTAGACGGAGCCGCGAGAGAAAGGGGGCGTGAGCATTCCTCTCAGGCTGATGAGGATGGAGGTGAGGTGAGCGGGTGAGATGAGGGGCTTGTCAACAGAGGTGGAGTGGCTGGGTTGCTCTCGTGCGGTATCGTGGTCTTCAAAGGGCCACTACATCTATTACTTCGTACATCCAGGACCCTGACGACGAGATGCAAGACCGGATACCTACTCCTCTTCCACGCATAGAGAGTTGCGAGGGCGAAACTGAAAATAAGGTGCAAGTATATCAATTAATCTCGCTCCGTGATATATTCGCAACTTGATCATTCCACTGTTGATCTACCACCGGGCTCGTCGCGTTCTTTTTGCGCAGTGCAGGCGAAAACACACAAATCCAGCATGTGGTGCAGGACCTTGCCACCCCGCGAGGGATGGCGGATCCAGGCCTTTGATTGGACAAACGCCCGTGACGTTTGGGTGTGCTCAACTGAAACATGACAAACCACAGCAAAGGGCTTTGGTGCCCAAATCGTCAATATTCCCTCCCTCTGACTCCCTTTGTCTACTTTTGGCTGCGCAAGTAATTTTTTTCTTTTAAACCATTCCTGTTCTTCAAAGCCTTGGCTGATGCCAGATTGACATGTGCTTAGAGGGAGACTAAAGTAGATAAGCCTGGTAACTGGTAGCTGGTAGATGCCTCTTCGTAACTGAGGGGAAACGAGAAAACCTCCCTTCATATCTGACAGGTTCCAGACATAGAGTCCTATCTGAGATGACTGGGTCCGACTGGCCCGACTGGCCCGACTGGTCCCGACATATATATCTCCATGTACCAACTCAGCCGGTTGAGCCATGCCCACATACCACGCGCTGTAACCCAAGGTTTGTAACTTTCCCCAACTTCAGGTTGCTTCGCCTACCCCAAACTCGCGAGGTCAAGGCTGCAACTCAACAACGTGAAGAAGAGGGCATTGCTCCCCCCTCTCCCCGTATGACCGCACGCGCAAGCTTGAGCTACGTCCGATCGATCCTACCCTTCAGTTGCGGACGGCGGAGCTTGGGAGAGGGAGACCGCCGGATTGGATTGGTTGCTGTTGAAGGACCCTTGTCCCTAGCCGCGACATGCCGCTCCCCACACAAACTGCCACGGACATATATTTTCATGCTCGATGACATGTTTCGCTCTGAACGGACAAAGGGTGATAGTTGACTAAAATAAAAATAAAAAATACCGTCTTAGAAAGCTAAAACCAAGTCATCAAGGAGCTGGCGGAGCGGGTAAGGGGGCGGAAGCAAAGAGGAAGAAAGGGGCAAGATTGGGGGAATAACAAGGTCACCAGTGCCCAATCTTCTCGCAGCCACCCACGCACAACGCACATCCCAACGCGAGCATGCACGCACTTTGCCGTCTCTCTCTCCCTCTCTCGAGTTATTCTCAAGTTGAGGCTGTCAAGTCGAGGGACGACCGCAGCGCAAGTGGTCCACGCCTACATCAATAGGATACACCTATACGCACACGGGAATTATCCACACACTCGCACGCCAATGCAAACATACGCCTACACCCCTTCTCCCCTACGTGGAGGGACGGGAAGCGAGCCCCGAGGCTTGATACAATCCATCATCGCCCATTTCTCCCCTTCTCCCCACCCTTTCCTCTCTCTTCCCGCCTCTTCTTCCTTCTCTCTTTCGCTGATTCTTCACTCCCCTTTTGTTTGGTTTGGCTTCCGCTGCGTGCCTGCGCCTCGCCGCGCTCATAGGGAGGGGGTGTTTTTCTGAAAAGAATTTTTCTAGCTCTTGTGCTGTTCATGTTATTCGCCTGCCCCTGGCTCCCCAGGGTCGCGTTGCGTAGGGGAGGTCCAGGTCCCAAGGAGAGCCATTGCTCTGTTTCTATTTTGAATGGATGTGTTGTGCTTTGCCCCTCCGCCCCGAGTCGAGGTCGGCCGCGTTGCACATCTTGCATCTGGAAAATTGGCGTTGGCTTTTTTTTTTCGGGGTTTGCCCTGTCTTCAGCTTAGATTCCTCTTCTTCCTCCTCGTTCCTCGCCTTCGCCAGGATCCTTTGGGAAAACAGCAAGAACATCGACGTAAACATGAGAATGAAGCTAGAAAATCCTCCATCGGTCAGCTGCCCATTGTTCAATATCGCCCCTCTTTCTTGCACTCTGAAAATACGTAATGCGAAATGTATTCGACAAAAGGCGGCGAGGGGATACGTCAAATCTTGCCCGCCTTTCCGTGAAGTGTCTCACTTCACGATAATTCAGTGGCTCACTAAACTTGGCATCCATACCACAACACCCAAAGAGGGCCTCTCGTGCAGTGCTGGTAACCACCCGCCACAATCCTGCTCCCTTTTTCCCCGCGCAGGAGTATTTTTATTTGTATTATTGTTATGGTTTTTTCCTTCACCCCATCTGAATGCCGTGTCCTTGAAGATTTTTTCTTCTTCTTGATTCTGTACTCCCTCGCCCCCGCTTCGCAATCGGAGAAAGAGGGTGGTACAGCAGGATCCAGGCAAGTGGCGTCTCTCCCTCTGCCTCACGGACGAACCAAGAACGACAAGACGTCTACCGAGCAAAAGGGCGGAAAAATCACAAGGCAGGTTCTGGGGCGGGAGGATGTGCGACATCCTCGTTACGCTTCGCCATTGGCCTATTCTAGAACTTTGGGAATGGGGCTGGCACCTTGGGCCTAAACCACTTTTGTCGTGCTAGATTGGATGAGAAAACTTGGCTGATGGGGGAGGGGAGCCACCTTCAACTCGCTGTGGCGCTGACGGGTAATACGGTACGGGAGACGCGGAAAAGGCTTCGAGGCCAGGTGAGCAAAAAGCTGAGGAAAAGAGGGAGCGAGCGAGATTGCGAGTACGAAGAAGGTGAGATCGATTCCACCGGCATCCTCCAATATCTCAGGGTCGAGTCACTTTCTTTTCTGCGCCAATGTCCACCTCTCTCCCTCTGCCCCTCTGTCCCTTTCCCTATCGGGAGCCTTGCCCACCAAGTTTAACACTAGTATCCTTCCATAGCTGAAGGCCAGCCATCACTTTGGCGATGTCTCCTCACTTCGTAACCAGGCATGCCAATGCCAGGGTCTCTCATTAAACCGTAATCAAGAGCATTGCCATTCCGGGAAGGATGACGGAGGCCTAGTGGCGATCTCGCCCCCTTTCCTTGGTGCCGTGAGCCAACCAAGGGCCTCAGCATTCCTCATGACCCAGATCGTCGGATTCTTAGCTCATCCCGCGGGGCTCCTTTGTGACCACCCGTATAGGCTGCGAGGATGAGCCAAACGCTATATTTAACCCAGACCGGGTATTTTTGACCATCCCTCGAACCCACCCGGCGGTGAACTAATGTTGTGGGATATCCAGTACAAGCAAGGAAAGAGAGAAAAGAAAATTGGGGCGGATGACTTGGCGGACGGGCCTTTCGTCGGCGAGGGCGATGGCGAAGCTAAGAGCACCGCGTGCTGGCTTTGCTCGTGAGACCCGACACCACTCCACATGAGAGTTGCCACCAGGAAAATGCGCGGGCGGAGGCTGAGTGACGGCGACAAGAAAAAAAGCCCACAATGAAAAAGGGGTTAGACACCTGATGATTCCCGAAGAGTTGAGTGCAGAATAAGATGGAGAATCCTCAATTTCTACTATTGCCGCACTTTCCGGCCTAAAAAAAAAACAAAACCTCCTGGTGTGACTGTTGTGAATAGGAATCGACGTACAAGGGTGTAAACCACATCTATTGTATTCTTGGTCCTACATGTACACAAACTACATTTATTCTTGGCCCTGTGTTTCTCGAAATGGGCTGCTTGACACATGTTGTAATGGAGCCACAGCAAGTCTTTTGGTTAATCTCCATCCCAAGCTCGTTTGCGGCGGCTACCGTGACTCAACTCTGTCCTATGCTCCGGGCGCAGCTGTGCCAGTCCGAGTGATTGATGAATACTAGGCCGGGAGAGAGGGAGCCGAGGCGTTGAGTAAGCCATCGGAGGCGCTTAGGAGGAGCGGCCGAGAGCCAAACTGGAACGTGAGAATGTTTGTGGCCCACTCTGCCGGACCCTTCAGAAATACGACGCTGACATAATGCACCACCTGCCTCAGCTCGCTTCCCACGCCTTTTGTCGCCTTGGACCTTCTGGAAAACGGCGCCGGTCGTGGCTTGGCCCGAGATGATTGGCTGGCAACGCTCCAAGGTGAACCATTTCAGCGACCTTTAGCATATCGAGCAAAATCTTCATACACCACTTAGATTGACGAAGAGCTCGCGGCCCCAGACATACGTTTGCCTCCACCCCCAGCCTTCGAACAGGAGATCTTCAAGACTGGAAAAAAGGAAGGGGAATGGCAAAACGACCAGCCCGCGGGGCTCACGGTCCCCCAGATTCTAGGAAGCGGCAGAAGCTGGCGCGCGATCCGCCCACGTCTGAGGACGTAACTACTAGTCGCCAGTTGAAGAAGTTACTCGAGTTTCACCAGGATGCGAGGGATGCCCGTCATGGTATGTTGATCTAACAGTTTGTAGCTCTTGGCTTAGCTTTGCCCCTCCCTTCTGCCCCCACCCCGGTTCCCTTCATGGGCGGCGCTTTGGTTCACCTTGACCTCTCATCAAATGCCGTTGTCTGGATTTCCTTCAAGTGGCTATGTGATTTGTTAACCTGGGCACCGTAGGCATCCATTCGCTCAAGCGCCTCCTGGACGCCATCGTGGCGAACAAGGAGAACGAGGAGGAACTGTCCATCTTGGCCGGGTATCTCGAGGCCGTAAGTCCCACGGTCGAAGGACCCGATGCGGTCCATGTGCCCGAGATCATGACCATGTGGTCCTTTGGCGCATCCATGGGCAACGACGACTTATTGTCCGAAGCGGCCGCCGTGCTGGCCCTGCTCCTGCAAGCCACCTCTCTCAGCCTGGGACTCCTCCCCTACGGCCGCGGCATCTGCGAGACCCTGCTGCAGGAAAAGCAGCTGAAGCTCATCGCCCGGAACCTGTCGGCCGACAAGGACAAGGGCTTCGTCATCTCCCCGCGCTGCGGCTGCTGCGCGAACTCGTCTCCTACGACGGCGGCGTCTTCTCGCGCCGAGTCTTTCGCGCCCAGGCCTCGACGTTGACCGAGCTAACGCGCAACTTGGACATCCGGTTCCGCGGCGACGGCGTCGAAGATGCGCGGAAACCGTCGGTGCGGTCGAACGCGGCGCGGTTCCTGCTCGCCGCCCTCAAGTACCTCCTCCGATAGCAAGAGCGAGCTGCTCGTCCAGAAGGGCGTGATGCCCGCCTTGCTCATGAGGCTGCCCGACGACCCCCGCTCTCGTGCTGGAGGCGCTGGACTGCCTGACAAGGGACGTCGTGGGCGATCACAAGATCTCGACGGCGACCAAGGCTAGGGTCTTTTGGGTGAGGTTGATGGAGCGCCTCGCCGGCCTCTACACCTACGCCTACGACTCTGAGGACGCCGAGGTCACGGTGGCCGCCAGGGTACATGATTTCCTCATGCTCACTTGCACGACGCCGGCTGCTGGCATCCTCTCCAAGTGCAACGGGCTCTACCCCAACTCGATCAATCTCGACGACTTTTCGGCTGGCGACTTCTTGTGGTCCGACATGGGTCTAGAGCAACTATCGTGGATGGACCAGTACACGACGGATGTGACGATACGGAATGCCGCCCTGCTCGAGGTGGCGCTGAAATTGCGGCCGTGGGCGAGCGTCCAGCAGTGCGAGCTTCTCGTAACCATCTTTAAAGCCGCGCCCGAGATTGTCCACGTCTATTTCCTCGAACAAAAGTCATTCACCTTTGACCCCAAGTTATCAATGACGTGGATAGGATACTCGTCCTTCATATTCCATACCGTGCAGCTTCCCGTCCCAGACCACTTTGGCCTCAAGGCCAACTACGCCTCCATCCCCCGCCTACCTCTACTCTATTAGCTAGCATCATCCCTCCTCCCCTGACGCAAAACGCCCTCGTCCGCTGCTTCGAACCGAAATGGCCCCTCGTCTCCCTCTTTGCCGCCCGCATCCTCGTATTAGCACTGGAAAAGATGGACACCGTCCTGGCCATGCATCACGAAGCAGCCGCCGGACGCCAGAACTCGCCATGGCAGCACGCGTCCAAGAAGTTGGTCAACGACTTTTGCCAGCGGATCCCGGACTTGAAGGACGTCGTGAGGTGGTACAAGAGCATACCCGACGACAGCATCTTGTGCAAGGCCACCGCGAGCCAGCTCCTCGCCATGTACTACAGAGTGCTACCGCAGGTGGCGCTGGCGGCGAACTTTGACGTCTCGCCTTTCCTCGCCAAAGCCCTCGCGTCGCTCGACAATCCGTTTGAGGAGCCCAAAGACAAGGAACTCGTGCTGACGGAGCTGGAGAACTTGCTCGAAGCGGCGAGCCTCTCTCCCGGCATGAGGTGGTTTTCCAAGCTACAGGGATTCCCCTCGTCCCCTTTTATAGTGCTTCTCAAGCTGGCGAGCACTGAGGCGGGTACCGGGTCGTCGGATACGCTGAGGGCTATCCTGGAGTCGGTTGCCGTGGAGCATCAAATCGTGCTTCGCGACACTGGCCTCGGGCCTGCGTACCAGGCCGCTCGCGCTCTCGCAAAGGCTGATGCGGGAGGCTCGGCAGACGGTGTTTGGGCTCTGCTCGACAACTGCGTGACCAAGTGCGCGGCGTCTCCCATCAAATACCTCGATCTCGTGCCCGAGTATATCGGGGACGCGCGTCAGTCCGACGAGGAGGTTAGCGTCAGTCTCTTGACGTTTACCTTGGCCGAGCAGCTTCCCTTTGCAGTCAAGTCCGCTTCGAACGCCGACCTTGCCACCATTGGCAGCTATATCTCAGCATATCTCGGGTATTCGATTGAGCGGGGTGAAAATAAGAAGTGGGTCAAGCAGCTGGTGAAACGGATGAATTCGAGCCTCGCCGAGAAGGAGGTCAAGATTGAACTTCCCAAAGTGTCCAAGGAGACGAAATCTAGCAAATCCAAGAGGAAACAAGCGGACGACGAGAACGGCGACGGCATAAAACAACAAACTTCAACCACAGGCTACCTCAAGGGCACAACCACGTCCAAGGCCCAGCCCATAAGCCCTGCTCAACTGGAAGAAGTCCTTCACGAGCCGTTTACGGGGCTCGAGGACAACTCGGCCCTCACTCGATGGGTCAACAAGGGCATAGACGACAATCTCGAAGATGGTCACGCCGTAGCGCTTATCCGCCTCCTAGGGTCGGAACACAGCAGCATCCGCATGGAAGCCCTCACCAACGTCCTCAAGCTCGCCGCTAAAATCCGAGAGTCCACGCACTCGGAGCGCGACCAGCTCTGGCTCCTCCTCTCCGAGCTCGCTGAATCGGCCCGCCCGCTGGTCAACGCGGGACCGGTCCCCTCGGCATTCACCGGGTTCGCGGCCCACGCGCTCCCGTATTGGCGAACCCTCTGCACGCGCTGTATCCCAAGGTCAACAAGTACCTCACGCGAGCCCCCGTCTGGCCCGCGGGCAAGATCCCGATGGTGCACGATATACTCCACGGGGAACCCTCCGAGGATGACAGGTACTACGTGGAGCTGGCGTGGCTGTTCGGGTACCTGCTCGACTGCCTCCAGCGGCCCGGCGACATGGCCGTGTTCCACCAGACGCGGTGGCTGGAGAAGGTCCTCGTCAGCGCGTGCAACCCTTACATGAGGCCCGCGCTGCGAGCTAGGGTCTTCCGGCTGCTCTACCGGGCGACCTGCGCCGAGGTCGCGGGTAGCACGACCTTGGTGACGCGCTTTGGGGTGATGAGCTGGCTAGAGGCGCTGGCGGCGGGTTTGGAAGACGAGGGCGAGAAGGCGGTGGCCATGGCCTTGATGGCGAGGGTGTGGGAGACGTGCGATAGGAAACACGTGGGGACCTGGAGCAGGGGAGGGATCCCGGCGCTGATGGGCGAGGAGGGCCGGATGGAGCCAGATAAGGCAGCTGAAGGCGTCGTTGCATAATCTCTTTCGATAGCACTCGTTCCTCTCCGAGGCGTTTTGTGGTTCTTTTTTTCTCTCTGTTTATTCGTCATGGGGCCGGTTATATAAAAAAGTACAATCAAGATGTGATTATATCGTCAATTCAGCTCCGAGCAACTCCAATCTAGATATCCAATAAAGCTTTTGAGAATACAATCTTACCCTCCACGCGCCCACTAGACTGGATTGATTCATTCGTTACCCTGACACATGGTGAATACGGCAACTCTTCCAGCTGGGCAAGGGGCTTGTGCCCCTTTATCGTTTATTCGTGGCTGTTTTGCTCATTCTCGATGGCAGTACTGCATGGGAAGAGATAGCTCACACTATCAAGCGATGAGTAAAGGGCCTATGAGCTTGTGGAACTGGTGAGAGGTGCGCCACGATCGCAATTTTGGGCGACCCCCTCCTTCTGATACCTCGTCACTCTTACGAGGCCATGTCCAATAAGGTCTTGATGTTTCTCGAAGGTCTGATGACTGGCTATCCGAAAACTCTGAGGTTCCTTTCGTTTCGCCGCGCAAATCGCATCGTTGATTTGAGCCCTCCAGCTACCCAACGCGTTCGTCATGGCGGTGAGTTCTAAACCTCTACTTCCGAGGTATTTTCTTTCTACAATCAAGCTTGGTACTGCGGGCCACATCACAAAGAAAACGGGGAACAAGCACTGGATGCCTTTCTCTACGGTTGGAGAATGGGCGGATTTTGGGGATGGCATGGGAAGCCGTGGGAGTGGCTCGCGGCATCAAGGGCGACGGCCGAGTTCCTCCACCATTCGAGGGGTGAGGTTGTGGATGGTTGACACGCGACCCGTACACAGGCAGAGACTAATTTCCCTAACCGCGCATTTTTTGCGGGTAGGCTCAGCTTCTGAAGAACTTGGCTCGGTAGGCCCCCAGGAAAACCGGTTGCTTGGGTTATTTCCCTTGCGTCCATAGCAAAGACAAAGGCCGGAAGGAGAAGGAGGAGAGGGGAAAAGAGAGAAGGGGAGGCCAAAAATGGGAAGGAGGAACCTGGTCCTCACTGGAGAGGGAAAGAAACACCAAGAACTCGACCTCGATGTCGTTCCCCACTAGTTCCAAATCACTCGACAGTGCAGTCGGGGTTTTCTTTCTGGAAACATCCCCTCTTCTCTTCTCGTTTTGTGCCATTTTTTTCTTCTTCTCGGGGTTCCTTGGTGTGAAAGTGCACTCAGCGGGTAAAACGCATGGCAAGCGATCAATCAGGGATGAGGGTCTTGGGGTATTGGGCTACTTCTTGGGGGTGGCTGCAGGGCAGAGAATGAATAGAAACAAGACGAAGGTTTGGAAGGGAGCTCGGCGTTGGAGCCCAACCGGACCCGGGTTTCACGAGCACGAGCCGAGGGTTGTGGTTTGTCCGGCGGGATTATCCAAGCGGCTTTTGGTGAGAAAGGGGCGCGGGAAGTATCTATGAATGGGCGATCTGAGGAGTCACGTTCGTTTTTCCTTTTTTCATCTCTTTTTCCCCTCCTTAGGTAGAGGGCAAGAGTCAATATTCTTGGGGCAACAAATGGCTGGAGGGAGGCCTCGTTCTTGATAGAGCTACAATGTGTGTGTGTGTGTGTGTGTGTGTGTGCGTGTGTGCCTGTTGAAGCTGGAGGCACCCACTAGGCAGGAGCTCCCGTCCGCCTTTGCTGTAACTTGATTCCGACCAGCTCGATCGAGCTGTCCCTTTCCTTTTGGGAGCACATCCCCAAATCAGGGTAGTGGCCTTGTCGCTGAAGAGGGTAACAACGACCTGGTCGAGTCTCCTTTCCTTTTGGGGGTTGTGGCGGTACCTTCCCAGTACCTCGGTACTTGCCCACCTGTTGACTCGCCGTGGAGAGCTAGAGCGGTGGCTGAGACGGCCATGCCAGCGAGGATGAAAGTGGCGCTAAATGTGGCTATTGACGACGGTGAGGCCGACAAATTGTAGAAAATAACCCAAAGTGGAGTGCCACAAGCCTGAGAGCAGATCTGCCATTGGAAGTGAGAGGTATCCCCCAAGTACCTGACACCCAGCCCCCAGTCCGTCAAGCCAGAGTCATCGGACGGGAGAAGGAGCCAGTCAGGTGCAGCCAGAGCGAACCTCTATCCCCACTGCACTACCACTCCAGCGCTGCCGTGCGTGCTGTGCCTTTGGTTGCTCTTGTGTTGCCTGGATCTCCAAGTGGAGCGTGCGTCCTGGGCAAGCACAAGCACATACTTCGTACATGCTTGTACAGCGCAGAAGCAAAGCGTGGAGTAATAGGGACCCTGGCTGTCTCGGCTGCTGGCTCAATCAGGTTCTGTTCCCTGCTCCGTCATCCATTTCAACTTCTAATCCACCCGCTTCGAGCCACTCGACCAGACTAGACCCAAGGCCACTATTATTATTGCCTCTGGTAAAACCATCAACCTTCTTTCAATCCCGACAAACGTTCAATTCCACCCTCCCTGCCCGCACCAACCCCAACAGCAACAGCCTCGCCTTCGTCCAAAACCTTGCCATCAACCGATCGCTTCCACCGTTCGCAACCTGTATCACCATTTCTGTTCCGCCCCTTTTTGCGCCATAGAACCTGTCCAATTTTTCTCTCCTTTCCTCAACCTGGAATTTTGTCCCCGGCCCGCACGTCCCCCAAAAGTCCAACCATCTGCTCAAGCCAGCGTGACTATTACCTCGTTCGCCTTGCCCTTGCTTGGCTCCCGGCCTCCTCCTAGCCCAGCCAGCCAGTCTGGCAACGGAAAAAGGGAAGGAGAAAATCACACCGAGAAGGCTTTGTCACGTCACAGCCTCTCCAAACCACCTTCAACCTCACTCCAACTACTACCTCCTCGACACACCCATTTCCAACCTTAATTTCGCTCCCTCCCTAAACACAAGTCCTCAATCACCGAAACCAACCTTCCATCACACGATAATCTCTCGACATCCGATTGACCCTCGTCTAGCATCGCCGACACATCCTGAGCTATCCGCCCCGGTTCATCATAACGTCTTCTCTCTCTCGCCCGCTCCCGATCGTGGGAGCTTTATACTGGAGCAGGTCGCGGCTGCCTTGCCCGCGCCGCGCCTTGCTTTTCACCTTCGGCTCTCGGGGATACGTTCTTCCTAGTCGAGCTCTTGCCATTCCTCTCCCTATACCACCTCCATTTTCTTCTACACGTTTCCTATCTCCATGTTTGTATCTGCGAGGCCACGGTAATCAATCAACCAGCATCCCATTAGTTATCCGAGCTCTGATGCCATCTTGTCGCATCGCCTCGAGGATATCATGACGACACTACGTTACCAAACAGACTTTCTACTCCATTTGCGAGACTCGCCGCTATGCGTCAAGCCTTCCGCGCTGCCTCCCGCAGAGGATTGGATGGGGTAAGCTCGTTCCCAGTCATCTGCCTACCTTTCAGGCGCAGAGGACAGTTTCTTTGACCTCCTTGTGCTATAGCTCACTTCCATTGACCCTCCTTTCCATCTCCCACCCGTCTTCCTTGTTGTATCTTTTGCTATCGTTCTTTACTTACCGTGCGCCACTCCGTAGTCCACCACCGGAGACATTCCGCCCTCAAGCAAAAACAACGGTTGAGAGAGCAAAGCCCCAGGAGAGCGCCATTGGCTCTTTTGACTTGAACCCTCGCCGAAACATTGACAGGCTACTGTCGCGATCAACGACGAGTGAGTATCTCATGCTAACCCTTGCGGCATTTCTCTTCTTGTGCCCCGCAGCTAACAAGACCCCTCTACTCGCTAGGTCCCGAAGACACCGCCATTGGCAGTTTCGGTGCTCCTCGAACCGGCTTCCCTAGTGCTAGCCTTCGAGGCACCAAGGGCACTTTTGACGCGGATAGGACAAGCAAGGACGGTGACTCACGAGGTGGTCGGTTCGACTTTCGAACGCGAAACGCCGACAATGACGGCGCTAGTTCCGGGGACCGCTTCCGTGATGGAAGAAATCCTGCTTATCGACGACGCGGCGAGGGAGACCAGGATAATGAGGGCTGGAGCACTGTCAAGCCGCGAAAGAGCTTTGGCCCTGAAGGCGCTGAGCGATTTAACGGCCGTATGGGTGGCGTTGACCGATACCGCGATGACCGTCGCACTCGTGACAGAGATGAGACTGACAAGCCCAATGTGAATCGCCGAACTTACGATTCGACATCCAGGGACAAGGATGCCGCCAATGACGAAAATAACGAAGGAAGACCCCGGAACGGCGTTGCTCGGGGCAAGTCCGACACCTGGTTCAAGAATGAAGCTGCGAATGAGGGCCTCAGTGCCCGTGAGCGAATCGATAGGGCCAAAAGCTGGAGGGACCGCGATCGCGAGAATGACGCTCTCGAGGATCGGTCTTCAAATAGGACCTACGATCGCCGCTGGGGCGGGCGCGACCGCGACCAACGCGCCGAAAGAGACCCAGAGTGGATGGATGCTCCTGCCGATGAAAAAGCTGGTGGCCACACGGAAGAGGACTTCAAAAAGTTCCTTGAGAGCATGAAGGCCCGTGATGGAGGCGCCTCGAGCAAGCCCGCAGCCCAACCGTCCGAACCGCCAGCGGAAGCCCCCAAGAAGGCTGAATACACGCCCTCCATCGAACCTGGCCCCGACAAGTTTTCATGGCATTCGCCTCTCCCCTGCTACCGAGACCGCCACTTCAGGGGTAGCTGCGGACGCTGGTGACGGAGCTAGTGGCCCCAGGCCTAAGTTGCCGGGCAAGTCGTCTCGTTTCACGTCCTTCTTCAACGCTCCCCAGGAAGAGAAGAGGCCCGGAGAGGCCACCCCCAGCAAGGTTCGGGGCCTCTCAATGGCGGCCATCCGCAGCACCCGCAGCATCTACAACACTCACAGCATCCGCAGCACCCACAGCACCAACAACACCCCCAGGAAGCTGGCCTACCCGCTCCAGAGGAAGAGAAGGTTGCTTTCCAGCAGCTTCTCATGAAGCTTCAGAAACAGTCGCTGCAGGTTAGCCCTGCCCCTGCGGCGCCCTCATCGTTCTCTGAGCCACCTCATGCTCCGCCTGCGACCAGCTCCGCTGGACCTGAATTCCCGATTAGAGCCGCCGCAAAGGCGGCCTCGCCTGAATCCGCAAACGTTCCTTATGGGAGCGGCGGCCACGAGCCACCAGCAGACGACTCCGGAAAGGGCCCTTCTTGGCCTTTCCCCATCATCGCTCCTCAGCCCATGCTCCCGCACCAGACCGCTGCTGCGCGCCAGGATCAGCTCTTGCAGAACCTCGTGGGCCATCGTGGTGACAGTGCCCAGCGTGGGGACCCGCTTGCCGTTCGAAACAACAGCAACACGGAGTTTTTGATGAACCTCATGCGTAGTCAACCGGAAGCTCCCCGCACGGAGCAGATGATGCTCCGGATGCCTCAGCCTCAAAAGTCGGCACCCATCCCCCATGTCGCTGAACGGGACCCCGAATTCGTCCAAAATGGCCGATTCCCGCCTCAACAGGCACCCCAACACCAGCACCAACACCAGCTTCAACACCACCAGCAACCGCACCAGCAGCAGATGCCATCTCAGCAGCCACATCAGCTCCAGCACCAACAACCGCCTCACTCTCAGCATCCTCAACAGCACCAGCACCAGCTCCAGCAGCCACAGCATCTCCAGCAGCAACAGCACCAGCACCAGCACCTCCAGCAGCAGCAGCAGCAGCAACAACAACAGCAGCAGCGCCAGATGCGGCACCAGCCTCCAGGCTTTGGTGAAGAACCTTCGTTCCATCACGGCGAGCCTGAACCACGTGGTCCTCCTCAGCAGCCTACGCAGATCCTGCAACGCCCACCCCTCCACCAGGCCTGGATCAAATGGGACCAGGCGGTCCAAACTGGATGCCCCAAGTCGTCGGTGTAGGTGGCCCTCAGCAGCGGCCAATGATTCCTCCTCCCGGTCTCCCCGGTGGCATCTCTAGGAACATGCCTTTGCCCCCTGGCATGTATCCGCCCAGCTTCCCTCCCGGCGGACCTGGGTTCCCTGGCCCCGAGGCAATGGGTGGTATGCCCCCGAGGAACATGCAGCCTCCTCCCGGTATCTTTGGTGCCCCTCCACCGGGCTTCTTTCCCCCGCCTGGTGTAGGTGGATTCCAGGGAGGTCCCCCGGCTGATGTCCACGGCTTTGGCGGCCCTGGCGGGCTTGCCGGCCACTTTGACGCCAGGGGCATGCCCTCCGGGAGTGCCTCGGGGCGCATTTCCCCGACCTTAAATCGCCGTTCGAAGCGGAGGCACAAGCCCATTGTGCCGGCCGCTTTGAGGCGGGGTTTGCCCGTCTTCGATCCCCTCCACTCTTGGCTACTAATCTTCACACTCTTTTTCCTTCTACCCGAAAGCGAGCTGTCTTAGATGCTTCGTCTGGCACGTGGAATGTGCTGGTTTCTCGTGCCTGATTGCGCAAGCTCTATCATCGTCTCACCCTTCTTTCCTATCTCAACTCTTCAACCTCTCTGCCTCGACTCGTGCCGGTACCAACGAAGATTTTGATCTCCCCTCAGCCCCACCTGCGGCGTCCTTCATCCCTTGGGTACTGCATATTCGCGGCTGGGTTTTATTTTCTGGTTGTTTATCTCTTTTCTTTTGTATCTTACGTTTCCCTCGTGATGGACCACGGATTAGCGAGGATATGCGTCTGTCCTTTCACCTGCTTTGGCGACACCCTGGGAGTGAATATCGATACGCTGCCATCACCACCACCCTCCAAAAGCTTTACGAACTGTTACCACCGAAACTTTGCCTCTCTCCGTCCCGTTTTATTTCTTTTTCCAAGCTTTGCTTTTTCCTTGTTCTTTTTTTAACTGTTCAACTTTGTACTTGGCTTCCGAATCTGGACAACTTGAGACATGAGAATTCTGGGAGACATGGCGAACGGCTGGGTTTTGGAGATTTTTGCGAGCCTGCTTGGAGGGGCGGGGAGGTAACATGCATTTGATTTTGGTAACACTCTGCTTCGGAAAGGAGAAAACTGGTCCCCTACGTTTGGAATGGGGTTAGAGAGATGGCGGAGGCAGGTAGCGCTTCTGCCTGCGACGCTCAAAGACAGGATTTTCGAGGGGAAGGGGGGTTATGGAGAGAAGACCGAGAGGAGTTGGGAAAGATTGAAGAGCGGGGGATGAAGAGAGGGAGGGCCAGGATGCTATTTCCAGGCCTATTTCCAGGAGAGGAGGGAAAGAGGGAATGAAAGAACCTGGTAGCTTGCTGAAGAAGGGATCGAGGGTTGGTCCGGAAGACGAGACCGGTAGTTGTGCTATTCCATTCTTTTTGTCTTTATTCTCGAAGAACCGGAGATATAAAGCAAATCAGTCGAAACGAGAGGCGATGGGCAATGGGCGAAGGAAAGGACAAGATGAAAACATGAAAAAATACTTTTTAAAAGGGGAAACCTCAGCAGGCTCTTCTTACTTTCCTTGCATCCTGATTGTGTGATTTCGTGACTTGAGATATGAGGTTGAGATAGATACCTTCACTAGACTACTTGCTATCAAGTTACATAGTAGAGTGGGATTTTTTTATCTTCTTATCCAAAGAAAATACAATTAAATCAGTGTCCCTCCCTATCCCTCTACAATGCTTCTCTCACAAGAAAATCAGCCACCTATGAGATTATAGGAACAACATCACAAAAACACAATACGCCTCTCTCACGTTACTCCCTTCCAGCCTACAATAGTGAAGGTGAAGAGGGGAGGAAGAAAAAAAAGAGATATAAAGAAAAGGGATTCAAAGGGGGACATTTCACCATTTCTCCTTCCACTTTTACTTCTTCATGCCCAAAAGTTCCTCCGCTTCTTCTCTAATTTATTATGTTTCTTGGCGTCATCCCGGCCAATGTCACCGCTGCCTCCGCCGCCACTAAGGGACATTGATTGAACCGGTAGGGAAGACGCAGAGGTCCTGCCGCCTGAACTTAGAGTCATAGAGCCCATAGCCGCGGTGGGAGGTGCACCACCGCTTCCACCGCCGCCGCCGCCTGGCCTACTAGGAAGGCCGCCGGGGATGCGCTGTTGAGATGGCAGACCAATGGGCTGCTTTTGGGAGTAGGATGGCTGGGAGGGAGGTGGCGGGTTAGGCTTGAAGCCAGAGGGTTGGCTCATGGGCTGGGGAGGGGCGGCGACAGGCGGGGGTCGAGACTCTCGCTCAAGGAGATGGGCCGGGACACGCGGCTTGGGTCGTTCCATGGGCAGATCTAGGCGGCGCTTGTCGGCAGACAAATCATTGAGTTGGCGGAGGAAAAGTGCCGGAGTGAGCATGTGGCTGGAGATAAGGAAAACATCACGGCCAAGACGGGCCGAGACGTCGTAGCACATGCGACTCTCACTATAGGTGGCACCGCCAGCCATGAAGACAAAGATGCGCTGGCGGTTCTCGGGGGCTTTGCGGCCGGCGGCGGCCCAATTAGGCCTGCCAGCACGGAGTGAGCCTCCTTGGGCGGCGGCGAGGTCTTCGGCTGGGTCGTTGGGGGCGTTAACATAAGGAAAGGTGCCTTGATCGAGGGTACCGCGGCACAGCTCTTCTAGCATCGGCTTGATAACAGGTTCGAAGCGGGAGAGAGCATACTCCTCCCCGGCAGCAGCCGCAGCAGTTTTGGGGTCTATGGGGAAGAGGGGTGCGGGCGGCGTACGGGCCTCTTTGAGGCCGCGCAAAGGCCGAGCCCCGAGGAGCTCGAGGTTGGTGAGAATGTCGCCGTCACGAGCGGGCAAGGAGGCGTGGGCAAGGAGTCGCTTGACATCCTCCAGAATGACACCGTCGCGGTAAAGCACATAGATGATGATCAGGCGGAGTCGGTCTGAGGGTGAGATGGCGTCATCGTCCAGGAGACGGACAACTTCCTCCAGCACGCCCTTGGGACGGCGGTAGTCCTCATCGAGTCCGGTGGCACATGTCTGCTCGACGGAGGCGATGTCCGGCAGGCGATTATTCTGAAATTTGTTCATGCACTCCTGGGCCATGCTCAGGTGAAGAGAGTAAATTTCCTTCATCTCTTGGAATTGCGGCAGGCCAGCAAGCATGTCGCGGATGACGTTCAGGTTAGTGGATTCGGCACCCTCCTTGGCAAAATGGGGATTCTTGTCCAGGAACTTTTGGAAGTCGCCCATAAGCTTGTCGATGGTGTCCTTCATGTGGCGGTGGCGGTTGTCGACCCAAACCTTGTCGTTGTCCTGCAACTCCATATCCTTTTCCTCCTGCATGGGGTTCCCTCATTTACCACCATGTGATAAAGTACCTTTTCCCGCTCGTCAATAGGAAGGAGGTCGTGAGCCATGGCCTGGTAAGTGAACTCGTGGACGAGAGGAGCCATGAGATCCATAGAGCGATCTGTTATGACTAGGACGCTCGGGGGCCGGTTCGAGGGAGGCGGAAAGTTGCGGTTGAAGCTAGCGTAGTTCTCGAGCTCCTCGTTGACGAATCGGGCAAGGTATTTGGAGAGGACGCTTGCCTCGTGGCTAGGGTTTAGAGGGTTGTAGTAGCGAACCTTGGGGAACTCACCCATGGCGACACACACACTCATGATCTATTGCAAAGTTAGTCAAGGGCGGGGAGGGGGAGAGGGGACGGAAAGCGTTGGTACTTTTGAGCGAGTATCCTCATGTGTTCTGTGACTATATTGTTACAGCCCGGGTGATACAGTACAGGGAAGCTCCAGGGATCCCTGAAAGTCACTAAGTGAGACTCCCGAGGGAAGAAATCTAGTGGTATTGTGTCAAAGCCCACGACCATGGACCGGTAGGCTGGGGAGCTCTCGAGGCGGCGGCGCAATGGTGGATCGAGAAGAGACGTCCATAGCAAGTAGCCTGATCTATACCTCCCGCGCTCAAGATCGGCGGTGACAGAATCGACAATGTGAGGCTCGGGTGTTAGGAAGTAGATGGCATCGATGTCGGGGCTCATCTCCCGTCGGTCTTCGAGGGTCTCGATATCTGCAGGGCCGCGAAACAGTCAGTTCAGTTCCAGGATACATATAGGCTTCTCCAAAGCTGCTGCTTTCGCTCCAGACGGATCAAGCGTGGGAGGGGAAGAAAAGGGAGGAGAAAAAGCGAGAGGACGGCGATAGGACTATTCATACTTGCGACATTCTGGTTGAGGATATCGTCCTCAGGGACGGAGTTCTCCAGAAGTTTTTGGACGTCTGGTCCACGACTAATACCTTCCACTGTCCGGCAAAGAAGAGGAACCACAAATCCGAGGTTAGCACGTACTATCTTCGTCTGCTTCTGAATATGGAGTTCGGGGGTTGGGGTTGCGGGGAGCTGGCGGCGGCTGGGTTACGATTTACATTTCCTCTCGTGATGTTGCGAATAGTGCTGACGATGACTACAAGCGAGAAAGCCCAAGGGAATTAGCTAAACGCGACGCTCTAGCGACAGGTACACGCGGATAAGTATATGCGCAGGAGTGCATTCTCAACTCTCGGGCACCAATAGGATCGAAACAAAGGCGCAAATTGAAGATTGGGGCCAGAGGGCGGGTGGGAGGGGTTGCATACTATCGCGCTGCTCCAAGACAACAGAGACAACCATGGCGACGGTGTTGCAGGCACAGCGCAGCCAGGACTTGCCCGCTGCGCTTACACTAAGGGAGTATCGTTCGGAATATGCTATCAACGGCGCAGCGACAAGGAGTTGTAAATTGATGTTTTTGGGTAGGAGAAGCACCACCTGGTGGAGCGAGGTGGGGGAGGGGTTCTCCTAGGATCTGGATAGGTGCGGCGGACACCGAGCAGCAGGAGGTTTAGCGCTAGAAGGGAGGACTGGAAGCACTCGAACTCTGCGAGCAGGAAGCGGGGAGGGGGAAGAAGAGAGGGCGTGCGTCGAAAAGCCTCGAAATTTCGGAGGCTCGTAGAGAATGTGGAGGAGTGGCTGCGGGTATGGATTTCGGGTGTTTGGGAGACAAGGAAGCGGAACGGAATAAATGGGTTGGAGAAAGAAGCAGTCTCGTTTGGCCTCAAAATTGGCGGGGTTTCAAGATTCTAGTCGCAGCTTCCTCACAGAGCGGGTCCTGCGTGTGTCAAGGCCGCACTTGCCATATTGAATATCTCCCTGATCACGGATCCCGTTTAGTCGTCCCTTCCTTTCCCCACAGGACTTTGCGCGCTTTGCACTTGCCTATCTAATAAGTCGAAGAAGAACGAATCAACAAAGAGAGCCCAAGTACCGTTTACCTGCGCCCAACTCTAAGACCAAGCTCTGACGGATAATTCAATTTCGCGCTGGGTCCTCTACGCTCCACGTCCCGTCCATCCCACCTGCCGCCTCGGGATAATCGTGGGGCCTTGGGGTATTTGAGTGAGAATGATCCAACTAAACTGAATTGAGAAGCGCTGGGGTGTGGACAAGCTTCAAGTTACCTCAACTATTAACGAGCCTTCAGTAACGTTCCTAACCGGGCGCCAAGGAGGGAAAGCTGATCAGACTTGAGGAGTGGTAGCAGTTGATCCACAATTAAATGGCCTAGGAGACCAAGAAAACCCCGCTTTGTAGCTTTAATGCACTGGGAATATGCGACGTCATTGACCATGTCCACGCAATAGGCGCCGCTCGTTCAAAAGTTGCCTTCCAAACTGTTAAGACATCCGTATTACCTGATTACTGCCGGGCGAGTGACCGCACATTTCGGTTCGATTCACTAGGACGCGGTGGCCTCTATCAGAGAATAGCTAGAAGCTTCAATCATCTTCAGCACATCTCAAGCCAAGCCTGGCGGTGGTTCTATCATGGTAAGATTTTTATTTCGTCAGGATCTATAGTTTCGTAAAAGTCTTTGAAGAATAACTTAGAAAATTTTCGGTGAAATGGAATAAAAGGCTGGGCGAGCAAAACTGCCTCGCGCTACGTCGTCTTCTTCGTCCTCTTGCGCGTGCCTGTCTTTTCCTTTTCCTTTTGTTTGCCCTTCTTGATCGCGTCCACCAATGCGCCAATCTCTTCCGCCTTCTCCGCTTCAGCGGCCCGCTTGACCATTTCCTCCTGCTTGAGTTTGTCTTTCGCCCTCGCCATCGCCTGTTCCTTTTCAATCTTCTCAATGTACTTATCCGTCCCCTCCCACAAGTTCTTAGCCGCATCCTCGTCGTCCAGGTCGGTGCGGGCAAAGTCCACGAGCCGACACTCCTTGACCAGGCGTCCGCCACCGATGCGGCCCAGCTCGGGATCCATGGCGGCGTAGAGGAACGGATGGGCAGCACGGTGGGGGCTCTTGAGGAGCAGCCAGACGGGGAGGTAGCCAATGAGGTAGAGCGCGAGGCCCGTGAGCGAGCCACGCGTGAGCCAGCGCCGGGTCCCAGGGGTACGCGAGAGGCCCGGGTCGACAAAGATGACGCGCGCGTTCATGGGCAGCTCGTCGGGCCGCTTGTAGGCATCGAGGTGCTTCTGGAAAGCCCTGCCAAACACCATGAGGGCGAGTTTGCTTCGCGCGTAGGCTCGCCCGGGAGACCACGTGGTGCGGTCGAGCTTCTCTCGGAGGGGCGGGGAACCAATATACGAGGCGCAGGTGGCGATGACGATTCGGACGTCGCGGTCAAAGGGCTGGGCGCGGATGGCCGGGCTAAGTATGCCTAGCAGGTGAAAATTGGCCAAAAAGTTGACCATCCACGTCTCCTCGACCCCTTCGGCCGTCTCACGCCTCGTCCCGCCGGGGCGTCAGCGTCGCCGCGCACAGAACAATCATGTCGAGTCTCCGCGGCGGCGCGTTATCAATCCACTTGGTCGCAAACTGCCTCACGCTGTGCAGGGAGGCCAGGTCCACCTGCTCCGCGTACACGAGGTCATTGCCCGTCTGCTCGCGAATGTCATCGATGAACTCAGCCAGGAATGGGTCCGACGGCGCGACCTGCGTCAGGAGCACGATTTGGGCGCCACGCTTCGCGAGCTCCTTGGTCAACTGTGCTCCTATCCCCGACGTGCCCCCGTTATCATCACCACCTTGCCGTGCATCTTGCGCTCGGTTGGATACGACGCCCCGTTCGAGATCCACTTGATCAGGGCGAAGAGGGTCAGGGTCGCCAGGGTCTTGAAGATGATGGAGGCATTGTCGCGAAGTATTGGCGGAAAGCCGTGTTCGATTACGTAGAAGAGAAAAGCTGTCGGCATCGTCTAGTCCGCAGAGTGCGTAAGAAATCAAGGGCGGGTGAGCTGGAGGAGGGAGTGACGGGGAAAAAGATAGGGTAAATTTTGTCCCTAAAGCATTCAGGAGGTCATTGCATCAAGGAATACTGATGATTGAACAATCAAGCTTTCTCGCAAAGAAAGGCAGAAGACAAGGGAAGCAAGCCACAATGAAAAGAAGGATTAGGAAAAGAAAGGAAGGGAGGGTGGTAGAAGGGAGGCTCCTAAGAAGAAGTGACAAGTAAAGGAGAGTCTGCCGTGTCCTTGTTCACTGCAACTTCATATAGTTTATCAAAACCATGCCGTCTTTGCTCAGAGCTTCCACAAGCTTGTTTTGCTGGCTGTCTTAGATTAAACTGTGGTCGGAACAGGGCGGCAAGCTCCCCCATTGATCGCCCTCTGCTTTGTCATCAAGGCTGGTTGGACAAGAGGTGGGAGAGCCTACTGCTTATTACCACCACTTGAAATATCCATCGATATCCCTAAATCTAACTACCTTACACCAGCCCAGGGATTCCTGCTATCTATTCCCTTCTTAATGTGACATAGAGACACTATTTACGCTCTTAAAACTAGAAATTCGATAATTATGATGTAGAATTAATCACTGAGCAGCTGTGGCTAACCTCAGGGTTCCTCAGGCATCTCAGGCCAAGCTCTCTTCTCCTTCCTGTTCTCGCTCTTCCTTCCTTCCTTCCCCTTCTTCTTCCTTTACTGCATCCCCTTTCCCTTCCTGATCCTCTCCCACTTCCAGGTTCTCTTCGCCTATGTCCTCGCCCACCTCTTCCCCCTCTTCTTCGTCTTCTTCTCCATCCTCGTCGTCATCATCGTCGTCATCATCATCGTCCTCCTCCTCCTCATCTCCCTTGCTCTCTTCAATATCGCACTCGCTTTCCCACTCGCTAGATCTAAAATCGTGGTCAGGGTGCAATATTTCGCTGTGCCTATAGCACTTGAAGCAGAGGTAAAACCCGTATTTGCTGCAGACGGTACATTGGTAGTAAGGCTCCGTAACATCCTTGTGGTCCGGGGTGGAGTCTGGGTCAGTAAGTCATTTCAGATATCGATGGTGGTTTCGCAACAAGGGTGAGTTCTCTTACAATAAGGCATGCATCGCAAAACCCTTCAGAGGTTAGAAGGTCTTTAGTCTTCATGGTTGCGCCCATCTCATCCCTCCAGAATTCCCTGTCATCTTTGTTACTTTCCTCGATCTCCACCTCGCTAGGAGTCAGCAGGTCAATGAGGTCCTGCCCCTTTTCATAATGCCTAGCCAGTCTCATGGCGGACCACCTCGTATCACCTGTATTGCTAGCGCTGAGCATAAGTTTCTGGGTCGACGCGTACTTGCAGTCCTGGTGCTCGAGTAACGTCTTAGCGACGGCGAAGGTGTCTGAAGCCTCTACGCGGCCCCACGATGAGTATGACCGCATCGACCACATGAGGGGCGTCCAGCCGTCGATATCTCTGCTTTGCAGTTGCTCGGGGTGTTTATCCAAAACATAATGGACGGCACCCACCTGCCCACTGGCTACAACACAGTGGAGTGCTGTTCTTCCTAGAGCGTCCACCGAGGTGAGATTCGCCCCGTACTTTTCACATAATAATCTAACGTTGTCCTCACAATTGTGTAGCGCAAAGTAGATTGGTTGGCGTTCCATCCAGTCCCTCTCCTGTATGGCTGATGCTGGTGCTGTGAGATTAGCGAGAAAGAGCTCCACGATATCCGACTCGCATGTTAGACTGGCAAGGGAGAGGTTGCCGCCCCACCATGGGCTAGACTTATTCACATCCGCGTGGCAGTCGTTGATTAAATACGAGATTATGGCATATTTACTGTCTTGGTCGGCTTCTCGCTGGCAGGCGGGCTCTAGCGGGGTTCCGGCCGGGCTTGGGTCCTCCAGGTCCACGTCGGCGCCCTTTTCACAGAGCAGCCTGACCATTTCAACGGACGCATATCTGCAGGCACGATGAAGCGGACCTCCTCGCATGCCCGCTTCAATGTTTATCTTGGCCCCAAGATAAATGAGGTATTCGCTGACTTTGAGGTTATCCTCCATGGCTACTATGGAAAGAGGCGTCTGATGCCATTCGTTGGTCTCTTCTAGCGGCACGCCACGGTTAACCAGGAGCCGGACCACAGAAACATCGGTTTCTGCACCAATGTGATGTAGCACCGTGTTTCCGACGCCATTCTTTGCGGAAATATCGATGTCGAGGAGGAGCAATTCTCTGAGGAAGTCGACGTCATTGTTCTCAACCTGCCGGCGGATAAGCTCATCGCTAGCACCGGATTTGAGGCAAGAAACATCTGCTCCTCCTTGGATGAGGAGCCTGGCCACCTCGAAATGGTCATTTTCGAGCGCTATGGACAATGGGGTGGCCGGCTGCCGACCACCGTCCAAAAAGGAATGTTCCAGCCCAACTCCAGCTTCGAGGAGCACTTTCACCACTTTGACGTGGCCCCATTTTGCGGCATAGTATAGCACGGTGGCCCCGTAGATATCCTCGGCATCCAGATCAAGTCCTTTCGCCTTCTTCACCTCTTGTAGGATGGCTACTGAATCGTACGCGGCGTGGGCAGCCGTCCACTTCTTGACCGTGCAGAGAATACTTGGATCCGCACCATGCTCCATCAGAAACTCCACGTGCTTGAACCTTCCATAGTACGATGCTAGATATATCGGCGTGGATTCCAAGCCCCAGGAGAGGCTTGTCAGTTTTGCATTGATATTGGCCCCGTTCTTGATCAGGCAACGCAGCATCTTGTCCTTGAACTCAAAGGCATCGGCGGTGGTCCAGAACGCAGCATCTAGCACCTCGTTGTATTCCTCTTCAGATAGGCAGCTCGAACTTGATCACACAGGCACTGGACCACGAGGGCAGAACTTTCGTCGACTTCTGGAAGCCATGCGTCGGCTGCTCGATCAAACAGGGCTATAAATCTTGATTTATCCGAAAATTCTTCAAACTCGAGCAGGAGTCGAAGAACCGGTATATCGAAGTCCTGAATAGCTCGTCCAATTTCAGGCTCAAAGCTGGGGTATGAGCTCATGTCTTCGCCGTCTCTAAGTAACTTGAGGAGTTGTTTGAGGCAGCCAGCTCTTCCTTGGTCCGCTGCTTTCGCAGCCAGGTCTGACAGCCCGTTTATTGGCGTTTCAACGTGCTTCTTAGCTGTGCTAGTAAGCAGTTGAAGGGTATACAAATGTCCATAGTGAATGGCATTGATTACGGCCTGTTGTATGATTGGGAAGCCCTCGGCATCTGATTCAGGCTCTTTGAAATGGCCAGACTGTTTGTTGAACATTTGGTCGGCGTAGTAGCCGGCAGCAGCAGCATGACCATGCTTGCCAAGGATGCTCATAACTGTGTCCCTACAGCTAGGGTCGTCGGGAATGTCCAGTTCGCAACCCATCTCGACCAATAACTTCACCATTTCAGTATGACCCCCAAACACGCTGCACGAAGGAGCGTTCTATCATCCGGTTTCGTGATGTTTAAGTCATCATACTGGTAGTCGGTGCTTACGAGATGCTTCACAACGCCAACTGCTCCACGAAGGGCAGCACGGTGAAGTATGACGTCTCGATGCTGCTGGACGTTCTTGTGGCTCTTCTCAGTGCCAAGAGCTATTACCACCAGTTTGTGTGCTGTTGCTAAATTTCCGCTATCAAGTGCGGCAAGGATGGAGGGTTGCATTGTTTCGCCCTCGAAAAACGGCCTTGAATCCCTCGTGAGGCAGGTCCAAAGTTCTTCAATGATGGCAAGGCTTTGAGGCTCTGGCAATAACCATGAGACGGATTCGATGGCTAGAAGGCACTCCGCTCTGAAGAACGGTTCCCTCTCAAGCCCGTCGATGGCCTGTCGAAGCATACCAAGAGCGCCGTGCCCAGCGAAAAGGCTAGGCTAGAGGCCGGGGCGTCATGGGCTCGCGCCATCGGATTCGATTGCACCCAGAAGGCCTTACTCCAGATGCGAAGGGGTAGGTCTTCGGCATGGATGTGCTGCATGATGTCCTCCCACCCTTTCCCGCTATTGTTCAAGTGTCTTGACAGGTACCGGACGGCGTACGAGGCAAAATCCAAGCGAAGTCTTGTGTGGGCCTCGGCCGAGTTTGTGTACCTCAGCATCGAGGCTCGGCCCTTTGCCGAGTACCCGTACGAGAGGCATAGCTCGGCAATGGCCTGGTGCGCTTTTTGGTGCGCGGTGATGTTGCTATCGGCATCGCTACTCGCTGCGTCGTGCTTGTCTTGGAGGAATACGCGGAGCTGGGGATGCCCGAAGAAAATGTCCCTTCCGTCCGAATATAGCAACGGCCCAAGCCAAGTGCTTGCCTCTTCCTCTAGCCTCTTGTTTCTTGGGAATAAGCCGACGGCCGCCACTGGCCCAAGTAGCCGAGTGCTAATAAGGTCCTCCAATTCCGATAACCTAAGGTCCCGGAAAGAGTGGACCATGAGTTGAAGTAGGGGTTGTGCGGTTACCATCAAAGTACCAGGTATAGCTGCGAGTGCTTGGCGAAAGAAACGCTCTGGAGTCGGCGGGAGGAGCCAGTATATCTCCTCGCCAACGTCAAATTGCTCCCGGTGGGACTCTTTATATCGAAGAAGATCCACTATCATCCGCCGAAGGGGCAGGTCTTGACCACATTGGCCAAGAAGACCCTCGAGCATGTGCGTATAAGGGTAGAAACGTGGAGTTTCCTGTATGAGAAGCAGCAAGTCTGGGGACAGAGGGTGCGGCTCAGCGGGGGTTGTGCACGATGCCTCGATGATGCCTTTTGTACCATTGACTTGGACGACATGGGTCTCATTCCTCGGCCCAGGCTCCCGTAAATCAAGAAACCGAAAGCCTCGCCCCGCCTGGCATTCATCTTCTCCGATTAAGCCGTGCAAAGCTGTGTCTGGGGGAGGTTCTTCACTGACGACAACAACTTTAAACGCAATATCCGCCGCAATGCTACTGAGCGTTGCGAGAAGGTCGTCATATCCCGGGGCGCTATAGTCTAGGTTCGCCAGCACCCAGTATGTCCTCCCCGTTTGCTCCCTCCGGGTGGAGAGTCAATTAAGAAGAGCACTTCCTGGAGCAAGCGAACAAGGTCCGCCCTATTCCATTTCTTGGGCGTCTCGTCCAAAAACTGCTGGCCTGCAGGCACTGCGTACCCTGGGATGCTGATTAGAAAAGTGCTGACCACGGACTGCAAGAGGTTCCCGGCGATATCTAGTCTGTCGGAGTCGTAGTAAAACACTACATCGTTTTCAATTGAGACTGTTTTGGCAAGCCTCGAGAATACTGCACGGGCGGTGCGCCTCACCCGATTTAAGTCCCGGATCCAAACCATGTCCGTACCTACCTGAGCCAACCATTCGGCCAAGGAACTGCATGAGCCCGTGATTTGACTCATCAATCCAACACTCTGCTCATTCTCTACGAGCGGAAAAGGTAGCTGAGGGGCCGCCTCTGAGAGAAGCGATTCTCGCAGGGCTGTGCCATGAACTAGTAGTACGCATGTTAGACTTCAGTCTGCAGGCATGAGTTGAAGGGCCAGGTAGCTCTTACCTGCCCACGGATGCCTCAGCCGCTTCTGCAAAACCAGTTGGATTGAAGTGGCAGAGAGGTCTCTTGATAGAAGTGGAGGAGATAGCAGTGATTCAATTCGTGACCAGCAGCCATTCACAGGGAGCACCAGAGGTTGTGTCAAGGGCTCGGAAACCTGGGTAGCACCGTTCCAAATTAGCTTCCACCCGTTTGAACGCTCGAGTATATGGTGGACTTGGATGGTGGAATCAGTTGCGCCATAACAGTACCTTTTGTTCAGAGTCTTGGGCTGCTGAAACGACGTCGAGAATGACGGCCCGAAGATGAAATTTCGTGTCCAAGAAGTCGCGGTTGATCTCGATCACCATGGAGGCAATCCCACCCGCGAAACTGGGGGTATCTTCCACTCTTGACGAATCGATGTCTAGGGGCTGGAGATTCAGTAAACCGAGAATAGAACTCCGCGTGCCGCTCCAGTCGCCGCAAGCTTGCGGACATGATAAGAAGATCTGCTCGCGAACGCGTGAGTGGAAGGGGTCAAGATATCGGAATAGAGTCGCTGGGTGTACTCCTCTTGTGTTTATCTTACTATCGCCTTTACGGATGAAAGGAGTTGCTTATACAACCCACCGAGAAATGTGGCTTGTATGAGTGCCTTGATGGAAATGTCAGTTGACTCGCGTAGGGTTCATTAAACGCTCGCTTGGGGCTAAGTACAGGGGAACGATCTCACTCACCTCCTTGATTACAACACCTCCGAGGCCATGGCCAACGAAGACAACCGGCCGATCCTATAATTCGAACCAGGGCTTGGTTAATCCTGCCTGTTCACTTTTGAGATGAGCAGACTCGTAAGGATAGGCTTGTAGCCCACTAACCTGCGAACCTTCAGTGCGAAGTTTTACGAGAGAGTTGAGTAAGGCCACTGCCTGCTCAGATATTCCCGAGCGACACAAGGCATGACCATGCGAAAGTGCATTATTCCATTCATAGCATAGCAGTCGAGGATTAGGAATTGAATCGAGTTGAAGAAGCCAGCTTCTCTCAAGGCCTCCACCCGTACTACGAGTCCATGTGCTAGTTGACGTGCCGTGGACACCGTGGACTGCAACAATGCTGGATCGGAGTATTTAGTGTCCAGTACCACGCAGCAAGGAGAGGGACAGAAGGGGCATACTCTGTTTCTTGGTCGCTCCATGGAAACTCCGCGGCTTGGAACGGGGTCAGAACGCCCATTTCGCCCGTCAAGCTTGCTTGCGAAACCCCGGTGAGTGCTTGGTCTGTGTATTTGAAGAGTAAGCTTGTTATTGATAGTCAGTGTTAAAAGTCTTCCGTTTTCAGCGGATCATGCCTCAAAACAAGCACAATCAAGGAAACAAAGTCTTATAGACAGGATGCTGTCCAGGGGAGAAGGTTCTCGGAAGAAAGGTCCTTGAAGAAGACTATTCTTTACAAACTGGTATCAGGTAAGCTTTCACTCCTCTCAAACTCTAGCGATGCCTTGTTAGTAGGATCGTTTCTGGATTTATATTGGCATCGTCCGTCTAATACGTGTTGTACGGTCTCGAAGTCGTTTCCAATCGGCTACCGTTCGAAGCCTTGTGCGACACAGCATCAGTTCTATCAACCGCAAGGCTGGCAACAAATATATCATACCATGTAACCATTTTTGGCACACATCCGCGCGCGAAACAGCAACCTCGACTTCAATATTTGGAAAAAGATTTCATCACACTCCGAAAATGGAAAGCTTGATATCAATATTGTGACAGAATCGTATCATATCGATATCTAACGAGATGTCTTTCTCTTCTTTTCACTGGACGGTCCTCGACGACGCATAAAAGCCCAGCCTGGCCCCGGTGTAAACATAGAAAGATGTGCTAGTTTTGCCCCCTCTCACTTACAGCCCCGAGGAGGACGGTCCTAAAATTAACGTGTGACAGGGTTTCAGTCGAGATGTTGCCTAGATTATGCTCATCGTATGCAAAGTTGGCATCTGACGGCTTTCTTGGGTTGAAGTAGAGGTCGTCGTCGCTAGGATCTCTTGCGAAGATGGAGGCAACCTGGGTCCGAGTGTCTGCGGTGACGTTGATGGTCACAGACGCTTTGAAAGGCGCCATGTCAACCCTCTTGATCAAAACGGCAGTCGTCAAGCCGGACGCGACCCTGCTTTCTCGGGACCTGTTCTCTAAAAGAGCCCAGGCTGCCGTGTTCTTCGGGCCCCAATTTCTGTCTTTCAGCTCTGCCCCGCCTTTAACGACAGTAGCATCCCAAGTCTCGGCTTCAGTGCTCTTCACGAGCTTGAAGCTCACCTCAGCCTTCCCACCCCCAGCTCCCATACCCGCCGTACCCCCACCTTCTTTGGTCCGTGTTTCACTTTGCGTGGTCGGCGCTATGCTAAAGAATCCATCTGGCGCCACGGCAACCACCTCGGGATCATCTCTGGGGTTTCCCTTGCTAATAGGGGCGAACTTCATGGCGATATGCGCAGTCTTGATCCGGCGCGCTAGGCCGTTGGGTTCGAAGCGGAACTCGAGCACCACCAACGTGTAGTATGCACCGCCGCCGTCTTTTTCTCTTCCGTGGACGGTGGCCTTTCGAACACATGTTATGTCTACTTTCCCCGCCGCTCGATAACGTTGGTACGTTGGTCCGGATCTGCGATATTCATGTTGGGATCATTTTGAGTCCGGAAGTTGGCCCCCAAGTCTCCTTGATGGTATATGGCAAGATTGAAGGTGGCAAGGTCATCCACCCACTCAGCAGGATCGTCCATCTCGCGGTCCCTGGGTGTAAGTCTGTGGTGGAAGAAAAAGAAATCGTAATTCGGGAAGGTGTGGGTTGCCGTATCCGTCTTAGAGCAGGCTGGGGCGCAGTCTGCCTCTCCGACGTTGACCCCAGTAGAGGAAATCAAGATGCTTTTGTACTCGCCAATAATCTGGGGATCATTTTATGGAAAGGCCAAGGGGGGACGGGCACCCCGCTTCTTGGTCATCGGTCAAAAGCCACATCCCATCAACTTTCCGTGTGGAAGCACAGCATGTTGACATGGTCGTGAGGCTGGCGGGAAGCCATGACCAGGGTGTGTGGATACGAGAAGGCTCTCGCAGAACATATGCAACCACTGCAGAAACGGTTAAATGTGGCCGTTTTTGGTCTTCCGTCGCGTGATGTGATGGGATTCCTTTCTTCCTCCCTCTTTCAACTTCCGGGATTGCCTTGCCGGTTGCGCCGGGGCTGCTACGATGACCTGTGGCCCCGTTGCCAGATATGGGCTCCGGTTATAAAATCTTCACCCCTCATTGATGTAAGCTCCGGCTGGTGGTTTGGTCGCTCATATGCCCCCTCCCCTCTGTCTTCTTTTTCATTCTCTTCTCTACTTTGCGCCCTCCATATTCTCTGCATTTCGAGGCGTACTACACACTCGTAAGCAGCGCGGTGTCTGCACATCTTCCGACCGCCATGGCCACGGTATCCCGGCCTGACACCCCTGTCGTCGGCGAGCTAATTCGGTCTGATAGTAGTTTCTTCCCTGATGAGGATGATCTCTATGGTCACATGTATGATGACAATGCTGCCCTAAACGGCGATGGGGACGACTCGACCATCGACAGTGAGGGCGAAGCGGAGCCCCAAGATCCTATCTCTATCAAGGAAAAGTTGAAGGAAATCATTGATAAGAGCCAGTCTGGCGAGCTAGCCAAGCTCGACTGGCCCCAATTCTTAGCCGAATATGAGAAATACTGCCTCCCAAGGCGGGATAGAGAGTCGGCCCATCATGGGTTAGCTCCTGGCCCCGACCGGCCTGATACCCTCGTGTTGCTCATGGCGGCGCGCCCTGATGAAAAGAACCGTTTTGATCCCCAGACGAACCAATGGCTTCTCAACAACCTGCTATTACATTTTCCTCAACTTATGACGGAGACGAATCACGATAATCGTCGCCCCCTGGACGAAGCCATCCACTGGAACAACCAGGCTTTCATCAAGTGCATCCTCTCTAGCAAGTACTCTGAGACCGATCATTTCAAGGAACTCCTGGCAAATACTGAAAAGGGAGAGGAGGGCGCTCAGGGCAAGAATCGGGGCCCAAACTGCATCCAACTCGCCATCGACCACCACCTTGACGCCGATTTAACTGTGCAACTAATTTCCAAAGCTGCGCCGCAGGCCTTTGAGACGACGACGGCCGTTGAGAAACGGACCCCACTACACATGGCTGTTGAATACAAAAACTGCAATGAATCGGCTATCCGGGTGATCGAGGCCCTCATCAAGTACGGAGACGGGGCGTTTAACGTCGAGGTCGACGGCCGCTCGGTATACCAGCATCACACATCGTCTATCGCTCGAGGGACAAAGCGTGCCGAAAAGACTGAGGCTAACGCAGCGCAGTCAGTGGGGAACAAGACTAAAGCCGCCAAACCCGATAGAACTCCACCCCAGTGGAAGTGCGGGAAGGACGGAGAGCAAAAGGCGAAGCGTGGCGAGCAAAAGGCAAAATCCAGCGACCACCACGAGGCGAATGGAGAGGCTGGCTCGTCGAACACGGGCGAGAAGCTGGGCCAGGACAGGGAGAAGCTTCGCGGCAGATCTGAAGAAAAGCGAAGTGCGATGGCTTCCCACTCGGGGTCAGATCCACCAACCCCGATCCTGATCCTGACTGGGAGACGAAACTCAATAGCAAACGCTATTCCCCGCATATCAACGGCCAGCGAGCCACTGAATAGGGTATATGAAGGCCTTGGTGCGCCAACATCTCTTGGGTCGCCAATACCCCAAGGGGAAAAGACGAAGCGCCCACCGAGGAAGAAAAAGAATACCGGAATATCCGCCAGACAGGGGTGCGGCGCGGAGCCTCGTACTCAGCGGAGAAGTTCTCGCAAGCTGCGGCGGACAAGATAGCCAAGATGCTCAAGATGCACTTCCTTCGGAGCACATTTGATCCGACCCGGACCGGCAGCCAAGTCAGGGACCACGACTCGGCTGTGAGGTTCCTTTACGGCGAGAATCGAGAATGTAGGTGGCTCTCTTGCTTCCCGATCCCTACCAACTATCTCCCCGTACACAGCAAGTTTCGTGTGCTGACTCAAAGACTCGATCCAACGGTACAGATACTCAGCTTGCGCTTGATCTATTGGATGAAAGTTCATCCAAAAGCAGAACTATCCATACAGAAGACTTTGACCGAGCATATGGTCTCATGAAATACGACCGAGTTCTCCACTACGCTGCTTTTGGGAAGCTCAACGTTGCTGGCTACTCGGCCGAAGATACGAAATGGAATATTGGCCACCTCGGGGACCAACGGGACCGACAGGTCGGATAGACATGGTTTTCTTCTTTCGCTGGTTATACGATCACCAACACATCCGCAACATTGTTAAGCTCATCGTCGATGACCACAAAGAAAAGCCTCACAGTGACGAGGCGATTGAGACCGCACTCAACGGAATCGACGTGGAAATACTGGACTGGAGGAAGCTGGACATGTGTCCCATGTCCATCCGGAGAGCCTGCAAAGACTCTAACCTGCGAGAGCTGCATCTCCAATGGAGTGGGAACAATGCTGTCTTGCGTGCCTGGAGCGAGCCGCAAGGACTTGGCCAAATCGAGACCTTGGAGAAGATTCACCTTCACCCCATGAAGGTAAGTCACTGATGATCGAGCAACCCGTCTTTTTCTTTTCTCTTTTCATGACCTCCCCTTTTTTTTTTTTTTCCCCTTTTTCCATTCATAAAATATATATAGATTACGTGTGCTGATGATGTTTTCTAGCCTCTTGACTCTGTCAAGCGTGCCAGACAAAATTTCAAGGATTTCCAATCGCGACTCGCACAGACTCGTAGAGAAATGCACTCTGCCGAGATCGAGGTACTCGACCCATTCGATGAGGACAACGGTTTGAGGAGAATTACACGGCGGGCTCGCCCCAAAGCCGAGAGCAAGCTCGAAGTTGAGGCGCATGAGTGGCTTGAAGTAATGGACAGGTTCGCCAACGGCCTCGTGAACCTAGAGGGGCGATACCCGGGCAAGTTTCCAAAGGGCGTCATCGTAGCGGTGATTGATGACGGGGTTGATGTCCTGCATCAGGCGCTTAGCGGAAAAGTCTATGCCGGGGAAAGCTTTGATCAGGGCCATTGCGACCCCAATCTTCGGGAGGCAAACGCCCCTACCAGCATTCTGTGACGGGGCATGGCACGTTGATGGCTTACATGATCTCGAGGGTTTGTCCTAGTGCCAGGATCTTGGTGTGCAAGCTCGACGTATACGAAAAATCGGGCGTAAAAGGATCGACGGCGAGTTTCACGCCTGCGAGTGCGGCAAAGGTACGTAGAGCTATTCCTCGCCCGACTATCAAAAGAGCCAGAAGAAGGATGCGGATAGGGGTCTAACAATCGATCCATCATACTCATAGGCAATCGACTGGGCGGTGCGCCAAGGCGCGGACATCATATCGATGTCGTGGACGGTCCGGCAGAGCGACCTGAACAAGGAGGACATGAAAAAGCTGGAAATCGCGGTAAAGGGGCTTGTGCCTTGGGGAAGCTCCTCTTCTGCGCGGTGCCCGACGTGGGCGTTATCAGCGCTAACGACTTGGCAACGTACTACCCGGTGGGCTGCGACTCGCCGGAAAAGTTTCACATTGGGGCGTCTACGGCCGACGGCCACCAGTATCGCTGGACGGCGGACCCGGTGGGCAACGGTAAGAACATCTACTTTACGCTTCCGGGGCACATGGTGATGGTCAAGGACGAGGACCAGCTCGGGGATAACGATATTAATCCCCATACGGGCTCCTCCATCGCTACGGCTCTCGCGGCTGGGTACGCTGCCCTCGTCATCCATTGCATCGACCTTGCCGTGGCCTACGTCACGAAACCTGACCTGTACCAGCAGCAACCGCAGCAGCAACCGCAACCGCAACCGCAACCGCAACAGCCGCAGCAACAGCAGCCGCAAAAGACCAAAAGCAAGAGCAGTGATTGGGCAAGGCAAGCGGCGGATATTTCAAAGCTGGAACAGCGCGGGCTCCCTCCAAAGGAATGCGATCGGGTCAAGACGCCGGCCAAGATGAAGGAGATCTTCAAGTGGAGCCTCCAGGGAGGCGGTACCTTTGACGAGGTGGGCAGGATTATTGGCAACTCGGCGGTGCAGGACCACGAGAAGATGGACAAGATTGTCAATTTAGCTCAACAGTTCCTCACGACTAGGGTTGACGGGTATTGATTTTGGGGGACCTGCGCCCTTTGCGGAGAGGGGGAGACGAGTCTGGGCTTGATTAGGGAGTTGGAGGATACATTGGGAAGCACGGAATCGTAGAAGACTCTCAAATCGTTAAACCGCAGAGATCATCGCTTATCATCCATCTCACAAGTCGAGATGCTGAACTAGTTGTGCTTGGCGTGAAGTGTAGAGTGGGGCACATGCGCCAGAGATTTGTTAGCGAATGATTGATCAATTAGCGCCGGCTGATTAAGGCGCCAATGCCTAAAGAGCATTTCGAGGTTCCGTCCAGCGACAGCCTGGATTTGGCGGCTCGAGTGTTTGCACAAGGCTTCAGCATTTTGCCCCCAACATCCATGAATCACTTGTTCTAGCTTCTAGAGAGTCCTATCCCAAGGAACATCAATCGAAGAGGAGGATAGGGAGACAAAACCAACAAGACATCTCCGAGATTTCCAATTCTATCGTCACTGCTACGCCTGCCCCTCCCCCAAGATGAGCCGGCGCGCCCCGCCAGCGCCGCTCCACCCCCGGCGCGAGGAGGAGGAGGAGGAGGAGGAGGAGCGCGACGACAACTACGACGATACGCCTCTCCAGCACCAAAAGCCCTTTGGCGCGGGATTCCAGCGCCGGCAAAAGTCGCCTTTGTCCGCGCCGTCGACCCCGAGACCCAGGCGGCGCAAGCTGCGCAGGCCGTTGAGCGCGGGTCGTCTGTTTCGGATGCTTACCTCCGCCTCGTTCTCGGTGGCCAGAAGACGGAGGGTGGGTCCTCGACGGATGAACAGGAGGCGCCGCCACCACTGCTGCCGCTTCCCGATCTCTGTCCTCTTCGTCCACGCGCGCGCCCGTACCACCGTCTGTTCTCCTCGGGGAAGAAGAAGAGGAAGAAGAAGAGCCGGCCGCCGGGTTGTGCTCCGTGTGCGGGCTGACGCTCGACGACGGTAATGGTGCCCCGGGCAAGCATGAGGCGTCCATCGCCCACCAGGTGTGCCTCGCCCACTCGCACCCGCCCTCGGCGCTGGACCGCAGGCGCATGGGGTTCCGACACTTGGCTTCGCGCGGGTGGGACGCCGACGCCCGCTTGGGCCTGGGCGCGCAGGGTGCCGGTATTCTCAACCCTCTCCAGCCGCGGCAAAAGGTGGACAAGGGCGGCATCGGGCTCCCGGCGTCGGTGGCGCAGGCGAGGGAGGCGGCGAAGAAGCAGCGGGAGGAGAAGCGCAAGAAGCTGTCGGTCAAGGAGATGAGGAAGTTGCAGGCCGAGGAGAAGAAGAAGGCTGCGTGGCTGCATGATATGTTTTATGCCAAGGATGATGTGCTGAAACACTTGGGTAGGGGATTATGAAGGCTGGATGGAGCGTGTTATGCTCTGGCTTTTTTCTTTTTTTCCTGTTCATTTTGCCTCCTACAGCATAAGGGGAAGCAGGCGGCGAAGCAAGGTGGAGGAGGAATATTCGCAGAGAAAGCGATAACTGTATACTACTGTAGATACCCTGGCCTCGAGGCCGACAACGATGTCAAAACCCCCATACCCCTAGTTCCTATGTACAACACTGTGAGGAATAGAACTCAGAAATTCACAGACGATGTCAAAAACGCCCAGCCCTAACCACCTTTCACCAACTTTCGTATCGTAAAAACTTTCCCAGACGCTCACCGACCGCGCGCGGCTCTCCGCCCCCTTCCCCCGCCTTTCCCCCTTTTCCTTCTTCATAACTTGCTTCCGGGCTCCGCGACAGGCGCCGGTACTGGTACCCTAAAATCCCGGTAGACGTAGCCTTGCGCGACGGGGCTTCCACGCCCCCGCCTTGGGCGCGCCGGCCGCCTCTCTCCACAGCTTGTCCGTGAAGAAGACGGGATGACGTACCGATGGGTCGTGTCGTGGCACGTGATGACGGGGCGCCAGCGACGGCGAATGTGGCACTGGCTGGCGGGGAGAGTGTGAGGGTGCGACGAAGTGTTCATTGTTGCTTTCGAATGGACTCGACTTTTTCTTTGATTGGTGAAAATTTGGAAAGGAGAAGAGAAAGGATTTCTTTTTGGGGCGTTTTTTTCTTTCGTATCTCGTTGGGACAATTGATTTATTTTTGGAAGATGGCAGGATTCTGAGAAAAGTTGTAGTGGATGGATAAGCTCGTGTTTAAGCTTGGAAGAGAGTGTGGGGACGAATAGCTTGAGAGTTACGCCGGACCGAGGCATCAATTCTTGGAGTAATTGACGCCAGCTCAATTCGTGTGGCTCTCTCAATGCATGAAGTCAATGCATGAAGGCGCACCTCCAAGCTAGGTAAATACATCAATACAACGATATGGAAACGAAGACTAGAATGTCACTATCGGCTCTCACCTCTTTCCTTTTTCTTTTTTTTTTTTTTGCTAGATTTTACGGTCTGATGGGAAATTCATCGGCGTGGCAATTCGCCTCAGCTCTTACAGTTCATGAGCAAAATAGTCTGGCATTAAAGAAGCTATTACATGCGGCAAGAGACTATACTTCGTTTCTCTGTTGGAATATCTCTGAAGCGAAGCAAGAAGAATACTCAAGGGAATGGTGAACAAAGTAAGAAGCAGGCATGGCTCACAAGCGACCTTCCTGAAGGCCATTTGTCGAGCCACGTCAGCTTCGCACGTCACCAAGGTTGAAAAAGAAGACGTAGGCCTGGAAGAAGAGAAGAAGAAGAAGCTGAACCCAAGCAAACCCCTCCGATAACAAAGGAAAGTGGAGTAAATGATTGAAACGACGCGAAGGAAAGAACCCGAAAGAAAAAAGGATAGTTAAATCGCAAACGCCCAGTTTTACATAGTATACCCACGACACACGCAAACTCCTTGTCGCCTCGCCAGCCTCATCGCTCATCCCCCAAAGACTACTCAAGGGGAAGTCTTGACGGCAATGACGATAGTGAAAACGATGAGGAGGACGACCAAGGCGAGCAGGGCCATGAGCTTCACATTCTTCCACCACATCCTCCTCTTTAGGTCTCGGCTCCGGACCCGGAACTCGCGGGCGCTGCCGCCCAACCGATCCGTCTTGTCCACGAGCAAGTCCATCCTCTCGCCCCTCTCGAGGAGGCCCTCGATGTTCCTCGTCATGATGCCGCGCACGTCGTCAATCTCCTTCTTCGCCGTCGTGATGGCGTCGTTTTGGCCCCCGCCGTCGTGCCGTAGTCCACCATGAGAGACCGCAGGTCCGCGTTGAAGCTGCCCGCGCCGTAGTTGGGCATGTCGGCAAAGTCGTGGGCGGCCGCGGGGAACGCCTCGAAGAAGCGCTTGCGGATCTCGAAGAGGAAGCCAAAGGGGATGCGGCGGCCAAAGGAGGACTCGGCCACGACGAGAAAGGTGAGGCCGCCCGCCGAGGGCTGGCTGGGGTGGTCCGAGGGGGCTTCGGCGATGTAGTGGATGTGGTGCGAGCCGTGGGTGTAGGTGAGCTTTTGCGGCGTGGTGTGCTGGATCTTGGGGAGGATGAGGGAGGCGAGGGAGGACGTCTGCGAGGAGGCGGATGTGGTGCACTCGGAGAGGATTGTGCTGTGGTGCGCTATGCACGCGCTGTGTTTGGGTAGAGTGGTTAGCATGGGATGAAATAAAATCTTTCGGTCTATTAATTGTTTCTTTATTTCGTTTTCATTTCCCACTCTGTGTTTTTACGGGCGCACTACTTACTAGAGGAGCGGCGTAGCCGGAGTCGAGGAGGACGCCATTGTCGCTGTTGATGTGTGTGTCGTCCGGCGGCCGTTCAGGGGATGGGGAATGGAAGTTGTTCGGAACCGTCGACTGTCGAGACAATTAATTCGGACCTAGATGGTCGAGCTCTGGTACGTCAGAAGGGTTGATGGTCGAAGTTTGTCGTCTGCTCCTCTCGTGTCGTTGGGCTGAGGCGAGTTTCGATGTTGAAGGGTTCGGGGCGCAGCGAGCGGTGGGGCCAAGGCACCAATGTCAGCGTTTCGGTGCGACTTTGTCGGTTGAATGCCACTGCATGATGACGGAACGTCCCCGTCCAGCAAAACGGAAAGTGACACTCTGCGGTACATTACATAATCCCCAAAAGTGCACGTCCAAAGAGAAAGAAAAAAAGTCGGCGCAAGACCAGCATGCGAAAATGGGTAGAGAATTGGTGAAGCTCTAGGTGAAGAGAGCAACCAATTCGTCTATACCCTTCGGTTTTTTGTTTGGTTCTGGGTTGCATATCTACCGCGTTCCCCAGTTTTCAGACGCACCTGCCATGATAGTACTGGGAATTTGCATGTAGTCATGTATGATTGTCGACATCGCCTCTCCCTCTCCAACACCGCGGCGCGCCTCACATAGCTGCCATGTCTCGCCTACTCTGGCGGACGCCAGCGCCGCCGCCGCCACCAATGGCATCACGACGCAGAGGGCGCGGCCTCTTTCTTTCTGCAGCGCATGCTACTCTAATCACATAATAGCGACAGCAACCTCCTCGAGCTTGCAACGCGTACGCAACCGCACCAACCTCGCCCCTTTGCTCCCCGCCCATCCACCGCCGCCATGGCGACGACACCTCCTCCCGACGCACCTTTACCGCCACCGCCGCGCGACCCGACAGAGTCAACCTATTCCGCGAAATGGTCGACGCGCGCTTCAAGCAAGTCGCGCCTTCGAAACAACCCTGGCGAAGCATCGAAAGGAGATGAACTCGTTTGGCATCGCGAGCCCTGAGAACCTGAAAAAGGAGGAGCAAGCCTTTATGCGGGAGCTCAAGACGGCCTTTGACATGGCCGAGAACGGCCGCTTGGGCTCGCGCATCTCCCTCTTCAACTCGCTCCGCCTCGCCTTCATCCGCGGCGACGTCAGGGCCTCTCGGCCCAGCTCCACTTCCTCTTTCGCAATTTTCTCGTCCGCCACCGCTTCTCCAAGCCCGTCACCGACGCCCAGCGCCAGCTCGCCGACCTGCGCTTCCCCTGGGAGTGGTTCCCCGCCACCCGCGCCCTCCAGCGGACGGTGCACGTGCACATTGGCCCGACCAACTCGGGCAAGACGTACCACGCGCTCAAGGCGCTGGAGAACGCCGAGTCGGGCGTGTACTGCGGGCCCCTCCGCCTCCTCGCCCACGAGGTGTACACGCGGCTCAACGCCAAGGGCAAGCCGTGCGCCCTGGTCACGGGCGAGGAGCAGCGCTACCCAAAGGACACGGACAAGTACTACATTAGCTGCACCGTCGAGATGACGCCCACCAACCAGGTCATGGACGTGGCCGTCATCGACGAGATCCAGATGATTGCCGACCCGGACCGCGGCTCCGCGTGGACCGCTGCGTTTTTGGGCGTCCAGGCCAAGGAGGTCCACCTCTGCGGCGAGGAGCGCACCGTCGACCTGATCCAGTCGCTGTGCGCCAGCATCGGCGACACCTGCATCGTGCACCGCTACAAGCGCCTCACGCCCCTCAAGGCCGCCGACAAACCCATCGGCCAGGGCTTCAAGGACCTCCAAAGGGCGACTGCATCGTCGCCTTCTCCCGACTGGCCATCCACAGCCTCAAGGCCGGCATCGAGCGCCGCACGGGCCGCCGCTGCGCCGTCATCTACGGCAGCCTGCCGCCCGAGACGAGAGCCCAGCAGGCGGCCCTCTTCAACGACCCGGACAACGAGTACGATTTCCTGGTCGCCAGCGACGCCATCGGCATGGGCCTGAACCTCGAGATCAAGCGCGTCGTCTTCGAGTCCGTGACCAAGCACGACGGCTTCGACTGGCGCACCCTCACCATTTCCGAGATTCGTCAGATTGGCGGGCGGGCGGGCCGCTACAAGACGGCGCGCCACGACCTGGTCGTGGACGACGGCACCGCCACAGAAACAGCGGAAGAGGAAAAAGTCGGGTACGTGACCACGCTGGACGCGGATGACTTGCCCCTGGTCAAGAAGACGCTCTGGAAGGAGGCCAAGCAAATCTCAGCCGCCATGATCATCCCGCCCATGGCCTTTATCGAGCGGTTCTCGACCTACTTTTCCCCGACACCCCGCTCTCCTTCATCCTCATGCGCATGCGCGAGCTCGCCTCCGTCACGGACCGGTTCCAGCTCTGCATCCGCGACGGCTTCCTCACCATCGCCGACAGCATCCAAGAGTTTCCCCTATCCATCTACGACCGCCTCGTGCTCATGACGGCGCCCGTCTCCCTACGCACAGACGGCGGCCCGGAGATCCTCCGCGCCATTGCCCGGTGCATCGCCGAGCGCGCGGGCGGCCACCTCCTCGCCATCCAAGAGATTCGCCTCGAGCTCCTCGAGGTCGACCTCGCCGCCCTGCCCTCGGCCCAAAAGACGGCCTACCTCCAGCAGCTCGAGGCCCTCCACCAGGCCGTGGTGCTCTACCTGTGGGTCTCGTACCGCTTCCCCGCATCTTCACCTCCCAGCCCCTCGCGTTCCACGTCCGCGGCCTCGTCCAGGACAAGATCAACGAGTACCTGTCGTCCCTGAGCTACATCGAAGAGGACAATAATAATCGCCGCCGCGCGAGGAGGCTGCGCGCGCTGCAGCGCGATCGCATGCAAAGGATATGCTCGGCGCCGAGGCTGCCGAGGCCGTTCAGATCGAGGAAGGGCCTGGTCGTTGGGAGGAAGAGGGCCACGAGGAGCCCTTGGCGCAGACGCCCGAGGAGATTTCGGACCTGGCCAAGGCGGAGAACGCTTCGGCGAATGCGTAGTGATTGTATAACAATTCCTTTTTTTCTTGTCTGATGGACAAGGGAGGAACAAAGGAGATTTCCACCCCAGTGTATACCGTGTATTTTTGACATACGGAAAAGCCTTGCAAAAACACAGGGCAAAATGGGCAGCATACCCGGCATATCGCATACATTGTGCCTCTTTCCTCTTTTCCTTTTATTCTGTATCATTAGTAACTCATAGACCTGGACTGTAACCTATTCAATCAATGACAACAAGCCTCTCACTTTTCTCACTTTTGTCTTCTTCCCATCATAAGATCGTTTGCAGCTTACAGCACATGCTTGACCCTACCAATTCGGTGTGTCTCGGTGAAGGCGGGGTTGGTTAGTCTCGGGGTTGCGACTACCCCACATTCATTACGTATGTAACCACCCTTCCGAGTCACGTCACGGTACGATTTTAGGCTACCGAGTACTCTAGAAGCAGAGCTCCCTCGTCGAGCTAGCTCAAGCGCATCAAAACCATTCTCACCTTGCCTCTCCAAGCTCTACCTTTGTAAACAGCCTCATTTCTCCCCCAAAAGCAAAGGGGTCCAAGGAGCTCCTACAGATCACCCCCGGATACAAAAACCAAAAGAATCGATAAGAGAGGTAGAGAGAGAGAGAAACGACAATGGCGGCCGAAGAATCCAAAACCCTCGCCTTCATCCCCCTCGAAGCCAACCCTCCCCTCCTCACCTCCCTCCTCCACAAGCTCGGCGTGTCGCCCGCCCTCGCCGTGCACGACGTCTACTCCCTCGACGACCCGGACCTGCTCGCCTTTGTGCCCCGGCCCGCGTTGGCCCTGCTGCTCGTGTTCCCCATTACGGACAAGTACGAGACGCACCGCCGGGAGGAGGACGCCGACAAGCCCGACTACGAGGGCGGCAGCGGCGAAGACAACGTCCTCTGGTTCCAGCAGACGATACGTAACGCGTGCGGACTCATGGGCTTGCTACATGCTGCAGCCAACGGACCTGCGCGCAGCTTCATCGGTAAACTTTCCCTTTCCCTTCCCTTCCCTTTCGTCCCCCACAGCCAACATGAACAAAAGAAAAAGAAAAAGAAAAGCAAACAGTTTCCAGAAAAAAGACAGCTAACCACCTCGCTCCGGGGCCCTTTCCATCCCAGAACCCAACTCCACCCTCGACACCCTCCTCAAGCAAGCCGCCCCCTCACCCGCCGCGACCGCAGCGCCCTCCTCGAACAATCCGAAGCCCTCGCCACCGCCCACCGCGAAACCGCCAGCCAAGGCGACACCGCCGCGCCGCAGGCCACCGACGACGTGGACCTGCACTACGTGTGCTTCGTCAAGACCGAGGACGGCCGCCTCTGGGAGCTCGACGGCCGCCGCAAGGCCCCTCGTGCGCCTCGAGGGCATGGCCCCGACGACGATGTCCTCAGCGAGGCGGCCCTCAAGGCTGGTCCGCTCGAGTTCCTCGGGCGGGAGGGCGGGGATCTGAGGTTTAGCTGCGTTGCGCTGGCGGGTGCCTTGGACTAGGCTTTTTTCCCCCGTTCTTTTTACACACTCTCACCCAGTCGCTTCTTTTGCGTTTGCGATATGCGCGTGACTCGAGCTTTCCATTTGGACGATCCCAGGAAACTTGTAATAGAGACGAGGAAGAAAACAAGAATAAAGTAAAAATAAAAAAGAAGTAAAGAAGAAATATGCCGTTTCAATAATCAATTCCTCTGTAATCCATGCCCTTTAAGTTCTAAAACGAATAACTCTACATACAACTCACAACTCCACCCAAACACAATCTTCTCACCCCCTCAGGCTCAACTGTCGAGACCCCCGCCCTTCACTACCCACCACCACCTGACACTCCATCATCTCCGTCGACCACAGCAACCCCCTATACCTCCTCCCCTCCTCCTCCTTCTCTCCTCCCTCCTATCCCGACAGAAACGTAGCGCAATAAGCAAGCCCAGAAGCCTCATCATCCTCTAGACGCGGCACAATAGCGGGAGCCTCGGCGGCGGTAACGGCTGCGGCATCGGCGCTCGTCGCCATGGGCACGAGAGGCGTGTCCGCACGGCGAGCGGGAGGCTGGCTGGTACATCTTGCATATTCGAACCGGGGAAAAGGGGGCCTCGCGCTCGCGGGTAGTAGTAGTAGTATCAAGTAGTAGCGTGGGGGTTCGTATGCGGTCCCTTGCAAGCGTGAGAAATCTTTTCGAGCGGCGGTTGCGGACAGGCTAGAAGAATATTGATGTAGCCTTGGCAGCCGGAGAGAGGTTATGGTGGGATGCTGCTTAATTCTTGTTTTGGTAGTGAGATGGTTCGTGCCCAAGTTCGTCAAGACAGGTTCCCAGTGTTTTGTTGGTTATGGAAGCATACAATTAGTAAGTAGAGGACAAAGGAAGGCGCGGTGGGCAAAGATAAGGCACATCAGACGCTCCTTCCTTGGGATACTACCCCTCAGAACACACATCACAAGATTATTTAGAACAAACAGACCACAACAAGGCTGTTTGGCCTTTTAGCACTCAAGTAGGTCACTCCATCTCCCAGTTCAAGGGTCTCATGATTTCAAAAAGAGTTGGTATTGTCATCGCCCAAGGGCGGTATTTCTACAAAGGAGACCTTTCAAATGACTGGCCGGCGTTCGCCTATCCATCTTCAACGCTAATATAATAACAACTCCAAGCCCAAGCCGAGCGACTCCATAGAGGCTCGGGGATATCCAAAATGTATAAGTGGTAGTAGTAGTAGTGCCCCCAACCAAAAACGCCAGGCTTTCGGTTCCCATCGAAGCAAAGCCAGAATGAAGAGAATAATAGAAAATGAAGAAAAAGAAAAAGAATAAAAAAGGAAAGGAAATACGTGTGCACATCATAGCCTAGCTGTGGGGAAAGGTGGGCCACCAGAAGAAATGGGGCCAGCATACAAGAAGGGGAAATGACAGCAAGGAAGGCAGACTTTCACGGTTGTGTCCGCGCCTGTCCAATCACTCCACATCGGCGTGGTGGCCGTCATCGACTTCCACTCCAGATGGCGCCTTGCTCCGACGTGTGAGGGACATGGTTGACGCTCTCTTCTTGGCCTTGGCTTCTTTCCTCATTCGGACGGCCATCTTGACATCAACCTTGCCAGCCTTCTCCTCAGCGATGGCCTCGTACAGCGCCGCCCTCATGGCTTTTACCCGTGCCGTGATATCGCCAATCGAGTGGGTATCCTTTTCGAAAGACCTCAGGTCCTCGTCATCATCTGTCTCAACGCCGTACGTGCGCTGGATCGGATCGCGATAGAGCGACGCTGGGTTGCTATACGGCTGCCGAAGAAACTGCGGTGACTTTGGAGGGCTCTCGTAAGGGATCTCTGGGATAGCCTCGAAGAGACCTGGAAGTTGGGTCCCCGGAATCCATAGCCTGAGTCATTAAAGAGGAGGCCTTCATCGTCTGGCTTTTTCTGTCGCTTCGGTACGAGAATCGACTCGCCGTCCAGTTCGTCCTCTGAAGAGAGGTAATCATCCATGTTGAAAGAACTATCCTTCACAATGGTTGCCGCCGAAGACGTCAAGGGTGTGTGGTAGCCGCTCTCGGGATAGGCGCAATAAGACGATGTCGTGCACCCAGCTCCGCTCACAAGCGACGTATAGCTCGACGTGAATGCCGGAGAATGAAGCGGCAAATCTACCGAGGTTTGCGCCGTGTGGCGGGAATGGGGCCTTGCGAAGGGATTCGAGCTCATACTCGACGTCGTCGGGGTGGTCGAGGATATGGACGAGTGACGTAGACTGCTCCGTCGAACAGGAAGAGCTTCCACAATCTCTTCCAGCCTACCTCGATTCTTGAGGGAAGCAAGGCTACGAGTCCGCTCATAGTCGTAGAGGGAGTCGGTATCCGAGCGGCCTCGGTCTCCGCGTCGAACGTGTGGTGACGGTGCCGGTGATGCCATAGCATCGGCATTGGACTCCACATCGATTCGCCCCCACTCCGAAGTGTCCCGGGACGGTGGCCGCTGATCGTAGGCGTCGTTCGTCAATGAGGTGACACTGGACCGCCTGGGCATGCTTCGAATAGGAGGGGTACAGAGCTAAAGAGGGAGTCTCGAGAAGGGGGCCGCGCAGTCTTTGGCCGGTCTTGCGAGATCCCTTCCGTTGCTACCGACATTGCGCTAGCCGTGCTCTGCGAACGCTGCCTCCGGGCCCGAATAGTTTGGTCCTCGGGAATCCATCGACATCTACTGGCCCTAACCGCCTTGAGCTAGTTGGGTAGATGCCGAGCTCACTCATCCCGTTCGGTTGGTAGCTAGTCTTAGCTCTCTGCATCGCGCGGCTGTCAGACTGGTATCCCCGGTTGAGGCTCGCTGCTCTTGAGCTGACGCTGACGGCATCATTTGCCATTGTGCTATTAGAACCACTAGCCTGGCGCGAATGTCGCCCACGGGGCTGGTAGTCTGAAACGTAACCACTATTGCTAGAGTTGAGCATCGATCCTAACCTAGATCTGGGAACTGTGCCTGCATCCCTCGGAGCGAAGCCAGCGCCCCGGGAAGGGAACGCAGAAAACCCGGCAGAGCTCGCGGGCCGTACACGCATAGCCGGTCGGGGCGAAGACACCATTGAGTTGGTCCTCTCCATTTCATCAGCATCAGATGCCGCATAGTGTTGGTGGTAATTTCCCTGATATAGATTCCGAGACACGTCGGGCGACATGGGAAGCCGGCGCAGGTGAAGCGGGGCCTCAGTAGTAAAAGTGGATGTGGAGTACGAGGAGGCACGTCTTGTTGAAGATATCGAGGGTGGCACCTCGGGTACGTTCAGCGCGATGTTCCGGTCGGCAACATCCTCCCCATAGTCTCTGGCGCCGGTGGCTTGGATTCGGTTTCGGAAGTTGGCGGGCTTGATTTCGGAGTGCGCATCGAGGATATCGACGAACCCACCCTTTGAACCCGTCGTCGTAGAGGTAATGGAGCTGTATAGAGATGCATGTCGCTGATGGCTAGGGCGCGAAACCAGGGGTGGTTTGACCGCAGGGCTGGGCTCAAACGAGACAATGTCATCGGGTGAGTTCAGCCTCTCTGGGACCGACCGTTGTGTCGAAAGAACAGACCCCGGACGCTGTTTCCTCACCGGTAGTGAACCACCAATAGATTCCCGCTTCAGCCAGTTGGTCATACGCTGGTGACTTGACCCTGGGCGGGACGGAGGGCGAGAGTCGTTGGTAGGAGGGATCCGGAGTTCGGGCTCGTTGAGCCTCGGGACCAGTGGTGGCGGCGCCGGGTCGACTCCATCGGCTTCGGTGCTTTGGTCGGCTTCTACAGGCTTCTTCGGGACGTTGTTATCGATCCTCCTGGGCACATGCTTCCGAACCGGTGTCTTGTTCGTCGCGTTTCCGTTGATGGGGAATGTGCCTTTCAGCGCATGAGTAAGACTGTTTTGGGTCATGAGGTTAGGGACTGCGCATACCTTTTACTGGGGTTGGGAGGCCGTCGTGTTATGGTAAGCCTGAGCTCTCAACGGGGCCTTGAGGCGCTCATTCTCCCGTTTTAAAAGCTTAGCAAGCCCATTATCCCCGACTGTGGAATTTGGCCATATGGAATTCCGAACGATAAGTCGCCGTTCTTGTCGATTCGATCAAGTGCTGCTTTCAAGAGTATATATCAGTTTGGACTTGTCCGCAGGTGCAAGCGCGGCAGCACAAGTTCGTCTAGATGTCGCAAGAACACGAGGAGCGCGGGACTGCAAGTGCGTGAGGCGAGGAGGTAGGAATTGGCAGTTTTGCTCCGGGTAAGTAGCTGCTTAGAATTCGGCGTCCGCAATGAGAGAAAGAAATCAACCGAGTTCAGAAGGAAGGTACTCCCGCGACCAAGTTGCGGAAAAATAGGACACGGATGAGGTTTATGAACGAGAAGAATGATCTATTTTGAAAATAAAGGAGGGAGATCTGAGGGCAGAAGGGGAGAGCTCTGGTTTGATATAAGAGGAAGGAGGGGGACAGACATTCAAGTTGGTGCGGGTTGCGGGAGGTGCAGCCGTCAAAGTGGTTGTACTTGCATCAGACTTGGAGGGGAGAAACTGGCTGTAGCGCACGAGCTAACTTTAGCAAGGGGGTCCTTGATGTCAGGGAGTACAAGTCTACGAACTATCCATCTATCCAGCTATTATGGGATACCAGGAACCTAACGAGAAAACAAAAGAAAAAGAAAAAAAGAAAAGCGAAGGGCGAGCGCTCGGGCAAACGTTGCTAAGCGGGAATTGGTACGAAGGGAACTGGAGGGCAGGAGCGAACGCGAAGAGGTGGGGAGGGTGTGGAAAAGCTGGGGAAGGTTGCAAAAGGGGGTGGGGTGGCCCTTGTGGCGGAGGAGTGGTGTGGGATCAGAGGGTGGAGCTGGGAGACTGAAGGTTGTGTACATCGTACTGATACATCCTGTGTGGGTCGGGAGCAACAAGACCGCAGAAGGCACGATCAGAGCGGCCCTCTGACAGGACAGATGCTACGCCAATTTTCTACGGGCACGCCAAGCCTCTGTTCTCTCGTGCTGTCCCTGACCCAGATATCAACCCGCTGTCTTCAGTGTTGAAGCCTCTTGGGCATGGATCAAGGTAACGAATAGGTAGTTGAAGTAAGAGTGCATCGAAACTGGCGGTATAGATATGGGAATACAGGGGGCAGGGGCAATGGAGGGTGAGGGTGTTCATGGCCACTGCTTGCTGATCGGCCCTGCTCCGGAGCCGAATCGCCGGCTTCTATGCCCCTTCCTCGAACTCCTGGAACAGCAGAAACGCGCCCTGTTTGGAAGAAGGAAGGAACTATGACGGCCAACCTCGGTCCTTCCAGGGTTTAATTCACTTACGCACAACGAGAAACAATTGATCCACCTCACGGATCTGTCCAGAAAATCAATATCTACCCTGCTCTTCCGATGGCCGTTGTCCAAATATGCAATGTTGAGGCGCATGACGAAGTAATGTCAAGTCTCGTCAGTTTCTCCTGTCCAAGGAGGCTGATTGACCAAAGCCGTCTTCAAGCTACGTTCAGCTGGCCCAGCCGCTGATGATGGGTTCTCTAGGTACCGAAATCTGGAGTGTATGCAACGGCTTCCAGGGATCCCATGATCAGCGGCACGGGAGACGAGACGCAACGAGGGTCAAGGCTCATTTATCCATCCACCACTTGAACGAGCAGCAGTTTCAGTGAGGTTGAAGAAGAAATATTTCGCAAACAAGTGGAGGCCGGAGATGTTGCTTTTCAAGTCCAAACACCAAGAATCGTGCCCTGTCCGGGCTTTGCTCCATTCACAAATCCTTCATTGACGCTGACGTGCGGACGGTCAGCGACGTTCATCGACCTCGCGGTCTGGGGTGTCGCGATGGATGTTTGCACCCATCACCTCGAATTTGAGGAGGGAAAAACAAAAAAGTAAAAAGAAAATGGCAAGGGTTTCCACCCAGGGTTACATGCGAATCGGTATCATATATCTTAACTTTCCACATCTTTTACATCTTTGGCTCAGGCGTCCTGGACGCCAGGGCTTTCCTCTTTGCCGGCCGCGGATGTTATCATTGGCTCGATTATCAGTTCGGGGTAGTTTGAAACTTTCACGGCCGGATATTCTCAACTCTGACGCAGGCAGAAAAGAAAGAAAAAGACGAGACGAGGCGGCACGGCCTCGGGAAACATGATCGACACGTCGATGGGATGATGCTTGGTGACCCTCGTGAGACTCTTTTTTTTTTTTTGTTTTCATTCCTTTCTTTTCCGTTCTTTGTTTTTTCCCCACTTCCTCAGGACCTGCCGCCACCTTTGACTATAAACGCAGGGAAGAGAGAGGAAGCCAATCCGATTCCTCCCTCGATAATTGAGCTGAGTACCTGCGTACAAACGGAACGCGAATGCGTTTGCTAGATTGCTTGTATTCACACTACTCGCCCGCGGTATATCAGTTTCTTTTATGATAGGACAAGCACGATATACCCGTTCAAAGCCGTACACCAATATTGTCCGCGCCAAAACCGGCCCGCCAGATGAGATGGTGTTTGCATCCATGGAACGACGACAACAACAATTACACCTTATTATGCCAAGCTGTTGATGTTGCCGGCCGTCTCTGCACCGGAATCTCGTAACAAAGCAAATGCCCCCAGCCATCGGGTGAAAGGGACGGGGCATCAAGCAAATAAACATAATTTGACCAGGAGAACAAATATTCACTGCAGCACCTGAATCACCCTCCTCTCTCTTATCGGGCGCCGTCGGCCCCGATAGTTGCTCAATGCACAACGAGAGGCAGCAACAGAAAGGATTCGGTTGCCGTTAACGTGACTTTGCATGCTATTTTGCTCCTTTTTGACTGGAACGACGGGGCCATAACATGAAATGAGGTTCCATTCTCGCCGCACAGGGTTTAGTTTGGGGCCGACACGACAAGAGCTCACTCTCCGGGTACGTCGGTGGCCAAACCCAGGTTTTTGTTTGGTCTTCTCCGCTAGATTCATTTATCAACATCTGTATTGATACTTGTCTCTTTCATCTCACGGAGCTGCTACGGACCGCTGATGCATCATGCGGGGAGACAGGCAGGCAGGTCAAGTGCACGGGCGTTGGCCAAAGTACACATGTATATACATACCTACTCGACGACGAGAGGTCAAGATCGAGGTTCGATTGACCGCATCAGCACTGGTGGTGACCTGAAGGAAGGACGGGGTTGAGCCGTCGCGTGCAGCAGCGAACGCTCATAAGTGAAGAGCCCATCGTCGTATTGAAATTCGAATCTACTAGCGTACGAGTGGTTTTTGATTTCATTTTGTTCTTCATCTCCGCCATGATTCTCTATTCCCATTTTGGGAGACTGGATCGTAGCTAACGCCTCAACAGTGCACTTTATTAGCCAGCTCAACCTAGCACGCTCTCTTGCCCACGGTTGTGGCAGGTAGCTTCTGGCCTCTCCTCTGAAGAAGTTTCTCGAGCACAAAGGGGGCCGTGCGGTGCGGTGCGGACAATGGTACGGTACATCATGTGGCGAACGGACCCGATCCTCGCCAACTCACTCGTTAAAAGCGCCCAATCTTGTCAAGCCTGGACAGTCAAGTCGGGGATTTTTGTCAATTCATTCGTCTCTAATAGTACAATGTTCAAATTGGAATTGAAGGCCGAGGTAGGGCCCATCCATTGAGTCCTGTGCGCGGCTGGGGCGAGCACCTCAGGAACATCAACAATACCAGCAAGAGAAGCGAAGAAGGCCGAGATGGGCGCAGAAGAAGGATCGGAGTCCGGTTCCAGCGGGACAGGGGCATTTACGAGTGTTCCAACCCTCTGGAAAGGGTGACCTAAGAAGTGTTAGCGCGATTTTAGTTCAACGATGGGCCATGACGCCAACACCATCGCTCTTAGAGAGCGTCGTCAATCGCAGGCCAACCAGGTACGAGGCACGAAGGGGGTGAAGAAAAGGAGGGCCAATCGAGACACATGCACCCTCTTTATTCGAGGGAGTGGCGTTTGGGTTCGTCCTCTCTTCATTTTATCGAAGCCATCGATTTATAAAGGCAGATATCCGCAGTCCCACAGGGCAGCCTCGCGACTAATAACTCTCGGTCTCCAAGGACGCGCAAGATGAAGGGAAAATGGGGAGCCACCAGGCACTGTCCTTACTATGTACATGTAAAGTTTGGGCTGAGCAGGTTCCACCACGACGCATTGTGCCTGGAAGCTGAGGTGTACGCGCATTAAAACCTTGCTTCTGGAAGTTCCAGCTGTACTTTGACTTGTTGCCGAGGACTCCTGATTCGTGTCTGCATGTCGAGAGGCGGGAATCCGTGATATCGCTCTGTGATAGTATTCATTTGCACGAGTCCCATGACGAAGGCGCTGGCCTACGCATGCCGTCATCAAGGCTAGGCCACCCCGGCCGACTTTATTACTTCCAATCAGTTCTCGGGCCCTGTAATCATGTTCCATGATCAGGGCGGCGAAGGTGACGCTATGCTCAAAGAGAGGATACGGAGTGTCGCAGGTGCGTATCCGGCGGTGCGACAAAGGAGGCTAAGTAACGTGGGCGAAGGAAAGAAAGATTGTAGATTGCCTGGAAAAGATGGCGTGGAAATGGTAGTTGATCGCGTTCCCTCAACGAGAGGGGAAAGAGGGCATGGGTGATACGAAGAGAGTGTCCCAACACTCAGCTCAGCGCTCAGCCCGCGCTCATGTTTGCCAATGGTACTTCTTCATTCGCTCCTAGACAGACAAGTCGATGATCACTGTATGAGTACGCACAGCAGGGCGTTGTGGAACGCATCAGGCGTGGCAACGAGGCGCGTTTTGGCTGAAGACGCCAGACCCTTCTAAGGTAAGCCGAGAAGGACGAGGAACAACCGAAAAAAGCCCCCAGAACATGAGGAAGCAAGGAAATTTCTAGTGGTGGGGAAAATCGAAGTGGTCCCGCATTGGTTAATCTATACAGCACACTAGCCAACTAGCTAAGCTAACTGAGAAGACTAATAAGATCGAGGAAAAAGGAGGGGGCATGACCTGGAAAGCCTTCACTCAGGAGATTTGTTCTGGCTGGCGACTAAGGAGGAAGAGCAGTGTACTTTCTCAGCCTGCTTCGCGCCCGGATGTGGGGGAAGGGGTGGTCCGAGATGATAAAGGGCCACTTTGTATGCTGCGCGATCTTGCCAGCAGCCGGTGCTGCGCTGGCAAAGCAGAGGGAAAAGGATGGTGTGTTTAAAGACGGCGGCGGACACGCCGAAGTAGCGCTCGAAGCTGCGTCACACAGCTACTGGGTTGCGGCTGTGGAGAGGGGACAGGCGGCGACGAGCGGCCTCAACGATGGCAGCACCAGTTTAAAGGCTTTAGACAAGTGCGGCGTTGGCATCACCAATGAACGCTAAAGGAAAACATGGTGCCGGCTGGGCCTAAGCGGGCTTGTAACGCGCATCCGCTGTTGCTTGATGATCCCTGCAGCAAAAGCATCTTTCCTCGACTCTTCCATAACACCCTACGCAGGCTTTCCGAGAAAGTGAGGAGGTGCAGGACTAAACCAGGATGAGGGCGAGACTCTCTGATGTCCCTCGAAAATTTGGTATCGATACTTGAGGGATTAGAGAGGGAAAAAAGCAACAAAAATGCTGAGGTAAGTGGTCTTGGTGTAAGGCAAAGGAGGCAAATGCAACGCCAATGCAAGGCTACATTGTGGCGTGAAAATGCAGAGTGGCGTGAAAATGCAGAGGCATGGATGGGCTTAGTTGTGGCATCCTAGTTGATTCGTCTTAGAAGTAGGGTGAGTGGCTGGCCCACCAGGCTGGCTTTCCATCCTTCGCCCACTGGGTTCGACGATACCTATCTCATTTTTACAAGAGCGGAAGGACGAGGTGGTTGCACTCTCATTTCTGTCCGGGCCTGTCCCAAAAGGGCAGGTGTTTCTTCTGTTCGACGGTCGTTCGCCCTTCCAAGCCTTATTACTGGAGGGAAAGGCTGCCTTTGCAGCATTACTTTGCATCCTTAGCGCAGTCTGCTACTCTGTTGGGCCGACTACTTTCTACGTATCTCCTTGGAGGTGAGCAGCCTCTCCACGTCGCAGCGGGCTCACCTACTTGTCTCTTCTTGCGACACACTGCTACCTGAAAGGAGAAAAATCCATTCTCAAAGACAAGGGCGAGTGCTTTGGCCTGGTACGAAGTAGGTCAGGTCTCCCACGAAGCGGCTGGGAGGGTTCAGGACGGGGGTTGGAAGATGGGTGGTCCTTGTCAAGAGACACCGTCAAGATGCACTGGCGAGTTGACGTGGACATGGACAGGACTGTCTTGTCCCCAAGCCACATTTAGCGGGGCGTAGCTTTTGTCCAACGGTTTTTGGATTGGTTAGTCAAGAGCTCAGGGGGAGGTGCTGTCAGTCTCAGTTCGCTCTACCACGGTCTCGGTACGATGAGACGCACGATGGAGGGGTATGATGAGGCAGTTTATTTTATTTTTCCTTACTGGTCTGTTTTTCCCCTACCAGCTATATCGACCTTTTCTTTTGACGCGTTTATGGTATCTTGTTTTTTTGGTTCTTCTCCCCAAGATCACAGGCCATGGGTCTTGTTTTGTGTGAGGTTCAGTCTCTCAGAGCCACCGAGAGCCAATCCATGCAAACACTTGCGCACACACTCGTGCACGCACACGGCGGAACGGGATGGCAACGCGGACCCCGGACGGAGGATTATCAATATGCAGTGACCGAGCACACTCGTTCCTCTGTCCACCATTACTTGTACATCAACCCGAGGCGGTGGGAGAGCGGGAGCTGCTGCTACTAGTAGGTTCTCCTCCTCCCTTTGCCGCAACGACAAGGGGAAACCAAGAAAGAAGAGGAAAAAACTGACTAAAAAGGAGGGACAATGGGCAAAGCAGGTGTGACAGGCGGACAAATAGACGCGAACTTCCCTCCCCTCCTCCCCTTCTTCTTCTTCTCGAGTCAAGAGGCAAATTTTGCTGCAGCGCATTTGCTCGTGCGGCCTGCATGAGCGAAGCGCACTTGCACGCACAACGCACCGCACCGACCGATCTGACCGTCCGTTCGCCCCAACCACAGGACGATTCGGGACACCTCTGCTTCCCAATCTGGCTCGCCAGCCACCAACCGACATGGCAGACATGGCCGCGAACAGGACACTAGAGCTAAGAGGAGGGGAGAGAGGGGGCAAGGCAAAGGGGTGAGGGTTATCAAAAGGGAAAAGGGCTGGTTCAACTCGCCCCTTTTGACGGGAAAGGAAAAGAAGCAACACGGAAAAACATGGAAGTTGATCAGAGCGGAGACCTCTTCCCCCTCCTTCTGCAGAGCTAGGCGGTATCATGGCGTAGTTTCAGGAGAAGACGGGAAGCCTAAAAGGAGGCCATTGCTCCTTGTGAAAAAAAGAGTTAGGCTTCCTCTCTTCTTACTTTCACTTCTCTCTCCTCTCTCATACCAAAAAAAAAAAAAAACCGTACCTGACATAGCATTGGCGCAACGGGGAAGCGACTCCGAGTGGGCGAAGGGGAGGGGTGGGGTGCAATTGGGGGTTTTGAGAAACTTCGTTTGTGTCACTTGCTTTTTTCCTTCCTTCTTTTCTTCTTTTTGGCCAGTTGGTTTCCACCATTCGGAGAATTCGGGTGAGTGAAAAAAGGAGACATGGGGGCTTGGGTGGAGGGGAGAATTGCCGGGGAGAAAAGCAAAAGAAAGGGCAGCGAGCGAAGGGGAGCCACAGGCAAGGATCAATGAATGAATAGAGCTTGGAGGGGCAATTTTCCATGTCGATCCTGTCTAGCTCTGGCAGCGCCTATGTCTCTCATTCGCTTGTTCTCTTCAAGCTATCTAGACTCACCCCAAGGCTCTTTCTTTTCTTTTCTTGTTTCTTTTTGGTGCACTCGGCGTCGTCGCCAAGCAAAGGCCTTTCGCAGGCCAGCAGCCTAACAGCCCCATGACGAACTCGCAGGGGCTGTTCAGAGGAGCAGGGATGTCGGGCAATGGTATCCGCGCGCAGCTTCAAGGGAAAAACTGACCTGGGAGAGCCTGGCGATGGCTGGCTCGCCATACCAATTCTAGATCATGGCAGGTGTCAGAGTACCCCAAGACAACGTCTAGCCTAGGCCGAATCGAGATCTCGCGCCCTGCCCTGGGACCGAGAAAACTGGGCTCGGATGGTAGTGTCCTTTTCTTTCTTTATTCTTCTTATTTGTTGAGTGGAGGCTAGATGACAGGCACGAGGCATGATTGTGGAGATGCAAGAACGGGAGGGTGCTCTTCCGAAGACGCCCCCTTGCTGGTCTCACTTGGACTTGGATCGTTGGCCGTCATCCGCTCTCGCGGCGTCCGCTCCTTGTCGTTCTTGCAGCTTGTATAGCTTTGTTGGCAAGAGCTGTGCTCGATGCGCCAATGGTGAAGGGAAGCGGAGCTGAAGACTCTGAATCCAATGGATCTATCTGGATGCTTCCTCCATGATGCATGCTCTTAAAAGGCACTCTTATCACAGGCAAACCCCTACATCCCAAACCAAGTCTCGCAGCTCCTTTCTGTGAGTTGGTGCCTTTTCCTGCGCTTTTCTGCCTGGGACGGTTACTTGTATTTAGCATTGACGAGGCGCGACCGCGATCCCATCAAGCGCGTTGAACGCATTGCCAATTTTTTTGTTTCTTCCTTTTCGTCTTATTGGTATCGAGGAGACGTTGCTCTGGCCTTGCTTTTGCTCTACTTTATGCTTCCTTTTTCCCCGCCGCCGCCTCCGCCACCACCATCACCGCCCCTCTCTATGGACTCGCGGCCAAGAAATGGCAGGGCAAGGGACAAAGGACTGCCGTCCACTAAAGAGAGGCTAGTCGGCCGTTCCTCGTTGCTTTTGCGGAGACCCTTCATGGGAAGGGCAACCCAAAGAGAAAAAAAGGAAGAGAGGAGAGAAAACGCGCACGCGTTTGTGAATGATGAACATCCTAATTAAACAACTACCGCCCGCAGGCTCCGGATCCACTTCCGGTCGGCTGCCGATCTCTTCGGTCCGGGACAACTCGTGATCATGGCAAAACGACTCCATTCCTTTGGTTATCTCTTCTCCGTGAGTTATCAATGTTTGCTGAATACTTACAGATGGGAAGGAGGGGAGGAAGCTGAAATAGCGCGCTGGAGCCTTTAACCCTCTGGGGAAGCTAGTTGGAGGAGGGGCGAGGATCGCAACTTGAGTGGTATTACAGATTTTGGTGGTTCATCCAGGTCGGAAGGAGGCGCTAGTCGTCGAAAAGGGGGATAGGTTAAGGTGAGCGAGTCATCACGGGCCGAAGTGCAACTCGCGAGTAATAAGGAGAGTTTTCTTCTATATTTCGCCTCGGCCAGGGAACCAACAACAGGACGACGTCGTGAAGCACAGGTCCACTCACTTGGATAAACCTTGAACCCAGACTACAGACTACGGACACGGCATAATCGAAAAGGAGAGTGAACCCGCCATCAGCATTGACGAAAAGGCGAAAAGGTTGAATGGGGCTCCCCGCCCTGCCGACCAGGATTTGACTTGAATACGTAAGAAGGACCAAAAAAGAAAGAAAAGGGAAAAATGGCAACGCCCAAAGAGACTCTTACCCGCGCATCTAATCAGTCTTTGGGTCTTCTTGTTTGGTACGCTACTCATGCGCGGCACGCAAGCTATTAGTCCAGGGCTGATCCCAGTGCCGGAAAATCCTGTCTGCCCCCTCACCCGACGTCAGGCGGCTCAGAGAGAGAAAGCATTGAAGCGGAAAGGAGAAGAAAAAAATGAAAAAGAAAGGGAAAATGAAAAGAATGTTGCCCAAGTCTACATAGCTACAATTCCGTGGTTGGCGCTGTGCCGGGTCTAGCAGAGAAAGAAAGAGAGAGAGAGAGAAATAGAGCCAACGATGCAAGAGACGCAGCACCATTACGTCGCTCTGAGAACTCGGACGCACAACCCAAGTTGGGACCACCTGTCAGACCGACATGCGCGATGCGCTGCAATCCGTCCCAGTCTTTGTCGTCGGACGGATCCGGGGACAGACGCACGACGCGCGCGGTGCAGCGGAGAGGGGAAATTGATTGTCTCTCTCCTTTTTCTTGTGTCTGACGAGTTAAAAACTGTGAGTGCAAGGAGAGAACGAAGTCGCAACCGGGAAGTTATAGTCGCCGACATGCGTAATAGTCATGATGGTACGGATGATGCGTCAAATCATGTATGTCGAGTCGAGTCGTACCAACCCATTGAGATTATTCGTCTCTGCCGACACGCTCTTTGGGACGAACTTGGGACTCTCTAGCCGACCCGCGGAGTCGGGATTTTCGCCTACCTGCTCGTCATTTCTTTCCTCTAGCCGATTTCATTTCCCCTTTTTTGAAAATGGGGATGGATGTAAGCTGGTTTCTACCATACTCAAGCAAAGAGAGACACCGAGAGAAGTTGTCTGATGCCCCCTTTTGGTTACAATATTACAGCTATGGAGGCATTGCGGCCAATGTGCAGCCATGAGATTTCGACTTGGTTTTGTCTTCGCCCGCCCGGTCTGGCTTTGCGGGCCCGGCTTCCAGGAGAATGACAGACCGGATATCTCACGATACCCCCTCCTACCCCTGGAAGAGGACTTAAGGACCCGGCTTTTCTCGCCTTGGTCGTCTCCTCTTTGGCGGGTCATGGGTGGAAGTGAAATTTCTCAACGATTGGATGCAAGGGCAAGACATGAATCTATGTGAATCTACCATTTTCAGCCTCTTTTTAATAAGATGCTCTTCTTATCCGACCACCCCTCGCATCGACAAACGCAAAACCAGCCTCACGAGAGCGAAAAGAAAAAGAAAAAGAAAACTGCAAAAAGGAAGAAAAGGAACACGATCTCCGGCCGAGGGATCAAGAAGAGTAACCAAGCGGAATCGAATATCGGGCCATGGCCAGTCCTCGTCGAAACAAGCCACGAGGGTCGATCAAGGCCTCTCCTTTCCCACCTTCCGGCCCGGTTTTCATTCACGTAGATCGAAGGGGGAAAAAGAAAAGAAAAGAACCTCTTCTCGGCCCTTGCTCTCTCTCATCATCGTCAACGTTCTCCTGCTAAAGAAAAAAACCCCACTTCCCACCGTCGATCCGCAGACACGATGAAATGACGCAAAGCCAGGCAATGGGGGCAACCCGTCCGCGATGTAACGGCAGCATTGTCGATTGTGTTTTTCTTCGTTTCCTTCTTGTTTTTACTCGATCAAAAGAAGAAAAACCAACTTTTATTCAGCTTGCCCAAAGGACCATTCATGCATTTTACGCGCCTCGCGGAATCCGTTGGGTCTGCTTCCTCCGCCCTATCCTTATTTTCTCCCCTTCCGTGCGTGGTTATGTGAGTGCGTGATATACATTGAAGTATAAGAGTTAGCCGCACTTGTGGACGGCATCTGGGATATCAATATTATAGGACATGGATGCGCACATATATCATCACCGCCATTGCTAACCGCCCCCTTCCCACCTCCCAAGAGCAAGCCACAAGCTCAAGGAGCGGAAAGCGAAGAAAAAAAGAGCCCGTGTTCCTTCACCGTGCTCTCTTTCGCACTAGACTATTGCCTGCACCTCCGATCCCTCAACCAAGGATTGCCCATCACATCTAGTGTCGTCCATCTATGGATCTCTCTCTCTCTCCACACGGCGCGCACACCCCCTGGCCCGCCAGATCCAGCTCAGCGGGATTTTTCTTTGATTAATATGCGCTACCTCTCTCGTCTCCTTTCCCTTGTAACCCATTAATATTGGCCGTCCTATCGTGTATGCCACGCAAAAGCCTACGCTTCCCGTCCTTTGATTGGCGATGACGAGAACAACGGCGTGAGACTTCCAGCTCGTCCCGGTGCAAGCCCCCTTTTTTTCCTTTTCCATTCTTCTCGTGTTAGCAAACGGAAGAGGGGAAGCAAGAGTGACCAGAGATGGTGTGTGTGTGTATCGGTCAGCGAAATCAGATAACCTGGGGAATCCCGGTATGCTCTCTTCAGCTCCCGGTACCCGCGCTCAGAATTTCTCTTTTTTCCCACCCTCACAGCGCACGGGGCTGGCAGTGCACCCTTTCCCTCCACCGCTCCCATCGCTCCCCTTGTCCTTGTCCTCGGGAGGATGGATAGAGGGTAGATCAGTTCAAAGGAAGAGTTTTGTCGACGTGCCCTTTTGCCCGACTGGTGGAGCCCTGTTCCGCTGAAAAGCTCTCTCAGCCTTTTCTTTTTCCTTTTTAGTGCATTTTTCCAGCCCAGCTTTCAAGCGGGTTGGGGGCTGCCACGGACATGGCACAAGTAGCGCGAGTAGGAACATAGGTGTAGGGACATAAGCGCATCTCGCGCCCGAGCCTCTTCTCTATCGGAGCGGAGGAATCCCCCAATCCCGGAAATGAGTTCTCTGTGCTTGTGATAGGAAGCCGTATAGATGAGCAAAGGACGTGCGGGCTCCTTCAAACCGCACTTCTCAACGGCCGTGCTAGAATGAATCCACACCCGGCAAGGCCGCTCGGGCGTGGATGATGGGGCCGTGGAGGGGCTTGCCGCCAAGGGAGGAGGATTTTTGCAACCTACGAAGTAGGCCTCGGATGCTGGATGCTGGGGGACGAGCAGATAAAACAAAATACCGGGTTCGTAGCGTAGTACCAAAGGCCGAGTTTGGGAGGCGGCCCGCCCGCGGTCTCTTCGTGACGAGAGCTTCAAGGCTTGGACTTGCGGACGTCTTAGAGCACGCATACTCGCTCTCATTACATGGCACAGTGGGTGCGGACAAGAAGACGAGCCTTGTCACGATGGACGGGAGATACACGAAAAGGCAAGGAAGTATGTAGCAACAGCAAACAAGTGAATCCCTTTCCCATAAAAATCATGTTGCCCATAGCCAGGGTATCAAAATCTCGACCAACTCCCTAAGACCACCTTGGCCAGTTCTCAACTGATCTTTTCCATCTGCAACGGCAAGGAACAAACAAAGAAGCAAGCCTCCTTTCCCTACCCCTTCACGCAGCCGTGCCATTCTCCCCCGTCGCCACCGCATCCCCTCTCACCTCGCCACCCTCCAGACGACAATCGCACCCGAACCGAGCTCTAAACTCCTCCCTCCCCACCTCGTCCAAAGCCTCCAGCGCCGCTCGCGCCGCCGCCATCTTGGCGTGACGCCCGCTCGCGCCCCTCGCGCTGCGGCAAACACTTTTCCGTGCACGAGAACCCCGGCCGCCATCTCCGTGCCCGTCACGCACCCGGCCCCGGCCTCCTCCGCGTCCGGTGCGTCCTCCCGCACGAGCACCCGCCACTCCTTGCATCCGTACTCCCGCGCCAGCCGCGACGCCATGTACGTCACCGGGTGCCGGTTGGCAAACGAGTCGTAGAGCGTCATGTCCTCAAAGTACGGCCGCACGTGTCGCTCAAAGAACTCCTGCACCGTTCCGTAGTCGTACCCGGAATCCACAAACGCTGCTCCGACGTACGCTTCCACCATGTCCGGGAGGCACTTGGGCGGGTGTGGCGCCTCCAGCCAGAAGCTGCGGTCTCGTCCCTGCTCCCCGCCCGTAGCTGCCGTGTGTTTCTGCTGCGCTTTCTCCAGCTCCTCGACGTAGGTCTGGATGCTGCTCTGGAGCGCCGCGTGAATCGAGAGCATGTGCCGATGCAGTCCCAGCTCCACACACAAGCACCCCAAGAACTGGTTCGACACCATGGCCATCTTGTGCTCCGTCAGCCACTGCGGATCCGCCTCCGGGAACCGCCCAAACAAAAGTCCACGCACACCATGTCCAGCATCGCATCCCCGAGGAATTCGAGTCGCTGGTAGTTGGGGATCTTCTCGTACGGGTACGACGGGTGCTTGAACGCACTCCGTAGCAGCGCCGGGTACCGAAACTCGTACCCGACCTTGGCTCCCACCATCTTAGCCCCCTCCACCTGCGTCGGCGTCGGCTCTGCTGCCTGCCAGTCTGGCATCGTGTAAGCCGCGTAATAGTCGCTCCACTGTTCCATCTTGTGTCTCTTGTTCTTGACCACCGCCGTGACAGCCTTCACCGCCATGTCAAAGTTCGGCTCCCATGTGCCACCCTTCCCTGGCCGCTTTTTCACGGACGAGAGGTACGCCGCTCCGATGAAGGCTTCACACACGTCCGCGATTGACTTATCTGACAGCGCGTGTCCGTCTGTAACTAGCCCGGCTTTCCCCTTGAGGAGCCGTAGACCCGTCGGGTACCACGTCCTCCGGTTGAAGGACTTGGATCTCACGTATTCTTGAAGCCCCATGTCCACCGCCGTGTTGAACATGTTCTTATTGCATATCAGGAGCATCCGCTCCACGTGGTACGCAAACTCGTCTTTGTCCGGGCACTGCGTGAAGAGCGCGATGCTCGTCGCCATCTTGAGGAACGCGTCCCCGAGAAACTCGAGCCGTTCGTAGTTTTCCCCATCCCCGTTTGGAAGATCACCTGCTCCTCTCCATTCTCCTCCGAATTGTTGCTGTCCTTGGTGACGGCTTCCAACGCTAGATCCGGCCAGATCTGAAGCCCTAACTTGCTCCCCGCCTCTAGTGCAATGAGGACTGAATCGATCCTGTGCATCAAGGCGGGAAATGCAAAGGCCATTGAAACCACGGTTACCGGGAGCTGTCACGTTTAGAAACAAAACTGTCAGAGATATCCTGCATGGTGTTTTGACTCGTGAAAAGGGCGTAGCTACTTACCGCGGATACTTGCAGCGGTTGCATGATAACATAGCAAACAACGGGCTTGTCGTCATCCTCAAAGTCATCGAGCATGTTTCGACGGAGCGACACCAATTCCACCTCCACCACCGGCTGATCCATCTTCCACTTGATCGAGTCCCTGGTACGCGACCAGAGACTGATACTCCATTCCTTGATATTGTGCTCGTACGAGTCCCATTTTCGTATCTTCGGGGCGGCACACCCTCTGGAATCGGGTCGGACGGCGCAAGATCCGGCCGGTATCGAATGGAGTAAAACGACCGCGACCCGCAGTACGGATCCGTGATGTAACGTTCATCATAAAACATCCCCGGGTCGCTCCCCTTTTTAAGTTCAAACTTTTTATTCTCCGCAACAGTTTGAATCACCCCCAGTTGATGGTGTCGCGAATATGCGGCTCGAGGTAGTAGACCGATGCGTGTGAGAAGCGGCTCGGCGCAAGAAGATACGGCATTTCCTTCGCCGTCGCATCAAACGCCTTGTTGAACACGTCCTTGAAGATTCTGAGAGTAAAGTTAACTAACTCCTCTAGGTCCCTGTCGGAATGAGGCTTAGAAAGCCCATAGGATCCCTTGAGCGGAATCATCTGCGCCACCGACTTCTTTCCGGCTCCGAAGAACAGGGGAACATCTGGCAAGTCAGGGAGCTTCCACCGTGAGAGGAGAATCAGGGGACAGCTCCCCCGACCGACAGCTGCCGGCGTCTCCAACGTCAAAGCGACTCCGTAGAGCCTCTTCGGTCGGCCCAGCTTATCCCATAGGCTAGGTTTGAGTCGCATGTTGTACTGGGCCGTCTTATTCGCGCTCACGGCCAGGCGAGCGTTCCTCATCGCAGGAAGCCTCTTTTTCATGTACGGCTGCAGGTGGCCATCGATGAACTGCCTCTTGATCAGGTCAAGACACATCTCAAACGCCGCCGAGCACTTGGCCGCCTGCTTGCTATTCTGCTCGCGTCCCCTCTTGTACTGGATGGGCAAATTCTCAGGTAGATTTACCTGGGCAACCCAGACATTTCCATTCTTCATCACCGCGTACTGAGGAGTGATAATAGGACCGCCGGGCTCCTGGAAGCTGGCGGCGAATGAATCCAGGACCACAAGACTCTGCGTAAACGTCAGGGTGGCCCCCGTCTCCTCCACCGTAAACGACTCGAACCCCGAGTCGCTTTTCCAATTGGCCGTACGATCCGGCCCCATGTCTAGGCGGCGGCTTTCTGGAAGCTTGGAGCAAAAGTCGCGAAGGATGCGGGTATCGCGCGAGATTTGCTTGAGCTTGACCAAATGAGCGTGGTTGGACTCCTCTACCATGTTGATAAACTTGGACTCTTGATGTCGGGCCCGACCCCTTGATTGTATGTACTGAATCATGGAGTTGCACAAGTCAAAGCGGATTATTATGTCGCAGTCAGGGATGTCAATGCCCTCCTCCGCAATAGAACTTGCAAATAGGCAGTTGATCTCGCCGGTCTTGAATTTGTGAATCGTGCACACGGCCTCATGGTACGTCATACCTGCTAGGTTCAGGTCGGCGCCGGCCCCTACCTACGATTAAAATGTTAGAATATTATTCACCATTTAGATAGCATTCTTTTTCATCCTTTACAGGCGGGGTGGGCTTTGTTTTCACAACTTACTAGAAATCCCACCTGTAGGGCCGGGAAGAGATCTCTCAGCTGCTCGCATACATCCGCGAGCATCACCGCCGTACGTCGCCTCTCCGTAAAAATGATGCATTTGTGGTCGCTAGGCTTCGCGAAGTAGTCCTCCAAAGTTGTGAGAAGCCGAAGGACTTTGTACGAGAGATCCAGCGCAGTCTTCTTCAGAGGCGGCAGGGGTGAATCCCGGACGATCTCGCGGAGTTCGTGAATGACCCCGACCGCATCCTTGCCCTCCGGAAGGAATGGGATCTGGCCATACGTTTGTTGGGCCACCGCCTCCGCCTTAGCCAAGAGTTGGCCCATCTCGCCGTCTCCAAAACACCGCTTCCAAAACCGATCTGTACACCAGGGACCGAGATCGTAGGTGCACAGAGTCGAAAAGGCGGCGTGCTTCTGGAACATGGGGTTCCATTTGATTAGGGGTTTCAGGCTTTGAGAGAGTCTGGTATCGTAGCGTTTCTCCAGTTTCTTATACTCTTGAACGACTTCCTCGTGGACTTTGATGCCCATCTCGTCCCCCAGCCTACCTGAAGATACTGTGGCAATCTTGCTCTGAAGAAGGGACTCTAGGTGCTTGGCCGAGGCAAGGATGTCAGCCTTTCCATCCACAGGGGAGGCCGTCATTCCGAGTATGCGAGGCCTATCTTGCAAATCCTTTTCCCTGAGATAATAATCTATGACGATACGGGCATAAGGGTGGTTCTTCTTTGCGTGGTGGGCCTCGTCTATGATAAGCAGATTGATCTGTTTCATAGATATAAAGGAATGGGAAAGGGCCCTTTGAAGTACGGCGGCCGTACAAACAATGACTTTATTCTCCTCAAAAGTCTTTCTCCAGAACTGAGCGGTCCATTTGCCCTCGAGCTCCCTGCCAAACAAGCGGGCTACAGGGTAAGGGAGATTGGCAACCAGAGCGGACCACTGTTGATCCACCAAGGCCACCTTGTCCACCTGTAGGAGAGATTAGCTTAGACTGACAGACAGAACCCGGACCCACGCAAAATGTAGGAGGTACTCACGACGAAGCAAGATATCTTGGGTGCCAGTTCGGCTGCTCTGCGTTCCAGCTCTCGCTCGATCGTATGTCTCAAGAGGAGCATCGCAATGAGTGTCTTTCCGGACCCTACCCAGCGTAGTCAGCATCAAGGGATATATATGCGGTTCCGAGCATCCGTCATACCAGTATCAAGCACAATAATGGTGTTCGTTTCCCTGGCCTTTTCGAACAACTCAACCTGGTATTCTCTTGGCGAATCCACGATCCTCTGACTCTGACCAAGCTTCACCAGTGCGGCCGTCGTCAAGCGGTCGTCACCTTTGGTCCTCTTCCAGCTCGTTCCCGAACTTCCATGCGCTGCTTCTTCACGGTTTTGGAATTTTCTTCCTTCTGCAGCCACGTCTCAAAAGTTGCCGCGTCGATCCTCTTGCGTTCAGAAATCTTTCTTGCTGGAGGAGCTGGTGCAGAAGTGAGGCGATACTTGTCCTCATTATCTCCTGAGAATGCCTTAGCTTCATCGCCGGCATCGTCCGAGTCCCTTGCAGCAGCGTCGTCAGTGATATCTTTGCCTTTGAAGTGAGAAGCAGGATCTGATGCGCGCGTTGAAACGGTGGTCGCGTTGGCCGCCGATGATGATAGGATGGTGCTCTTCCTCATCGCGAGGTCGGAGTTCTGTGGCAAATGCTGAGGCACCTTGACATCGAGACGAAGTGCAAAAAGTCAAAATAATCTTCATCTGGAGAGGGAGAGCGGTCATGAATAGCAGCGTCAGGGAGCGGGTTCGTCGTAGCGGACTCTTTACCCTCGTGCCTCGGAAGAACCGCCTCTCTTTTCTGCGTTAATATTGCACTCGCACGACGAGGCCTCGTTGATAGGGCGAGGGTCTTGCGTCAATAAACCCCTTGACTCTATACCCGAATCCAAGTCGATGAGGTCGCCCTCATCGTCCCGCCGCGGCGACACCATAGGCGATAGTTGAATAGGGTCTTCAAGAATACCCTGTCTTGTGTCTATAGATAAAGATTAACCCAAGGCAGCGAGGAGACCACTCTCCCAAGGTTTCTGATTGAGGAGAGGGAAGGGAGCAATGATGGGATAAGAGGCCATGTGCGTAAAACCAGATAAACGAGAACTAGGGGGCATACCAGTGTGTAGCGATAGACTTCCTTCCTTGATTGTGGTTTGTCAAACATCCAGGCCTAGAGGCAAATTGAATGAAAATAGTCGTTTGATAGGATTCCTTAGGGAGAGAATCTGCGTGGGAAGAAAAGGGTAGGAACCAAGTGAGGCCCGGAGGAAGATGAGCTCAGCATCTATTACTCATAGAGATCACACTTGGAGGAGTATTTCGGGAAGGAACGACCTGGAGTTTTAGAAGGGTGAGGTTTGCCAAACATGGCAGTTTCCGCAAACTCGTCGGACGAATATCCATAGCGCCGAAACGTTCAAGGAGCTCGAAGGCAGAGTTTGAAGGAGAACTTGGCGCTCGTTGTGTATATATTTATAAACCTCATGTTCTTGCGCATCTGTACTCTATGCATTTCCCTAGCGCTAGATGCCTTATCCCCGGTATAAAAATGGATTGAACATAGGGTATCGCTTCCCCAATCAAACGCCGTCATTGTTTATCATACAAACGCACGAAAGCAGAATCCAAATCGCGGCGGATCAAAAGAAATAAACCAAAAAATAAGAAAAAGGATAAGAATCAAGGGGGAGAAGAAAAAGGAGCAGGGCGTGCCTGCCAGGTAAGGGGAGGCGCGGTAGGCAGAGGTGCACTATCGAGCGAGAAGTGGAAGGGGAGAAGGCACAATGCTGGACGTGAAGTTCACACCACTTCACTGGGAGGGATTCATGTCCACAAAAGGCGCAAATGCACTTCTCCCAAGGTATCGGTCAGAATCCATATTCTCATCGACCGAGGCGTCTCCCATATCCATATCGTCATCATCTCGCGTATCCTCAATACGCCTCTTCTTCCCACCGGAGGAGGGGGCGCAAAGCCTGAGGGGGCCCCGCCAGGCCGGCACCACTTCCGCCACGCTCGCTGCCGACAGGGGTTCGAGCTCGGTGTACATCCTTTCTGGCGCCGAGAATCTCCTCCCAGGAGCAGAGAGCCCTCTTGGCCTCCTCGTCGAAATTGGAGCAGAAGCGTTGTGAGGTGATAAAATTGACGGCATCTACCATGCCTACACCAAACACCGACATGATATAGGCAGCGGCGATGACTGTCGCCCTGTCGTTACCTGTCTGACACGTGACAAGGACCTTGCCCCTCTTCACATTGCTCGAGTTGATGGCCATTGTGCCCTGCGAGTCGCCAGCGCCTTCGGCCTGTTGGCGGTAGACGGACAAGAGATTTCGGTTGATGGCTCTCGTTATGTCGTCAAACAGCTTCGTGAGACCGTGGGATGACGCTACGGGGATGAGAAGGGTCTCAATATCCAGTCCTTCTGTGCACTTCTCTGCAAAGCTTTTGAGCAACGGGCCGAAGCCCACGTCGTGCGCGAGTACAATCATGGTGATGCCAGTGGCGTTTAGCCATTGGGCGTCCTTGACAATGGTGCGCGGTCCTAGGTACAGAAAATCAAGGATACGCTGCGCTTCATGACGCATTTTATAGGTCCACATAGCAGAGCGGTCGTCGGCGATTTGGGCGTCATTGTTGGTGATAATCTGCAGGTCCTCCTCCGTCAGAGTGCCCGGGTCAAGTCCATCAAAGGTGGGGACGATGCGCATTGGCTGCTGGTTCAAGTCCATTGGATTGTTTCTGATGATGGGGATGAACGGGGGACTGGGCGCCCGCCTCGAATAAGGCGCATTAGCCTTAGTGGTTGCGGACACTGGCGTGACGTTCGACATGGTTGCGCGCGTGAAGAATAGTACAAGAGGAGATGAATCGGTGCACCTGTCACTTCTTCTCCCTTTTGTCGGAGCTACGTAGTCGTTGGGGGATGGGGGTGAGAAGAGTGCGGTTGGTTGCGTGAATTTCAAAAGTTGCAAGGCGTGGTTAAACGTCCAAAGACGCCCGAGAAGTCCGGCTTGTCTGAGGGGATGGACGGGGGCGCGCCAGGTAGGGGTTCGACGCGTGGATAAAGAAATCTAGGGATGAGAAACAGGCCAATGTTTCGTAGACCGAGGAGGTCGGAGGGATAGAAAGGAGAAGAGATTGAAGGTTTGACAAGATGGAGAAGGCGGAAGAAGTTTAAAAATAAAATGGCCTGTCGCTCAAGGCTAAGCTCAAGGTCCAGCGTCAGCTTCTCGGCCGACCAAAGCTTCCGAGGCCAGGTGGTGCGTGCCAACAGATAAATTGCTCTCTTCTCAATGGATGTTTCGGTTGTCTAGGCTCCCACTGTAGCCTTGCGAGAAATCCTTATGCGCAGCACGATCGATGATCCCGGCAAGGAAACCGAGCGAGGGGTGGGGAGGGATCCGAGGCGGGTTGAGAGCAAGCTCGAGCCCGGGACAGTGGCTGGTGGGGTGACGATGAACAGCGCGAGATTTGGCTGCGCTGGGGAGGGAAATTGACAGCACTAGATAGATCAAATGATCGGGGGAAGGGCAATTTCTAACAAGGGGGAAGATAAAGAGCAAGGACCCCGAGCTTAAAGGCAGCGGAGCTTTGCTGGCGTTGCCGAGACGAGACCCTCGTCGATATCAATCGATCAAGGATGTTTTGAGAAAGACCGGTTGAAATGGTCTTTGTTTCTCTCGTTTGTTTTTCGAATCTTTTGTTCCCCAGGGAAGAAGGAGCGGGGAGGGGCCCTTCTATCCGGTGTGAAGGGACTCGGTCGGGAGTGAACTGCGTCGACTCGACAGGCAGGAAAGCTCGACCTGTGATGGGAGGCGGGCGGGGCGTACGCCACATAAGGAAAGGGACGACCTCGTCCCATTTTTGTCCCATTCTTCCCTCCCTTTCCCCCTTGTAGAATTTAGGCTGGGGCGGGGTGGCTGTGTGGCTGTGGGACAGACCTTGGGTCTCGACCAGCCATTCTGCCAGACACAACATTGAACCGATCTGCGAGAATATCCACCGATGCACTCGATCGGACCTTTTAATATGGAAAATTTCCAGCTCACTCTTGGGACGCAATAACAACCTTGAAAGCAGACAGTAGATGTCAGACTAACAAAGAGGATTCAAAACCATGGATTATAGACTGATTCTCTGCAGTTGCAAAGGGTATTATTAGTACTAGAGACAAGGACCCCGTTCTGCTCCATGGGCGCCGCCCACAATCATGGACAATCGGCGTGTGCCACGAAGAGAGCCCAAATAGAAGTAAAATAATGCCGCGACGCTTCTCCTCGAAAACCGCCTTAGGTATGGCGAAGGCGAAATTGGAAACAAAAAAGAAGACAACACAAGGGATTAGACTGTACGAGAGGGGTTGGAGATGCGAGGAGACGAGAGCAGGCCCAGGTTTCCCGAGCCCGAAATCATCTCCATCGCCACGATTGGAGTGTTGGCCCTCATCGCTTCGATGAGCGATGAGGGCCAACATGCTCCCAAGTTTGGTCTTTTACTCCACATCCTAGACCCGGGATTATTCTTCCCGGGGACTAGACTGCAGTGTAGAGAACTTCAACTCAGCTTGCTATGGACCGCCCCCTTCAAAATGCTCATCGATTCCTCCAGCATCCTTCTAGAATTCGGGGGCGGTCGAGAAAAGCAAGTCTTCTACAAGACCTACTCGGCCTCTGAAACGACCAAGGATTTCTTGATTCTGAAACCCCTCGCCGCCTCCAACCCAGCCGCCGTCCAAAGCAGATCATCGGATTGTACTCCGGATGAAGGCTACCTTTAACATACTGAGGCAACTATGACGGTGTGTCAAAGTGCAGACCACCTCGGATAGAAAAGAAACAGCCTGTATATCCTCGACTCCCTTCTCCTAGCGCCTGAACAATGATAACTCCTTGCTTCGCCGATGAATATGCTTGGGGGAAAACAGGCGGACATGATTAAGAAATAAAGGAAAAGGAAAAAAAGAAAAAGGAAAAAGAAAAACCAATTCGTATCTCAGGGGTATCAGTAAAGGAGGAATATGCTCCAAGCGGCCGGTTTCATAGAGCAAACAATCGCATGCACCTGTAAAACAAGAGGGGGCGCTAAGTCCAAGACAAATTTCGAAGCAGGTCTCGCTGATAAATGAAGGTTGGCAACTCCCGTTTGCCAGGTATGACTCCTCTAACGTCTTCGTCAGTTGAGTGGATTTTTGTTGAAAAAGACTGCAGTGTTTCACCCGCCCGCGATTCTCGGAAACCGACGGACCAAATCCCACTCTGAAGATCGGGGAGAGCTACAAAGAGTGGTGCAGGTAGACAGGCCGCAGAGGCAGGTGCGTCCCCAGCGGTGTGCATCTATTTACGATGGGGGCGTCTCGTCTGGCGTCAAGCTGAGCCCAAGCCCCACCATGGCTTTGCCGCACTTGTCACTGATCGTCTCCTCGCACAAACTCTCCACGCTCTCGTCCAGAGAAGAGCTATCCGGGCTGGGGTATGCGTTCACCTCGGCAGGTTGATACGGATCCTCGTCTTCGTAGATGTCGGCATGGTAGTGTGGTCCCTGTAGCATGGCAAACTGCATATCCGCCTTCGCATCCTCGAGCACGTCCTCGTCACAGAAAGGCATTATCCGATAATTGAGATTCTCCATGATGCACCGTTCCGTAGTATTGAGCTGTTCGAACGACCAGATATTTCCTCCCCAGGCAGAGCAGTAGTGTCTCGTGGAGGACTGGGGATCGTCAAGGAACTTGACGGCAATGGTCAACGCCGCGAGGATAATGAGTTCGGGGTGGACAGAGTCGATGTGCAGTTGCTGCTCAACCGGGCTGCTCGGGAGAGTGTGACGCTTGTTGGCGGTGAGATTCGCTTGCACACCAGACAGCGGGCAAGATAGACGCCACGACAAGGCAAAGCGGTGGTCCAGCGCGTCAAGAAGGCATACAGCCAGGGCAATGGACTCGATGGGAAGGCTGGTGCGACTAAGAATCGCCTGAACTAGGGGGACAGAAGGCGTCATGAGAGAGGCGGCCGGGGAATGAGGTTGACAAGATGGATAGCTGGCCCTGCTCGTCCTCGTCGTTAGTGAACTGTCTCAAGATATCCACGCAAGAGTGACCACCGGGCCCTTGGCCTTCACGCCCCTCTCGAGGGGATCAAAGGATCGAGGCCCGGAGGACGAGGAAAAGGAAACTTACCAAGATATTGCGGTTTCACGCGCTCTCCGTCTTCCAACGGATTCTTGGGACTTTGGGCGGCTGAGGACAGCGATGGGGGCGGCGTGGGAAGATTAGACAGGGGTCGATAGGTCATGTACCCATCATACTCGTCATCCGAGCAGGACGAGAACTTGACCCTCTTGCTCTTTGTCGCTGCATTTTTGCGTGCAGAAAGAAAGAAATTTGGGCAACAGATATTTCACTGTTTTGCCGAGCAGTTCGCTGCGTTTTGGGGGTTGAAGACTTCTTCTTCTTCTTGTCGGAAAATCGACACGGCTTACTTCAGACAAGCTAACGGCTGAAGCAGGAGAAGACCATGGCTTGCTTCCTCTCTGTCTCTTTTTCTTCGTTACCGGGCGCGCCCGTTCAAACCCTAGGATCAGAGCCGTAGAATTCGGTCACTATTCGGCCGAGGATGGAGGATGGGGAGGAGGACGGTCCGGCGGGGGTAATCATAGATGGAGGCTGGGTCAACCGAGGCGCTGGCCAGCGTGCGAATGCGGAGTTCCAAAGAACGAGAAGTCAAGGAAGCCAGGGCGTCGTCGTTCGTGGAGAGGAAAGTGCCGTCGGGGTACCGATGTTGGCCGAGAAGGAAAGACCGATGAGAGGAGACTCGGCGGAAGACGGTGGCTGGAGGGGAGGAGGGTGGAGCGGTCAAGGAGTAAACTCGTATCGAGGGAGGCGTCTCTTGAGAGTTCAAGTGTTTCCAGAGTATTGCAATGCAGTCCTTTCAGATCCTCTCGGAACAAGTCAAGGGGGAGAGGAGGAAAGGGAAAAAAGGAGAACAGGAAGAACACGAGTTCGAGCTTGTGAAAGGGGAAATATGCAGGGTATCAACACCTTTTAGTACTTTGTCGCCGAGAGCGAGCTGTGGAGAGCACGTATGGGGGCAACATGCGTTGTCAAGGAGGGTCAGGCATGGGAGCCAGGAGGAACCCGAACCGGGGGAAAGAGGAGGGGGATGCAAGGCCAAGCGGACCACAGACGTACAAGTACAAGGGTCGAGTGGGTTCTGGTGGGTGGGTTGGGGGATGGGGATGGATGCGCAGCAAGGTGGGGGAAGAGAGGGGGCAAGGGAACGACCATTAAAAGCACCGACTTAAAACACAGGAGGAAGGCAAATAAGGCTGAGTTCTTAGTTCCTAGAACCGGCCCCGGTTGCCGGATATTACGCTCGGCGAAAGGGAGGGAAAGAGAAAATAAGGAGGGGAGGTACGTATGGTACACCAAGCATTATTCAATCACGCAAAGGGCGTGCGTGCGGATGATACAACATAGTACGGATGCGTGTTGTATGTGTGCGTGTGGGTGCTTGTGCGTGTGTGCGTGTGTGCGCGCGTGCACCTTTGCAACAGACGACATGAATCGGAGAATTAGGATTGCTAGGCTAGCCCAGAGCAATCTCGAGATTTCATGTCACCAATAGATTGGATTCGGCAAACTATGAAAACGGGGAAAAGGAGCCCGATGGGTAGGGCCAGGAGATGCGGAGAGGGAGAGAGAGATGGAGAGAGAGAGAGCGAGAGAGGAGAGGCAGAGGGCAAGGTGCCCAAAAGCCGCCCAAGCGAGCGCGTGTGCTCGAGGGTGACCGCACAGGCCCAGCTAAACCGGACTATTTGTGGGAACTTCGCTGGGAAAAGAAAAGTATGCTCAATCCGAGAACTGGGCGGTCCGTCCTCCTCATCGAAACATTTTAAACTTGGATGATCCGTCCATCCGCGCCATCTTGATGGTGTGAAACAGTCAGACTGCGGAAATAGGTGTGCATCGCTGTCGGTTCGTGGCTCCCAGTTCCCTTCCCCTGTAGATCTTTGGGTTCCTTTTGCCAGTGAGATTTCAAAAAGACAAAGGACAAGGGCAAGGGGAACAAAAAGGGACAAAAATAATACATCAATGTTGTCGCCCCTCCTCGAGCCCGCATTGTCGCCATCGAGGACATCAACAGTCAGCATCAAGGGCTGGGCGCTGATCTTATTGCGTGTGTAGGGTTGCGAATTACGGAGAAGGATCAATTTGATGGGTGCCGCCTTGGTGTGTTATGGGATTTGGCACTTGGGAAATCCTGGCTAAAGAGGAGCCCGACATAAGCGACTCCACAAATACTTCATCGACGCGACGCATACCGCTCTTCCTAACGCTTCTCTTGCATCAATCCTCACTGTCCTTCAAACCCCCGCCCCCACGGCTCGTTTTCCTCTTCTCCAGCACCGAGGGGGCGTGGGAAAAGGAAGAAGGGAAGAAATAAAATAAAACCAAAATAAGAATAAGAATAAAATACATCACCGGACTCACTGGCATACTCTCAAGTTTGAGATTGGAGGTGGCGTCAGTCTGGTGTCTGTTGGCGGTGGCTGGCTTCATCGGCGCCCATTTAATGCAACATACTCCTACTCTCCTCCGAGCTGGGAGCCAATACCCGGTATACACTGGGACTACTTTCCGCGGAGGAGCAGAGAAAGTTGGATTCATGGCGATTTTCTTTTTCTTTTTCTTTTTCTTTCTTCATAACCAAGCTATTTTGATTTTTCCTCGGGGGCGCCTGTGTCCTAAACCGGAGTATCCTAGATTTCTTCATATTGCACCTCAAGCGTCCGTCCCCCAAAAGAGACTAATTCACTGCCTTACCTGAGCTTCAGGCCAGGGCAAAGCTGTCAGCAGCGGATGCCGGAGTACCATTCATGGGCTCCTTCCTTTCTTGGGCGAGCAACCACGACAGCTGGTCCTTCTCATACATTCTGGACGAACTTGGTGGGGTTAATTAGAGTCGGGCCTGGTCCGTTCACCCCAGTCCTACCTGCCTCCTGAGAAACAGGAGCTGAAAAGGTTCAGGAAAGAGAGACCCATTGGCCTTGCAGCCCACTCGGGTTAAATGTGACGGGGACACAAACGCACAGGCAGCATTGAAGCCACTCAATTTAACCCCTTGACCCCCAGCGCCGGCCCTGTTCGCGCTTGTGTCAGCATAGCCTTCTCCAATGCAAGTGAAGGCTGCCACGGCTTTCAACTTCAACATCGTACGTTGAGCAAAACTGGGCGCTTCATGCCCATTCATTGATGGCTCATCCCCCTCCCCGCCCCTCCTCTTCTCTCGAAGGACTCTTCACCCCTCCTCAGGAGACCTGAGGGTTTCGCACTTTCTCCTCGTTCAGATCAAGCAGCGATCCTCGAATGAGGAGAAACAGTGACACGCCCACCTTGCCCTCTTTTGTGGAGAAGGGCAACCCCACCACAGGGAGCCAAGAGCTAGCCTTTATCTGGGACAGCTCGCATCAAATTTTGAGCCAGATTCATGGATTTTCTTTAGTGCCGAATACTCCTCTTTTTTTCCTCCCTTTTGCGTGGCGGTGAGCCACGGAACTAACGTGGCCAGGGTTTCCTCCCCTTCCCACCTGATAACCCCGTCAAAAGGGCTTTGCTTTCCGCGCATGGGGGCTCTCAAAGCGGAAGTGAGGTCTGGGTTGTTCGTTGAGGATTGCAAAGCGTGCTCACTCCACCAAAAGGGGTGGCTGGCTCTCAAAGACGTCCAGTGCTCGGAGACCGACACGCGGACGCAACACTTTCTTGATGCAGCATGCTGCCCGGCCAGGCCCGCAGGTGCAGCACAGGCAGCTAACACAAGGCTTCCGGGATCAATGATACCCGTTCTCTAGCATTTACATGTATTCTCAAATCAGCCAGTCTTCCCCAAACAATATTACACTCCAACATGCATTTACTAGATCCGTCTGAACAATCCCCGAGGTTATGTCACGACAAATCTCGGAGCTCGGCAGAAGAAATTCCACTCGTGCGTGCCCCAAATAATTCATGCTCCGAATACTGAAAGCTATTTGGATTTCTTCGCTGAGGGCCTCACTCTTCATCGTCCCTGGGATTTTTTTTTTTTCTCAACAGGGGAAAAAGCTATTATCAAAAATTACTCTCAATTATTCTTCCATGGACCCTCAACAGTCGCGCCATGCCACTCGGACGATTTTGTCAGAAGCGGCGGAGGCCGACTGTCGTCCCTCCATGTCCCTGCTAGACGGAGCCTCCCTTTTGCACGCTTGCAACGGTCCCATCAGTCAGACCAGCACGTAATGACGGAACTGTGGGTTCCATCAAGAAGAAGCTCAGCTGTTGTAATAGTGAGGGCCTCATGACTTGTGGGAGGCAAGGGTCACAACGAAAAGCAGAAATTTTTTTCCTTCTCTCCCATACGAGATCGTGAAGCGAGGAGACCACTTGTGGAAATTATCCACGCCTTTTCACCCGATTGTCCAAGAAGCGAAAGAAATCAAAGAGCATCGGCTTCCGCCCTGTTCCGCTCACCTGAAAACAAAATGCGAAAGGATCGAGCCCTAGAAACGGGTTGATCCACTTCTAGACTGGCTTGTTGGCCTGAACTCTATTATCCTCGCCAGCATAAAAGCGAGTCTGGGTACGAGGTCTTGTTCTCCACAGGTTCCCCACAAGCGGGCTTGGCCGGCTAGTCGTCGTTGCAACAGGTGAGAGCGCGGACAAGAATAGAACGGAGCAGTCGGCGTGCTTCGAGCTCCCTTCAAAGGACCGACATGGGGTCATTGGGCAGGATCCACAGCATCTCAGCTGGAAAAGTTGACGAGTAGCCACGCCGGGGATTGCTTGCTCTTGCTAGGTGCTCTAGGCCTTTCACCACACAAGCCCGCATGCGAAATGCGCGACGAGTTGCATGGCGTGCCGGCCCAGCACCCAATCTCATCTCGTAGCCTGCACCCCTGTCTCTGACAACGATGAGCCTTGAAGTGGCGTTTCTAGGACATGGGGCTCAGGGCAGCCGTTG